CAGCGGCGTCCAGAGCAGGAACTGTTGGCGGCTGCTCTGGGGCGGAAGGCTGCTGGGGAGGCGCAGACAGCTGGGCAGCCGAGCCGGATGGCTGCAAGGCTTGGACAGCGGCCGCTTGCTGGAGTTGGTCTCCAGACGACTCGAGTTCTACCTCAGTCAGTCAATATGCCCTGAAGAATAAGAAGTTGAGAATACGTACCTGGGTGCGGCGGGACGATCCGCTCGGCGGGATGGTCCGCCAGCACGCGCAGAACGGCGAGCACCAGTCTCCTCTGGTCGCCATCGGCGATGTGGCTCGGTCGGTAGTGCCTGTAGTCGTCGAACAGACAGGCAGTACGGTTGGCTGCGCGCGGGGGCAGCGTCGGCCTGAGCGTCTTGTTCCAGCGGGACTCGAGGTCCTTGCAGCTGGCGGGCGGGAAGGCAGCGTCGAACTTGGCTTTGATGCCCTCCCAGCTCAGGTTTGTCCCCAGGCGCAGCGCCACGATGGCGACGTCCTCGTCCTCGGTCCACTTGCCGTGCATCTTGTCTTGTCGGCGCGTTTGCTGGTCTGCCGGAGTCTGCTCGGGATAGCTGGTCTCTACGGCGTTGGCGGCTGGCGGGATGCAGCGGGCGGTCGGTGCGATGGCGCGCGAGGAGCGGGAGGCGTCCGTTTGGTCGAAAAGGCAACGTCAAGGGCCTGGGCGGCTCGAGGAAGCAGTCGAGGTGTTTGGTGGTCTCAAGGCCTTGGAGAATGCGCTGGTCGATCAAAGGTAGCTTGCGTGTTGAACAAAAAGAGAGAAAGAAAAAAAGGACGAAGAAAGGGGGTCGAAGTCTCTTTATATAGACTTGCTGGCTTCAGTCCTGCTTCCGACGCCGCCGAGCTGCTCTCTGCACTCTGCAGCAGGCAGGGGCTCGGGCGGGTGAGGAAGGAAAGGAAGAAGAAGAGGAAGCGTCGACGAGAAGACGAGGCCATTTTATAGCCTGACGATGCGATAGGAAAAAGCAAGCAGGAAGAAGTGGAGAGTGAAGAGGACAAGGAGGTTCTTTGTTAGAGTCACAGCAGGACGAAGGACGGCAGGACAAGCAGTGAAGAGATAGTGAAGAGGACAGTGAAGGAAGATGACGACAGGGCGAGATAGATGGTGAGATAGAGACAGTAATAGTGAGATAGATGGTGATGGTGAGTGACTATGCTATACAAAGGTTTACAAAGGTCTTCACAGGTCTTCAAAGGTGAAGGTGACAAAGGCGACAAAGGCCAGTGACTACAAAGGTGACAAGTAAAGGTGACAAGTAATAGTTAATAGTAATAGATGGAATAAAGTAGTGACTATCTACGCCGCCGGTCAAGGGGGAAAGAAGACCGGTGAAAGGACATGGGGCCGCCGGAAGAAGACCCTACCTGGCTGCTGCCACCGCTGCTTCCACCACTAGTCGAGCTCTTTGCAGTCAGCCGGGACCAGACATCAACAATGCCTACGCGCTGGGCCGGCAGCATGCTGTACTGCAGGCTGTACAGGTTGCGGCGGTGGATGGGAGGCACGAACTGGCCGGTGGCAAGACACAGGATCACTCGCGGGGACATGTAGTGCTGTCGGATGCGCTGGCCGAGGCGGAAGTACTGGTCGAACATCTCGCGCAGAGACAGTGGAACAGACTGCAGGATGTTAGAGACAATACATAGACAAGAGATAGAGATAGACGTGCCTTGAGGTGGATGTAGGATGTCTCTGTGTACTCCAGTTTATCATTGGGCGGTGGTGGAAGAGCCGGTCGACGCAGCTCAAAGCGAGTTCCCCCTTTGTCCGTCAGTCAATAGCATATACAGCAATAAAGAAGAAGTAGAAAGAAGAAATACCAGGGAGTCGACGAGAGTCCTTGAGTCGCAGCATCAGCGCAAATAAAGGAAAGTGGTTGAGAAAGGCCAGACAAGTGTCCAGCCCGGCCTTGAGCGAGATGATCGCCATCCGCGCCGACGCAAACGTGATGTAGAAGACCAGCACCGTCGGCAGCAGGAAGAACAGCAGCGTAAACAGGATCGTCCCAAGCAGCAGCTGGTCCAGGTCGTAGTCGCACGAGTCGATGCGGTTGCGCAGGATGTTGCGCTTGCGGCCGCGGAAGAGGTGGAACAGCGAGATGATGATCGTCAGCTGCCAGTTGAAGATGCGCGCAGACGCAATGTAGAAGCTGTAGATGTGGATGGTGAAGATCGACAGCAGGTCAGAGAACATCGCGATGGACATGCTGGCGCCGGCGAAGCTGGCACACCCGATGATGTACACCACGTACGACAGGAACGGCCGCAGGCTTGCCAGTGCACCTATCCCATTACATTAGTACATATACATATACAAAAGTCATAGTAGTTATACGTACTGGCCCAGTGGGCGATGACCCAGAGGAAGAGGTCGCCCAGGAAGACGGCCAGCTCGTTGTTGAGCTTCAGCCCGGCCGGCCAGCCCATCAGCCACGATATCGTCTGCTGCAGCCCGTCCACCGTCCAGCCCGTCAGCACCGCATTGATCTCAGAGGCCACCGTATCCGCATTATCAACAATATACGAGCCCAGTGCAATGCCAATGATCACGTCGTTGGCCACCAGCCACAGGCTGTTGTAGAACCGAATGTAGTCCGGATGGCTGTTCGTCACGCTCTCCCAGTCGTCCTTGCGCTTGCACAGAGTCAGGTACTGGATCGGCCAGTAGCAGAACTGCTGCAGCCGGATATCAATCTGCTGCGCCGTGGCCGAGATGTCCTTCAGCGCAGCCGCGTCAGGGGCAGCGCGCCATTCGAGGATCCGCAGCACCACCTCAGCAACCACCCGGTGCCCGATCAGGATGGCGATAAACCCCTGCGTGATGATAGGGTATATCCACACCATCGCGACGTACGTGATGCCCCAGAGCACAACGCCCCAGGCGGTCGTGGCGGACTCGACCACCCGCTGGCTCACGCTCAGAGCCCGTTTGGGCCGTGTCCCGATCAGCCCGATGTTGCTCTGCAGCAGCCGGTCCATCTCGAACGAGCAGTTGATCTGGTTGATCAGCACCGCCAGCGCTTGCTCCTTGGACGACGGCACATGCTTCACCACCGTCACCAGCCGTCGTTTGGCTATCAGTCGCGATGTCTGAGCCCGCGCGTCCCTCTCGGCCACCTCGACCTCATCCAGCGTCGTCTCTCCACCGCCGCCGCCCTTGTCAAAGCTGGTGTGCTTGTCTCCCAGGGCCAGCGGGATGGGGCGTAGAGACATGTACTGCATCTTCGTGGGACGCGGGCGGTTGAACATGATCACCTGCAGCGGCAGCTTCACGTTCGGAGGACAGTATATCAGCGGCACCCCCGTAGACGGACTCGTCGTAGCATGTATATGCGACGTGGTAAACGCCGTAGGCACCTCTGCCGCGTTCGTAGAGCCCAGCACATGCATCACAGGCTTCCCACACAGTCCAAAGATGCGGGATATCGGATGCGGGCTGTTTCGATACAGTATCCCCGTCCTCAGCGCATTTTCCACATTGCGTGCCTATTCCAGCCATATCAGCACCACTCTTTCACACCCTCATTATGATCGTATGGTATATCCTACTTCAACATGCTCCAGCACTGAGACGACAAACAAGTCGAATTCAGAATTCCTCCACCCAACTATCACCCCCGGCGCATCGGACAACGCAACTTCATATGGCCAGAACACCCGTAGCAGGCCATCATTCATCACCATGCTGTCATGCTTCTCTCCCCCGTAGACTGCCTTAGAACGACCCGCGGCGCCTTAGCTGTTCGCGCGCAGATATCCCGTGGTGCACGGAGCGAGGGTGCTAACAATCATCCAACACATCAGCCATCCGGCGCATACCAAGTTACAAGCTTGAATATATAGGTATAATTACCACTTTCAGTTCCCTCGTCACGATATGGTTGAGCGGTACAAGTAGGGCAGCGAAGAATATCGAGAGAACCAGGAAGCCTCTGGCCGCGCGAGTCTGTCAACCATTTTATTATCAGCTACTATTCCATTATCCACTGCACACACTGGTTACAGCAGCAGAGAGTTATAGATAGCACTTACGACGACGCCGTGGTCCCAGGCGAAGATAGCGAGCTCGTACAGCCTGGTAACCAGGTCCCAGCGTGCGGTGATGTAGCCAGCGACGAAGATGCTGAACGCAAAGACGGAGAAGGGGTGCATGAATCAAGGCCTGCTAGGCGCCGCGCATGTCACTGGCAAGCTTTAATCTTCAATTGACAGATATACTGGTCGACAGTAAGTATATAAGTGTCGTTGAAGCCGTGGATTGCTCGCTGGTGTTACTTGTGCGGTAGCGAAAGACTTCCCCCTGCGGTTGATTTTTATCGATAATAAAAAGTCTGGATGCGCTTAGCGACCACACGTATCAACGAGGTACAGATAGACGGCGATGTACATTGATTACTTGCCACTACGGGTGACAGTTTGATCAAGTTGACCAGTTGGTAGACTGTATGTGTAGTTATATAACTAATTATCGCTGAACGCCGTCCATGCTAGTAGTTATTAAATAGTTATCTAGTTATCAAATCCATCTATAAAGCCTTGATATCCAAAAAGACCTTGTTGGCCTGTAGCTTCTCATCCGCCGCCACAAGCTCCCGTAGCCGCTGCTTCTTCTCTTCTACGCTCATCTTCTCGTTGCCTGGAGCCTCGACTTCGGCCTTCCACTTGACCAGCATCGCCTTCAGCAGCGCATTGCCCTCCGCGACCTCCTCGGCAGTGAACTTCTCCACCGCTGCCGCAGTCTTTTGCTTGCCATCTCCATTAGCTCCCGAAGAAGTAAAGTCCTCAAGCTCCTCTGCCTTCTGGCGAGCCATGTTGACGACCTTGTCTGGGAACCTGACCAGCTCAGCGACGTGGATGCCAAAGGACTGATCACAGACACCGGGTTCAACTCGGTATAACAGCGTGACTTCTTGCTTCTTCTTCTGCTGCTTTTCGTCTGTTGCTGGCCCGTCACCGATGAAGGCTACTACATGCAGATTGCTCACGGCCTTAGGGTACCGCTCCTCGAGCGCCGTAAGCTCATGGAAATGGGTAGCGAATAAGCTGAAGCATTTGATCTCAGTCACGATGTGCTCTGATATCGCCCATGCAAGTCCAAAGCCGTCATACGTGCTTGTTCCTCGACCCAGCTCGTCGATTATGATAAGAGACTCCGACGTTGCTGACTTCAGAATATTTGCGGTCTCAAGCATCTCCGCCATGAAAGTTGATACACCCTTTAACTGGGAATCACTGGCACCGACTCTGGCCAAGATGCTATCAAATATTGTAAGCTCTGCCTCTGAACAGGGAACAAAACACCCGGTCTGCGCCATGAGTGCTATAACCCCTATTTGTCTGATGTACGTAGACTTGCCGCCCATGTTGGGGCCGGTGATGATCAAAAAGGAGGATTCGTCCCTGATCAAAGAGACATCGTTGGTAATGAAGGTTATGTCGTCCTGCATTTCCATGCACGGGTGACGGGCTTCCTTGAGGATGGTGTTACCCGTTCCTCGAGGGTGAATCTTCGGTCTCACATATGCCGTTGGGGCGTGTGCGGATACATGGGCAAAGCTCACTATTACATCGAGGTGCGCTAGAATGCCAGCTAGCTGCTCGAGTAGGGGGCAGTAAGAGGCTGCAACATTGACAACCTCGCTGACAAGCCCCGTCTGCGTCCGGTTATAGTTCATTGAGAGCTGGTCGTGCTCTCGTCGTAGTGCCTGCATAGTTGAAGTTGTGAAATATACTCCATTCTTTTGCGTCGAGCACTCCTGGTACTCTCTCTTATTGCGAATGCAGCCGGCTTCCTATAGTATAATTAATTAGCATGCACGACACAAGATATCAAATAAGGTAGGATAACGATCTGCTCACATTTCGGGTCAACCTGAAGCACCAGCCGTGCACTCGGTGATTTTCAAGGAAGAGCTTCTTCTCCGTATCTTGGCCGAGATCACGACCAACTCTCCTATGCTCAGAGTCCATATCGTGCCTCAACTTGTCAAGCTTCTTCCGGATTATCCGCAAACTATCGTCAAATTCGGGTTTGATGATGAACTCGTGGTTGTCCAGAGCATCAAGATCCACTGTCGTCTCGACCATCTCAGTTAGCTTCCCTAAATCTTGTGAGAGCTTCCGTAGCTTGGTAGTATATTCTGCATCCAGTGGCGTTTGATACTGCTCGTCCATCACTCCTTCAAACGAATTTATAAAGCCAGGGATACGTATGACCACTTGATAGATACGAACAACATCTTCTAGATTGGCTTTTCCTCGCTGGAACCGTTTAGCCAGCCTGTATAGATCCGGTATGGATCGAAGGTGGTCCTCTTGCATGGTCTGTCTCAGTTCCGTGTCTGTGACAAATGCCTCGACTAGCTGTTGCCGTTTCTCAATATCCTTATGGTTCATCAGTGGTTGTTTCAGCCATTGAGCCAGCAAGCGGCCTCCAACGGGTGTCTTGCAGTGATTAAGCAGCCCATAAAGACTCATGTTTTTCATACCATCCCGGGGTCCAGGCATTAGATTCAACGCCCGGAGAGCAGATGCATCAAGTTTCATGTACTGTGCCAGGTCATGCTTATAGAGCTGGTATTGACCAAAGTTGGACGGGTCGGACATTGCGTTAAGGTAGCTAATCAAAGCTGAAGCAGAACCCATAGCCAATTTGAGTTCTGTTTGCGGTAGCATGGCAGGTCCAGTCTCGTCCTTCAACAACCTTGATAGGTCCTGCTCAATATCCTTGGTGCCAAAGGCACTGACCGGCCGTTCTGTAATAGCCACGCCGCAGCTGTCAGCAATCTGCCTCAGCTTTGCTAGTTCAACATCCTTCTTCTGTCCTTCCGTGGTTATCAAACACTCTTTTACTCCCAGTTGGATAAGGAGAGACTCAAAATTGGAATAGAGGTCGTTATCAACGAACTCGCTGACTCCTAGTTCGCGCACACTTGCATCTGCAAAGCATACGCCAACATGTCTCATCTCCTTGGCCTTAGTAGCAGCTTTCACAGCGAGGATAATAGGTGCGGTATCCATTGCATTCCCTCCGGAAGCTCCTCCTAGTTCCTCCTCTACATCTTGTAGATTTCCCGGGCTGGCCTGCTTTGCCAGCTTCCAGCCTCTGCCTGAAGCACCGCCTTGTGACGCCCATATCTGCACTCGCTTATTTAGACGGAAAAGGGCTTCTCGTAAAAAGGATCGAAATACGGTGACCGACAATGTCACTGAGGCCAGGCCGCTGTCACTTCGCCCCAGGGTCCGTATAACAGATGTAGTTTTGTAGACTGTGCGAGCAATATACTCTGCATCTGCACCGTGGGCAGTATACCAGTCGCCACGGTCAAACACTCGCACTGTTGACTCGTCTTCGGAGTCTAATGAGCGGAAGAATTTAATAAACCCGACCTCATCGTCGACCTGGATGTAGATGTCGTTAGCCCTCAATCGCTCTATAGATCTCACGCAGCAAACCCACCTTCAGCTCAGGACGAGACGCCATAATACAATTGATGCGATCTTTCCAACAAACAGATTCAAGTATCGAAAAACAGAACTACCTCGCTCCTCTCAGTCTATAAACTGTTCGTCTACTTCGTCGATTTTCTCTTCAACGCGATTCGACTTTAATCGAATTTAGTGTCACGTGAACACGCGTTTACGCGCCTTTTTCATGACGTAAAAAAGCTGATTTTGATATCGAAAAGAGGAAGACCACGACGACGATGAGGATGAAGAAGATGAAGAAGAGAAAATGAAGGTAGAAGAGGATATAAGAATAGGATTCTACAACGCCTGCTATGAACCAGACTAACCTCCAAGATACCCATAGCTATAACATATACCATACAATGAGGAACTACAGCTGCAGCTGTCACTTCCCCTTCTTACCAGCGCCTCCTTTGGTTGCCTTGCTAGCGACCTTCGATTTAGGGGCAACTTTACTCGTCGCCTGCGTCTTCAGCTTTGGACCTGATTTCTTAGTCTCTACTTTGGTTGCTTTGGCTGCCTTCGTTACCTTCGTTACTTTCGCGGCTTTTGTCTCAGCAGGGGCTTTGCTGGGAGCTTTGCCCTTTGCCCTGGCCCTTGAGGCTTGCTTTGGCCGGGTGCTGGTTTCAGCTTGCTCAGCCTCCTCGGGAATGACAGCCGGTATCTCTACTTGGACCTGCTCCTTAATTTCGGGTTGCTGCTCTGCAGAAGGTGTAGCCACTGTCTTTCTTGCTGCAGGCCCTCGAGTTGCAGCACGTCTTGGCGGCGCAGTGCTCTCCCGTATCTTCTCTCTGCCTGCGATAGCAGCTTGCCTCCTAGTCCGTCGAGGTGGCTCTTCGACAACCACTTCAGACTCAGCCTCGACTAGAAGCTGCCCGGATTCATCCTCAGGATCCAAACCCCTAGCTTCATTACGTGTTGACGGCCCAGCTTCGCTCTCGGGCGCGTCTTCAATTGATGGAAGAGGGAACTGTCTTAGATCAATTTCCTCTGGCGGACTCTCCTCCTTTATGACTGGCGTATTCTTGTCAAAAATAAGATTAACTCGCCTGCCAGGCCTGGTCAGCTGTGGACAGGTTGGTAGAACACTGGCCAATGTCCGACCAAAGCTGCCCAGCTGTGCAATATTCGGTGCACTCCAAGTCCTGATCCGCCGAGTAGGATGTCTGGGTATCGGGAAATGCAGCATCAAGCGGTTTCGGCCCATACGGCCGAACTCCCTCTTCAACTTTTTGATGAGCCTCTTTTCATAGAATCCGCTGTACGGTATGTGTGGAGGGTTCTCCCGAATTTCGCCTGGTGAGGGTGTGAAGTGTGATGATTTATATGGAGGTGGACGCTCTTTTGTCCTCTCTCCATATCGTTCATATACAGTCCTATGGCTCTGATCGCTTGAAATGACAACTTGTTCAGCTAACCGAATGGATGGTTAGTGCTTACTGTCTAAAAACTCCTTCAAGGAATGAATTCACTGCGCTCACCGGATTCAGGCCCAGCATTGCTTTGCCTCGAAGGATCAGCTGGATCAGCGATATTATTCTCTTCAACAGCCCTATCCTTGCCCTTGTCTACTTTAGCAGTCTCACCCGCGCCAACAGTGGACTCCCCCGAGCTGTCTTCTACCTGAGGTCTTTTCTTTGTTGTTCTCACCTGAGGGAGCTCATCAGCATCACTTGATGTTCCTGTAACCGAAGTAACCGTTTCAGCTACCCCATCCCCTGCTCTCCTCTTTCCCCCAGGGGCGAGGGTGCTGCCTGCAGCATGGTCATGGCCCTGGTCTGTCTCTCTCTGTGGTTGTCTAAGTGGCGTATACCGAGCCACGACGCCAGCCCCTGGGCCAACATATACCCCTGCTCTTCCATCCCTCTGTATCCGCTCATACAGCCCAGGATTATGTATCGGTGGACCAACCCAATGTTCAGTCCTTTCGCCGTGCAGCTCCAGATGTACTCTCTGATCTATCGTTCCTGGCCCCGAGCTCGATCTGGGCACAGACCCAGTGCTCGCGTCAGCGTCATCGTTTCGCTTCTGTCGCTTATCCCTGTGTCGGTCTGAGCCATTGTCATCCTCGTGTCCATCTTTCCCTCCTTCGATTGGCGATTCTTCTCGCACGATCTGGGATGTTCCCCCTGCCCTCCTCGTTGGGGTATGATGCTCTCCCCTGCCACCTCCTGGTGTTCCCGAGACGGCCCGTTGACCCCCTGAACCCATATCTCTTAGTATCCCGTGGGTTACTTTCGGCTTCTGTGGGGGCGTTGAACTTCGTCGTCTTGACTATTATGGGTGGCAATCTATGCGCAGCCCTTCCACAGGCTGGTGGTGGATCAGGGAATTATCTCAGTAATAGCGAGTGCTTCTTTTAGTTAAAAGTATGAGAAAGGTAAGGAGATATAGAATGATGGACTAAATCTATATAATAACATTAAAGGGACAAGGATATGGGCATTGATATAGAATACAAAGCATTTTATGAGATAATCAATATTCAATGACAGCAGTTGCTTTGTACAATGATATGGTTGTGAATGAACTAGTTTATTGTCTTCGGCACCCCCTATACAACGAATATGTTGGCCTACCAATCCGCTATATAAAAGGTCATATGTACATACATTTCCGAAAGACAACCAACTCGCTCATTCACGCATTATTTATTATTAGATGGCCAGCGTCAAATCAAAATATCAAGACCACGAGCTACGTACATGAAATCAAGTACAATAAAAAAGTCCATCACTTTTGATTATAACAAAAAGCATAGGCGTCTGGTTCTTGCAACAATGGGTATCATAGTAGCTATGCATGTATCTAATGCATTGGTGAAGCTTTCATTCAATCCCGATGTTCAAAGGGAATGAAGGAAACAAGGGGGTCCTGTCAACAGAGTGAATGACCAGCCAAATTGACGGGAAGAAAGGCCATGGGCAAGGGATGACCAAGTACCGAGAGTGATGGAGTATTAATTTGTGGTAAGGCAAGTAAACGAGTAACAGTGTGCCATGAATGCAGAAGAGCAGACAGACCAAAGCCCCCTTTTTCCAATATTAGTAAAACAAAACAAGAAGCGAAGAAAGGAGAGAAAGCAAATACAAGAGGGAAGAAAAAAGGGGAGCAAAGAAAGAATGGAAGTAGAAGCATCAAAGGTGATAAAAGAGAGTCGTTAATTCGTTTCAATTCATTGCAGCATCCTTCAACCATCTCGTCATTCCTCATCCCTTATTCTTCCCTCTTCAAGATGACTTTTTTTTGTTGCAAACTCGATATTCAAGCGTTCGAACAGGCATTAAGGCGTAGCAAAAGGAAGAGAAGGAGCGAGGAACCGAAGAGCAGAACTGAACAGGAGAAAGCAGCCTAAGTAAATAATTCATACCACGCCATATCACACCATAAGAATAACCCATAAGAATAACCCGTAGCATAAAAATAAGCAGATAGCCGAGTGATGTTTTGGATAAGCAACCCTGGCATGGAAAAGCCGGAAGGGAGTATAAAGCAGTGAAACGGAAGTAGTTTTTTTTCTGACAAGTGGACAAAGAGATGGATAGACAAAATGCCACCACCAAACGAAAATGGACCGTAAATGGTGCATTGTCAGGAGACGAAAAAAAAACACCATAACACAAACTAGGGGGAAAAGGTACATAATAAAGCAAAGAGAGGAGGAAAACAGCGTTGAAAGACAAAATTTAGTGGCCGTCTTATGTATGGGTATGAATGTATGGATGAATATATGTAAAGCAAGGGACAGTAAGGAAATGGTAGTAGAAGGAGAAGGAAGAAAGAAAAATAAGGAGTATAAGGAAAGTGACCCAAATGTTCCTATCATCATGATCATCCGGGGAGTACTGCGTAATGGAAAGGCCGTTATCCATGAGCCGTATCGTTAGAGTTAAATTTCGTCTTCTTATTTTCACTTGTAGCAACCGCGACCAAGGCTTCGAGACGATCTAGTCCTTTGTTGCCGCTGCTCCCAGACGTACGTTGCTGTTGTGGCTGCTGCTCGACTGCATTCATCTCGTACTGCACTGGCTGATGCTGCGTGAGAGGCATTTCGGTAGGAACACTTGGTCCCGGTCCTTCGTCTTCTTCCATTTCATCTTCGTCTTCCCTCAGAGGACCAGTGCCAGCTCCTGTAGATGGTCGAGAACCAATACTCTGCAATTCACCCAGTGTTGTTTGACTCCAGCTTGCTGCGTCCTTAGCGCTACCGCCGGAGCTGCCATTGCCGTGGAGGTCTAGTCTAGTCAGAGTGCGCTGTAACGTGGTATCTAGAGACAGCTGGCCGCGCCGATGCTCTGCACCAGAGAATGGCGGAGCGGGCCGGGGGCCAGCATTGAAAGTTGGTGCGTATGGCGCGCTGCTCATCAGGTGTGACGGCGGGGGTGGCGGCTGCGAGTATGGCTGATGTTGGTAGCGGTGGCGGTCAAGGCTCATTGGGCTGGCCTCTCGTTCTCGGTCACGTTCCCGGCGTGGTGGAACATGGTCAAAGGATTCGATACCTGGCAGACGAGTTGTAGTTGGCTGTGAAGGCGAAGACAGTGGAGGTACATTAACATTTCCGCTGGGACCTGAGCCTGGTGCTTCAGCAGATTGCTGGTACCAGAGGCCGCTGGTAGCTGGCGGAGGGCGTGCAAAGCCAGTGTATGAAGAGGGATGCCATGTCCTTCGTCGGGGATCGGCTTCAAACCCCGAGTCTATGGAGCTAGTTGGTGTTACAGATGCATATTGCGCTGGGTCTGTTGGCGTGGGAGCCATTACGGGAGGCGGCGCCGGTGCTATTGACGGACCGGGGTATGGCGGATGCGTCATGCGAGTATACGGGGACTGCTGATTCGGGTAGTTTGGATGCGACGACGAGTCAAATGGCCTCGTACCTGTTGGTACTGACAAACGGCGACCAAAGTTGCGGTCCGGCCAGTGTGAGGAACCGTAAGCAGAGTTTGGTGAAGCATAGTAAGGGCTTGACTGGTCGTATGTAGCTGATGACGGCGTGAAGGTGGGACCAGGGGGGACAGCGGACTGATTTGGAGGAGTTTTGGGCGGCTCAGCCCTTGTCTCTAATGAGAGAGAATGCCTGCTGCGGGTATGGTGGTGGTGTTCGGCGCCAGAGCCGGCCATCATCAACGGTGGTGGCCGTCGTCGTAGCTCCTGATGCGATGGGGTATAGCTAGACATGTTCGAGGATATGCTTGAGGTGGATAGGTTGCGGCTGTGGCTGTGTGAATGGCTGCCGGCGGTCCCCGCGCGGGATCTCCCGGTACCACGTACACGATCGGTACGTACCTGGCGCTGGAATCGGGTTCCACTGGCCGCAAGGGAGTCGCATGGGATGTTCTCGTTGACATGGACGGTCTGAGCATGCTGGCGGAGGTTGTCGAGGCGGGAGAACCGGCGAGAGCAGTGGCACTGGAATGGTCGTTCTCCAGTATGTTTTCTGGTCTTATATTAGCATTTTTATATTATCTTATTAAGGGGTAGGAGAGTACGTGTGTTACCTGATATGCCTGGCTAGGTGCTCACTTCTGGTAAAGTTGAGATTGCAAGGCGGAAATTCGGTACAGTAGAATCGCTGGCCCTTTTTCTTCTTTGATGGCGGCCCGCCAGCAGCGTTGGCTGTTGCTGTTACGGCCGCTACTGCCGCAGCAGTTACTGCGTTTGCTACCGCTGTGATTGAATTTGTTGCTGCGGCCCCTGATGTACCTGCAGGGCTTGTTCCTGAAGGTCCGGCATCTTCGGTGCCGCCCATTTCGATCTCGTTATCGGTCTGATAATGGTCTCCGTCTGACTCTGGGTGCTGCATCTCGTCAAAGGCGGATGAATGAGTAGAAGAGCCTTCGCGACTGACGACGGAGGTGCGATTAGAAGCTAAGGCGGCGGTGGCCTGGGTATTTGTATGTGGCGATACGGATGATGAATGTGAGTGTGCGTAGTGTACTGCTGATTGCTGTTGTTGCTGTTGTCGATGACGCTGTTGTTCAGTAACGGTTACATCGTTCGTTCCATGGTTCGAGCTGAGTTCAGTATGAGAGGTGATGCCGTTTTGTCCCCCGAGAGGCTGCCCGTTCGGCTGTCCGTTGATAGCAGATACGGACGCAGCTGTTCCGGGCGGCAGCTCTTTCCGCTGCTGTTGCTGTTGTTGCTGCTGCTGCTCGGGTACGGTCATTCTGTTGTTTTTGTTGTTGACGGCGAGGAAAGAGGGCATCGTCGACACCAGGTACCCTGCTCGCCGCTCCTGGTGATGTATTTCCAGCCTTCGCACTTGATTTCCCGTTCGTCTTCCCCTTGTTTCACTTTCTCCTGCTGGCGACCTGCGACCGAAAAAGCCTCCCCGGCGGAGAAAATAACGATAAGGAGACGAAGAGAAAAAAGAGGTAAGAGGAAGGAAGGAGGAGAGAAGGTAAAAAAAAGAAGTGAAGTCGATATCCAAGGCCGGAGCTGGAGAGGAAGACCTGACGGGGGGTCTAGCGTGTCATCTATGCATATATATTATATGCCCCCAGTCGCACTTCTCCCTCCTTGGTCTTTCGCTGTCAGTCTCGTCTTTCGTCTCTTGTTACCTCGACGACGGCCTTGCAAAAAACTACCACCGACGGCGGCGGCAAGTGGGTCGTTCTAGGAGAAGTAAATATGGATCAACGCAGAAATGACCGAAACATTCGAAGTGTTGGCGGGAGGTACGGAGTAGGACTTTGTGTGTGTTTATATGTTGGCGGTTGGTTAGAGGTAGAGGTAGAGGAGCAGTGGATAGAGGGTAGAGGTAAAGGCCCAGAATAAAAGAGGCACAAGGGCACAGATGGGATGGGAGTCCTTCGAGGTCCCCGGGGGTTTGACGGGCGTAGGCTGTAGGGAATAGAAAGAGAGGAGAGATGACGTTTAGGCGAATTTGTTTGGACACAGTGGCAAGGGGTGACGGAAGAAGGCGATGTTTGGACGATTTGATGCGTTTAGTTGCCTCGCTTTCTCATCCGAGTTGCTGCCAACGGATGTTTATGATGGAGAACAATGGAGTCGTTTGTTGATGTGGGTTGAAAATGGCCAAGGGGAGGTCGTTCAGGTACCGAGCCAGGACGAACACCCCTGTGACACCGCAGGCGCGGGAGAAGAAGACGAGGAAGACGATATCCTCGCAGCAGGAGATCGAGGTCAGTCGAGATCGAGCCGAAGCAGATGCAAGCAAGGTGCCTATGCTCCTAGATATTTGATTCTGGATAGATCAGTCGGCAGTAACCGTAGTACCGAGGAGGTACCCTTTTGGCAGCCAAGTGTATCAAAAGGTCCGTAAGTCCGTAGCGTGTGGAAGTGGTGGTTTAAAGTCCGGAGAGGGAGAGGGAGAGGGAAAATAGGAACGAGAGTAAAGAGAAGAAGACGAAGGAGAAGAAGAGGAGGAAGAAGAAAGGAAGAGAGATAAAGTCGAAGGAAGTCGGCGAGAGATGAGGCTAAAGAAGCGAAGAGAAGGCTACGTCAGAGCCAGCAAGAAGGATGCAAGTCATGGGCGGCCCATGGAGACTTCGACATCATGGATGGCATGCCATGGCATCTCTCGGAGAGGGGGGCACGAAAGAGTGGACAAGAGGTCGACGGGGAGACAGCCAGCCAGGCAAGCCGCAGGCGTGAGCAGGCAAGGTACCGGTACATCGTCAGCGAGTGACCAGCTCACAGGGGGGTGTCCCTTTAACTAGGCCTTAACTAGCATAACTAGCAGTGCACTAGCCCCTTTAACTAGCCTCTTAACTCGTTAGCCAGCCCTTAGCTAAGGCCGACCCTGGTCCTTAACTGAACGCCTTTAACTGGAGCTTTCCGCGCCCTTGAGCAAGACGAAAGACGAGAGGCCGGGCTGGACGCTAAGGGTGGACGGGGCGTCGAGGTACATGGACTTGTTTCTCTGTCGTGCCTTGCCTTAGCCTTGTCCAGGTACAGGTACCTTGCATATCATGTCTCTCTCTTTCGCCCTCTGCTCGCTTGCCCTCCACTTCGTTTCGCTATACAGAGCAGTTATCCGGCCGTGTGTCTTAACCCTTCATCTTCTCGTCGACTCCCATCGTCCACCACCCTGATTTCCTCTCTTTTCTCCCCCATCCAGGAACCAAAGCTGCTCGCCCTGGCCCTGACGGGGACCTGGCCTGTTCCTCTCGCTCTGTCTCCTCCAAACGTCGCACAAAGCATGTGAAGAGGCGAAGGACTTCCAGCCAGATGCTGGCTTTTGCGTTGCCTTTCTGCTTGCTTTGCTTTGACCCTGGATACGACAAGCACAGTCAGCGAAGTCTGTCTGTCCTGGATACATCTTCTTTTTCCGCTTTTTTGCTTTTGCCTTTGCCTTTTTGCTTCTTTCTCTCTGGTCGGGCATGGTCGATCGACCGATCCAGGCACCTGTTCCCCGCCACTCCTTCAGGCTCAAGTAGTTATAAAGTCATAGCCGGAGAGTTGTGTCGCGGGAGAGCAGTACTTCGCGTACTGGTACTTGGATTTCGACCCCCGTGCTGCAACAAAGAAGAGAACCGACCTCCTAAAGCAGTCAGCGGAGAATTAACTAGTTAGCCGTAGCAGATGGGGGAGGTGAGGAAAGTCTGATGGCTATAAGAGCTGGGCTGGTACCTGCATCTAAGTCTCACCATCCCGTCCAGTCCGGTTCTATAGCGTAGCATGGGGGACTGAGAAACAGGGCGCAGGGAGAAGAGGTCGCCTCTCTAGATGTTACTCTGGTACCTCGCTTTGCTGGTTAGGCAGCCTTCGGCCTTGGTTCGGCGAGTGGTTGATGTTGATGGTGTTGGTGGTGCTGTCGGTGTCTGCTACACTGTCTGCTCCTGTCTGTACAACGCGGCATAGAGAATACGAAGAGAAAGGAGAAGAGATGGAAGAAGAGATGTCATATTCACGGCCCGGCCAGGGTGGGCCAGGCTCCTGGCGCTGTAGGCCAGCGTGGTGGGCGTTGTTGTATGTAGATGGTCGATGGTTGTTGATGTTTAGTGGAGGTTTGGTAGATATGACACGGCTTGCATACGGGAACACATACAGCACATACAGCATACATGCATAACGCTACTAGTTGGTGAGATAAGGAAGAGAGATCATGCAAGAGAATATGATAGAACGAACGCCTACATAGGATGCAAGTAAAAGGTCAAGAAACGAAAAAAATGATATATACCAACTACTCTTCCGACTCCTATCGGTTGCCCAGCACTGCCCCGACCATCACCGCTGCCTCCCTCTCCCAGTTGCCCACCACCAGCCCTCCACCATCTGCTTCCTGCTCTCTGTCTCGGCCCCTGCTGGAGGCGTCGGCACTGCTCCCACGTAACACACACTGCCGGATCTCATCTCGCAGCCTCTCCCGATTCCCTCTCAGGGCCCGGGCGGCCGCCCCGCCACGGTTTAGCAGCTCCCCTACCCGCGGGGATAGGGCGGATGCCAGGCAGCGCCAGAAGTAGCTTGGCAGGGACGATGTGTCCAGGTACTGCAGTAGTGGGTACAGTAAGTTGTTCTTGACGTTCTTCTCTTTCTTCTCAGAAGTAGAAGTGGGCAAGGTGGACGACGACGAAGATAGATCGTTGGCGGCGTGGTTGTAGAAGGGGTGCGCAGGCTGTCTGGCACCCTGAAGTATCCTCTCTAGCACTACCACCGTCTGGCAGCGGTTGGAGACCTCGAGCAGTGCTCGCTCCAGAGACGGGAGCTGGGAGAGTCCTCGAAGAAGGGCCTGCAGGGAGGCCGTCAGGGACGCGTGTATGAACGACTTTAACGTCACGAGGAGCAGTTCTGGTTGGAAATTAGCCGTGGATATAGTTTGAGTAGTAGTAGGGGAGAGCAGGTAGAGGGCAGTCATGGCTGATATCAGTCGTGCTCGGCTCTCTTCCTGCTGTGCATATGTAGAGCCAGTGCCGCCAGCGCCGGGCCGCAAAACCGCCCCTTGCTCGTCTATGGGTAGCGAGAACCGACTGACGATCTGCTGCGCGCGTGCCTTGACACTGTTCTCTGCTGGATTCACCAGCTCAGCTTTCAACGTTCTCACCACCTTCACCCGCTCCAGCCCAACACCGTACCCCTCGCCTTCCCCGTCATCGTCACCGTTGCCATTGTCTGCAAACATCCGTCTAAGCATCAATAGTGTCTGAGACGCCCTTACCAGCGCCCGGTGGTCCTCTCGCTCCCGCCCACTGATCTCCACCAGCTGACCCTCCAGCTGCCTGCCCAGCATCAGACATCTCGACACGGCCCGGGCCAACTTCACAGTCGCCCAGGACCGCTCCGCTGCTCCGCGCACTTCCTCGGCTCCTTCCCAGCGACGCACCACATCTTTCTCAAGACGCTGGTACCCTTCAGTCAGCGCTAAAACCTGCGCCTCTAGTGCGAGAAGTACACGCTGGCCCGAGGCAGTAGTGTCTGTCGTATACCGCAGCAGTGGCAGAGCAGACTTGGTCGTGAGTGTGTGGACGTGGCTGTCAACTTCCTGGATGTCAAACAGCACACGAGAGAGCGGCGTAGAGAGGTCCAGCGGAGTATCAGACGGGTTGTTGGTGGTTGCCACCAGCGTCTGGGCAAACGAGGTCGGTGAGAATGAAGGGTCCAGGAAGGTCTCGTAGTCGATGTACGACGGAGACGAGGTCATAGTGTGTAAGGATATGTAGGCTCTCGTAGGTTCTCTGCTACTACTAGATCGTTAGAAATGGCATGCACAAGAGCTGTTCTTCACAGGCGGGCCCGGGGGGTGGTGGGTGTTGCTGTATACTTGCAGTTGTAGTTACCTCAAAGATATGGGCTCTCCTCTATGACGCCAATGGTCACGTTAGCAGCAAAACAAAGCCAAAGAGGCAGAGCCAGGCCAGCATCAGCATTCTCCGATCAAGATGGACTACTCCGTCTCGCCTGGCCACTGTCTCTCCGTGTCCAGGCTGGATGTTGTGACTTGTTAAGGCGACGTCGAGGTCGTTGAAGCCGCCGAAGTTCGACTTTGTGGCCGCGTGAGCGTCACATGACGTCTTTCTAGCTCGAGCCATGCGGGACGAAGTTGAAGATGGAGACGAGCAGCAGTAGATGAAGACGATGAAGACGAAGAAGAAGAAGAATAAGACGGCGATGGGGCGACGGCGGCATGAAGGAGAGATATGATGAAGGTCTACACGGCGATATTTTCACAAGCATTGGGCTTTGTTTCTTGACGGCCCAACCAAGCCGGTCTCAACGCGATGGCTCTTCAGGCCGTTTCAGGTACGAACAACGCACCGCCGACGTCCGTGAAGACGAGACCCTGCTTGAGCTCTACTACATCTGCAAGATAGACGGAGCCAAGGCGTTGGAAGTGGCTGATATAGCGTCCTAAGTGGTGGGATTGCCAGGATTTTGTCTTTGATATGATGGAAGCACTCGAGGGAAAGGTCGACATGGACGACGGATACAAGGAGCGTCTCGAGAAGCTGCGGTCGAAGCAGGATGGGCTTGTCTAGAGCGTTTGAAAGAGCTCGACTGAGGATTGGACGGGTATTGGATGCGATATCTGTTCATACAATTCATGAAGAAGTATTAAAGGAGAATGTAAGGAGAGGAAAGGGAGAAAAGCCTCCGAGAGAAAAGGAAAGAAAGGAAAGGAAAAAAGATATAAGGAATGTCCAACACCATGTAGTCTTCCAAACTCCCGCCCGAGAAGGAAAGATAAAAGGGGTATATGCTATACAACTATAACCAAAGCCATGAACCTGTACCCAACTTGTATATTACCCCCTTTATGCAGTAGATTCAACTTCCTTGCTAGGAACCTCAATGTAATCTCCGCCGCCATCACGGTCTCGACCTCTGCCTCTTCCTCTCGAGATATTCTCAAGGTCGATACCGCTCTCGATGTCAGCGTCTGTGGCCGGGTTCTGTTGCTGTTGCCTAGTACCGGTAGTCGTAGCATGGCCTCCAAAGGCAATAGGCCGCAACTCCCTCCACTGACACGCCCAGATGCCCAAGAAGGTCATAAGCGTAGCACTAGCAGTCTGTAGCCCCCACCAGAGCATATTCGTAGGGACGGAATGTGTATAAAAGGATGTGATTGTAAGATGAATGAAATGAAGCGTAAAGGCGAAGTCGGGTATCAGTTTTGATCGGGAAACAAATAGGAGGAGAAATATAGCCCTGTAAACAGTCGAACAATTAGCTCATGCCATACCTCGCTTGTACGTGTGTTTATAACATACCCAAGAGAGCTGTTCAACATCCAGACGAACCCAAGGGTCCATCCGACAGTTGTATCTCCCCGAACAGTCCGCCAGCTCAGTATAAGGTCAGGAGAAAACGCAGTGCCAGCCACCAGGGCGGTAAAAAGAATCAGAATCGTAGCGCAGACATAGTAAGCTAGCTGTATCGCAAGGATCTTGCGTATGATCTTCGACGGAGGGAGGTCTGCCAGAGCACCAGCCCTTGGAAGTCGACGGCGCCGCATGTATCGTATAAAACTCGAACAACGCTCAGGTATTAAGGTATATTGTTGGAAGGCTGCATCTCCCAGCCTAGCCTAGCAGATGTATCAACGGGTTCACTTCGTCCTCTCGCGACGACGGTGTATCAGGGAAGATCCCAAGTCGGCTTCATCAGGTTGTTTCTTCTTCCTCTGGACGAAACGGCCAAAGGAGAGTCACGTGAAAATTTACTTAAGGCCCGTTATCAAGCTTTGCCTTGCTTGAGCTTACTAGTTTTCACGGCGAGAGATGGAGAAGTAGGTCACTATCTCGTTCCAACGGTCTTTTATACTGCTTTTCTGGACACCTGCCTTGCCGTGATACGTCTAACAATGGGCTGGTTCTCGTCGTCTACCGAGTCTGCGCCCAAGAAGGCCCCTGACGGCGGCTCAATCGCTCCTGACCGAACCTCCCGTCAACAATGCTGGATAGGAAGAGACAAGTTCTTCGCCTGCCTGGATGCAAATAATATCATAGATGCTATCAAAGAAGATGGCGCCGCCCGATCAAAGTGCTCGAAAGAAATACAGGAGTTTGAAAGCGCATGCTCGGCTACTTGGGTATGTCTTTGAGCGTCAAACAGCGGAATTGTTTGAGTTTACTAACTGGCTGCTTTCAGGTCAAATACTTCAAGGAGAAACGAGTAATGGAACATAGAAGAGACCAGACTATCCAGAGGATAAAACAAGAAGACATTGAGAGTGCCGCGGCGCAGAAAGCCGCCAAATAAACCTACATACATCGCATAAGAGACTGTGGTTATTTGTCAAATTGGACATTGCGGGTTGGGTTTGGAATTGTGATGGAGTTTGTCCTGGATGATACCAGCTGGTGATATCCGCCCTGGCCACGAGAAACTTGGGTTGTTGTGTGCTGGACTTCCCGATATATGAGTTATCACGGCCCCAGGCACCAAACACACCCGCATGGCGGACAAAACAACGTTGCAAAAGAAAGACATCGGAGACGACTGTAAGATATATGTAATATTAGCTTGAACATCTCGAGAGCAAGGAATGAACGAATTAGAGCATATTATTGATGGGAATGTAGTACAAATAGAATAAACAGCGTGTATATATCAACCCAAACTCAACCCATTCTCCACCCATCATTACCTTACGCTAGAAATGCAAAAAAGAGAAGAGTCTGAACTCGTTAAGTAAAATCAAAACCAGATGTCGCTCATGTGTCGTGAAAATATATGCCCGGATGAAAGGGATCAAAAGTTAATTTTGGGACAGGGAGTGGGAATTAAGATGCATTATTGTTTCCATTTCATTAGCTGCTCCATGATGTGTTGTACTTGCATGTTGGCTTGTGGCTGGGGGGGCTGGCCGTTCTGTCCTGGATCAAGGCCTTTTGGTAGAAGGGAAGCTAGGTTTATGTTGGAATGTGAGATTGTATTAGGATGAGGCGCAAACTGGTTGCCTTGAGATGTTGTAGTGGGAATAGATGGTGGGTTAGCGTTACCCGGACGCGTCAAGTTACCCAAGAGTGCTGCAAGATTCGTTGGATTTAACGGTGGCGCGGTGGTAGGTACTGGTTGGGGGTGAAACTGGCGGGCTTGCTGCTGTTGCTGCTGCTGTGCTTGCTGGACTTGCAACTGTTGCTGCTGGTTCAGGGAATTAAGTAGCGTATGGAGCGTGGAACTGTCAAGGTTTGATAGCAGGCTGGCAATCGCAGCTTGTTCCGATTGAGCTGGTACCGGCTGCTGTATAGGTTGAGAAGGCAAGGCTACAGGTAGTAGCTGCGGCTGTAGTTGTATCGGATTTGGTTTCTGGGAATTACGTGCATGCACAACGACTTCGGCTGCGAGGCTGAGATCAAGCTCAGAATATTCTACAATATTGTGATTAGTGACCATGGGTAACATTGAACAGGGGCACAAGGCATCATGTGTAACTCACCGTTGAACCGTACGTTGCCCATCCCACCGGATCGATCGAATATCTGCAACGGGATCTTCCCTGAGTATTGATTTGCTCTAGAGATGCGGACAATGGCAAGGACACCTTCCATTACCTGCCGCCGAACAACAGCAGACAATCGAATGCGAGGGCTTAGAATCAAAACGTCGCATCTAAGGCCACGATCCCGAAAAGCATTCTCAACTCGGTACACAAAATCACTGGTCGGCTGTTAGCAAGTGGGCAAGTAAAGACAGGAGTAAAGGGGGTAAACCAACTTGTCTGCATTTTCCAGGACAATAACCTGGACTTCAGGAACGTTACGTGGATCCCTTCTTGGGATTGGCAGGTCAGATTCACTGTCATACCCTTTGTCTCTTGGGCTGGGGCTACGGTAGCGTGTATTTCGAGGTCGAGGTGATCGTGACCTCGATCGCCGCCTCTCTCGACGATCGTATCTGTCAAAGCTGCGTTCTCGGGAGTGATACGAGTCTCGACGGGGTCCCCTCGGTGAAGGGGATCGTGAGCTTCTATCACGATACCGGTGGGAGTCCTTTTCCCTGAAATCACTGATTGCTAGTCTACCTGGGCCCCTCTCATAGCGATCGGCGGCTGCACGACCAGCTCGGGGTGGTGGTTCTCTATTTCTTTCATATTCTGGTGACCTTGATCTTCTCTGGGTACGTCCACTGCTTTCTGTTGGGCCAGAGTTTCGAGCACCACGCTGAGGCTTGGATATTTCTAGGTCTAACCAAATGTTAGGAATAGGAGTAAACAACGAATGTGAAATCGACTTACGGATCTTTCGGCCTCTGATAGTAGAACCCTGCTGAGCCTGTAGTGCTTTGCGGCACGAGTCAGGTTCAAGAAACTGAATGAAGCCGTATGCTTGCTTGATTGATATCTGAGCTAGTTTTCCATGCATATGAAATATATGGAAGAGATCCCGTTTGGTCACTCGTTCAGTCGGCAGATTGCCTATACTTGTTAGTACTAAATATCTTTGTAACGGGTACACTTGTACTTACCAATAAACAGACGGGAACCGGCGGGAAACCTATCCCAATGCGCCTCGGTGACATATATGCGTTCATCTCGGAGAAAATCGTCATACTTTTTCTGAATCTCAGGCCCCCAGGGGGTATCATCTTGCTGGTCACCCTTTGTAGACTCTTTATTATCATCATAGCTATCACGTTTCCGTGAGGTAGCGGATACTTTCCTGGCATGGGACTTTGTCGGTGCTTGCTTAGGACTGGGAAGGGATGTAGATAGGCCGGCCGATGCATCCATGGCAGCCGAATGCCCACTCTGAGGCAGAATATTACTTTTATCACTTTGAAAGGTTTCTTTAGATGGGGAGGCATCAGGGCCTTTGTCTGGATGACTTGGTTGGATGGGCTCACTTTCATGGGCAGCAGCAAGTGAGTGAAGAGGATGCGTAGATGGATAAGATATGGGCATGTTGGGAATGGCAATGCCGCCGAGGGTATGAGCTGTCTGGTTGATGGGCACTGTAGCATGAGCTGCAGACGTAGACATAGTAGCAGCTGCGGCAGTAGTAGTGGCAGCGGTAGTGATACATGATGTAGACGAAGGTACAGTGCTACCAAGCATGCTATGATAGGCAGCAGCTGTGCCGAAAAGACAAGACTGAGAGATATCTGAGTTCATATCACCTGAATTCTCAGCCGAAGCCAAGGGGTAGCCAGTAGCAGCTCCAGAGTGCATCGGTGGCGGCTGCTGCTGGTGCTGGTAAGTATACGAAGCAGCAACCGGAGCGGCTGGATATAGACGAGCTAGATGGGCTGTTATGTTATTATTCTCTACCGTCTCCGCGATATGGGTAAGGGCAGCGGTATCAGGGTGGGTTTGAGGGTGCTGCCGGTCTGGCTCTTGGATGACATTGGGATCAGGCACTGGAGATGAAAGTGAATGTGTCAAAACCTCGTCTTGAGTAGAAGAAGCGAGTATCATTTCATTTCCTGACGGCATGCCCTCTGTATTTGCATTAGATTCAGGGAGACTACCTGTGATTCCGGCAACGCCACCAGCGGCACTCGCGTTCATCTGCTGCAGCCCGCTCTGCAGCAGCGAGTACGTATGGTCCACCACCTGGTCGCCCACCGCCGGCCGCTGTAGGCCCTGCTCAACAAGCACCGGGTTCAACGTGTGTTCCTTGACCTCCGGGACAGTCTCGAGGGCGGAGGTGTCATGGTAGGAGGCGTCCATCTGGTTCTGCAGGAGGGGTATATTCGACGGCTCCGCGATATGCAGTGGCCGCGGGCTCTCAGGCGTGAGCGTCTTGCCCCGGAAGTGCAGCGCCTCTTCGGGCGGATCTGAGGCCATCTGAAGCAGCAGGATCTCCTCTCATCTACTGTCTTCCTCTTCCTCGTCCCAACTTCGCCTCTGCTTCGCCCGCTTCGAGTGTTTCGTGTGTGTGCGTGGGTGTTGTGACCACCGTTTAAGAGTGAGGAAAGCCGCTCGAACGCCACCTATAAACCATCGAGGACGTACGTCTGGACAAGAGGATCGGATAGAGCCTCGAGCACGAAGCCTCGGATAGGCATGGCTGAGGTGCGAGTTCTGTTCGCGTGTGTGTGGAAGAGTGTCCGAGGGCGAGCAGGAGGGAAAAAAGCCGATGTTTCTCTTCCCCTGCGCGCTTCCTCGAGCTTCTTCCTTGCCGACGACCAATGAAGATTCTTCGAGAACGACGGGAAGCTTTGAGAGCTCGACCAGCTGGTTACTAAGCACGGCCTAGAGTTGCTGGAGCAGATAGACGGAGGCGACGCCGACGGCGAGGTTGAAGCTGCGGACGCTTGATGAAGATGTGGAAGACGGCGTGGAGAGCTCGACGGGCGGTTGTAGCGAGCCTGCGGAAGGCTCACACGGCCAGCGACGACGAGCTCAAGGCCGCGAGGACATGGCTTGCGCGGTTTACGGCAGAGACGATTCCCAGGAGCATCTGCGCAGCCTCCTTCAGCCGGTCCAGCGGTCCTGGAGGCCAGAATGTGAACAAGTTAGGTCTCCCGCTTGTGGCCAGCAGCTATTAGAACACGCAGATGCTAACCAGCGAGAGTAGAGTTAACTCGAAAGCGACGATAAAAGTGCCGATGAGCTCCTTGTTGCCTCTGGTGCCGAAGATACTGCATTCATCCATTCGGTCGTCTCGATACTACGCAGCCAACTCGCAGGCGTTGGTCATACAGGCGGACGATAGCCGGAAGCAGTCGCAGAATCTCAATGCCTGCTTCGATAAGCTGACCAACATGATAGCAGCGGCCGGAAGAGATGCTGTGCCCGGGGAGACCTCGCCTGAGCAGAAACAAAAGGTCGAGAAGCTGTATGTTGATAACAGAGAAGAAGATTAAGGAGGTATTAGAATACTACGGCTAACAGCTACGACAGGCAGAAGGCTGCGAATGAAGCGAGGATACGGATGAAAAAGGTACACAGCAACAAGAAGAGCAGCAGAAAAGGAAGATCAGACGAGTGAACGGCATTGCAAAATGGTATCTTTATTGTTTGAACTGGTGGTGTTGGTGGCCGCTCTGCTATGACGATGATATCCCGCAACGCTCCATCTGCCGACTTGCGCTCTTCAACGTCACCTGTATCACCTTCTGCAGCGCCGGGTCGAGGTCTTCGGTCTCAAGCAGACGCTGAAGCCAGGCGGTAACCTGCGGTGCCAGCTGGGCCAGGACCGGACTGTCATCGCTCATATACTTCTTCAACCGGCTAAGAGAATTTGAGAATGCCCGTGGGAACTCGGGGGAAGACGGACTTATGCCTGCTACGGGGTACTTGATATGGCACTCCTGAGCTTTGGCGTTAGCCGGATGGGCTGTTATGAGCGAGTCAACGACATGACCGAGCACTCGCCGCAGACAGGTACACTCTTCGAACTCAAGCAACATGTTGTAAAAGTTGTACGCAAGCTCGACATCGTTGTCAAACTGGTTCATGGCCGCATCAAACACGGCAATAGGGATAGCCCCTGACAGCGCTGGAGTGGCATTGAGGGTCTCTAGTGACGCCTGGTTCGGCTCGTCGCCTTCGAGTGTAGGGTTGATATCCTCCCCTGTCAAACGAGGCAGCATCATCATATCTGCACCCTCATCATTATTTTGTTCATCAATAACAGGTCTCTCCTCTACCTTCCCCAGCCCTAGTATCCGCTGCCGTGCACCTATCTTCGCTATGTAGATCATCTCCAGCTTCGCATACTGGAGCCATAGTTGGCGAGAAGATTGACAGAACCGTAGCCCCCTTTGCATATACCCCCTTGCCTGTAGCATATCCCCATGGTCCTGCAGGGAGTGTTGGGCAGCGTAGATCCATAGATCCACCTCCCGCGGGTGCAGCCGTAGCGCATTTGTGAATATCTGGGCTAGCTTTTTGTATGCCTTTTGCTTGCGGGCGTACTCGATGTATTGCTGCCATAGGCTCACGTCACCGTGGAACTTCCTCGTCGCCCTATCGAGGATAAAGAAGACTCGTCGCTGTCCAGTATGTGTCGGCGCCTTGATACCCAGTCGCTTGATTCTCTTCTTGCGCAGCGCATCGAGGTTCATCTCGTACTCTGCATAGCGGGCGTAGTCTGCCGGAGACGGACCGCGGGCGTTTATCCTGTGCTCAAAGTCGGATCTCTTCTTCGTTATAGAACTTATTTCCTCCTGTCTCTTCGTTAGTAGTAGTCCTTCCTACAACATCTGCTTCGTGTAATCCACCTACCTCAGTGAATATCTTCTTCTGCTTGAACTCGCGGAGCTCAGGGACAATCTGCTCCAGGTAGAAGCGAGCCTTGTCACTCGTAGCCATCTCGACAGAAGACTCAATGCCCTCTAGATATTCCCTATCTCTCTCTTCCGAGTCTTTTTTCCCTTCCACCTATCTTATTTTCTTTTGATATCTTTTTTTTATCTTTCCAATTATCTTTTTCTTGCGGATCAAAGTTAATAAGCGCCGACGCTCGCTTCCGCGTCAAGAACTTCCTCAGGGGCCGCGGCAACTTCGCAAGACGCAGCAAGAGCAGACTCTTTCGTTTCTTCCCTTCGTTTATTTAGATATCTTCTTCTTCTCCTTTTTCTTCTTGTTCTCCTTCTAATTAATACGTGTTGATGTCTTTCTTCCCTGCGCGTCGCTCGCTTATCGCTTTCTAAAACCACCCTGACCATGGCCCCCAAGTTCAAGGACGGGGACACGGTCTTTGCTGTTCGTTTCACCTCTACCTATCCCCTCGGTAGATCTTCATTGCCTCAGTATTTAAGTCCTAACTAACCGGCTGCCGCAGTTTAACGGGAAGTGGATATCATGGTCACACACTGCCGTCGCCTACGCCGCGTTCTTGGGCGCCCTCATTGTCGGAGTCTGGCTTCACTACCACAAAATTGTCCAGAATGAACACTACGGATATCCGGATGAATGGTTCCCATCCGTCTCAGCTACCATAGGCGATCGATACCCGGAACGTTCGGTATTCCAAGTCTTCATCGCCATCACCTCCGGCCCTCGATTCGCACTCGTCTTTCTATGGTACATCCTCACAGCGAGACCGAACTCGGTATTGCCCAAGGTCGTGCTAGGAGTAGGCATCTTCAGGACGCTGACCTGCGGAGGATGGACGTATGTGACTTCAACGGACGACCATGGATGGCATGATATCTTCATGATTGCGTACCTAGTGGCTACATTACCCTGGACCCTCGGATGTCTCGCCTTGAGCCCTCCAAATCCTCGAGCTCTCAAGTACCGCAGGACGCTTGCCAGCTTGTTCTTTGCAACATTGGTCCCTCTGATTTATTTCTTTATCCAGCACAAGGTGCACAAGGTCCCTGGAGGTGAGTTCTATAACCGTATTAAAGAGATAACATCATACCATGTTGCTAACTCCTTTTAGCATACACAACTTACGCCTTTTTCGAATGGGCCCTGATTCTGTTCGATGTTGCTTTTGATGCTGTTACTGCTCTTGATTTTGAAGGTTTCGAGATCACAGTGAAAGACATTAAAGGGATTAGCAGAGGGTACGTCAGGCGGCTTCCAAAGTAGACTGTTTTAATTGTACTATATGCTATGTCCCACGCGCACGTTTACGGCTATTTGGATATATGTTCTTGTGTGTTTTCTAAGGTTATGAATGATTTTCTACAGAACGAGTAAATCCAACACTGCTATCGAAAAAGAGTATGATCAATCCTTTTTTTGCCCTTGCCTATCTTCTAGTTAAGACGCTAATATCTTAATAGACACGGTGTTCCATTGGGCCAACGCTTCTTCCTCCTCGAGGCCTTCGACGCTGCTGCTGATATCTACAATGGAGTAAGCAATTCTCTCCGAATTTTTCTTTCACACCATATCTAAAATTAATAATAGTTCGTTTTCTGGTCCACCTTAACCTCCCTTGGGGTTGTCGTCTGGTGTAAGTTGGTAATATCAACCCTTAGTCAACCTTAGTCTAACAACCTATCTAGACTTCCCCCTGTGGAACATGGGAATATCTGGCTACGAGGCCTTTGTTATGGTTAGCATCTCGCCTCTACTTCTAGCCATGCCAGGAATCCGCTCCTTTGCCGTCCGCAACGTCAAGGTTCTTCACCTATTATCTCTCTCCGGCCTACTTGCCTATCAGGTTCAATACCCGTCCTACCGACTTTTCTTAGTCGGTTTCTCCGTTGCAATGGGATGCTTGACGTGGGCTGCCATCTTCTACGGAGAACGAAGCCAGCCTGGCCGTCTTGAAACTAGAGTGACTGCATGGACCGTCGGACTTCTCGCTTCCAGTTTGATGAAATACGCCTGCCATACCAACAACCCGGCCTGGCCCATCGTTCATGAAACAAACGGTGGATGGAACAAGACTGCCCTCGTCCTAGCTTTGATCGCTATGCTTCGATCATCTCGCCGAAACTATGTGTCGGGAGACTATATGGCTTCTCCAAACGGCCGCAAGGGATCGTCGATTCTTTCTGCTCTCGGCTTTGGTGGACTTACCTTCGCCATGCACTCCCTTCTTTCGGACTCTAGCACCATGATTCTCTGGGTATGGGAAGGGTTCCCCATCCGCGGCCCTATTGCTGTGCCACATGGATCTCTTACTCTTCTAGCCATGGCTGTTGGAGTTTATTTGGGAGTAACTTACCCTCGTCTGGCAGGAAGCTGGACGGCCTTTGGCCTTGGATCAGTTGGTGCTGCTCTCTTGACCGGAAACAGCCACTGGGTCGGGTTCTACGGCGGCCTCATCCTTGCAGTCTATATCATGGCCGTTGCTCCGATCCTTATCAGTTCCGGTGTAAAACACTCCCCTGCAACTGTCTTTGGACTTGGCTTCTTCATCTACAATCTCATGGTCCTCTTCCATGTCTGGATTGTCGCTTACGCCTTCGTTCCGGGTGGGCCGCTCGTACGTGAACGTACCGACTGGGTTATGGCGTCGATGATGCTCCTGATAGGAGCCGGTGTATTTTCGTCTTCCGTCTCCCAAACCTCGCCTTCAGCCAAGTATAGAAAACCGGTCGTTAACGCCCGTAAGCAACGTACCTACTACTTCTATGTTCTCGGTGCTCTTCAGATCTTCTCATTTGCTGTTGGCTTCATGCGATTCCCTACCAACGACTATACCCCTTATCACAAAGACGAGAAGATCATGACTGCCGGTATCTGGACAGTGCATTTCTCCTTGGATAACGACATGTGGTCATCCGAGAGACGTATGCGTGATGCTATCAAGGATCTTGAGCTAGATGTCGTGGGCCTGCTCGAGTCTGACCTCCAGAGAATTATCATGGGCAACCGAGATACCACCCAATTCCTCGCTGAAGATCTCGGTATGTACGTTGACTACGGCCCTGGCCCCAACAAACATACATGGGGATGCGCTCTGCTCTCCAAGTTCCCTATCCTCAACTCCACCCATCATCTGCTCCCATCGCCCGTTGGTGAGCTTGCACCCGCTATTCACGCTACCCTCGACATGTACGGCGAACAAGTCGACGTCGTTGTCTTCCATTCCGGACAGGAAGAAGATCCCGAGGACCGAAGATTGCAGTCAGAATATCTATCGAAGCTCATGGGTTCATCGAACCGTCCCATGGTCCTGCTTAGCTATCTCGTCACCAAGCCGCTCGAAGGTAACTACAACACCTATGTCAGCGAACAAAGTGGAATGAAGGACATCGATCCTACCGACTGGGACCGTTGGTGTGAATATATCCTGTACAAGAACATCCGCAAGGTCGGATATGCTCGCGTCAGCAGAGGAACCATCACAGACACTGAGCTACAGGTAAGAAATAATTAACAACTTCCCCACTTAAGCACGATAAGAAGTCAAATTAACTAATCATGTCATAGGTTGGTAAGTTCGCTGTCGGCCAACCAGAAGGCAAGGGAGAACGCATCTCGGAAGACCAAGTGCCAGCCGGCATGAGATTCCCTGCGATGTTCCGAGGCGCGGGAGTTCGCGGCCACAGATATCATGTGTTCGATGAACCTCGATATTACAATTAGGATGCTGCTCTCTCATTCTCCATTTGTGCTATTATAATATTAAACCTTGCCTATCAAGCTTCTAAGGCTTGATCCTTGCTCCTACAACATTACATTATGCAGATACGTAATATGCTAATGCAGCCCCTTTTTCTCCTTTTACTCATCCGTCGGTCTCAGGGGTTGAGCCGTTCTCTTCCAATTGGGCCCGTTGACTGAAGGGTACTCAGTACATCTCCATGACAAGCCCATCAATTTAACATAGCTTACCATCCAGCGAGAGCAATTGCATCCCGTTATGATATTTGTCTCCCGTAGCTTTGTGAGAAACCTGGTTCTTGTGGCTACACCCATGCAAGAAACCCGGTCACGTGATTCAGACTTCGGGCAAAAAGTGCTACGTCATAGCAGCTTCTTGCCGGCGGAAAGCTCGAAGGTGGCCTTGGAAGAGCCAGCTTGGTAGGCAGAGAGCCAGCCAGATCCTGGGCTATAAGGACCCCTCTTTTGCCGGGAGGAGTATATAAAGGGTACGGGAAGCAGCCTGTGTCAGGGCGGTAGAGTCTTGAAAACGAATCCAATACAAGCCTTCAATTCAATATAAAGATCATTCACTTTCACATTTGATAGTAACCAACCATGGAGAGGCCGCCAAATGTCCCCAATGTCCCCAAGTCCCGTATGCCATTATGGCTCGGGTTGGCAGCCCTAGGTGCTGGTGGCTACTATCTGTACTCTGCTGGAGGTGACCCAAAGAAGGCCACCCGGAAGCTCGAGAGTAAGAAGGCCACGCCTTGTTGAATCACTGCCCACGAAGCTAGACTATCAATGCCGTCTCGGCCTTGAATGGCATATGCGAGTATCAAAAGCTAACAATTTTCATCTAAACAGGCGATGCCTCCCGAGCACTCCATGGCGGCAAACCAACGGGCAGCACAAGCGCTGAGAGGACTGCTGCACAGGCCGGTGCCAAGCTCGATGATGCTGTAAGTATAATCGCCTTTCACATTGGCGTCATCGGTATCGACGTCCGTCTAGTGACTACTTGATATTGACATGGATGCTAGTATGACAACGTACGAGACACAGCAAAGAAGTTCGACGAGGGAGCCGTCGAGCGGGCGAAGCAGGGCATGGATAAGATCGATAAGGCCACGCATGAGACTGCAAAGGGCCTCTCTAGCAAAATAGAGGCCTTCGACAAGTCCGTTGAAGAGAAGGCCGCCGAGGCCAAGAGTGGTCTCTCGTCGTGGCTGGGTGGTAGCAAGAAGTAGTCAAAATCATCAATCCCAAGACGATGGGACGAGAAACCATCTCACCGCTTGAATTGGGTTATTTGGCACACCATTGAGGTCGTCCTAGCCTTTATTATCATGATATCTTGTCTTATTATATCTAATTACTGTGCATAATACCTGATGATAATTGATAGCTTGAATATCCCCATGCAACGTCATGCTTGAATCACCATCGATTCTTCCACCAGTGACCCAGTAGAGCATAAGGCGATTGCAGAGCTCAAACAAAGCTCATGGCAGCTTTTTCATAGACAAGTCGCATATATGATTGGCTTGTCTTTATGAACGTTTATGTCGGTGTTGCCTGTACTAAACGCGGTATATTATGTAATCCAAATACCGACGCGCTTTTGTCGCGTTTCTAATTGATGTCGCGACTAAAAAGAGAAACAAGAAGAAATCAGCGTTTCTTTTCTTTTCATCCTCAATTCTTCACTGCACATTTATCAGCTTTATGGATAGGACTACTTATCACCAGGCATCCATAACTACGAAGTATACGAATACTCTTTACATAAATTACGACAAACGAGGCAATCGAGTTTGACGAGAGCAAGATGGCCGTGAAGACTCGCAAGGCGACGGCGACTCACTCTTCTACAGTTCGCCTGCCTGCGAAACAGCCCGGGATTGCAGCCTTCACGCGAGTAGGCAAAGCCGGGTCACTAACTGCTTCCGTGAAGGAGACCCTTTCTCGAAAACGAAAGGTTGAAGACACTGCTCAAGGAGACAGCGAGTCAGTGAAGCAGATCAGCCCTTCCAACGACAAGACACCTGCAAAGAGAAGCAAGATCGAACCAACACCAGAGAAGGATAAATCCTCAACACAGCTCCTTGTCAAAGGTTGTTCTGAGTCTTCAACTGAGCCGACTTGCACATCATCAAGTGCCACCGATTCCCCTGCCGAACGGCCGTCTGAGTTCCTTGACCTTGTTGATCTAAACTCTGCTTTTCTAAGCGCGCTTTCCCTTCATTTTGCCCACAATGGAGCCATGGCACCCGCAAATATTCGTGATCTTCTTAGCAGCACAGAGAGGATCTGGAATAAAAGAAAGGTGGCACTGCAGGACATCCAGAGAGTGCTACATATTCAGGGGCTTCACCAGCCTTCTTCACAGCCACAGAGTAGGTTCAGACTCACCAGTTACGGAACGAGCACATTTTTGGAAAGGAAAGAGGGCACAATTTCGAGTAAATCAAGCATTACTTCACCATTAAATGACAAGAGGCTCAAAGCGGAGTTTTTGTCAAACCTGGAAGCTTATTGTGTGGAAAAAGGGGATGATGATGAGAAGCCGAAGCGAGATCTGTTCCGGACCATTCCACTGGCACCAATCCACGCATCCAAAGGATCTGTTAAGCCTGCAGGCGGCCAGAAAACCATCCATGAGCTGTTTGGATCCCTCAAATCTAAGCCGACGCTGACCCGTGAACCCGTGATGAAGCAGCCAACACCACTAAAAGAGTCAGTTTCGACCAGCAACCGGCGAAACGGACTTCTGGAACGTATGAAGATAAAATCACTGCGCCAATCAAAGCTCCCTCCCCCGCCTTCGAAGGAAGCTATACTGAAGCAGACTGCCCTGGGCCGAATCTCTGAAGTTATCAATGTCCTTCTCTTACTGTCACCGCTGGCTTACAAGGTTGACAATACCACGAGTACCTCTACTACTCCGGCACTTCGAAAGTCATACACAATGGACCTGATCATCCAGAGGATTGAGGACTCCATGCGGACCCCTGCGTCGAGAGAAGAGATCGAGACCTGTATTGACATTCTCAGCCAGTCCAAGGTGGCCAAAGATTGGGTCACGATAGTCAAGACAAGCCAGGTGAAATCGGTCGTCCTCAGATCAGACCGACGGCCTTCACCTGCTGAAGTAACGAACGAGTCTATGAACCTAAAGTTTTAGCGTATTTCCCCCTGCTTACCGCAGGAGTTTGCATAGCATTGGCGTTGGACCTCTTCATTTTGGATATAAGTATTGAGCACTGGATACCATGTAGAATTAGCTAGCATATACTATCATGAACGAATGCACTTGTTTCTTTATGTGATCAGAGACATCCAATCTCCAGTAGTCAAGAAAGCGTAAACAATGAAGGTGAGTGCAAACAAGGCAAACAGGGCAGGTTAGACTTTCAAAGCTTTTTCTAAGTATCAAAATCATACAAAAAGTGAAGACAGCAAGACTCCATCAAGCAGCCGGTCAAGAGACAGCTAACGCCTTTATCAGACAGGTCAAAGGGCATTGATCCGATTTACGGGCTGCACGGTCGCTTCCAGAGCTCTAGGCTCCTTTTTTCAGCATGCTGAGAAGACTTCTTCCTCCACTCGTTGCTTTCACTGTCGCCTTGTTTTAAGCATCTCAACCACACGCGACGGCCCTTCCGAGCTCCCGACTGACGGAAATACAGCTCCCATCAGCTCTAGCAGCTTATTCGTACCCCGATTGTATAGGATAGACTGCTATTTGCTCTGCTTGTGTAGCCAGACGCCTCGAAATGTTCACCTTTACTCCCTTGCTTGGGGCGCAATCATCCGGCTCCAAGGCTTCTCAGTCCATCCTCGAACTCGACGGCGGTGTTAAGATATTAGTGGACGTCGGATGGGATGAGTCGTTTGATACGTCTGCTCTCAAGGAGCTAGAGAGGTTTGTCTGCCATATATCGCTGCGTTGGATGTAGTGTTGCTTGAAGTTCAAAAAGGCTGACATGGCTGGCACCTAGGCATATTCCTACCCTCTCCCTTATTTTATTAACCCATGCAACTCCATCTCACCTCGGGGCCTTTGTGCACTGTTGTCGGACATACCCTCTCTTCACACAGATACCTATTTATGCTACTATACCGGTTATAGCTTTCGGCAGGACCTACCTTCAAAATCTCTACGCCTCAGCCCCGTTGGCTGCGACTTTCTTACCGAGCACGTCCGTCACAGCCTCCGATCCCAGCTCTGGTCTGACGATACAATCCGCAACTACTGCTTCAGAGGGTCCATCAGGGTACGAGAACACCGGGTCAGGGCGCATACTTTTACCACCTCCCTCTAACGAAGATATTGCGCGTTATTTCTCCCTTATACATCCGCTAAAATACTCACAACCTCTTCAACCATTGCCATCACCGTTTTCTCCGCCCTTGAATGGCCTTACTATCACTGCATATAATGCCGGTCACACTGTGGGTGGAACAATATGGCACATCCAGCATGGTATGGAATCAATCGTCTACGCCGTTGACTGGAGCCAAGCAAGAGAAAATGTCATTGCCGGTGCAGCGTGGTTTGGAAGCTCCATCGGGAGCGGGACAGAGGTTATTGAACAGCTCCGAAAACCTACTGCGCTTATCTGTAGCGCAAGCGGAGGAGACAAATTCGCTCTTCCTGGTGGGAGGAAGAAGCGGGATGGGCTGCTTCTAGACATGATTAGGAGTAGTGTTGCAAAAGGAGGCACTGTCCTTTTGCCTACCGACAGCAGCGCGAGAGTTCTAGAAATTGCGTATGTTCTAGAACATGCCTGGCGAGAGGCAGCTGATTCTGGGGATCCAAACGACCCTCTTAAGAACGCGCCTTTATACCTAGCTGGTAAAAAGGCGCACGGCACTATGAGATTGGCGCGAAGTATGCTTGAATGGATGGATGAGAACATCGTTCGTGAGTTTGAGGGCAACGACGGTGTTGAAGTTACTGCTGGCAAAGCTGCTGGCGGAGCTGCCAACCAATCCTCCAAAGGTGCGCAAAGCCAGAAATCTGCCACAGGCCAGAAGAGCCTTGGCCCTTTCACCTTCAAACACTTGAATCTTGTGGAGCATAAAGCCAAGCTGGATGGCATTCTCGAGTCTAAAGGGCCAAAAGTCATCCTTTCGCCAGATACCTCTCTCGAATGGGGCCTTTCCAAGCACATCCTTAAACATATTGCAGAAGGAAGTGAGAATTTGATAATCATGACTGAGCCATTAAATTACCTTGGTGAGGAACAACGGGATACAAATACGGGCTATGAAAATATTCTAGGCTCTAAGATTTGGCGACTCTATGAGGAAAGAAAAGACGGTGTTGCTCTCGAAAAATCTACCAACGGAGAGATGCTTGAACAGGTTCATAGTGGAGGAAAGGAGTTTACTATCACGGACGTGCAGAGATCTTCTCTGGACTCTGACGAACTACTCATTTATCAGCAATATCTGGCAACTCAGAATCAGCTACAAAACACTGCTCAAGTAAGGGGTAATGCCAGCCTTAATAATGCAGCTGATGCCATGGACGATGCATCCAGCTCTTCCGAATCCGAAGATTCTGAATCTGAGCAACAGGGGAAAGTGCTTAACTTTTCTGTCTCCCTACCACACTCCAACAAACGCAAGATGGGGCTTAGTGATGCAGATCTGGGTGTGAATATTCTCCTACGCAAAAGAGGAGTGCATGATTACGACGTCCGTGGGAAGAAGGGCCGAGAAAGGATGTTTCCCTATGTGGCAACGAAGAAGAGAGGCGATCAATACGGGGAATTCATCCGACCTGAAGAATATCTAAGAGCAGAAGAGAGGGAGGAGGCTCAGCTTCAGGACCAACGTGCGCCATCATCCGGAAACGCCCCAACAACCCCTGGCCAGAAGCGTCGCTGGGACAAGACTGGCTCTGGTGCTACCAATGGTCCGAACAAGCGACGCCAGACATCGCAGCCTTCAGACAATATGTACATGCCCAACGACGGGCCATCTCCACCAAACGGCCTGGCTAGCAGCGACGTTGAGAATGCTGAGGCCTCGGAGGAAGATACCGAAAGCCAGTCTGTTATTGAGGGGCCATCAAAAGCCACCATCGTACACTCTTCCATCTCATTGAATGCACGACTGGCATTTGTGGATTTCGCCGGTTTGCATGATAAACGGAGCTTGGAGATGCTCATCCCCCTTATCCAGCCCCGCAATTTGATCTTGATAGGAGGCACAAAGGACGAGACTATGGCACTTGCCGCGGAATGCAGGAGCTTGCTGGCCGCGAATCGAGGAGCTGGTACTACGTCAACAACAAAGCTTGGTGTTGATGTATTTACTCCCTTGGTTGGGGACACGGTTGATGCCAGCGTTGATACGAACGCTTGGATAGTCAGACTAAGCCGCCCGTTGGTGCGACGTTTGAAATGGCAGACCGTCAGCAACCTAGGCGTCGTTGCTCTCATGGGAAACCTGCAGTCTTCGCAAGCCATATTGTTACAAGAGGAAATTTTAGAGCAGGCCAAGAGCAAGGGCAAAGGGGAGGCATGGAAGGCAACTGGCCCTGTGGAGAGTCAGGCCAACCAGTCTCTTATCAAAAATGAGAAGATCCCAGTCCTTGATATCCTACCTGCGAGCCTTGTTGCCGCAACGAGGTCTGTCACAAAGCCGTTGCATGTTGGCGACCTCCGCCTCTCTGATCTTCGCAAGCTTATGCAGTCTTCTGGTCATTCGGCAGAGTTCAGAGGTGAAGGAACCCTTCTTGTCGATGGTTTTGTTGCTGTGAGAAAGGCCGGTGCAGGTAAGATAGAGGTTGAAGGCGCCGCTCGGCCATCACCGAACTATGCAACGACTTTGAAACAGAACACCGGAACATTCCTTGCCGTAAAACAGAAGATATATGAGAGCCTCGCTGTTGTCTCTGGACATAGCGGATGAATCTCCTTCACCCCAAACAACCAAGTAGCTTTGAATTACCTTTGGGCCAACAAACAGTGACCGGCTATACCCGTGAAGCCAGGAAGCCATGTTCCTCCAGAGTATGGTTCCTTTGGCTTCGGTTACTCTGATCGCAAGTGACTATGGCGCATACCCATTCCTTTAACTACATGGCCTTCACTACCATGAAAGTCAAGTTTCTCCCCAGTCATCATTCCATTTTACCTCCGGCATTCCCCTCCTACTTTGGTGGAGTTTGTCACACACACACACAGTGGGATAGCTTTGTGGTGACATGTTTGATTTGCGCTGTTGTCTCATGATTTATTCACAGGCAATCTCCATGGTTACTGTAAGATATAGGTGAAGTTGATGGTCGATAGAATGTACAAAAAGGGAGCTATAAATCCGGATATCGATTCTCTAGCCCCCTGAGATGTTTCTTTTTTGTTCTTCTTTCCTTGCACATATTCCCTTTTCTATGCAAAAGTCGGCTTCCTGGTTGTATAAACCGCACTTTTCAAAGCTACCGTTTCCCCTTCTCCGGGCTCAACTGGACACCCCTGCAAACGCCACCGGGCGCTTCTCGAAACACAAACATCTGTCTTCCTTTACGCACCATGGCGGAAATGAGATACATCAGCCCTGATGGTGGCCCGCCTCTTGGAGGAATATCTCCCCAGGATTTGGCCTTCCTCCAACCCTTCCATATACCTCCCTTCGTGGGATACCCTTTCACCGCACAGAACCCTCCCCCAGGTCCGCCACCAGCCCCAGCCTCAGTCCCTACACCACCGGTTAGTACTTCTTCAATGTTACCTAAATAGGAGCTAAGAGGACAGGTTTTCCTGCACCAAACCTTTACGACCAACGTTCCACCGCCAGCAGCTGCCCCCATGGCGCCAGCTCCAGCTCCAGCCCAGGCTCCCAACACAAGTCCGCCCGCTGCTCAGACCCCATCTCCGGCAAGACCACCTGCTGCAATTCCAGGCCTAGCCCGTCGCCTACCTAGTGGTGCATATCCTCCTGATAGCGAACGGGCTATGGTCCTTCCAACTGGCCAGGGGTATATTTTCCCAAAGAAACATACGACACTGCATATTATTGAGACATCCACTGCACCTTGGGATAATCCTGGCGGCATTTTTCAGTGGCGCTCATATCGCGTACCTTCTTCGATGGCCGTCTCAGAACTCGTAGATCAACTTTGCCCGACAAAGACTCCAGACGGCCGCGATGTCACAAGCCGCGGGATTGTGGAGTGTCTTGAAATCGGCGATGGCACATGGCTTAAAGGTTCTGAATTCTGGGTCGGAGGTCGTCGTGGCGGCGATGACAACATGAAACGTCGTGTCACTCAGAGCCTTACGGCCGTCGGTTGGACCGAGTTACGAGGGACTGTCGCCCAGCCAGTCTGGATAACCATGAATGTTGCTGTTTGATCCAGCGGTTATATCAGGATTTTTCTGATGACTTGGTAGTTTGTCCACCCCTGGAATATGAAATCAGGCGCTATGATATGAAAAATAACTATGCTTTGTTGTTAAGAGAATGATGGTCATGTTATTTACCATTACTGCCTGTAATCTCTAGCTGGGCTCTACATTTGCTTTCATTTTTGGATATCGTATGTCTTTTTATCACAAGCTGTTTCAACATGCATATTACTACTAGATGTTTCTGGTGCCTGGAGAGGTGTGTAGCCTGTTATATTTTACTCCTTCTAGCTTTTGTAGAAGTGAAATACCACTATTGGTCGTTATTGAGACTATTCCACTACCCTATAAAAGTCATAGTAGCTATTCCTGGTCTGCCACCCCTATCTATATTCATCACTCGAACCCATGGAGTACTACTTTATACCTTCACTAAGCAGTTCAGGGCTGTAGGAAATGTATGGCCTTCTTCATACAACGATCTCGCCCGGGTGGTCTAGTTGGCTATGATTCTCGCTTAGGGCCTTAACCCTAAGTACTTATATGCGAGAGGTCCCGCGTTCGAATCGCGGCTCGGGCCCACGTTTCATTTTTTCTTCTTTTATTACTTTTTTCATTATTTGTTTCTCTCCTTTATTTTTTACCACTTGCCTTCCTCCTCCTATATCGCTGCTACATACGGAGTAGTAGGGGATCATTTTCCAATGTAAACTTCTTCCTTGCGGCTTCTCTTCCAAAAGTTTTACATCACGTGATATATACTTACGCCAAGCATCGCAGCTTCTTCGTCAACTTTCAACGCTTCGAGCTCTTGAGCTTTCAAGCTCACCAACTGGAGACCGAGACCCGATGGGCACATTTTCTGGCAGGATAAGGCCCCTATGGGCGAAGTCAGTGGGGAAGCGCACGACGTTCATACCCCGAAGATACCTCTCGACCACACTGGCACGATTTAATGACCAACAAGCTAGCCCTATCACTCTACGATGCGCGCAGATATTTGAACTGTCAAAGTTGACTACGGGACCAAGCTCCCTCGATAACAAGGAACTACGTGTGCAGGGCCATGTTAGGTTTCTCAGGAAGCAAAAACGCTTTACCTTTGCGCATATCTCGGACGGTTCGTCCCTCCAACCAATCCAGGCAGTCCTGACCCCAGAACAAGCAACCAAGTACGTTCCGAGCCTCAAAAATACAACATATTCCTGTTAGGGCGATTTGCTAGGGTTTGGGATGAATCAATGATAGTGGAGTGTAGTTGACGTTGGGTAGCTTAACTCAGGGTGCTGCCGTTGAGATTACAGGGATATGGCAACCAAGTCCCCCTGGTAAACAGCAATCCCATGAGCTTCAGGCAACAAAAGTTGATATTGTGGGCGAGGCAGATCCTACAGTCAGTTCATACTTACTTTCCCCTGTGTATTCTGTGTATTCTCTTTTGATTACGGGTTATATGTCATTTGGCTTACCTACTTCATTATCAACCTAGACATACCCGATCCAGAAGAAATTCCACACGCCAGATTTCCTACGCCAGCTACCACATTTGCGCCTGCGCACCCCATTTAATGCCCTTCTTTCTCGACTGAGGTCGGAGTTCATATACCAAGTGACAGAAGAATTTCGCTCCCACTATCACCTCAATTTCGTTCAAGTCCAGCCACCATTAATCACCTCCTCGGACTGTGAAGGAGCAGGCGAGGTGTTTACTATAAATCCTCGAGATGTTGTGACTGAGGAAGGGAAAGTGACTGAGTTTTTCAGGTCACCTAAATATCTTACAGTTTCATCACAACTACATCTTGAAGCTTATGCAGCAGAGTTGGGTAACGTCTGGACCCTCTCCCCCACCTTCAGAGCAGAGAAGAGTGATACACCCCGCCACCTAAGTGAATTCTACATGCTTGAAGTGGAAATGAGTTATATAGATTCCCTTGAGCCACTCACTGCCTTCGTGGAAACGCTCCTACGCAATATCACCCAGAGAGTTTATAAATCTCCGGTGGCGCAAGAGCTCTTTAGTCTCAAAGAGACCGATGACTTGACGAAGGATACCAGCAATGTGGATCTGGAAAAGAGATGGATGGCTTTAATTGAGGGCCCCAGTTGGCCGCGCATAACCTTCTCACATGCGATCAAACGTCTTCACGAGGCCGTCAGTACGGGTCAAGCCAAATTTGACTTCCCTCCATCCTGGTCAGGAGGTCTGCAGCTCGAGCATGAAAAGTTCCTTGTTGATACAATTGGCAAAGGCTTGCCTGTTTTTGTTACAGACTACCCCAAACCTGTCAAGCCATTCTATATGTCGCCTTCTAGCGGCTCGCCTAATGAAAATGGGGAGACAGTTGCGTGCTTTGACCTCCTCCTCCCGGAGATATGTGAAGTCGTTGGCGGGTCGCTCCGTGAACATAGACTTTCACCGCTCATCCAGAATATGCGCGAGCACGGCTTGCTGAGACTGAAAGACTCAACGCCTCAACCCTCTTCTCCCGTTGATGCCAAGGCGCCCTACCCTCATCTTCTCGCTAATGAGGAGTTAGGCTCGATTCAGTGGTACGCAGACCTACGAAGGTGGGGGACTGTACCACATGGCGGATTTGGACTTGGCTTCGATCGCTTTGTCGGGTATTTGGCTGGAGTATCCAGTCTCAGGGACCTTGTCCCTTTCCCCAGGCATTTTGGAAGGGCGGATTGCTAAACGACTGCGTTGTCTTGGTAGTCTCCACCGGCATAGTTGTACGATATATATAGAAGATAGGATGGGCTGTACGAAATAGATTCAACGATTGTTTTTTTTGGTTGACCCGCAATATCCATCAGCTTCCTTTTCCATGGTGAATGAACACCGCAAAGCCTGCAAAACGTGTCATTCATTATCTCCATCCTGTCTTGCTGTGGTAAGCAAGGTAAGTCAAAGCATTGGCCTTTCAGCTTTTTACTTGCCATTGCGCTATTTATATATTATATTTGACAGATCCTGTTTTAAGGCGTAAGCAGGTTGGATAGATATCCATGTTGTATGCCTTGGCAGGTGGCAGCGTTCAATCTGGGCTGCGAAACGAAAGGTGAACAAGCAAATGGCCCGTCCACGATCCTAAAACCCGAGATACGTTATATCTCTCACCTGCACCTCCGACTGCTTTTGCTTTCGAAATGGAACATACAAGAAAACGACAAGATCTTGGAACCCTTGGCGCTTATGAGATAGGATGAAGTGAAACCGGGGGTTGGTAGGATCGTTTAGCCCTTATCTGCCTCAGTGGTTGTTGGCCGACTATACTCCGTATTAGCTCGATCAATCATTAACGACAACAGATAGTGTCTTCATCCTCCTTTGCCATCCAAGGCTAATTGATTAATCAACGAATTGACCACCTCCACGCCGCGACTGTGTTCCTGGTCTAAACACACAAGGCCCAGTCTCACATATTCCTTTAAATAGGAAGGAAGGGTAACTAACCCGTCTGCTCTCTTTTTCTTAGCCATTCCAAGAATAATCCTGGGCGAGCTTGGGTTTGACGTCGAAAGATGGTAGATAAATGAACGACAAGCCTAACGCTCCCTTCCTTCTCCATCCTCACCCTTAGCAGCTGCCAACCTTCTCCATCCTTCACAGCTCGAACCAAAAAAAACGACCCATCACCATGGCAAGGGTGACGGGCTAAGAAAGAGGAAGTTACCCCGCATAGAGCTCAGAAACAGTTTAAGAATCAGGAATCGCCTCGTATCCGATCTCTTACCACTGCATTGCGAGGCAGGGATACTGGTTCAATGGTATGGAGCGACTCACCATCGTGGCTAGTCAAGGGAGAAGAAAGGAAGGCAAACTACTCCGTACTTCGTACGGCATCTCCGTGAGTGAGGTTTCTATATTTATTATTAGAATCTCTTCACGTTCAAGTCATGCGATCAATTAGGTATACAACCCATCCTGCAACAATAATTAAATCCAGAAGTTAGCCGTTGTCAGTTGCATGGGTATTTTCAAGGCTGCCACCGCAAGAAAAGAAATGATTTTTTACTGAACAGAATGCGTATGATTATGCGAGATTGTCACCGACGGGCATGCTTCTTGTAATGCGATGTATAAGGTTCAAAGTGGAATATTTCTCGTCCTCTTTTTTCGCATAGCAGTGGGATAACAATCAAGCTCAGCGGGTGTGCGGTCAACCATTCCAGCGGTGCCTTGACGAAGTGGCAGCCTGGTCAGCAAACAACAAAAATTGGCTCAACCAACGACAGGATCCAGGGCTGACAGCAGGGTGCCATCTCACGGCCCGCCCTTTTTAGCTTCCGTCAGCCTAGATGGATATTCGTCCAGACGATGGTAATCACGGACGGAGTACACTTCTCCCTCGTGTTAATTTGTTAGGAGACTAGAGTACGCAGAGAGAAAGGAATTAATTATATTGCATCGCAGCAATTAACAGTCAATAATAACCTGTATTCTGGACGCCTGGCCCTATTCGCGGCTCTTTATTCCGCTAATTAGCGAAAACGACGCCACCCTGCACGGAACGATTGTAAAAAAAAAAGGGAGAGGCGTTTGTCGTGATGGCATTTCTGGAAGGTCACATTAGTTCAAACGGGCTCTTGGCTCAGCTTTTGAGACCCGACCAGGCGGCGTGGTTTTCTGCGAGGTCAGGGAATGTTTGCGCTATCCCACACGAGCGTCGGGATTTGGGTAGATACCGAGAATCGTACTCCTCGATGTTGGTATGATTCATCCGTCCAGGCAGGCATCGTCCATTGTCTGTGAGTAGTCAACAAGGTGGCGTATTCGAGAACATGCCTGAGCCCTGTCTGCCTATGCTCTGGTGCGGTGGGCTGCCAGACTCTGGCTCAGTCGATCTCAACGAATCCCGACGTCGATCCGTTCAGCATCAAATTCAATCCTTGAGCATTTTCAATCGGGCGGACACAAAGGAAGGAGCACTTTTCGTCGTGCTACTCTCCCCTTCTTGATGCTGTACTCTGTGTTATCGTCTAATTCGATACTGTGGCTTTCAACGGACAAGGGATGTGGGGGCTGGTTGAAGCGCGTCTTCCTGCCTCTGTGAGGCATATTATTACTCGATAAAAATGTCCGAATACGAGGGTAAAAAACAAGCCATTGTCATGGTTCCTTTTCGTGGACTGGATATTCTTTTAAGCCTTTTCGGCGACGTCCATAGACGGAGTACGGAGTACCCGTGTTCCGGGTTACCTGTACACCGGAAAAGTCATTCCATCCATTTATTAATTTGCTTCTTTACGTATGGTATCCATTATATTTCTGTTGGGAAGGATACGGACGTGTGTATATATTATATATTGGTGAAGCGGTAGCGGATGCGCAAGCCTTTATGTAACTTGCTTACTTGGCCGTTAACCTTGCGATTACAATAACTGAAATCCAAACGTAAAGGATACCAAGCACATATTTGAACCCCGTGTCGTGTCATGCGGATACAACATTGCTTTCTTATGCTCGTCTCTTATATATACTGTGTTTGTACTTGCAAAAATCACACGTTTTTAAAGTTGTTCGTGCCAAGGTGGATGTACAAGAGAAAAAGGAAAGCTTGCTTGGGTGATCGGAGAAAACATCCGGTATACATCAACAGCTTCTTCCAACTTCGAATTTAAGCACAAGGCAGGGAAAGCAAGGTGTGTTGCGCTAGACAAGCCTACGGGAAGTGCGTTGCCAGGATACGGGCAACACGCATATGTATCGCTTTGACCCGAACCCCCTCTACTCTGCGCCTGACAGGCTTCCATGTTCGCTCTCCAACTCCTGGCGCTGCTCTTTCGTTGGTGTCCTTTTTATATATTGAAGTGTATATTTACTTTTTCTTGGCTTATGGTGGAGCCCCGCTCGAAATTATGCATAACTAAAACCCTAAGAATAACCTTAACTGGGCCATCTTTCTCCACATCCCTGCCAATAAAAACGCCAAGTAAAATAACCGCTAGTAATTTGGCGCATGTGCCTCTTCCTTTTTACCTTTCTTGCTTGCTTTGCTTGGTTATTAACGATTATTATCAATTGATTCTAACATTAATATTTCTGTCACGCTTGAACGTTGTTGTCCATGTTCCTTTTCCGCACTTATACGCTTCTTACAGCCGAGATGACGTTTGTTTATATTTGGGCGTTTGGCGCTCAGCGGAACGTTAGGAGTTGCTGACCTGTGGGTAAGTCATACTAGTCTGGCCGAGTTTGATGGATTCTTTTAACAATGGCTCCAATTGCGACAACCCTTCGTCATCCACCAAGCGTGTGGACATACCCGTTTTATGCTCCTCTCAGTTCACCCCTGCATGATACCTGTATAGAGGCACAGAGTTACCCCGATGCTGCTGGCGTCCCAACGTAACCCAAGTTGCTTCCTTCATCCCCTCATACTATTGAACTTAACTCCTTTCATTTCACACATGGAAATTGACTAGGGTATGAGCGCATTTATATAGCAGGGTCTCGAATAAATGAGCGCTGGAAATGCCAGCCACCCATCCAAGCTATTGTCCTACGGAGTTCGATCGCCTTATTATTGTTGGACGCATCGGGTATCTGGATGGAAGGATGCGGATAACTTCTCTTTTTAATTCCCACTGCTGATCATGGTTCGTCGCACACATCACTCACCATCAAACAGATATTAGTTTACATTCGGACATTAAGCCTTTATCCCTGAGCCTTCCCCGGGCACTTCGCCGAAAAACCAACCACAAAGGTTGTTGGAGGCGACCGTATCTCGCCGACGACGGCGATTAACTCCTTAATTCCGCACTGCTTTGATGGTGATGCTGGATATCTCATGTCCACGAGGACCCAAACGGAAACACTTCCCCGACGGTGAACAAGCGTGCAGCCCGAATCAGAAATGGGGAGTGGGTTTGTTATTCCAGTCAAGACTTTGGCTACATTAAGCTTGTTATAACTAACCACAGGGGATACTGCTGCTAGACCTCGGCTTGCAGCTATTAAATCTGAGGAGCAAACTGAGCACGAAATCCAACACCACATCAGCTCCTGAGTCTCGAAAATAAAAGCAGCGTTTGTGTCTCGGGGTTTGGCCAGCCACTTGTCTGCCAGCAAGCCGGTTTCCAGACTTCGGAATACAGCTTACTAGTTGGATCCTAAATAGTTTGGGCTGCAATGGTGTGGTGCGAACGAGCTATTTCTTCCAAAGCCCCTTAAGCCCCTTCTCCGCGCTCTTCTTCCCTCGGGCGCGATATAAAGCGTGGCAGCGCCTCGGCTAGCACTGTTCTTCTCGCTTGCTTGTCCAGCTAATATTCCTAAAAAAAAATAAGAATCGAGTTGTCTTCTTGTGTCAGAAATAACTGCACCACGAATCAGCTAGTTATCCGTAACGCCACAATATCTCCACAGGGGAGAAAACAACTGTGATATATCCTCTTGGCGAGCTTGGCTTTTTGGACATCACGGTTGCTCTTCTGGGCAAGAGCGGAATTAAGTAAATAACATGAGCGTACGACGATGTACATGTATTTATGGAGGATGTAAAACGGGGTTCTTGTTCATGTGGCTGGTTAGACCACGCTGTTCCCGTATCTTCTTTTCTCCTCTCGTTTCTTTTTTTTTTCCACATTCGCAGCACGGCTATAGGACAGTTATGAATCATTTGAATAAAAATAAGCCGGACGCTGACTCACTGAACCTATCTACAGTTCTTCTGCGTACAGAGTACTAATGTAGAAACTCGAGTGCGAAATAAGAAAAAAATTTTCGGGGTTGGCGTATATGCAGTTAAGCAATTTCTCATGCTGGCATTCACATTCACAGTCCAGTAAAGAATAAAACAAAAGCGAAGATCACTCTTCGTTGCCAGTCATATTCCCCCGATAGGTAATAAAGAATATCCAACATCCGAATCGGATGAAATATATCTTGCTCCTTCTGGCGTAGAGCGGAGCTAACCCCACAAAAGTGAAGAGCAGATAAAATTTAACCTTCCTAAGCATAATTAAGGTTCCGCCAATAGACCCATGAATTCGCTTAGAAACTTGGCAGCTTATAAAGTAATATTGTGGTATTCGTACGTACGGCACTAACGCCAAGGCTAGTTGCTAAACAGCCCAACTTGCCCAGAATTTCGCGGCCCATAGACGGAGTTCCTTTCGCCGTCTCTCTTCCTTCCCCCCTCATCCTCTGTCAAGGGGGTGATGTTTCTTTTTTGCAAAACATGATAGTCGCAACAGACGGCGGAGAATAACATCGTGGCTCATGCATTGATCCGCATGTCAAGGAGACTTAAGGGTACAAAAGCGGCACAACACAGAATACCGTCACGCCTCAGAGCGGAAAAGCAAGCACTAAGAGACTTGGCTGTGGTCCGTGGACATGCTTAGTATTCTTAAATTCTTTAATTTGTCCTTGGAGAGTTCGTGCTGGGAGCAAGAGACGGAGACGAGAGGGCAGGCCCATGGGCCTTTCTGGGCCCATGGTCGTACTTTCCCAACCAACAGCAGCCCAGCCAAGGTATCATGCTGGCGATCTTGCTCTCGATATTCCGATTTTACCGCTTCCTCTCGAACACGACCCACGCCAGCAGGCCAAAAATATGATGACGTTTGGGCCGAGCCATCCGGCAAACGATCACAGGCAAACCCACCGTTCCACGCTGAGACAGCAGTACGGAGTACTTTTTCCCACAACATGAGCGACCGACACACGTACAGAGCGTCCACCCTGGCCCATCTGGCCGACTAAACCCCCTTTCCTCCGTCCCCCGCCTTTCGCTTATCATATCACATATTTCCTTTCTTTGCGATGGGCAGCAACAGGGAGAAGGGAAAAAAATAAAATAAAAAACGCAAATGATAACAAGGATGACAGTGTAACTCCATTAGTAATAAGCTCAATGCCAAGTCCACTTTAGGTTTTTAAAGTTTTTGCCTTTTTGCTTCTTTGCGGTACAAAAAGGGTTAAAGTTTGCGGCAAGGGGAGTATTAAAGTTGCCTCTTGGGAGCGCTGAGTAACTATAGAAAGTAAGCATAACGTAGGCAACAGTTTGTGATAAGACGATGATGTTACCGCTGAGGCGCAGTATGTGTGAGAGGAGGCGTGCGAGGGAGCTGAGTCATGGATCGACCGAGCAATCAAGCAATCGCTCACTCGCTTCCCTGATTCCTCATCAGGCGCGCCTTTGGAGCTTAAGCTTATTAACCCAACACATTCCTGTCCCCATCTAGCAGAGTTAGTTATCAGCCATTCCGCTTAGCCGCATGACAAGAACGAGGGAGGGGGTTGCGCGAAGGGACGCCACAAACTTTCGGCCAAGCTTTACTTTCGTTTGTTTTATCAAAAAGCACAACGTGGCTTTTGCATCCTTTCCTTTCGGGACGAAGCAAGGAGAGGCGGCCTGGCCTCGCCAATTAACAGTTTTGGCTACCGACCAATGCTTAGCAATCCCAGGCTTAACCTACTCAGCTGGCTATATTTACCTCTCAGTCAAACGTCCAAAGCTCTTGGGTGTGGGATGTCTTCTTGTCAGGAGAGAGAAAGGCGCCCGTCGCCACAGCGCCATGCCATGCGCTTCCCCCAGCCCCTCCCCTACTTCTTTTTTCTTTTACAAATAATTATCCACTTGCTTGGCCTGCGTCCTATAAAACACCTTGTTGTATCATGCCACGTCCCAGTGTACCAGGTCTACGGAGCACTCGCTCGCCTTGAAAAGAGTGTAAAGAAAAGCTCCCTTCCTCCTTTATCCCTTACCCCCTCGCCTAGCACCAGTGTAACTCGGCAACTGACTTCGTCCTGGTTCGTGCAACAATGCTGGTGGAGGAGGGGGAGCGAGAGGGATAAAAGAGCGACTCCCTGTGGCGGCAATGGCTACGGAGAAAGCTGGATGGCCAACAGAGAAATAGACCTGCTGCTGCTCAGTGTAATACGAAACCCGCGCTGGGCAGTGGAGCTGGCAAAAACGAGATGCTTCTGCTTCAGCTTTTGTGTATATATAAGTAAACTCAGTGCAAACTTCGTTCTGGATAGCTAACTAACCCACTAGTTATCTTTATCTTTATATCTAATATAAGCCCTCTGTTAGACTCGACAGATAGATAACTGTTAATCCTTCCCCCACTACCTGGCGGTACAAGCCAGAGTAAAGTAAAGTATGGCCCACGATCCACTCGTCTTGTCTTCTCTTGCTTCCCCTTTGCATCTCACGTGGCAGGTGTGCCATCCAATCTTCCTTCGTTCTTTTCTTCTGCAAAGTGCTTTTTCTTTGCTCTATTTTGCTTTTGCCGGCTTCTTGTTTATTTGCAAAGTATAGCAAAATTAAACAAAATTAAAGAACCGCAAGAAATCCACCGGAGCCAGAAAGGCTCCTCAGGGCTGATGTTTTTTTTCTCACTTGCATACTTATACTCCTAGGCTACCCAGTTTTATTCTTAGCTCTCTCTCCCTCTTCTCTTTTATCTCGACCGTTTGCTCTCTTCGTCTACGTCCCCTGGCGACGTCACCAAAAACGTCCAGCTTAGGCGCCAAAGATAGATAGACGGGTATCAAGAACATAGCCATATAGGTAAGCTGACCTTATAGCTATATAGCGCTGCTGCAGTCTTTCCTTTTCGCCCGGCTCGATCTAGTTCGGCTTTTCTATGCTGTTACTGCCGGCGCATCGACAGCGATATTTGCTGTCAACGGCCTGTAACAACTAGATCTTTGTCTCAGATGTTGCTCTAACCGTCGATGTCCCTTTTTTCTCGTTGCTCTTTGTTGTCGTCGTTTTCGTGCTGGCTGCTCTTTATATCTGGCGTTGCTCCTCGCTGCGGCCTCCCCCCTCCCTCCCTTCTACCCTATCTCCTCTCTCTTTTCCGCGGGTATTTATCTTTTACTGCAGTCTTAATTCCACTAGCAGTAATAAACGGAGAGTAATCCGCAGATTTTCTTATCCTTCTCTGTGGTGGTGTGTTATCATCTAGATATCTGTCTCTTTCCTTGTTCCTGTCTCTGTTTTCGAATATCTGAGAAACCAGTCATTTCGCTTGAATGAGAACCATCGCTAACCACAACAGCAGCAGCAACAGCAACAACAACAACAGCAGTAGCCGATAAACCTACAAGGGGAAAAAAAGAGAGAGAAAGCAAGACGAGTATCAGTTCACACTCGATTCACATTCGCGAGATCCCCTTGGTTGAAAAGTTCGAACGGTTCTCCCTCCACGCGCTTGCGCCTGACACACTGCACAAGCGCCGATGGAGACATATCACGGCCATGTTCGCACTCCTGCGGACGCAATTATCCTGTTCGAGGCATGTCGAATCGGCCTGCTGCCCAGAGTTCAGAGGCGACTATCAGAAAAGGAGAGACAGTCGATAAAGTCAGGCTCAGTGTTCGTCTGGGATGAGCGGGAAGCTGGCATGCGGAGGTGGACAGACGGCAAGTCGTGGAGCGCCAGCAGGGTATCAGGCAGCTTCTTGACATACAGAGAGATGGAAGGCAAGCGCGGAGGTAGCCATGCTGCCCAGGCGTCGTCGAGAGCCGGGAAGACGCCGGACAGCAATCGGGGCAGTGATGAGGACGGCGGCGAAGCGGGTGAAGAAGGGCCTGACGGTTACCGGTACAAGCCAGACGGCCTGATGAAGCAGTCCTTCAGCATAACGACCTCGACCGGACAGCACCTCCACTTGATCAGCTACTATGCTCGGTCACATCCAACCGTCCCTGGCCTTAATCAGCCCTCGACTGACCCGTCACTGCGACACATACAGCCACAAAAGGGCCTATATCCAGAGTCCAGCGTTAATGACCAGCAGAACCTCCCGGTTGTCACCAGAGGGCCCATGGCCGGCACTGCCTTCCCAGTACCGCCTCCTGTCCAGCATTATGGCCGTCCACCGGCAGCTCACCCCCACGGATACGCTCCAAACTCATATAACTGGCCAGTATCACACCCGCCCCCGATGAATGGGCAGCCACATCCAGCGCAACCTGGGTATCCTCCCGGCGGCTATCTTCCGCCACTCTCAGGCGCCAACGGCCATCCACAGTATCAGTACGCCCATCCCCAGCACCACCACCTCCCGCCTTCTCAGCCGGCCTACCCACCGCAGTATGACCGTCCTCATCCGGCTGATGTTCCACCTCCACCGGTTGCTCATGGCAGTAACAGCCATAACGCCAGTCCTCGTGGATATCCTTACTACGCTACCGCAAGATCACCGGGACATCCACAGGCTGGCCATATGGGACCCGGAGAACCTGTATATCAGCCTGGCGGTAAGCCAGATCCGCGACTTAGCGTATCATCTTCTGGCTCACGCTCACCGAGAGAAGCCATGGGCTCGCTGCAGCACACTCCCATGAAATCTCCTGGTCTATCACATATCAATCGGTCTCCCCAGCAATCAAGCCCCCAACAAAACGGCCACGGACATGTCCCAGTCCACAGCCATGGCCACCCTCTCGATATACCGCCCGCTTCATCTGCTACTGCCGTACCCAGCATTAATGCTCTGATGAACGGTCCGCCACTGAACGAGAGTGCCCGTATGCCAGGCTATCACCAGGGAGTCCCAGCTCCTGGAATTGCAGGAGATGGGCCAAAGGATATTCCTAGCGAGAAAATCGGATTTGGCGAAGACATGAGAGCCCTTCGGCAACTTGATAGGGTATTTACTGCCTAGATCCAACACACTTCCCTCTTTCTCCCTATTCAACTACTAGCTTTCTCCCGGACAATCTACGATACCACCACGTTTCTTTCTTCTCCTCTTCTACATCCGCTGCCGAGTCCGAGTCTATTCTGATGTGGTAACCTGTCCGTCTCAGTGTCTTTTTCCATTCTATCTGTTCCTTGTTTCCTTTGTTACTTTTTCAGTCAGGCATATCTGTTTGCGGTTTTAAGGGATGAGTCTAGCATTTCAAGTCTACTGGCGGGTCATTAAATGGGTATTTTCTTTACATCTTCTATTTTTTCCTTGCCCTGATCGTGTTCTCTTTCATTTTTTTCCTTGTTCTCTGCCTTCTCTCATGGGTTTACCACGGCCACAAAAAAGTTATCGGAATAAATTCGGACGGGCAAATGGAGTTGACCACTGTTTCTGTCACCGTTTTTCTTCTCTTCCTCTTCTTTTCTTCCCCTTTCTATTTCCCTTATTGTTATGTGCTTCCGTTTTATACCACAGTTTAGCTGATATCCCGTCTTGCTTCCCAATGAGTAACCCCCTTTTATTCTTAACGAGCTATAATATACAACTGTTTCTTGTTTGCTAGCTATTTGCCCCAACCGCCTACCAACCTTCTGCAGCGTATCTCTCGGCAAGCAGATGCCCAGATCAAGTCAACCTTGTGTGCTAGCGGAACGGCTGGCTGGCATGCCCCCCGTCTCTTCCAAGGGCAGAGTACGGAGTAAAACCAACAAATAAGAAATGAAAAAAACACCTAAAATAAAAACAAGCGTCAAGTAACACTTGCCAGGCCATCTTGGCCCTGTAAGCAAGTGGATGGCAGGCATGCATTACTCCCTTTTCTCCCCCTTTTCCTTCTTCTTCCGCTTCCTTTTTCTTTTTGTCCCACCCGCTCCCTGGCCGGACGCCGTGTAACTCCTCGGCCCAGCGACTATCAGATGAGCCAGGCGGGTTTAGTGGGCGTTCACACTGTATACTAGAAAGGATTGACCCTGCGATAATAGCTGCCTTATCAAAAAGAAAGAAAGAAAGAAAAACGAAAAGAAAAGACCGTCCCAGCGATCGACCGCACATCCAGCAGCGTTCCTCAAGGGTCATCAGCGCCCTCTGCCTATCAAAATACAGAGAGCAAGAAAAGGGCGCCTGGCAAGCTCTTGCCCAAGGGTGGCGGGAGACAGGGGAACGAAGGGCGGAACAGCAAGGAACATGGACTAGTTACTACTTATATGGTCGACCATCGAAGGCCCATGTACGGGCATGCAGGATGCAGCTTGGATAATGTTACCTGCCTGTACGTACATACATTAGTTAGCGCCGGCAGGGATTCGTTCACATTCTCTAGGGTTGGGTGCGTAACTCGCTACGGGTATTATACATACTCCTTCTCTTATTCTTCGGTTTCTAGGCTGCGCAGGGCTCGTCAAAGTAAGTTACTCACTAGTTGGATTTGTGATGGTTGTTGTTTTGCTTTTGGTGAGTTCGAATGCTAGATAACTAACTTAGGTACCTAGGTAGTTAGTTAATGTGTACTCAAAAGCATGGGAGAATGGCTGTAAGTGTATATATTTTTCACTGTTGAAGTCTGATACTCAAGTCTATAAACGAAACTTTTGCATAGAAGATGTCGTTGCATCAATCTACCATGAGTGAAGATGCGTACCATCGACTGGCTGTATGTTATGGTTTCCAAGGATTCAGATATCCAGCTGCGTGATCACCACCGGGAGAGCCATGGCCTTAGTTAATGATACCGTTACCTTGAGTAGCTAGTTATGGTGATATGGCTGACGACAGGCTCGAGCATATTGGAGGGCCATGCACATGTTAAGACGTTATGACGACTGTGGCGAGTATTCCGATGTTGGGGACTTGACAACAACTAGTTGATAACAAACTACAATATTGACCTCTCTAAGTCGATGTTCGTTTATTTCTTCTTTTCTGAAATCGTGAGCATAATTCGGATTTCGGTTGAGTAAATATCGGGTCGGCATCTTTAACGGCTTGCAATCTTGCCGATCTTTGTTACTATTAATGAATCGGCATTGAGAGACCGTCGTACCAGGTTCGGTCAATCACACGAACGTAAAACATAGAGAGTATGCTTATAAGAAATCGCCTCGCTACAAGTCTATTTTGCAAGTTGAGTAATTTTCATTCCGGTAAGTTCAACTATCTCAATACGCTGCCCTTAATAGATGTGAAAGATATCTCTTTTCAAGTAGACCATCGAGTCATTCTATATCGCTAGTAAAACATAAATACCCAAAAACTTATATACTCATATCACGCGATTGACATATAGGTCCAAGCTAGCTTTATGCTAGTAGTGTTATATATATATATATGAGACATGCGAAGCTGAGAAACCGGGAACAACCGGATCTATACATCCAACATGCTTCTGACACGCTGTTGATTTCTGGCCTGAGAAACAAGCGTTTCGCCGGACGACTGAGAAAATTGGCTTGCCGCACTACTTGGAAGTTGGCCTGCTCTGGGTCCAGGTTCGATGGATGCTTCGGTAGATCTACCACCAGTAGGCTGGGGGTCTGGAGGGTGGCGATGCTCATCCGTGAATGGGTCCGCGTTGCTTTGTGCCTGGGAATCAACGGAATCCCTATAGCGGCTGGTATCAATAACGCCCATCTCCACCCTTTGTTCTATATTTCGTTGCGTTGGTCTACCGCCACCAACCTCTGTAGTGAGAGCACGAAGCCTTGACTCGTAGCTATTTCCAACCTCGCCTTTGAAGTCTGGTCGCAATCGCCTCCACCAGGCAGGCTTCCTTCTACCAGCTTCGATGCCGAGCTCAGTATCAGTGGCACGCCCACGCTGAATTCTCTGCCTTATCAACTGCCTATCCTCATTTGGTTCAAGGTAGGCAAAAATATTGAAAATCGTGACTATCACAAGATGGGGCCCGTATCCTAAGCCGTATAAATATCCTGGGTTGCCATCATACTTCAGCGGGGATATCTCCCAGATAAAAGAGGATGCAATATTGAATGCAACAGCGATACCTGCAAGCGTAAGAACGATAATGAACTTGACTGGGATAGACATGACTATGGATATAAGCGAAGGCCGTCCTTGAACCTGCCACTTATATCTGAATAGACTATGCCCCAGACTGTAACATATTATGCAGATGCAAAAGGCCGCAAGGATATTTCCAGCCTTGAATCGGCTATCAGTTGCTGCTTGCCTAGCTACAGCTTCTTGCTGCTCAAAAGTCCGTTGTTTTTCTATCGCTGACCACGACCTTGGGATATATAAGAAGAAAGATAAAAAAGCAAATAAATAAAATATCAGCGGCAGGAAGAGCTCTTGTCGCTCTCTAGTTGTTTCTGCAGGGAATGCGGAACTATCTCGATCGGCTACCTGGCGTTCCTGCCATGATCCCCTATAAACGAGCTTAGTATAAAAAGTAAACGTCAACGGGGTGAAGGGGGGAGGGGTGGGTAAGGCTGTACTGACCAGTGCCTAACAGCTTCCCAGATCACGGCAAGCATAACGGGTATCATGAGGTAGTAGAAGAAGCTCTGTAAGACGATTGCAGTTTGAGGCAAATAGTCTCGATCCACGTCAATGCTCATGAAGCAGCTAATCATTCCGCAGGCTGTAAGGAATATCATCCAATACCACTGTGCTCGCCTCCCAACAATCGTCCACCGTTTTTCAAGCGGTAGGAGACGTTCGCCATGTTTTCGAAGATTTATAACAGTAAGAAACAATGTGGCCGCAAAGAGAGCTGCAAATGCAATTCCGATGCTCCCTCGAGCTCTCAGTCCCTTGATCGGAACATAGCACGATGTACCGTTTATAAATGTTCCGTTCGGCAGCAGGAGAGGTTTGTAGATATCGAACGTCAACCAACAATTAGAAATGTTCGACAGCGTGCCGTTCGAATAGAGAGTATAGTTAAAATGGTTCAATGTCGTGGTATTGAAGTGAACGCCGTTGATTAGCGTATCCGTTTCGTTATCGCCAGGGGGGAACTGGAGAAGCTCCCGCATGGATAGAATTGTCATTGCGAACGGATGTTGGGGAACCCCTTGAAAGCGATAGAATCAATCGCCCCAGTAAGCGTAATGGCAGCACAGCCAGACGCTTATGATCCCATTGGTAAGAGGGACAGGTTATTCATGAACAGGCCCTATCCGAGGAAGATGGAAGTGAAATTCAGCCCGAACGGACGATTATATTTACCTGAACGGCAACTCCGGAAAGAAAAATCGACGTCATGGCATTGCTTATGTAATAATCACGTGTAGTCCACCCTTTAGACATAACCTTAATTTTATTTGAACAGTTAAAATAACATTAATTTTGATGTTTATTTTCGTTTGTTTCAACTGCGTTTGTTCAAGGTCGAGTTCAGTTGACAAGCTGGGGGGTAAGATCTCTGTTACATGGGCGGGTTAGTGGCCTTAAAATATAACATGACAATCGTGACACATATCATTCTTGTTTGGTTATCTCCGCTGGCCGTATCCGTAACACTCGGGAACTATGGCAGCTGCATATTGCGGTTGGGTGGAAGTTAGAAGCGCGAACGTTGGCGTTTGATACCAGCAGCGCAAGTATCGTCATGCCATCTGAGCAGGATGTCATCAATGTACCACATGACAGCTCTTCCAGCCACCTGTGCTTCAATCTCAATCCCTGATAGTCCATTGAAGCCATCCCCGAAGAGGACATCGGTCAAGGTACAGTGCTTAGATTCGTGGCAGGGAGGAATTGCAAATTTAGTTATTCCAGCACGAACCTCGGTGCCGGATTCTGCAGAGTACTTTAGCCCCTGTATAGTGAGCTCACAGGTATGCGTGCTGTTCCCATTGTCGCAGCCGACTTCAGCACTAAAGGCATCAAACCAAAAGAGTCTCTGAGAAGCACGGGACCCTCCACCAAATATCCCCTTGGATTGAGTTTTCCCTCCATTCCGTTTTGTTGGGACATGTATGCCAATGTGAGGATACGATACTGGGGCAAACGGCCCGGCTGAAGGGGGCCCATATGACCAACCACTAGAGAAAAAAAAGTGGTGGTATGGGCTGAAAATAGGCGGGAACGCAGCTGTTTGGTTTTTGCCAGGCGAGTATACCGGAAGGTCATCAAACTATACTTACTGTTAGACAAAATATACAGTATTAAAATTGAGCATCTTACGCTAATTTTGAAGAAACCAGTCTCTCCGCACGAGGTAGGAGTTGCACCAGCTGCCGTGGTGCGTGATAGGGCTGTTTCACCTGTCACTATGATACTTTAGCTACGCGACTTCAGGGTATTTGCGTAGCTAACATCTGAAACATGAAGCTTACCTGTGACCTTGGAGGTGAGCGTACCAGAAGTTTGAATGGGGGCTGTAGATTTGGTAGAAACAAGTGACGACAGCTGTTCCCCATTCCGCTCGTTCTTCCACGATACTACTTTCCCGTTTATTGTCGCGGTCACTGTATCTCTAATCCAACGTTCATGCACCTGTGACTGTTTCGACAGGGTAGAGGATTTAGTTGTAACGTGTTGCATTTCGTATCCGGCCATGCCAGCTTTGACAGCTTCACCTGTCAATGTAGTGACAAATGTGGAGGCATTCCATCCGCCAGAACCTAGTCCAATCGAATGAAACGCTGTTGCAGATTTAGTTACCTGAGCTTTGATTGAGCTTGGGATGCTTATGATAGACCCAACCGTAGGACTTGGCTCACTGGCTGTGGGAGTGGTCAAAGTTGGCTGTTTGGTAGTTGAAGAAGCTGGTGTGAAGCTTTCCATAGTACGAGAGAGAATCTCAGTGATAGTGACAGTGACAGTGTTTGCAACAGAACAACTAGGCTCGCTAGCCATGGGGGTCTTGAAAATGGGGGTGATTGTCTCGCTCCCAGTAACAACTTTATCTGCTATGACATAACAATTTTCGACCAAAGAGATGGTGCTGGTGGAGGGCGCAGCACTAGTGGTTAAGAATGTGGTTTCATCAAGAATGCTGGCCGTGAATGGAAGAGTGCTAGTAACAGCCTGAGTAGAACCAGTAAAATTCTGGAAGGGAGCGAATGCAGCTTTCGTCATACGCAGGGTAGGATCATGGACCCGCGGGGTTAACAGGGCCTCACGTCCAAGTCCATGATCATTGGTTGGCCATCTAATGATAAATATCAGCGTTGGACTCAAATATGACGCGAGATAGTGAGGGACGAAAGTATCTTGATATATAAGGGGATATATGGTATGGGACAAAACTCTTTCGCTTCTGTCAAGAACAATCTGATGCCAAACGAAACAGCAATATGTGACCTAGCTTACCCTCGAGGTAAAATAGCTGAAAACGCTCCTCCCGCGAACCATGCAATAGCCAGACAAGCTGACAAGGTGACACGCATCGTGAAGGTGATGACAACTGTGCGTGTAGCGTCTGTAAGGTTGGTGGAACAAGCTAGTTCAAGTCAAATGAGCGAGGATGAGAGGGCAGAGATTGAATGACAGGCTTGCTTTCTCGAGATACGCGGGCAAAAACGTTGGCAAGGAAAGGAAAGGGATAGAGAGAGAGAGACGTTGACGCGCTTGAAGCTGGTGAAGTGAAAGTGAGGTTGTCGTTGTTTTTGCTCTTTTGGGATTTGCCAAAGTAGGCGGTACTTCCCCGTGACCTGGGCAACGCCAGCCCCTAAGACCTGTGAATGACAGGCAAAGGCGATATCTTCATGGCCATCACCTTACACGGGTATATGATAATGAATTTCTTCATGACCAGTAAGAAAAGTACCAGCAAGTCATCATAGCTTTGTGAAAACGGTATGCTACGTAGAAGATTGTATTACTCAGACGTTACTGCTACAGCACACATGGAAGGCCGCTAGGTATATAAGGACCAGATCCATTTCACAGACCTAGGGTTATGACTAGGGTATAGCTTTGAGCCATCATACTATTTCTTAAAATAGTACGGAAAAGGTGAACAGCGGCCATGGTAGGTCTGAGCCTCATAGATACTTCTTGAAACTCATGGGCAGAAAGACTTGAGTCGTAATAAACAGGCTGCTACTCCTTGGTATAAGCTTCCTGATGACCCCATGGATAGAAATAGTCTTAGTTAAATAGACGCAGCAGCTTTTCAGAGCTGGTGATATAAGACTCGTTAGGCGGAAGCGGGGGTATCTTGTAAAGTCAAGTTTTAACTGTAACAAAAGCAGAATTCACAAGTAAAGATCATATATGCTTCACAGTAATGTAGCATCAGCTCTTAGTTGAGTAAATAAGACTCACTTTTTTAAGAGAAGAGCTGTAAAAGAGCAGAAAGGGATGGCATAGCCGAGTAGATTGTGCATGGGAGGCGAGAAAAATATCGGCTGTCTGTAGTGTTTTCGAGTTCCATCCAGCGAAACAAGATAGACACGTTCACAGGTGATGGTCAGGGAGTCATTTTTTTGAGAGCCCGGAATTGTTTTCCACGGATCCGTTCAAAATTCATAGAAAAACAATTGCCCTGGTCTTCTGGTCTTGGGGTTCGGCTATTACCCTATTGGTGAATTTTATTGGTACCTGATCAGCGTTCAGTAGCCACCTGATAGACATCCTCCTATCTGTTCCTTAGAAAGCATATAACGATATAAGGGTATTGTTTGAAAGCCGTTGGGCTTCGTGGTTGGGCATCGTGAGGAGGAATACTCCTCGCTTTTGATCGCCACCTTGTAGAAAAAGCAGATATAAAAAGCAGATATGAAGAAGCAGCCTCAACGGAAATGCGCCTAATATAAAATATCGGCGTGATTGCAATTTGTCTGGCTAGGCGCTTTGATTGGAGGCGCCCGTATCTTGGAGTGGCATTTCGGATCGGCCTACCCCCTGGGGGAGCAGAACTGCTCCGTTATCTTGGGACTTGGACAAGGGGCTGCAAAAGTAAAGTAGTTCTGTAAGGTGATCTTTCCACAATGTGCTCCACTCTGCCTGCCTGTCCGTGAGTTACTTTTGCTGTTTCCAGGTCTCTCGATAGGTGGCGGGGACGACAAGATCAACAGCGCAGGAGATGCGGGACATGATGTATGTGCATACGATACGACGGAGCCGTCATCCATCAACAACGAGAAAGAAAAACTATTTCCTGTCGCACACCGCGGATGTTTGTTCAATTGGAAACGACCTCGGCTCAAAGTATCTTCGGAACAACTATACACCCGTTCCGAAGTACCTTTCGCATTAATATTACCCCGACCCCCGAAGTCACGAGGATGGATATCTGCTTAACAGTACGGAGCAGTGAATGTGTCAACATGCAACATATGGCTTTACCTGCTGGCCACTGGTGTGGACTCACGCTTTTGCTACAACCTTCAATACCACTGATACGACCGGCTTAAAAGCTTGTCTAAGGATAGGCTGTGACTATCTAGAGACGCTAGATAGCCAGCCGCTGGGTGCTTATTTAGACCTTTATCTGCGGAAGAAACGGAAGAACTTTTTAGAATGCTATTTCTATACAGCCTACGTGGCCCCGTTACTCTAGACGTCATAGACAATATCAAGAGCAATTTTCATTCCAGGACATTAAATCATATCATCAGGCAGCACTGAACCCAGATGGTGTGATAATTAACTCGATGACTCGCAAAGAATGAAACATCGCCAGCGATTTCACTCCGCTAGAAACCCAAGAGGATGTTATCGTTAAGTGTCTGCTCTATCTCACTTCTACAGATGAGTTCATCTGTATGTTTCGGCACGTATATACCAAGGTACTTCTGTGGCTAGTAGGCCGGTCTAATACATGGGTATGGGGCCATCTCATCTACAGAGCTCTGCTTTATCGGAAGAATTTTTTATATCGTACCAAATGTTGGAATTATCGAGTATAGAAAGGGTAGGTAAAAACTACCGCCACCTTCAACGGCAAGGGGACATTGTGAATCTCTCCTCCGCTTTGGTGTGAGCGGTGGCCGAAAGGAGCAGTATGGACGCGTGGCCAGGGGTTAAAACGACTATGGGATGCTTTAATTGAAACTTTCAGGTTTCCCCCAACCCGGGGACTGCGTTAAAACGCAACTGATTAAGACTTTCGGTTGGCTTTATGAATGATTTTACCTTTATTACTATGTTTACCTCCTTTCCCATATCCAATATACCACCTCTCCCGTTTCCCGTGTGTCACAAGCATCCCCCTTGTACTCCGTACCCTATGGAGAATCCTCTTACTACTAATAGCATAAATCGCATTTCTGTGTTCTCCTATACTACCTCGCCCCTTTCCCCGTATACTATAAAAAGGCTATGATACCAGCTTCAAAGCGAGTTTCGACAATGTACTGTCTCTATCTCAAGGTGGCCACTGGCCAAATAATGAGGAATATACAGTATTCCATCACGAGATATCCTACGGCAAATGCCAGCCACTTTATGGCAAAGACCCCGATAGTCCATCTCTATTTTCAGCTTCGATTCAAATGAGGCGTGAGAAGCTTTTCACGGAGGGGCAAGCAGGTTTTACCCCCAGATTCTACTGGTTAACTATTTACCTGGGCAGTTAAGCACACCCCAAGCCACCAAACAAAGATGCCCATATCCTTGAGCTAGAATTCGTCATTAACGGCTGTTCGGAAAGCTGAAAACATTGAGGCCGGCAAAAGTTCTCGTTGACTGGGCCGAAGATGGCTGGTGTGGCGCAGTAGAAGATAGGTAGTGAGGGAATTCCATACCTTTTGTTTGATACTGCTCCCTTGCGATTCGTGTGTTCGCTGCGCCTATTGTTTTGTTTTCTCTGGTTTAAAAAGCAAGTTGTGTTTGGAAGCTGAGCAAGGACCAGGGGGGAGGGGCGTTGGCTCAACAGCGATATCAGAAATTTGTCGCATGAAGGAGGGAGGCGAGGGAAAAAAGTCCTCTAATTAGAATCTTGATATTTCTTTTCCAGCCTGATAATGCCATGTCATCCTCCATTCTGTTCCAGATATTGACATTGTCCTGCAGCAAGGGATGGGCTAGTGTTGTTCAGGCCTACTTCACGGAGAAAGGCCCGTCCATCAGCATTGCTGACCACACCGTTGCATCCCATGGGCTCGGGAACAAAGGCCGGGGTGGTCTTGCCGGCTGAAGGTGTCATGCGACATCTTTCCTCCTCTGTCAAGACCAAGCAACTCCACAGCTGCGGTCCAGAGGGTTCGAGACGTTAAGGAACTTTGTTTGGGGAGCCTTTGTAAGGATGATACGAGGGAAAATGACGCATCCTGTATGTTCGTCGCAGGACAGAGTACGAGGTATGCATTCTGCGTAACTTTTCGTTTCACGGTGCAGGGTCGCTTGTGATAGGACTGGATAAAAAGGGACAACTCTTGCGTTTTCGTAATTTCAGGGACTCCACAGCGGGTATTATAACTACTATGTATATTTCGAAACACCTGCATCATGGATTTTGGTGCATAGGCCTAAAAGGCTCTTGAGGAAGTGCTTTTTCTTCAAGCCGAATCTTTGTCGGTGTCAAGCTCCAAGCTGACATACATATTTTTATGTGCCGGCTGTGGCTGCAAGGTTCAAGGCCCATATAATAAGCGACCGAACTATAAATGTTTCTGGGGCCGTCAAAGGTTTGTTGCCAGGGCCTGGTTCGGGGAGTGCGGCCCGTCAGTAGCAAAGCGGAGCAGGTCCCAAACAGTTCTCTTATGTATTGGAGATGGATTTTTCTGTTGTCTTCCAGGACGGAAATCGCCCGTAGCATTTTTCTTGGAAAAGCAGCAATCCTCTCTCGGTGGAAGGGAATGGATGGAAGGCTGTGTTTATCATATATCTTACCACGAACATTAGAAACGATGGCCGCCTGTGTGATGATACTACAGCATCGGAGGTGAGTCAATCTCCAAACTTGTTGCACTAACTAGAGGCCAGCCACTCGCGTACGAGATGCATCCTCGGAGCTTGCATCAGATTCAAAGTGTTCCTCTTTGGCGTCAATGGCAAATGCGAAATGAGAACCGAAACTCCTTCTGTAAATGGCCAGTTCGAAAGGGAGAGCGATTAATTGCATTGGCTATTTTTTTGATGGGAATAAGTAAATTTCGATCGCCGATCGCCGGTCGCCCTCTGGCTCCAACCCTTCCCTCGTAGGTGGAGCCATTACCATATCATTCTTAACTGGACCACAGATACGGCCATGGATTTAGCCTTGAGGCCCAAACACTGGGTTTATTCCATTTTTGGGCAAGCCGGAGTACCTTGTCTGCCATGCTTGCTGTTGCACTCTTCAGGATGATTTTGGGCAAGGTATCCGTATATTGTTAATGTTCCGTTTATGCTCAAGGGCTCCTGATTAACGACCCTCGCATAACCCTGCTGCTCTTAGCTAGTGACCACGCCATGTCCAAACCCGAACCTGGGGCCCACCATCACCCATATATGTAGTATCAGACGTAAGTACTCCATGCGGCGTATTTGATTTTGTCATTATGAAGCCTGCGTTGGACACTCTCTCCTCTTGGAACCACAAACCGAGAACTGCGGTATGCTTCCGGCACCCGTCGCGTAGTCACATGAGCAAGTTGCTTTTCTCATGCAGTGTTCGAAATTGTCCCGTCTTGGAAAATCTTGTCGCCTCCCATGACCTTAGGCGTTAAAAAGAGGCTTGCAGGCCGCTTTAGAATTATGTTTTTTATAGCTAATATATATGCTCATTCAAGCGGGCTTGTTGCAGGAGCTTAGGCACTGTACCACTGGGGGTACCCACTAAGATAAGTCCATTATAAAGCACTCCATCCCTGGTGTAAGTATGTCGACTCCATGATTCTTGTGCATCTGTGGTACAGCGTGAACATGGGTGTGTAACCCAGGGTGCCGAGAAACTGTTTCAACCGCTCGCGTAGCGATTTCTCCTTTGGTGTCCCATTTGACTGTTGTTCGTACTTGGCTTCGAGGAAGCCTTGCTCTGAGCCTTCTCAGGCGTGATTGGACCCCTGACTTTTAGGTTCAACAAGTTTTGGTTTGTATTCCGGAAGTCAACACACACTGGAATGACAGTCTGGCCAACCACCCAGTATAGAGGAAAAGAGTTTTGGGGAAAATCCAAGTGCTCCGTGCCTGGCCAATGATTTGGCGCCAGTGCGTCACCACAGAAGCAACGAAAGAAAAAGACAGAGACGAATTTGATGTTTCCTTTTCAGAGTTAGTATATGTTGGGAGACGTATGGAGGTGGAGACATTACCAGCAGATCGAGAGGGAAAAATAAGTAACAAGACAGCGCTTGATAGAATGGCGCAAAGTGGAGGCGGTTGGGAAACCTTCAATACTGGTACGTATGCTGCTCAGTAAGCACCAGGAACTCAGCCGAGGGCCCCAGGGGAAAGAAGCGGCATCACGCCCTTGAAGCCAGGGTTGGCGGGATACCAAAGCGAGGTTGTATTGTACGTTGGCCGGGCGGATGAGGAGCAGGCCAACAAGAATGACCCATGGAATCAACCGATTTGAATATAGATATCACGTACATGTGGAGACATTTAGGAGAGTTAATGATCAGCGGGCAAGGGGAAATGAACTATGAGCTTGTGCTCGATAGCCATTTCTCGATCATATCACCGCCATGGGGCCAAGTGCGAGCGCGAGTACGACGATACAGGGCACGTAACATGCGCATGAACAACCAGTTAAATCTGCAATATTCTGGATGCTTCCTCGTCATAGAAATTTGTGCAATAACTAGTTATTTAGCTGTTCAAACGTATGTAAGTGCTCGACCAGTGGGGGAACCGAGCTGGGGAAGGACATTATCATTGGCGACGTGGATCCGAGCGGGACTTCCAGACCATGCCATTCAGCCAAGGAACAAGATGCTATGCATGGTATTGTATCGCCTGATGCTGTCTTCTTTTTGACCTGGGGCTGAATCGCTGGCTCACGCGTCCTCATGTTGTGCGCAGGAGGAGAAATACTCCGAGACAACATGACCTGTCCAGCCGCTTGCAAGGCCTCTTCAACACGCTTGCTACGCTAAATTCGTTGCGTCCGCAAGGCCGGCGTATAAAAGTAGGAGCTATCGTCCTCAGCTTCCTGTCATGGGCCAATGTGTTGTATGTAACGCCGGAAATAATCTTTGTGTCTTCGTTTTCTCGTCTCGTGAGATTTGCATACAGCGGGACTCCTTGTAACTCGTCAACCGCAGGTAGGCAGGCACTTGGGTGTTAAGTGGCATACATATTGTGTCCCCATGTACGTGTGTATGTATGTATGAGTATACATATGCAGGCTTCATGTCGTAACAGCCAACCCAGTCCGTCCCCGCACTGGCCGCGATCGCTCTAACCAGAATCGTGATAATAAATACGACAAGGACTTGACCGGGCTTGGGTTGTTGTTGTTATCTTGTTTGCTGCGCACTCCGTATGTTTCCAAAGGGCCATCAAGCATTTCCGTGCAATTTGTGGACACCGTAACCCGCATACGTACGTGTGTATCGTGCTTCCTCTTTCTTTTCTTTTCTTTCCTTTTCAGCAAGTTCCTTTTTTGCTCGCTCGCTCTTCCATCTGTTTCTTTCCTTTTGTTTTTGTTCGCCTCTGGCAACTTTTCGATCTGGTCCAAGGGCCTGGTTCCGGGGGCTTTTGGCTGTCAGAAAGTGGTGGACACTTGTTCCCCCTGGCCTGCCTCTCTTCCAGCCTCTCTCCCTTTCATCCTGCGTGTCTCTCTCACCCCAGATAGAAAGTTTGATAGCATCCCTCATATCTGAACCAGTGCGTTAGAGTTGCGAGGCTAATCATCATTTGATTGAAACTGGCTCGGGCTCCCTTTTTCGTCTCGTTTCTTTTTCTCGCAGGAAAGAAAAAATTAGATAAATAAAACCTTCTCCTCCACCATTCGTTCTTCCTCGTGTGTCCACTTTGATGATATGACCTAGTTCGAGAAGAAAATCTGGATGTTGGATAAACCGTCGATGTTGTTCACTCAAAGGGCGCCGGCATTCGATGTTTGCCGCCAATCTTTAAATATCAACCTCGGCCGCCAGTTTTCCAATGTTCGCAGCGAGCCTAGCAAGGATAGCAATAACCATAATCTCACCAGCGAGAGCGGCGGCGGGTTTGGAGGTGGGAGGAACAGAAGTGGCTGCTACGAGGTAGCGGATGCGGAGAGCAGCAGCACCGGCAGCAGCAGCAGGGCCGCCAGCGACTCGACAACACCCTCGCCCACGAACCTGACGGCCAACGAGAGCTTCTCCCGTCTGTCCCTCGAAGCTCCCGATGACATCCCGCGGGGGTCGCCTGGTCCCTGGACGTATTCTTCGACAGCCGAGCAGATCTTCTCGACGCGGGTGTTCGCAACAGAGCGCAACACATCAGAGATGGATTCGCCAATGCAGGTGTCCCAGTCACTTAGCTTCACGGTGATATCTTCCCCCGCGTCAGCAATGCTCGAAGAAGACGTCGTTCCCAAGATTGAGGAGATCGAGGACGAAGAAGATGGAACGGTACCGCTTAGTCTCCACCACGGCGAGCCACAGGATGGCAAAAGTGATGACGTCCCTCCATCGCCGACGGCCTGCGTTCCTCGAAAGCGCGGTCGACCACGCAAGCACCCTCCTCCAGTGCCGGGCCAGGCAAAGGTCACCAAGGGCAGATCGAAGACCGGATGCATAACGTGTCGGCGGCGGAAGAAGAAATGCGACGAGACGAAGCCGGCATGTCTGAACTGCCAGAAAAACGCCGTCGTCTGTGAGGGCTATCCGGTCAAGGAGGTGTGGAAGAGCGGGAAGCAGAAGATCGAAGAAGGTGAGCTAAGAATCTGTGTTCATATTACCCTTTTGGGACGTTCCTCGACCAGCGTCCGCCTCCATCCGCCTCAACCTCAACTCGACCCTGAAAGACAACGATCAACATTGCTAACGCTGCCCAAACTACTGCAACAGCCGCCAGGAGACACTCCTTTGCGATTCTTGCCCGCGGCCTGCCGGTCCTCATCGACGGCATCGAGACGGATATCGATAGACGCTTCCTCGACCACTTTGTCAACGACTTCAGCCGAGTCCTCACACTGATCAACGATGACTCCAACCCGTTCAAGGAGATCCTGCTGCCCATGGCTACGCAGCACAAGGGCCTAATGCACTCGTTAATGTGCCTGGCGGGCTCTCATCTCTCTGCCCGAGACCCAGAGCCGATGCTGAAGGAACGGAAACACTACCACTTCCATCGCGCAATCACGAATCTACGAAATACCATTGCCGCCCAATCCTCAGCCTGCGCGTCCTCCTCATCCCCTTCGACCACCGCCTCGACTACGACGACCGAGACTTCGCCAGGATCGTCGAGGGCGAAAGAGTGTCGGGAGAGCCTACCGGTCGAGGATCCCATGATTGCGTCTACGATTGCGCTATGTCTACATACTATCTGTGAGGGAGAGACCAAGGGCGAGTACCGTTCTCATATGGATGCAGCGAGGTACCTTCTGATCACCCAACGACCAAGAAATGAAAAATTCAGGCAGTTTATCGTGGAATTTTTCCAGTACCACGATGTCTCCAACTCGGTGACAACGCTGGATCGACGGCCAGTCTGCTTTGCTGGTGACCTTCGCCTGCCTGACTTTGTCCCCCATGCCCAGGCCGGGGCCCTGCTAGGTATCTTCGATGGCCTGTTCCATTACATATCTGAAATTACGGTCCTCCGGGATAGGATACGGCAACGGATAAACCAAGGCATTGAACCTGCCATCGATTATCAGACGCTCAGCGAAGCAGTTGGAATAGACTCGCAAATTCGTGCGTGGGAGCCCTCCTACCCTGCAGACAACCCCAACTGGCTGGCATCACAGCTGTATAGACAGTCTACCTGGGTGTACCTATACAGAACAATTCGTCCCTCTCGTCCCGACGAGAAGATATCGCAAGTGGTCGACGACGGTCTTCTCTATCTAAACCAACTACCGTTAGACGCCGGTGCATATAGTATTCTCTTGATGCCACTGTTCCTCCTAGGGTGCTCTGCCTTTGAACCTTACCAGCGAGAACGCATCAAAGCTGGATTCGATAGCCTACAGGCCTATTCAAGCCTACGGAACATCACCCCTGCTCTTCGAGTGGTAGAGAAAGTCTGGGATGTTATGGACACAAGCCCAAACCTTAGCTGGGACTGGGAGAAAATCATCGATGACATGAACATGGACTTTTTGATAACATGATTCGCGTCTATGATTGCCCGGCCAACCCAGCTTAGGTATTGGTACTCCTTCAACCGCAGGAATACATAATTGATACATATCCTTGATATCAGCTATGTTCACCACCAATTCACGCCTACATCTTTTAACCAACAATGGCCTTAATGCTTTGCAGTTCCGCGGGAGTTCGGGGAGGAGCATCGCCAAATAATCACTGTTTTATCACCATGTTAGCATGCTGGCGTCTGGTCATTTCGTTTTGCGCTTGACAAAAATATTATCGTCTCCCTGCTATATACTCCTTGGTCCGATCTATCAATGCCTTCTACGGCATTCCTTATTCCTAATTGTGGCCCCCTCACCATGGAGGAACAGGGAGACTTTCAAACCACAACTAACCCATCCGGCCCCGCTAGTGCTTTCACTATATCTGCTTTTCTTAGTCACCGTGTTCAAGGTCCATCGTCCGAAAGTTTGATGAGCAACGAGCCGAACTTCGGATAGCCCACCAAGCCGTCAAGGGGCGTTTGGAATTTAAAGCTGGTCCTCGAACCACATGTTCAAGTGAAGGGTTGACTGTGTAGAGTAGCAACCATTTTTTGTTGTCTGATTTTGGCCTGCCATAGGCTATCCATTGTTAAGGTGTTTGGATCTATATATACATCTATGTTTGTATGCCTTCATATTTCCATTGTGCACTTCGTACCTCCTGCGAGACCAAGTTGGATAAAGTCCTGGGACAGCCGTAAAGGGATCAATCCATCGATGGATGGATCAGTTGCTGTCAACCCTTATATAATCATGTTCTATTTTTATGCCTTCTGCCTGCAATTGGACGGCCCGTCTCCAAGTAAGTGCAGACAAGCGAATTTACTACCGGGATCCTCCTCCCAACCATAAAAGCCACGGCTAATTTGTGCCATCAGATGCTGGGGTTATGCGGCATCGGGCCTTGATCCTGCAAAAGACTTCACTTCGCGCTTGCCAACTCTCACCTTCTCTTTCCATAGATTGTTAACGGCATCCACCGTAGGGGCTCGTGGAAATCCAGGTTGGCCAGAAGATCGTATGCCTAGAATTGCCGTGCAGTTCGCAGCATGCAACGCTGGAGCACGAACCCCTGGGCATATCGACAACACAGCACTCTTTCTTTCACAAGTACGACCAGGAGCCTGGCGCTCGTAATGAAACCAAAGCCGCCCCGGGCGGGGAAAGCCATGGGCTTCACGGAGTACGCAAATCAAGGCCCTTAGTCTCAGAGCTTGACTGTGCTATCTCCTTACAGGGTGAAGTCACCCCGGATTGGAATCCTCAGCTTGTTAATATATCGCTACCTGGAACTGCCTGCAGTGGAGACGGTAACTATGTAATGCTTCCGTTGCTCCGTTGGATCCCATGGGTTTCTGGAAAAAGGGCGCAAATTGCGAACGAAAACGAGCCTGCCGTATTACAGGTCCATGCTCATCCATCGGCGGATCTAGTCGAAGCCTTCGTTTTCGTATTCCGAGCACCTGGTATGAATTTTCTGGAACGCCCATGATTTTGCTCAGGGCATTCAGCTACTCTTTGAGTCCCAGGTCGCTTGGTTCCTAACATGTGGTTCATTGTTGCACCCAAATGCTAGTTACTAGTTATGCGGGCTTCTATGTTTTGGCCTGCTTTGCAGGCTACCCGCGTTCGACAGCGGGTCCCCCAAAAGACGACATTATTAATTGCAAGCCAAAGGGTCTCTGAAGAAACACAGGAGAAACTTGATTGACCACAGAGAGCCCCTGGTTAGAGCAACTACCTGGATCTGGCCGGTAATCACGGATGTTCAAACCTTCCAGGCCCCCACTGCATACATAGTTAGTTAATAGGCGGAATGTAGGTCGGAGTCCCACCTCGGCTCAACGTTGTTTTCCAAATATATAGCTTAGTGATTACCCCAGACGAAGATATTCTCAGTAGAAATATACCATTTATCGATGCATTTGTTCACAGCAAAGGTACTCAAACAGCCCCCGGATAGCTTGTACTCCTGGTGCGAAATGCCTCGAGAACTACTGCGTGCACAACCACGACTATTCGTACTCCGTTGAATCTTGATAACTAGCTGAGATACACTGGTTACACCCGCAATGGTGAATTTACAGTGTAACACCCCAAGCCCTCTGGAAGAGGAGCCCTCCAATCCGTCACTCAATACCAGTGAGACTAAAGAGAAGACAGAAGATGCGGTCCGTCTGCCGAATAGATCTCACCTGTCTCTTCGCGATGTTTGGCCTGTCGACGTTGAAGTGAACAATCTTGGGCTTCATGTTGATACCACACCGTCAATATTTCAGAGCCCGGTAGCGGCAATATGGAATCACCTTTCTCCTCCAAAGCATCGGGCCACGTTCAAAACTGTTCTAGACGGTGTAACTGCCAGTATGCCCCGTGGCACCCTGACAGCCATTATAGGAGGCAGCGGATCTGGAAAAACAAGTTTATTGAATGTCATTGCTGGTCGTATGGGAACCAGCCGCATGAAAGTGTCAGGAGATGTTACTTTTAACTCAAAGGGAAAAATAGATGGCAATCGAAGTGCATATTTAATGCAGCAGGATGTCTTAATACCCACCCTAACAGTGCGGGAGACACTTCAATATTCTGCGGATCTAAGGCTACCTCCGCCTACGACAGCGGAAGAGCGACGTTCCGTGGTTGAAAGAGTAATACTTGAGCTGGGCTTGAAAGACTGTGCCGATACTCGGATTGGAAACTCATCACACAAGGGCTGCAGTGGTGGTGAGAGGAGACGCACAAGCATTGGGGTTCAGATGCTAGGAAACCCTTCGGTGCTATTTTGCGATGAGCCGACGACGGGGCTAGATGCAACGAGTGCCTACCAGGTCGTTAGAAGCCTGAAGAAACTAGCCTTGGATGGCCGAACTATTGTTATCTCCATCCACTCTCCTCGTTCGGAAATTTGGGGACTGTTTGATAAAGTTGTCCTTCTCTCTCGTGGATCGGTACTGTACAGCGGTGACGCAGATGAATCTATCTCACACTTCGAGAGACAGGGATATTCTATACCCCCATTTGTCAATCCTGCAGAGTTCCTGATAGACCTAGCAGCATATGACAACAGAACGTCTGAGGCTGAATTAGCCTCACGAAACCGAGTTGAGAGCCTTAGACTGGCATGGAGTGAAGCTTCGAGGAGAAAGTGCAAGAAAAATGAAACAGTGTCGGCGGATGCACAGCCGGTGTCTAACGCTGGCACACAAGAAAGTGTCGGCTTTACTAGACAATTTTGGGTTCTAACAGCAAGGACTATAAAAATGACTATTCGGGACCCTATGGGGATGACAAGCTGTCTATTCGAGGCAATTGGCATGGCTGTTCTGAACGGCTGGGTGTACTTACAACTTGATGGATCCCTTACCGGTATCAGATCGCGGCAAGGAAGCTTATACACAGCAAGCAGTCTCAACGGGTATATCATTCTATTATACGAGATTTTCCGGCTTACGACTGATATACAACTCTTTGATCGTGAAAGAAGTGAAGGAGTCGTCGGTGTCCCAGCCTTCCTTCTCAGTCGACGGGCCGCGAGATTGTTTCTAGAAGATCTGCCAGTCCCTATACTATTTTCAACTATATTCTACTTCATGGTTGGATACCGGCTGGCTGCCGCCGAGTTCTTTATTTTCCTGGTCCTAAACATACTTACACAGTATACGGCAATTACCTTTGCTGCCGTTTGTATCAGTATTTGCAGACATTTCCCCGGTGCGAGCTTGGCTGGAAACCTCTCTTATACCCTTCAAACAGTGGCCTGCGGGTACTTCGTGCAAGTCAATCAGATTCCCGTATATGTCCGATGGGTTAAATGGTGCGCCTACACCTTTTATGCGTTTAGTGCATTATGTGCCAATGAGTTCATTGGACCTAGCGGCTCCGAAAATGGACAGTTCTATGATTGCCCTTACTCGAAAGATCCTACGGATCCACGGTGCAAGGAATATACCGGCCGATTTATCATCGATAGCCTTGGGATACCTCAAAATTGGATATGGCGTCCGATTGTGGTCCTTGCTTCCTTTGCAATCTTCTTTTATGCCCTCGCCGGTGTCATCTTAAAATTTAACAAAATCGATATCATTGTCGCTCAGCCACGGAATGTGGAGAAAGATCAATCAGTGGGTAAAGAAAAATTCATCGCTCGTCCTCAAGCAGATAGCCGCCAAGTATCTATCAAGCTTGAGAATTATTGTTTAGATATCAAAAAGCGTTCCCTTACTCGCAACGGGTTTCAGATGAAGAACCTAAGCATCATTAAGCCTATTACCACAGAATTCGAACCTGGCAAATTGAATGTTATTATGGGCCCTTCTGGGAGCGGGAAGACATCATTGTTGTGTTCAATCGCAAATCGGTTGCAGGGCTCTATTAGCACACGATACTATGTTGGAGGTGATATGCTATACAATGATGCTAGGCCTTCAAAGGATGTCGTCAGATCCGTTACCTCCTTTGTCACACAAGACGACGATGCTTTGATGCCGTCGTTAACTGTCCGAGAATCATTGCAATTTGCTGCCGGCTTGCGACTGCCATCGTGGATGTCAACAGATGAGAAGAACCGACGAGCAGAGGTAATGTTGTTGAAGATGGGCCTGAAAGACTGTGCAAATAACCTAATTGGCAGCGACTTGATTAAAGGAATCAGTGGTGGCGAGAAGAGAAGAGTCTCTATTGCTATCCAAATTCTCACAGACCCAAAAATTCTACTGCTTGATGAACCAACGTCGGGTTTGGACGTCTTCACTGCTACATCCATTATTGAAGTCTTGAACGGGTTAGCTGCGGAAGGCAGAACTCTCATTCTGACGATACATCAATCAAGATCGGATATTTTCCAATACTTCTCCAATGTGCTTTTGATTGCAAGAGGAGGATACCCTGTTTACGCTGGCAGCGGTGGAAATATGCTACCTCATTTTGAGTCACTTGGATACGAATGTCCTCAGACTACCAACCCAACTGATTTTGCCCTTGACTTGATTACTGTGGATTTACAAGCGAAATCAAAAGAGACGGCCACTCGGGCCAAAGTACAACGCCTGATCGATAGTTGGGGGATTAGCCCCCAGAAAGGCAGAGAAGCAGGGCCACCCATGATTGCAGCACCGGCTGAATTGGGTAGCTTGAAGAGAAAGCCTACTGCGTTTCCCGCTATGTTTGTACTGGTCCTTCAAAGGTCGGCAATTAACTTGAGAAGACAGCCGTATCTACTCTTGGCACGTACCATGCAGGTGATTGGTGTTGCAATAATCATGGCACTGTTTTTTGCGCCACTGAAAGATGACTATGCAGCAGTGCAGTCAAGGATGGGAGCTGTGCAGCAGATTACGGCCTTATACTTCGTTGGTAAGTTTCTACTGCTATTGCTCTACTAATAAAATTACTAACATTCTATGTAGGAATGCTTCAAAACATTGCCATCTACCCCTATGAACGAGATGTATTCTACCGCGAGGAGAGTGACGATTGCTATTCTACTGAAGCATTTATCTTACAGTACACCACACTGGAAGTTCCATTTGAGATAATATCGTCTCTATTATATGGTATTATCTCTGCCTATGCTATTGGTGTAAGGCGAACGGCGACCATGCTATTTGTCTCATCATTCAACGCCTTCTGCATCACTAGTTGCGGCGAATCGCTTGGAATTATGTTTTGCACTCTATTCTCCCACGTTGGATTTTCGGTCAACATTACCTCCATAGTGCTATCGATAGCCACAGTCTTAGGTGGCGTGATGAGCCTTAATATCCCCTCGGTTTTGCAGGCGGTAAACCATCTTTCCCCCGTTAAATACTCTATTTCCAACCTGGCGCCTTACTCCATGAATGGACGCACATTTACCTGCACCGACAATCAACGTCTCCCTAATGGGCATTGTCCAATCGAGACGGGCGAGCAAGTCCTCTTACTCTACAATCTAGATAAGGACCCAAAGATCAACCTTGTAGCCCTTGGCATATGCGTGGTCAGCTATAGGTTGGTTGCATATACCTTGATTAAGATTGTCCGAAGCCGTACAGTTTGGGCGAACATACGTGGAAGACTGTCAAAAGCCCAGAGGAATACCAAGGACTGCAAAGAATAGACAGCTAGAAAACGTAAGTTTGTATTTTATACATTTTATTGATATAGTAATAATTTAGCTACAACGTTCCATGATGAAATCGAGACTTCGCCGTTGATTTCTTTTGTCTATGATCTCATGAAGGCAAACTTTAAGGTTTAGTTAAATGAGTGGGGATGACGTGCTTGACCATGTGGGAAATGCTTAGATAAACTTTAAACAGGTGGGCGGCGACCTTTCTTTCCTGCTTGTTTCTACTTGGAAATGGAATCAGAAATGGCTTTTGGTACGTCCGCGGACGATTTGATTGTGTTTCTATATACAAAAATATCGCTCTACCAAAACTCCTTTTTGCTCCATTTTCTGTCTGTATAACTGATCCGGCCGGAATCAGAAAACACAAAATCAAAACCAACAAAACATAGCTCATGGTGTAGTTGAAGGGGGTAATTATATGTGTTTTTTATGTGGAACGTATCAAAAATCCCATCCAGAAAATCAAAACACCAAAAATTTTGTCGTCATGATCATCGTTGCTTATTTAAGCCGTGCTGTGGTGAGGTATTCAATTTACTCTGGACGAGCATGTGGATGGCGAGGGCGGTCGGTAGCCTTCTCCACAGGCTTGAACATCTTTCTGGGGCCGGCAGAACCACCACCAGCACAGAGCACAACATTGAGGTCTGTCTCCATAGGACAACCGTGAGTAGCGTGGTCATCCTTTGGCTTGTTGTAAGCCGCCTTGCACTCTTTGACTCCTCCCTCACAGACGACTGCGGGACAGCTGGCGTCGGTTGGGTGGATGCTGACGCCACCCTCCGAGAATGGATAGCCATCAATGTTGGATAAATCGTAGAAAATTTGAGGGTCTTTGAGCGTGTACTCGAACTGCGATATATCCTTATGGTTCTTGTTGGTAGCCATCTTAATAGAGATGCCACCCCCATTGCGGTTGGTACGGTATTTCTCTGAGTGAGTTTCACCGTCCTTGAGGGTGATCATCTTCTCTCCAGCCGAGTCAGCGATTGACCAGAGGTAGACATCTTTACCGCAGGCGTTCTGAACGTTGGCAGTGCCGCCGTTACCACCTGCAAGAGCAGATGAGACGAAACCGAGGACAGAGACGCCGAAGATTGGAACAGTTGTAAAGAAACGCATTTTGGTTTTCGAAGATGGAATTTCGTCAAAAATTAAATATAAAATAGTGAGTGTGTATAAGAGCTCTTAAGGATGTAAAAGGGCAGTAAAGACTGACTCTTATATATGTATATATCGGTTGAGGTCAAAAGAATGTGATGTTGGAAAAAAGTCGATGATGACATTGAGGGATGGTTAAAGGGGTATATATAGGCAAATACCTCCCATAACCACGGTTCAACATGACAGAAATAATCTTAAAGGAAGGCCTAGACACCATTCGAATCCCAACATTATCCACCAATATAATCGAACAACCAAACTTGAGATTGACTAAAGAGAAGCGCTCTTGCCACGGCAGGGATCTGTTCCAAGGAAACTATATTGATGAAAGTTCAGGAACAAGGGGTGCGGCTTTTGGTATTGGTGGGATGGAAAAATTACGAAAGGTCAAAGGAGCCAAAGGGAAGCCAAAGGGAGCCCAAGTGGAATATGACGCTGACGGTGGTGGTGGTGGTGGCGGGGGGAGGGTGGATTTGTTACCATAGACCGCTTCTCGGATCTCTTCCTGAAATCGGGAGAGAAGTATTACTGTAACATTGGGAATCCTCAGGTGAGAGTAAGTATTACTGTGCTTCCATGCCTCGGGATAGATGCCTGGAACCCAGAACCATCTGCAGATGTGGATAGGTCAAATTGACGAAGTGTGTGTGGGGATACAGCAATACAAAGGCATTCTTTAGGACCTTCCTGGTTCTAGGCACCAAATTAGGGGTATTAACGCTCTATTCCAGATTATCCGTTGCCATTGAGAGTAATAATTTCTTTCCTGCTATTGAATGGCGGTCTTTGTATAAACCTTTATTGTCGTCGTAGGCCATAAGGAGTATAAAGAACACGATCAAACGGGTGCTACCCCAGAAGCCGCATTTCGCGGCTGTCGGTGCGTGGCGGGTATGCTGGCCCCTCTGTGGGAAGGCCTTTGAGAGCCCACCAAGAGACCCATATCGGCTGGATGAAAGATGACTGTCTAGACCTGACATCCATATTCAAGGAATCACTTGCTGGAAGTTGGCCCTCGTATATTGCTGTGGGTGGTGGGGTTTCGCCATGACCACCCCTGCATAACCAGCACAGATCCCCTGCGCTGCAAAAGCCGCCTGGGATGCTGACATTACATACTTACGTATACCTGTTATCCACCTGCTTTTTTCCCTCATCTTCCGAAAGCTTCTAATTTTCTTCGTGGCCTTTGATGTAGTTATCAAGCTTTTTCGAGTGTGTACGTAACTAGTGATGACATTACATAAGCAATTGACCTCGGAGTTCTGCCGCGGTTGGAGGTACAATACGATCCTGGGGCCGCTCGCTGCCATCTGGTAGGGAAAAATACATCGAAATGGTACGTAGGAAATGAGGTTTGGTGGGGAGTCAACGTGAGTCAGAGAATGCGAGGTATGGAATAGCTAAGAAGGCACAATAAATGGACAATTTTTCTCTGGAAGATAGCCGGGCGTAAGGCAGTACAGCTACCAGTATGATGGTCGTAGCCCTGCCAATCCAGACAAAGTGCTTTCCACTCCGGCACCAACAGCACCTGCGACAGAACCATCGTCTTTCTTCCGGTGGCCGCCTAGTTCAATATTGATCTGTCGATGCAAATGAACTAGCCAATCAACATAACTCTGTGCCTCATTATTTCTGTCCTCCAATAGCATTCGTGCAAATTCATATTCGGACCCATCAATACCCTGCCTGGCCAGCTGTATAGTCATGGCCTTCGAGCCGCGGACAGTACTTAGATATTGCAGGATATTGCGTACCTGCGCATTCAGTTGCGTTTCTAGAACTGGGATAGCTGACGTATTTGGGTCGATGGATTTAAGGGACGTGTGGCCTGGGCCGAACAGATCCTCAAGCAGGTTAGGGGAGACAAGTGCATGAATCCAGAGGATACATATTTGTCCATTATCCACGATGTAGACACCTCCGTCTTCAATTTTGGAGAACGACGCTCGCTGGCTTGGTGGCACTTGTAATTGCCCATGCTCATTGGAAAACCCATCCTTAGGATCTAAGTTATGAATTGGAATTATCCGAGGGTACAGGTAGAGAGAAAGCTCACGGCACCCAAAGGAGCGGAGCATTCGGACATCGTGAACACGCCGGTCAGAGGGTTCATGGCCACCTATTGAGATACGAGGTACCACGTTAGTTGCCTTGGAAAAACCCTAGTGCATGTTTAGGCCGAGAGTGGCCTTACCTTTGAATGCACGAGACTTTAGCAAGCTCAGCATGTACATTGAAAATTCCTGTATATATTCGGGCAGCACCAACTGGCCGGGAGGATGCGACAATGAAAAGTTCTTGCGGTAGCTTGCTAGAATATCGATACTCTTCTCTGTGAGACTAGCCCGGACTTCCGACAGGGCCTTTTCAGGAATCTTGGAAGCAGCTAAAGGCGGCACATTAGCAACGATGATATTCAACATATGAGAAGTAAGATAAGCCCACCTTCTTTAGCAAGAATAGAAACAATGGCATCTTGGTCAAGGGACTTCATGGTCTCCATTCCACCATCGTTGACAGCTGCTACGATATTTATACACCTAACACGCCGCTGCCCGTTACCAGCAGTATAGAGAAGCGCTGCCTGGAAATGGGCGTCCAATTTCGGGTCAAGTTTACCATCGTAAGTGAACATGATGCCAAATGCTTTATCAGAATCAATACTTCCCATTTCAAGATCTGAGGCAAATGTATGCTGGAGGAAGTTACCATGATACGACGAGATTTGGAGACCGTTTGAACATCGGACCTTCAAAAGGGCCTGATAACCAGTTTCTCGGGTAATGGAGTGAGAAATTTCCCTAGAAAGTTTCTGGATATCGCGGGGAGCATGGAAATTAGGGTAAAAAAACATTTCTCCTCCAGCAACAGCAGATACATGTCCTAATATAATGAGTTAATGTAAACAAAACAAAGGCGGAAATGCGAGATCAACTTACCAATCGTTGCGATGTCCATATAGGTCCCACCGCCAGCTGCTATGAAGAAATCGACACCAATACCAGTTTCTGCCGCTTTTGTGGCCGTTTTCTTCCACTCGACATGCTCTGTAGTAAAGAGCTTCCTTTCGGCATCAGTCCCAGGGCCCATTCCTTGATCCCTCATAAAGAGACGCCCTGGGCCCCAGGTAGGAAGGCAGCTCAACGAACAGACAATCTTTCCTCCTGTTGACTCCAAGGCACATAAAGCGGAGTTTAACGTGGGCAGGAGGGCTGGCTCTGGGTATTTAATGAACGAAAATAGTGTGGGTATTTGCGTCAAGAGTGATGATATAACATGCCTGAGATGCGGTTAGTGCTTATTGTAGATCCCGAAGCAAATAGGATAAACAAACTTCGACTCATATGGATCAGCAAACAGTCCTTCGCTCAAAGGAACGAATGGATCTTCCAAATCCGGCATGACAATCATTTGTGCCTGTTCTAACTGGGGCTATAACCATTGGAATTAGTTCAAAAATTTCACTTGTCGAAAAGTACAAGGGACTCAAGATCACATACACTCAAATTGTAAAAATGGACTTCCTTGTCAAAAGTGATGATTCCGATCTTAGACCCCTCTGGTAGCTTCCTAAAGGGTTTGGATTCGCCATCTTCTGTAGTTTCAGGTTCTTCATCTCTATCCGCTCCGTACAGGGCAGATAATAAGCCATCGCAACATGCTTCTAAAAATCCCCGAGATATAGCCTCCTGTGAAACATCCAGAAGGAACAACCAACGCAAGCCCACAGGTTCTCTACTCCAGTATTCCTTGGGGACCAAGAATTCAACAGTCCCTTGCATCAATTCTGGGCGGTGTATCCGATCCACACGCACGCCGGAAGGATCAAGTGGCGCATAGTATTCAGGAGCAACCTCGTTAGGGAATGTACACATGTTGCAAATAAACTTATTTCCGCCAGATCGGAAAGTCATGAACGGATTAATGTAAGCCCTGCACCTTCGACACCGAGGAGGTCCAGCATCTCCGAAGTCCAAAATAGGGACGGGTTGCTCTGCCTCGTCAAGTGCAGCAAGAGGTTGCAATATAAGACCTAACGGGAGTGAGGTTGAAGCAAGAGCCTCTGCGGTAGAAGGAATATTATTTATGGTCAGTCGAGCAAACTTTGGCGATGAGTTGCCTTGGTCGTGGGCAACGAATGGGACCGTGGATGGCGGGGGGACATGCCGTTCCATAGTTGGATAGGTATGTTCAAGATAATATTGAGCAGGAACATCACGAGACCGTGGAACACTGGGTATCTGTTCTGGATCAACCTTGCCTTGCGTTGGTACAGAGCCATCTCCAACAATGCTGGAGTTCCTTTGCTGCTGCGTCTGGGGTGAGCCAAAGCCACCATGCAGTGGAGCTACGTGCGGGCTTTGTTGGTTGAGGAATTGTGATGGCTGCTGGGTAGAGCCCGGAGGCATGCCATTAAACGGTTGGGACGACCCTGCTGGAGCTCCAAACTCATGATGCGCATGTCTATCCTTCTTCTTATGTGCCCTAGTAGTCCCACCGGCGGACGATGGTGGCCCTCCCGCAGCAATTCCTAGTCCACCCATTTGAGCAGTTAAGCCGTGCATCCCTGACTGCATGTCCGTTGGAGAGTGAACATGCCCCTGGGGTGATGGGTAACCTGCTGAAGGTGAGGGATACGGCGGGGATTGGGCAAAGTCATGAGGCTGCTGTTGGTATGCTTGCTGAGGAGCACCTCCACTCTGCACATATCCTGATGGAGGTTGTGCAACTGGAGGTACGAACTGAGGAGCTGCAGGCTCAGTCCGTATCTGCGATTTCATTCTCTCATTCTCTGGCACGGCACCGTCACCTAGGTTATGGTACATCGAGAAGTCGGCCATTTTGATAGCTTCCTACACGCGTAAGGAGGGGAATGTGGAGGGTAGTATAGGATGGACAGGCGTGGCGATAAATCTGCTGCGGCGTTTCCGCGGTCAAAGTTGTGCTATATCATAACAATTCATATCTCAATTGATTCGTAACAAGAACAGCCACTCCCCTTTCTCTTAGCATCGAAACTCCGTCGTCAAAACTGACCAGATCGTTCAATCTTCAGAAAAGGCCCTCGGTACGGAGTTTCTATTTAGCCGGAGAAGAATTCTCACGTGATTATCTACTTTCGACCTCCTTAGTCTCGTCTCTGATATACTTGCCTGGTTACTCATACTGTTGGCCTTCGATTCTCGAGAGAATCTTCCTTGTAATTATGGGACACTGTTCAAAGGTGCCGCTGAAATAATATTCAAAATATTTATCCGTTCGTGTATTAAAAATTACTTTGCCTGCAGCTAGACATGGCAAACAACCTCTATTCCGAACGCCAGAAAGAGGGAAAAAATGACTATTACTGTCAAAGTCCGCATAGAAGTCTTATAGCGGTCCCTAGAGAAAGAACTTGAGATATATACACGATTACCAACGGATCTATATGCCGTTGACATACCCAATAGGTGATAAACGCCAGAAGAATCAGAGACTATTCTCTTTCAGACACCAAGGCTGCCATACGGCCCCGTGTCGAAATCATCCGACGGAACTTCTTCAAGGAGGTCCTTGGTGCGGGGACCGGTGTATCGCCTAGTGAATGTTAGCCTGGCATTCCCGACGAGGTTATTGTTTCTGAAAGGGGGAGAAATTTCGTACTTTCCAGCAGATAGCCACCACCACGAAAGCGCAAAAAGTGCAATAAAAGCCACTACAACACTAGCATAATTCCTAGATTCCGTGTCAGCTCGAAATCGATATCAGAAAGGGTATATGAGATTGCATACATATTCTGCGGCGTTACGGGCTGAATTGGAGGGAAAAACAGGACAACGCTGATAAAGAGCACCCAAACAATGGAAATCCAGTTTATGGTAGCCCCCCAGCTGCCGAGGGTAAAGGGTCCCTCGATGAATTTCACTTTGTTCTTGTATAAACGATGTGCTAGAATGACACCGATATAGGAAAGGTCCAGGCATGGGGCAGTGATGCTAAAGATCGATGAGGCGGTTTCGGTAGAGCCTATAGCGATACAGTTGAGGCATATGGAAAAGAAAACAACAAACCACACCGCGTTTACCGGGGTGAGAGTATATGGGTTTACTTTTGCCAATGCCCTATTATATCCCTTTCGTTAGTTACTTCCGTCTTATTGTTGGTTTTGGCACGATCAACGGTGAGTTTCCCTTACTTTGAAAACGGCAAGGCGTTGTCACGAGCAAAAGCGTATGCCATTCTGGTATCTGCCAACATAGCAGAGCAGCCTGTGAAGAACTGCACGAGAACAGCAAAAGACCACATAATTGTGCCGCCTGTCTTACCACCAGCGTCGAGAAAGATCTGTGCGGCAGGGAGACCGGTTGGTGACTTGAGAACAGCCTCAAGGTCAGTTATGCAAAAGCACATAGTGACGGTCAACATCCATCCAAAAGCTCCAGATACCACAACTGCAGTCTGGATGGCGACCGGACCTCTGATAGCTGCGTCATGGGTTTCCTCTGACATGCTAATCAATATACTGTTAGTAAACGCGTGCTAGGCGGGCTTGGTGCACTTTTCGGGTAGATGGACATCTTACTGAGTAGTTCCGTCATAGTCCGTCATCGTCCAAGCAACGGCAATGAAACCGAGAAGGAAAGAAAAAGCCTTTGAGTGCCATCCAGATCCGTCCGTGACGTTGGTGAATACCCAGGAGGCTGGCTGCTTGTTTGGAGTAAGAACAAGAAGGGCAATGCATATCCCAATTGATGCGAGGACTGCACATGTTAGCTCGGTAATTTTAAAACGCAGAGGGTGGCATATATGCATCACATACTATTTATCGGAGCGAACCAAAGAATAATTCGGTGCAAGCTCTTTGTTGTTAAAGAGCAGATAATACCCATTATGCAAAGAAGTGCAATTGAAAGTAGTACAGTCTGAAGGGCAGTCCTATCGCACGCTGTTAATTGTTCTGTTCCTACCATAACAGGAGCCACTGTATAGATACCCTGAATGCATAAAACTTACGGTTTAAAGGAATAATTGCCTTCATCATCCAGGGTCGAGTTCATACTGGCAGCAGCCAGTAACATCTGGCTTACTGTGTAGGCAACGCTTGAAACACCAGCAGTTTGACCCAATAAATTACACCAACCTTGAATCCAGGCAAATATTGGGACTTGGTCTTTTGGGACTACATGTTTAGTCACAAAATACATCCCTCCTGCCGTAGGATAAGCAGACACCAGCTCTGCCACCGATGATCCAATGCACATTGCCATTATCGAACCAATTAACCAACACCATACGGCTGTTGCAGGTCCTCCTGCGCTGAGTGGCTGACCAAAAGTTGCTGGTACGGACCCTAACACCCCTAATATCGAAATTGCATAGGATATCGTTGACCATTTTGAGAATTCCCGTCTCATTTCCTGGAGAAATTCATGTTAGACCAGCCAGTCACTGTTTTCTCGACAGAGCTACCCTGTGTTATTCGCCATTCTTGTACTGATGATACGTCGAAAGAAAAGTCGCTCCGTACTTGTTTATACCCAATCCTGGCCAACAGCCGCTCATCGTCATCCTGAATTGTCGCCATTGGGGAAGAAGTAACAGAGCTAATCCCACTATCAGCGAATTTTTTGTCACTAGATCCTTTACGATCTTTCTTTGGTGATGTCTGAGAAGCAGCTGTTAGACTCGAATCCATCATAGCGGCAATTTATTGTTCCTTTGGGTCTGTGGTTCAAAAGTGCATTGCGCTAGGTATACCGTCTAGCACCTGCATATATTGGTATCCTCTCGCAGAAACAAAACGAAAAATAAATATCAATAACTGCGGAATAAACTTTTGTGATGCAGGAGAATGCTTGCGACAATCTTTTCCCTCAACCTGTGGAATAGTTATACAGGCATGAACAGAAAGATGCGTAATGCAGAATTATAGTAAGAAAAAGCTCTCCGCATTCCCCAGGAAAATTGAGAAAGCGAAGAAGAGTCAATTCTGGGTACAGGCTTGGTTCATATAGAATCCAACGTACCTCTTGAGTGGACCAAGGACTTGCGGTCACTTCGGGGCTTGATCCCTGCTTGTTCCCGCTCCCCTTTTAACTGTGGCACATCCGGCGAAAGATCAGGCTTAGAACTTGCTCTCGGAAAGACAAAACAGCTCCAGGCAATCAACTAGCAGCCGGGGATAAGTCTTCCAGAAACAGAGCTTTTAATTATTAACCTTTCTACCATAGCAAACAAAGTTCGAATGGGTATATATAGTAGATACTTCAGCGCACAAGTAAAATTATCCCTGATGTGGGTAGTTAAGCAGCTTTGCTTTCTGCGAACAGTTAGAAAGGTAGATAGAATGGGGATATTTGGCCGTTTGGCAAGCGTTATACGGAGTACACGAGACGCATCAAATAGACTTGAAACTAGATAGTCAAGTAATGCCTCTAGAACAATAGCGAGTTGTTCCGACTCCCCCGGGGAAATGTAGAATACTCACTTGTTTTAGAAAAGTAATTCATGTAAAAATTCTGTGTCCGCTATTCACAAAGTCATGACCCCCTTGCAATGTGGCCAGGTTAATGTTGCAGGGTACAGCAAGTTTAAAGAAGATCAACCAGATTACCGGATATTCCCTGGTTCCTTGTCGTGGTTCGTTTTCCCTCCGCTTGTCTGGGAAGACGACTACGGGTATTTGCCAGCGAGCTGTGTTGTTGATGGAAGTTGGGCGTAACCTGAGCGCGGTGCCTAGCTACGCCATGACCGCCTTCGCCGTCGGACTCCATCTTGTTCACGAAAGCCGGACAGCCAACTGGAGATCTGGATACAAAGTTGTATTTCCGTTCTGTTTGAAACGGACGAGATAGACAGTTTGTCTTCAGCACGTGGGTCAAGGGTGCAATTTTAGATCGCCAACATCGTTTGCGTGGCTTGATATAAACAGCCGTAACTATCCCTGCTAGTTGACGAGGAGTTCGCTACTTTAACGCGGAGGGCGGGCCAAGATATCACCAGCATTCGAATCATCCTTCTGTCGTACAGCGAATTAAATTGGGTGGGGATACAGTTTTTAGTTTTGGTCGTCCATGTAAGCCGCTTCTTCCGAGCGTCCAAGTGTCCTCGATTATCCTCTGCCTGGTTGTAATATATTTCATCTCGTGGTGTCCTATATTCTGTTTGGCGAGGGAAGATATTAATGAAGGTTTGTCAAGCAAGATGTCGGTATAGGTTGCAGAGCAAAGCTAAGTAAATGTTAGATCTTTTTTTCAAAGTCACCCATCACTGCCGTTGGTTCTTGGTAGTTTAACCGGTTATGCATAAAGCCAATCATGCGTTGCCTTGAGGATCGCTTGGGTGAGAGGATGACGTGCTGAGAAATATTAGCGCCCACACAAATCTCCACATGCATGCGGTGAATCGTAATACCAGGATCCTCGTGAATGCGACCTACCTGGCTTGGGATAGGTGCCTTCTTTCTGCTCGGCAGGAGAGTATCTTGCCCACAATACAGGAAGTACTCGTAAAGAACTCCGTAACCAGCGCGCAGAAGGCTTTTATGCAGTTAGTTTGCTGGGAGGAAGATGTTTTCTTAAACTTTTAGGGTTTACGGCTCCCGATTGGAGGAACCGATTATGGCAAGAATATACTTACGGGATCCGAATCAAACCGCTGAAGCTCAGAGTTTGATAAGAACCAATATTGCTGTCGACGAGAGAGTAGTTGATACCGTAGATTGCAAACACAAGCTTGGATGATAGATATTTGCTGAACTGGTGGAGATTTCCAGTAGAGAAGGGCCGGTTAAGAGTACAACAACAAAGACTCTACCTCATGCTTGATATGCTGTGTTTCTTGCCTTCATGGGCTTCTATGAGGTTGCGTAATAAGGGTCAGGTTGCAGCGAGTTCGATACTGTGGCGAGGCTTCCCGCGTCTTAATTTCAAAAGCCAATGATTGACATATAGTAGTGAAATCCATAACCTGCCACCAAATATACAAATGCACAAATAAAATGGACTGTCTGCCGGTGTGTCGATCCTCCAAACCAGAAAGGGATAGATAAAGAAAAGAAAGAATATCGAGTGGGGGTACATAGACCGAAACGCCGCTGCTTAATACATATCCTGGATCCGGGTTCAAAACTGCACATGACGCTGCTCATAAGCCTTTCTCTCTTCTTCAATCATCTCAATTGCCTCTTCCAGGTCTCCATTAGCAGCTTCGGCGAAAATACGGAGCCTATTAACATCTTGAGACTTATCGTCACCGAAACCAAGAGCTCTCAGCTGTGACAGACATAGTTCTATTGGGTCGTTTTGTGGTGCTTCCGCCACGGTTGCCGTCTGAACGTCACGGGGAAAAGTTCCAGGAAGGTCCGAAGGGTGTTCACAGCCAGTGCTGATGTCTGCCAGCTCATAGGTGCTGGAGGGACGCTGTGGGTAAGGATTATACTGAAAGGGGCTTTGGCGGGGTCTCCGCACACGCTCTGTTGCACTTCGACGCAGTGAGGACGTGTTTGGTGGGGGGAATGGGGAGCTGCGGCGAGGACGTGGGTTAAAAGGGCTGGAAAGATCTGATAGTACAGGAGGATTAAGATGGTTCAGGTCGCGGGAGCTGTTGCGCTCAGCTCGGCCCCCGCCCGTGTTGGACCTAGAAGGTATGGTGCTTTGGCTATCCTGGTCCCATGGCCATGACCCAGGGATTCGGCTGGGAACCGGGGGAGCTGATGGTTCCCCAGCGCTACCATGCTTAATATTGTTTCCAGTCTGAGGTCTAGGGGAGGGCCAGGCTGGTTGAGGGGCGTGCATGAAAAGATGCTGCTGTTCAAGCTGTTGCATTGAGGGGTACCGATTAAGTCCGGAGTCATTGTCATTAGGCATGGACAAGGGGTTGGAATTATCATATGTATTGGGTAGTGGCCTTGCATTGAGACTGTTGGTATCTTGAGATGCAAAGAGAGACGGATAGCGTTCGGCAAGGTTTGCCTCCGATTTATCAAGTAACGCTGTGCTAGGTGCTGGCTGAGTATTGCCTTGTACCTCGGAAATTGGGACTGCGACTGGTTCAAATAGGGATGAGGTTCGCAGATGTTGCTCTGGCTGTATAGTACTGCCGGTATCATTGTCCAGTTCACTCACTGGAACTATCGATGGATAGCTGGGCCTCTCGGCTTCAGTTGTCGGGTGTGAAAATTTGGGAGTGGACTGTTGAATATGGGCCTCGGGAGGCTCAAAGACGTTGCTAGTCTCGGGGGACAAATTCTCGCTTGCGGACTCAACATTAATGCTATAGTCCCCAATGAGAGTGCCTCTAAGGGCTTGCAGTGCAGCAGATGCAGCGTAGGCGGAAGGGAAGTGAACATAGCAGAAGCCGGAATGATCACCCGTCAAACTATCTCTAGGAAACATCACAGTCCCGACAAACCCTTGGCTTGCAAGGGCTGAAATGACTGATTCTTCTGTGGCATCTGGGGGTAGATTACCGATGAAGATGTCTTTTGTTTCAGGGTTCACTGCTTCAGGGGCTAATGATGGGTCGGCCGTGCCTTTGCTAGCACAGTTTTCCTGTGACTTGAGGCCTTTCTCAAAGCCTGCAATGAGTGAACCGCCGATTTCCCGTATGTCGGACGCAAGGGTTCGCAGATTATTCAGCTGAGCAGTAACCACTCTCTCTGCTTCACTGGTTGCAACGGAAGATGACCTTGCGGACGTAGCTGCCTGCTGCATAATTTCTGCTAAAGTTTGGATATGACTGCCCATAACCTGGAGAGTTTCGTGGATGGTATTTTGCATCTGATCGGGTATGTGATGCTGTAAGTCTGTAACTCTCTGCTCAACCTCAGGCAGGCGGTCCGCTAACTCGGCTGTAAGAATATTTACTCGAGATAGGAGGGATTGGAAAGACTTTCCAAAGACTGTAACTATATGGGATATAGCCTCAGAGCTCTCTGGTGCTTTGTCTGAAGTTGGCCGAGCAGTAACGCTCTCAGCTGACTGTGTTTCCGGCTCCTGCACCCCTGTGGAAACTGAGCTGGAAAAGAGTTCCTTGGCCGCTGTGGTTGTCGTGCCTTCAGTAGGCTTGTCCTGTGATTCCGATTTCGAATTTTGTGCCATAAGCCGGGAAAGCTCGGCTTCGAATTCTGATAGAAGTGGTTTGGGGAATGCTTCAATGGGGGATTCCCTGCTATTGGGTTCCCTTTCCCTCGTGCTAAGGGAATGACCAGAAAATTGGTGTGCTGGTTTGTAAGTGCTCCAGAAATCTCCAGAATCACTAGCCGTAGGGCCTTCTTCTAGTTCTGGGCGATATGAGCCACGCCAGTATGCTTTGTAGTCTTCGCGCATACGCTTTCCGGCAGCATATGCCTTATCGGAGTTAGTTTGTCTGGATCAAATGAATACGTGGAATAAGTGACGTACCTGTTTCTTCCCTTCTTCAGTAATAAATTTGTTTCCTGCCGAGGATCCTTCACAAGACGATTCAAGATTCACATCATTGTTTAGCCCGGTGTGTATATCGGATGAGGTATCTATGACAGCTGGATATAGTTTATGGTCTTCCTTGTTCGCTAGCGCACTTAAGTGGGCCCCACGCTGTCCCGGTGAGACACCCCCCTGCTGAATATCTGCTTGAACAGCAGATGCTTTGTTTGCAGCGGATGAGGGTTCCGGGAGACCACTCGTCAAGCAGTAATTCGCGTTTGACCGATAACCAGTGTTGGCGGGAATAATTTGACAGGACGGCTGCCCGGAAATACTGTTGCTCACAGTTCTCAGACGAAAGTTTCTCCAAACGTCTACCACTGGAAGAGTTTGTTGAATCTCAAATGTATGCATGACAGGGTCATTATCTGCGTTGAGTGTGCTCAGAGGTAGACGGTAGCTATTCGGTAGGAGTTCACCAATAAGCTGAGAAAGTTCTAACGATGAACCGACCTAGAAATAGCAACGCCTGGAGTCAATACACATATGCAGTTAAAGAAGGGCTGTATGTATATCTTTATCTACTTACAATCACAGTTTCGCCATCGTCTTCATCCTGATACTGAAGCCTCGCTTGCGGGAGTTCCTCTATAGTCCGGTCATACTCTTTTGCGGAGACCTGGACTACTCCATCACCTTGGACTTCAAACTCCGCCCTGTGACGGTTATCTGGGCTTGAAATCGAAGCGCTGTCAGACTCGAAACCGTCATCGTTCCTAGAACGGCGCCGGCGGTGCAACGGATGTCCAACAATGCCCTTTATCCGAAATGGCGGCAGCATTTTGGCTTTCAAAGATATATCCAGAGGGTTGTTTGTCGAAGGAACTGTGGTGACGCCCTGGGCTGGGAACGTTAAAAATAAATGCGATAGATATATATTGCAGCCTGGAAGAAACAATACGAGCGTATCTCAACTCAAAGCGGCAATACGCAGGGGTAAGACCAACGGCTGCTGGTCCAGCCAACGAGGAGAATCTGACTGCCTGTTCAGATGTATGCGCGTTCTGGGGCGAATTCACGCCACCCCTATCGGCGTATCTCACGCAGCAGGCTTCTCTGGGAGCTTACGTAGCTATACGTAACGGTACTCCATACGACAGCCAAAGCAGTGTTTGATAACTATCTGAGGGTGTAAAATAATCGATGAAGATGTTGGATGCCCGCCGTTGCCAGGCAGCAGCAATAACCATCGCAAGTGTCGTCCATACAAAAGCGACCGATGATGTCCAAGTTTCTTTTCTTTTTTGGGCGGAGCAGGTTCCAACAAAGTTCGTCATACTTTATTAGTCATCATCTGGTCGCGCTACACGGATTAAATATATTTCCGTGTATGATAAATCCTTATTAATAAAGTTTAAATATCCACACGTGACTCGGTGATGCTTCAGTTGCCGGATTAGGATGAAGTGAGCGTGGATAGAACAAGTACAACAAGTCAAGACGCCACGAAGGAAACTGAAACTGCATCTCGAGAGAAAGAAAGAAAGCTGTTTCTGATCTTCGCCTTGCTTTGCTCGCGAAGCTCCATCGGATGCGCGCATAGGCGGCCGCGAATAACACGCACCCTAGGTGGTTGCAATGCCAAACAGCAAACCGTCACAGGCCCTGAAAAACCATGTCAACCAGAATGTGAAGCAGGTGGTCCTGGGGAATCTTCAATTTAAGGCGTGGTTTGATTCGCGTTACCCTGAGGAGCTAGTGAGACCTGGCGATGGAACGCTGTACGTCTGCCGGTGGTGTTTCCGATATACATGCGACAGACAAGCATACCTGGGCCACACGCCCACATGCGGAAGCAAGGATGCACCACTCGGCACCCAAATCTACGACCATGGCGGATATTCGGTATGGGAGGTCGATGGCGAGGACCAAAAGCTCTTTGCGCAGAATTTGTCTCTCTTTGCAAAGTTATTCCTAGACCACAAATCCGTCTTTTTCGACGTGTCCTCGTTTCTATACTATCTCCTCGTCTACACCAATCCTACCGACCCGGACGACTACCATGTACTGGGGTTCTTCTCAAAGGAAAAGATGTCTTGGGATGCTAATAATCTAGCATGTATTCTCATCTTTCCACCCTTCCAACACAAGCAGCTGGGCAAGCTCTTAATGGGCATTAGCTACAAATTGAGTGCATGGGAGTGGAAGGGCGGAGTTATTGGTGGACCCGAGAAACCTCTCAGTGAGATGGGCCATAAGAGCTATGTGAGGTTTTGGGAAGAGAGGATGGCTCGATTCCTCCTTCATGTCAGCGCTAACGCGGTGAAGGACGAGCAATCCAAAGCCAATAACGTAAAGCCACAGCCTACGAAAAAGTATAGGAAAAAGCCCCCTCGAGAGCAGATGTCAATTCAGGATATTGGACAGGCGACTGGTATGTTAGCGGAGGATGTCCTCACAGCCCTGAATTCAATGGGGGTTGTTCAAGCAGAGAAGAAACCTGTGAAACGGAAACGAGCCTCACAGCCAGATGGTGAAGATGAACCCCCTACTGCAGTCATCAAACGGTCCAATGTCCTAGAATGGTCGAAGTCGCACAGGGTGAACCTACGGGATCCCGTTAGTGAGGACGGATTTCTAGGGGAATGGGCCACAGGTAGTGACAACGAATCGGATTGACAATGGCATAGCGACTATCTCACCCAGCCATATTCGAAAAGTCAGGCACGGGTGTTAATCGTACATGCTTACTTGTTTATTTGGGGCCTCTCTTAGGCGCGAACATGGCATGCTTCCTACCATACCGATAATAAACAATTTCCCGTATCACTAATACGCTGCTGCTAGTCGATGCCATCATGAAAATGCTGCCCACGACAGGCTTGTGTTGAATGATCCAATCTTTTAATTGCCTCAGGATGCACAGCTATGCACTCGGGTCCAGGTGTTAAGTAATGCAGTCGGACCGCTCCTACTGCCAAGTGAAACTAAACCCTATACCTGTTGATTCTATCGACATCATATCAACTACCCAATCTACTCGACGTCTAATGCTCTGGCACATCAACCCAATACCATAGGCAAAAAGGGCTACTTGCTCGTTGCAACAAAGCCTCTTCGTTAAAAAATAATGTGGGCTTTCGGCTGGGAGTCGGTACTGGGAAACGGATGCAAAGGATGAGTTAACACGGATTGGATGAACATGGCAAATTTGCAATGAGAACTACGCTTATATGATGTTCTAGCTCAATATCAATATCTAACTCCAGTCTGTTGGCTATGGGGAGAGTAACCGAGCTTTATTGTTGATATTTGTGGCTCTGCTAGCAATATAGCAACGGCTTCGGCTTCGGCTTTGATCTATGAGTAGTCTATCAATAGATCTCTTCGCAACCTGATACACTTATCCATCTAAAGACGGTTTAACGCGCCCATTACACGCTTGATATACTGCATTTGTTAGCATAAGGCAACCCCCTCAAAACGAAACTGTGCGCAAAGTAATCTATTTTTGGCATTATCCTAGAGGACTTGATGGACATCTAAGCACAACAGCTCCCAATGATTAAGAATCATATTTTTCATTCTTCCATTCCCTGTGGACCACCTTGTTTACCCATCTGTCTAGCCTTCAGCAACTCGTCACACAGAAGCAAATTAGAGGCGATGCCGGCACTAGAAGCAATGCAATTTCTCAATACCCTGAATGAATCAAAGACACCTTCCTGGACAGGATCCATTGGGTTTCCAGTAACAAGGTCTAGACCAGCAATGTTTCCTTCAGAGTGTTCATCTTGAAGGACAGCGATCGATTCCTGGATATCATGACCGGAGTTGGCAGCCAAAGTCTTGGGGATGATGAGTAGTGACTCCAAGAAGGCGTCAACGCCGAATTTAGCTTTGCCCTTCACGGTCTTGCGGAACTCCGCTGATTTCAGGTGTTCGGCGCAAGCGATCTGGAAAGATCCTGCTCCTGGAACAACAGCCCCATCGACAATGGTGTTGTAGACAGAGCGTAGTCCGTCACGAGTTGCTTCCGTAATCTGGGTGATGGTGTGTTGATTTGGACCTTTGATAAGGAGGGTCACAGACTTGGGATCCTTGACCTCTTCGACGAAGGTGTATTTCTCCTCGCCGAGTTCATGTTCATAAACGAGGCCAGCCCAGCCGAGAACGTCAGGAGTGAGGTCGTCAACACTGTTTTGTGCAGTACCACCGCATACTAGTTGTAGTCGTTCCATGTTTCTCCTCTTCGCTCGACGCAGAGCAAGAATACCATTCTTCACCAGGACATCCAAACTTAGGGGGTCGATACCCTTCTGATTGATGACAACAAACGATTTCTTAGGATCGTTTCCACAGACCTCTTTCTTCAAGTCCACAATCTTCTTTAGTTTAGCGTCAACAAATTTGCGCTCACTCTCAACAAGCTTATCTCTCTGTTCGGCAGTCGAGTAGAAAAATCCGGAGTTAATTTCAGATTTTTCATACTCTAAACTCACGTTGAGAGTAAGGATAAAAGCATTCTCAACTCGTTTGGGCATATCGGGATGGCGAGCTCCATGATCCAATGCAAGTCCTCGAATAAGCTTAGTATCAGAGGCAGTGCGGTGCTGCATCTTCATAATCTCAATCATATGCAAATCTGGTTTGGCGGGAGCTTTGTAAATCGCAAGAACGGCGTCAACAATTGCGGGTGTCAGTTTCTCTGCAAGAGTACGGTTAAGTTTTGTGGCAAGGGATGTCCGGGCTACTGATAGCAGCAGCTCTCTATCGATATCCCGCTTAAGTTTGAAAGACTCAAGGAACTAGAACATGGTAGTGGTCAGCCAAACAGCCCATGAACATGGAGACTCTGCAATTTCTACATACCTTTAGAGCCTCATCCTTAGCAAGCTCATATCCATCAGTAATCACTCTAGGATGTAGACCTTCGGAAATATGTCGATTAGCTTGTTTAAGCAATTCTCCAACAAGCAAGACCACCGAAGTCGTTCCGTCGCCAGTGATATCATCTTGTGCAGTTGCCGCTCTTGCAATCATCACCTGAAATGCCGCGTATCAGTATGTGTATCGCTTGTGAAGAAGGATTGGGTGATATTACCGCGGTGGGATTTTGAATTTGCTATATCAGATTCGGCATTAGCAGTTGTAACGATAAGCGAGGACGCAAACATCTGGACATACCATTTCTCGCAGCAAGACGTTTCCATCTTTTGTGAGCTTGATCTGTATATCCGTCGAGTGAGAAAGTTGCTGTACAATATATGTGGAATAAACGAGGTAAATTCATACCGATCCCGCACCGTCAACAAGCCTATATTCATATCACCAAGGGTTAGTCAACAGTATATAAATATTATGTAGAAACCCCACACATACATTTTAATGGTACCAGAGGGCCCTAGATTGGACTTGAGGACATCTTGAAGACCTTCTCCGGCGCTGATATTGACCTTTAACGCTTCTCCTCTCCGCTATATACTTTGTTATTTATTGTGCCCCCTGAGACGGTGGGATAGAGGGGGGGTATTAGGAGCATTACCCTGGACTCCGCCTTTGGGTTCAGCAACTGTGTTGCGGACATGGCGAAAAAGATAGGACTTCTTTAATTTAAAATGGCCTCCCGACTCAACCTGAACAAATCCTGATAATGCACGTAGAAATGCTGGTAGAAACGCTTCACCAGGTGTTTTCTGTTCGTTCCGCCAAAAGAATCTCAAAAGTGCCAAAAAGTAAAGTTCAAGCTCGAAGCTCTGCGCACATTTCCCTTTCCGCACTAGCGCGTCCACAGAGACAACGAAGGAAAAAAAAAACTTCGACTTTTTTTGCTTCTTGCGATTTTTCCAGCTTCAAACATTCAATTCAAAGGAGCTCGTCGAGCAGCCGCCAATTGACGGGAATCAGGCCACTTCAAGGATACAGTCATTCTTTATCGATAGACATGGCAGACTTTCTTCTCTTCGAGGGCCCGGTGGGCTACTCTCTTTTCAAAGTCGTTCACAAGCCCGACTCTGTTGGAAATAGACTGAAGGAGGTTCAAGCTGCTAACCAAGACCTTGCGAAATTCGGAAAAATGGTCGAGGTTGTCAGTTTCTTGCCTTTTGAGTATGTCTCCCTATGTTTCAATTATCGTTTTTGCATGCTAATATCTGGTTAGAAATAATAAGCAAGCGCTTAGCGAAATTAACGACGTATCCGAGGGTGTCGCTTCTGAGACGTTGATCTCGTTTCTTGAGCTCAATCTGCCAAAAGCAAGCAAGAAAAAGAGCGTGGTGATGGGTGTCTCTGATAAAGGGCTGGCTGGTAGCATCAAGGCGGCGTTCCCATTTGTAGAGTGTGAGACTGGCGACACTAGCGAGGTTGTTCAGGATATGCTACGAGGAATTCGAATGCACTCTGGAAAGCTTCTCAAACAGCTTCGTGAGGGAGATATCAATACTGCTCAGTTGGGTCTTGGGCATGCCTATTCCCGTGCAAAAGTCAAGTTTTCGGTTCAGCGCGACGACAACCACATCATCCAGGCTATTGCTATTTTGGATCAATTGGACAAGGCTATCAACACTTTTTCCATGAGAGTGAGAGAGTGGTACTCGTGGCACTTCCCAGAATTGGTCAAGATTGTATCTGATAACCATCGTTATGCTCGCTGTGCCCTCTTCATCAAGGACAAGAAGGACCTCTCTGAGGACAAACTCCATGATTTAGCTGCCATTGTGGATGATGACGAGGGAATTGCTACCAGCATCATGGATGCTGCCAAACACAGTATGGGTCAGGATATCATGAGCACAGATATGGAGAATGTCATCGCTTTCGCCGAACGTGTTGTCAGCCTTGGAAATTACCGCAAGAATCTCCATGCATACCTGGTTAACAAGATGAGCGTTGTTGCTCCTAACTTGGCTACCCTTATTGGAGAAGTTGTTGGTGCACGTTTGATCTCCCACGCTGGAAGCTTGACTAACCTTTCGAAATACCCTGCCTCAACTGTACAAATCCTTGGTGCTGAGAAGGCCCTTTTCAGAGCTCTTAAGACCAAGGGTAACACCCCTAAATATGGTCTTCTCTATCATTCTTCTTTCATTGGCCGCGCCGGTACCAAGAACAAGGGTCGTATCTCTCGGTTCCTCGCAAACAAGTGTTCAATTGCATCAAGGATAGACAACTTTTCCGAGACACCATCTACAGCTTTCGGAAATGCTCTTCGACAACAAGTAGAGGAAAGACTGGAGTTCTACGCCTCTGGGGCCGCCCCGACCAAGAACGAAGTAGCAATGGTATGTGGATATCCGCATAGCGCTCTGTTTTTAACACTACTGACTGTTTTATTACTTAGAAAACTGCCATGGACTCGATTCTTGCTGATATTGAGATTGATGGTGACGGTGACGGTGACGATGATGTTGAAATGGAAGATGCTGACAAGGCTGAGAAGAATGAGAAGAAAGAAAAGAAGGAAAAGAAAAAGGAAAAGAAGGAGAAGAAGGAAAAGAAGGAGAAGAAAAAGGAGAAGAAGGAGAAGGCGGCTGACGCATCTGATGCTGAAACTGATGCTACACCGAAGAAGAAGCGGAAACACGACGCAGATGCTGGGTCGGAGAAGAAGAAGAAACAAAAGAAGTGAGCCTCTATGTTTTGGAGTCTTTGAATGGCGTTTTAGGAAAGGATGTTTCTTGTCCCCATGTCTGTCTGTTTATTCGGAAGGATTGTCTGCTTTTCATTTTTTGTGTATACTTACGACAACATCTTGTTCTTGAATGGATATCAGTGAGCATTCAATCTTCCATGGCATCTCGAAGCGCCAGAAGCGCCTTGCTTACTAAGCTGTCGCAATATAAAACGCGCCGTTCGAAGTTAGACGGATACCAAACCAATATCACTATCACAATATCAAATATTTCACATCCAAAATCATGGAAAAGTTCACATATCCCAACGAAGAGCTACCTAAACGACACTAGTTGGCACTGGTCAGGCTGATGCAAATCATCCGAATCCATGGGATGACGCGCATTTGGTACCATAGTTACCTCCTGAGCTGATTTATGAAATGAATCTGAAACAGTCACTTCAACAGCCTTACATAACTATTAACTATACCCTGAGAGATGGAACGGAGAGTGCTATTCGCTCTTAACAAAACTCTGAAGCGCAAACACGACGAATCTGACCTTAGCGAAGAGTCAGTCTCACCAATATCAAGTACAGATCAAGATGATGCAGAAGGCACACCCGAAATCAGTGATCGGGCTGGTATGAAGGCACCCGGGGCTCATCTCCATGGCAATGTTGCTAGTAAATTTCAAGATCTTGATATACAATGCCAAACCACGAAAAGCGAGGGGTTTCGGAGTCACTCCCCCACAAGACACGACATACAGTCTCGGAAACCGGAGCTTCCATTAGAGCCTTCCACAGATGGGCAAAACTCTATAATAAATAATGATAGCGATGATTTGAAGCGGACAGGTTCTACCGTGGGGCCATTAATATCTTCCAACAAAGGCTTTCCGGAGGTAGCGGACCCTTTGCACTTGGGTTCACCGCCTCCTACATTCAATGAAACTACCGATACGGAGGCCAACGAAGAATCATTGACCTGGGATGACTCAGAAATAACGGGACATCATGCTTTAGACCCTAATGATGATGGATATGGACTCAATGGAGTGGGATTCAAGCCATCAGCTGAAGTGGCGTGGGCTAGGTCCCAACATCGAAAAGACCAGGTAGCTGAATGGAAGAGACGTATGGCTAGTGAGGCACGCGAAGCTCGGAGCAGACGAAGGCAGAAGGATGATGATAGTGGCGACCCCATAGCAAAAGGCTTCCCCAAACAGAAGAGAGTCAAGTTTGATGCCTAAGGATTGTATACAAGACGTTTTACAGACTATCAGGATTAGGGAAGTGTTCTTGGAAACAAATGACTATTTTACAGATTGGAATAATGCTCGTACAGACGTCTACTCGAATGTTATACAGGTGTCAAGGTATTTGTCGTCCTGGAATGCCCACAACCCAGACTCCGAGACTCCCAGGGGATATGAAAATGCTGTGGCCCAAATATCTACCAAAATTTATAATTGGACAGGTTCGTCCAGCTCTTCCGGCGTGCCTCCTCTGCTTTCCGGGCTTCCTCTTCCTCGTGCAGTTTCCTGGCAGCGTCTCGCTCCTTTTGTTTCCTAAGCTTGAGTTCCCTCATGAGTTCAGCCGCTTCTCTCATTCCCTCACGTTCAATGGCCCTCTGTCTTTGGCAGTATTCGTGTGCAGCCAACGACACAATCGCAAAAGAACCAACAGCCCAGTTACTAGCACTCCATAACGACTTAAGACCTAGGATAGAAGTTAATCTCACTTGCACCTTTCCTGTTACGGACACTCTCTAAACTGGCTGTACATAACCGCTTTCATACCTCCAAGTATAGCCCTTATGCCTCCAATGCCGAATCCTGTACCTATTCCCACTAGAAGAGAATCTCGCGCGCAAGGGGCTTTGTATACCGATGTAAATTTATCGAGGGATAACGATTTCAGTGAATCCATAACCGTGACTTCCTTTGGCTTACCGCCTGCCGAGTTATAGGTGCCACCAGGCATTAAATTGATCGGTTCGCTGGGGTTTCCGAGCTCCTCCCATAGCTTGCCCACTTGCGACTTGGATATTTCATATCTCGTCTTTCCGTCCGCCGTCGTTGGCTCCGTTTTTGTAGAAGGATCCGCCTGCGAAGTTTGATCTCGAGAGTCCGCCGCCATGTCTACCTCTGTTGCGCCGACAGATCAATTGTTTGTTTTGTCCAGCCTGTCAAAATTTCTTCTGCGTCGCTTCTGTCTTCTCCCCATCTTCAACTTTTTGTTCCTGAGAAGGCAAGCTTGGCGCGTGCCAAGAAATATATCTGGAAATGGAATATTTACCCGCGCCGCTTCAATTAAGCAAACCTTAAGAAACGCGAAGAAACGCGCCAGACGCGATTAGTTGACAATCGATCTCGAATGGAGAGTTTCTTCCTCAAGATGAACTTTTTGTCGCAAAGCGCTTTCGTCCCTGAGATTGTGGTTTTCTTCCAATGCAGTCTTCTTCAACACTGCTTCCTAGCCTAATGGATCTACTTTAGTCCATCTTTTCTTTTCTCTACACATTTTTAATTACGATTCTTGACACGCGCCCAAGATGGCCCGCCGACCAGGAAAATATGGCAACAATTATAGATCGCAGTCGTCATCGTTTATACCGAAGAAGTCAAAGACCATTGGTGTGTCATCTCTACGGTCGAGCGAAGCGACCTCTCAAGATGAAAAATTCCAAGCGTTACGGATTGCGGACGAGATCGATGAGACGATGGGATTTGCGCGATATGAGGCAGGGAAGAAGCGAATTGGGTGGCTATGCAACATGCATAGTACAACAATAGAAGACGCAAAGATACCTGGTGGCCGAGCGGCAGTAGAGTTCTATTTTCTCGAAGATAATGGCGGCAGTTTTAAGGCGGCGGTCGAGTACGACCCTTATTTCCTGGTAGCTACAAAACGAGGACATGAAGCGGAAGTAGAGGAATGGTGCAAGCGATCATTCGAGGAGCTAGTGAAAGGGGTAAAGGTGGTGGAAAAGGAGGATTTGCAAATGCCAAATCATTTGCTTGGATATAGAAGGAAGTTTTTGCAGTTGAGCTTTGCCAACGTCTCGGACCTGCTTGCAGTACGAAAAACCATCTTTCCCATTGCTGTCAAAAATAGAAAGAATGTCAATGCGATGGATACCTATGCGGAGCTTGCAAGGTTAGTGTCCACATTCGTTGTTCTCGGACGGTACTAACATAGGTATTACAGTGCAAATGCTGGATTTGATCTTTTTGACGATGCCTCGAATAGCCACGGACAAAACTCCCTGCAGGATGCCGCGGACTATATTGTGGATATCAGAGAATATGACGTACCTTACCATGTCCGCGTCTCAATCGATAAAGGTAATGGTTCTAATAAACTTTAGTGTTTGGCTATGGCTAAGACAATCTAGATATCCGCATTGGAAAGTGGTATACGGTTCAGTCAATCCACGGTGTTATAACGTTGACCTGCCTTGAGGAAAGGCTGCAAAGAGCTGACCCAATCGTTCTTGCATATGATATAGAAACCACGAAACTTCCGTTGAAATTCCCGGATGCTGCGATTGACCAGGTTATGATGATATCATATATGATTGACGGACGAGGTTACCTGATTACAAATAGGGAAATCGTCTCTGAGGATATCAACGATTTTGAATATACCCCCAAACCCGAATACCATGGGCCTTTTACGATTTTCAATGAACCGGATGAGAAATCTGTTCTAGAGCGTTTTTTTAGCCACGTAAAGGAAGCAAAACCAAGCGTTATGGTTACTTATAACGGTGATTTTTTCGATTGGCCCTTTGTTGAAGCACGAGCAAGTGTCCAAGGAATTGACATGTACGCTGAAATTGGCTTCCGAAAAAATAGCGAGGACATATACCAAAGTGATCATTGCGTTCATATGGATGCGTTTTCATGGGTAAATCGTGATAGTTACCTTCCGCAGGGAAGCCGTGGCTTGAAAGCTGTTACGGTTGCGAAGTTGGGTTACGACCCCGATGAGCTCGACCCGGAATTAATGACCAGATATGCGAGTGAACGGCCTCAAACATTAGCCGAATACTCGGTTTCTGATGCTGTAGCGACATATTATCTATATATGAAATATGTCCATCCATTTATCTTTTCACTCTGTACCATTATCCCACTGAGTCCAGATGAAGTTCTTCGAAAAGGTACCGGAACCCTCTGTGAAATGTTGCTGATGGTTCAAGCCTACCAGCATAACATTGTTCTGCCCAACAAACATATGGATCCCAATGAATCATTCTATGAAGGTCATCTTCTTGACTCTGAGACTTACGTTGGCGGCCACGTGGAAAGTATTGAGGCCGGTGTATTCCGCAGTGATATCCCAGTTAATTTTACTGTTGATACAACCGCTATTGACGAGCTCCTTCGTGATCTTGATGCAGCGCTCGAGTTCAGTATAACCGTGGAAGAAAAGAAATCCATGGAAGACGTGGTCAACTACTCCGAAGTCAAGGCACAAATTACGGAAAGGCTCCTTAATCTGAAAAATTCACCGAACCGAAAGGAGAGACCATCTATTTATCATTTAGATGTTGCGTCTATGTATCCCAACATTATGACTACAAACAGGTTGCAGCCAGATTCAATGATCAAGGAGTCCGACTGTGCTGCCTGCGATTTCAACAGGCCTGGGAAAACCTGCGACAGACGCCTACCATGGTCTTGGAGAGGAGAATTTTTACCAGCAAAACGCGACGAATATAACATGATCCGACGTGCGGTTGAGAACGAAAAGTTTCCTGGGAAGACAAAGAACCACCCCCCAAGAAGCTTCGAGAGCCTTGATGAAAGTGAACAAGCCACGATCGTGAAGAAACGGCTACAGGAATATAGCAAGAAAATTTATCACAAAATTCGTGAAACGAGAACCATCGAACGCGAAGCCATCATTTGCCAGAGAGAAAACCCCTTCTATGTTGATACCGTCAGGAACTTCAGGGATCGAAGATATGATTTCAAAGGCAAACAGAAAGTCTGGAAAGGCAAGGTAGAGTCTCTCAAGTCTTCTGGTGCTGCAAATTCGGAAGTTGAAGAAGCAAAGAAGATGGTTGTTCTCTTTGACTCTCTTCAGCTTGCCCATAAAGTTATTCTGAACAGTTTCTACGGCTATGTGATGAGAAAAGGTTCTCGATGGTATTCCATGGAAATGGCTGGAGTTACTTGCTTAACTGGAGCACATATCATCCAGATGGCAAGGGAACTAGTGGAACGGATTGGACGACCTCTGGAGCTCGATACTGATGGTATTTGGTGCATGTTGCCAGGCACTTTTCCGGAGAACTTCGTATTCAAACTTGTAAATGGTAAAAAACTCGCCATTTCATACCCTTGCGTTATGTTGAACCATCTAGTTCACGGTCGATTCACAAACCATCAATATCAGACCCTTTCGGATCCTTCTACGTTCAGATACACAACTCACAGTGATAATTCTATCTTTTTCGAGGTCGATGGCCCCTACAGGGCCATGATTCTACCAACCTCAAAGGAAGAGGATAAGAACTTGAAGAAGCGTTATGCTGTATTCAATCATGATGGATCTCTTGCTGAATTGAAAGGGTTTGAGGTAAAGCGAAGGGGAGAGCTTAAACTCATCAAGGTGTTTCAGACACAAATTTTTAAGTTCTTTCTTGAGGGAACTACACTTGAAGAGACATATGGAGCTGTAGCTGAAGTTGCGAACAGATGGCTGGATGTTCTACATATGCATGGCTCAACGTTGGCAGACGAGGAACTAATTGATATGATATGTGAAAACAGGAGTATGTCTAAAACCATCGAGGAATACGGGAGTCAAAAATCTACGTCAATCACCACCGCCAAACGACTTGCTGAATTTCTAGGGGAGCAAATGATCAAAGACAAAGGACTGAACTGCAAGTATATCATATCTGCTGCCCCGAGGAACTCCCCTGTCACAGAAAGAGCCGTTCCTGTTGCTATTTTTTCAGCGGAGGAGAATATCAAACGGTTTTTCCTACGTAAATGGCTGAAAGAGGACCCTGGAGATATGGACCCACGTACAATAATTGATTGGGATTATTACTTGGAACGATTGGGATCCGTGATTCAAAAATTGATAACTATACCCGCTGCTCTGCAGAAAGTCTCCAATCCGGTCCCTCGAGTTGCTCACCCGGAGTGGCTTCAGCGAAGGATCAATACCAAGGAAGACAGGTTCAAACAAAAGAAAATGACTGATCTCTTTACAAAAAACCCATTAGCCAATATCTCAACAAATATTATGGATCATCGTGTTCCTTCTGCTGGGGATATCGAAGATATGATGCAGCGTGGAAGCCAGAAACCAGGTACACAGATAGGGAACAAGCTCACTCAGAAGCGAAAAGCTCCAGGGGATACAGTTATATCTCAAGATCCTTATGCCAGCCTTCCACCGGTAATGCCATCGATTACCAAGAACTACGAAGACTGGCTCCGTTACCAGAAACAGAAATGGAAAATCCAGAAACAAGCACGTCTCCGGCGCCGCAAGCTCTTTGGCGCTAAGAAAACCGCAGCTTCTGACTCGATTGGCAGTTTCTTCCGAAACCAGGCCGAACTGACCTATGTCAATACCTGGCAGATATTGCAACTTAGGGAAACTAGTAGCCCGGGTGAGGTGAGGGCATTCGTGCTGATTGATCGGAAAGTGCACACCATAACCATCAAAATACCCCGTCAGATATTTATCAATTTCAAAGATGTGGATCTTCCGGATGTTGATATCACTGGCTGTTCTGTGCAGAAAGTCAATCACACACTGCCAAATGGCCATCCATCCGTCCATTTATTCCAACTGAGTATGCCAGAAGAGATATATCTGAGAGAAGCATCAAAGATATCCCTATTACTTAACCACCCAAGCGTTGAAGGAGTGTATGAGAAGAAAGTGCCATTCAACGTTCGGGCCGTCCTCAAACTCGGAAACCATTGTACTTTTGATGAAGAGCAGCGAGGAGTTCTCGGCAAAGGTTTGGAGCATGGCTTTGATTTGTCAACTCTTCTTCCAGCCCCAGAACCGGGTATTTATCTCGAAGGAGCAGAATTTCAATATGTCCTGCTCTATCATATAGTCTCCGGTGAACGTGAGATATTCTCTGTTTTCTCCACTAAATCTGGAGAAGCTCATATTGTGACGTACACAAAGCAAAGGGACATCCAAGGATTTCCCAATGTCGATAAAATTTTCGCGGAGGCTCTGCAACGGAAAGCAGGCGAGCAAAATAATGAAGCATGGCAGCAAATATTCCAATACCAAGATAAGCTACATTTCAAGACAACGCAGGTTACAACGAAGCGAAAGGCCCACTTAGAAGTTGGTGACATTATTAAAAAGTTTCGCAATGAGACTACTATGCCAATGATGGTTGTAGTTCAGTCACCCAAAAGTCGCCAGCTTCCACGTCTAATTTCAATTCTGAAGGATTACCCGATGATATCTCTCAGGTCCAATGCTTCAGATAATGAACTGCCGCCGTTGGGCTGGCAATCATACGCCGCAAGACAAATCGTGGTACATTACTTAGCGCTGGATTCCTGGGTTAACCATCTATTGGGATTTGCGAGATACGGTAATGTACCGATCGGCAACTTGGAGAAGGATGACCCTAAACACTTAATCGATATCCTTTATGCTCGCCAGCTCGAGCAGAGCAATGTTGTTTTATGGTGGTCCGCTAGCCCTCTTCCCGATCACGGTGGATATGAAAAGGACAACATCCTAGGCCCACTAAATTCGGTTGAGATGGCTTCTGTCAATATAGCCGGTGCATATTCTACTGTTTGCATTGAGCTTGAGGTCCGAAATCTTGCCATTAATACTGTCCTCACCTCATCACTTATCAATGACCTCGAAAACAATGAACCCGCATTGCTCAACCCAACAGCTCCAGGAGATCAAGAGAAAATCTCGGACGGAACGGGTGTTTTGTATTCAGACACTGCATTCTCCGCTGTGGGTATACTTGTTTTGCGAGAAATGGTAAAATCCTGGTGGAACGAAGCCTGCAAGGGCAATGGGATGGCAGATGTCATGGTCCAGCATCTTATTCGATGGGTGGAGAGTGCGGATTGCTGTTTATACGATCATGCACTGCACCAGTACATGCAGATGATCCTGAAAAAGGCTTTGCAACAGCTTATCTTGGCCTTCAAACGAGTTGGGTCCAATGTCATTTATGCAAACCCAAACAGATTGATTCTTCAGACAACCAAAACCGAGGTTGGGAATGCTTATGCTTACAGCAAATATATTCTTCAATCTATTAAGGAAAAGCCGTTGTTCCACTTCCTTGACATTGACATCAAGGAATATTGGGATTACTTGATATGGTATGATCAATTCAACTATGGCGGCAAAGCATGTCAGGAAGTTGTCGAGGCCGACAAGCAAGAGCTGGAAGCCATTATGAACTGGCAGATTAGCAGATTCTTGCCCACTCCCCTGCAATCTGTGTTCGTGGACTGGATTGTGGAGTACGTCGAGATAATGCACGGACTCAAGAAACCTGTTACGGTGAATGGCGAAACCGATGGGACTCCTCGGCAGACACAACTTCCATTCCGGCCTGAAGACGAAAGCGAGAGCGTCGAGATAACTTCAGTGTTGAGCCAATCCTTCTCTAAAGCACTGAAAAAACAGGTAGCTGGCTTGATTCGTCGACAGCGTGACGAGATGTTGCACCCTGAGCTTGCCTCTGACTACGACTTCCCCGTACTTCCTGGAGCGGTGCCTCCTAAGCATGAACGTAACCCAACCCTAGAGTTGGTTAAATACCTTATGCAGGTCCTCGGACTCTCTAAATACACCACACTGGAAGTGAGGCTTCTCCGTCGAGACCTCCTTGCACTTTTCGACATCCGCGAGTTTAGTGACGAAGGGAAATTCGAAAGCCCAAGCTCAAGCTTAGTTCTTTCACAGATAATATGTCATAATTGTACTATGGCCCGGGACTTGGATCTCTGCCGTGACCCCGAATTGCTTCCCGAAAGCGGAACGGAGAATAATGCGTCGACAACCCTCCCTCCGTGGACCTGCCCTTACTGTTCTACCGAATACGATCGGCTATTCATCGAAGAGAGGATTATTGGCGAAGTCCAAGGTCTTGTGATGGAGTGGCAAGCACAAGACCTCAAATGCGCCAAATGCGCTGGTATAATGATTAACCCATTCATGGAACACTGCTCATGCAGCGGTGAGTGGGCTGAGACTATCGACAGGCGTGCCACGGAGAAAAGGCTGCGGGTATACAAAAGCATAGCTGATTATTACGGTTTCAAGATGTTGTCCATGGTTACGAAAGGCGTTTTGGAAGGCATATGAGCGGGCAGTTCATGATATCCATGATACTCAATAATGTGAGATATTCGATCTAGAGTGTGGCTCTAGTAATGGCTTTTTCGTTGCATGAGATGTCTTTTGTTTTGTTTTTTTTGTTTATGTACCGGCGTTCACGGAGGCAAAATATATGTGGAAAAGGGGTGTAATCGTTTACCTTCACTTGTCGTCCCTGTACCTATTCTAGCATTTCAGGTTGGTTATATCACTGCGTTGTATATATATTTACGTTGTATAGAAGTCGAGAGTCGTCGTCTCCGTTTCCCCTTTTCGGGCATGTCCAAGCCTTATCCCAAAATGGCGTGGGGCAAAACGCCGGTGGATCAACTTCCAACTTGCGAAGCGCTTCAAGCCCGTCGACCAACTCAACAGGCCAATTCTACCTTGCAGTCTACTATCTTTGACTGCACCGTTTTGCGATTTTTGAAGCTCTAGACGGACGCTCTTCATCGTTGTTGGTTTTGCTTGTTGGAGTTACCCCTGGTTTGCTCGCTAACCTACCCCGCTTACGATAACGAAACCCCCGGACAACTACTCCTCCGTCAAGAGATAGAGAGACAGAGGAGAACCGAGTCTTGCCAAATACAGAATCTCGATAGCTAGTCGAAGCCGAGCCCCCTGCGCCCACTTCTCCTTACGCCGTACTTTTGGCAAAGTTCGACATCTTGGCCCAATGGCAGCTCAGGGTCACCCAGAGGCAAGCAGGCCGAAAACCGAAGTCCAGCCATGCAGGTATAAAACAGGGAAGACACTGGGAGCTGGGTCTTATTCCGTCGTGAAAGAGTGTGTCCATATTGATACTGGCCGGTACTATGCTGCAAAGGTTATCAATAAACGCTTGATGACAGGACGGGAGCACATGGTATGCAGTTGCCCGACGAGTTATACAGCCGTTTGGTTCTATTCTAAATCGAAGCTAACCGATTTATTAACTAAAGGTTCGAAATGAGATTGCTGTCCTGAAGAGGGTGTCAATGGGACACCAGAATATCCTTACCCTGGTGGACTATTTTGAGACTATGAATAACCGTATGTACACCTAGTGAGTCTACCGCTAGACTCTTATTAACCCAATAATGTGCATAGTGTACCTTGTCACGGACCTGGCCTTGGGAGGAGAATTGTTCGATCGAATTTGCCGAAAGGGAAGCTACTACGAGTCTGATGCAGCCGATCTTATCCGGGCTACGCTGTCTGCAGTAGCATACCTCCACGACCACGGAATCGTCCACAGGGACTTGAAACCCGAGAACCTTCTGTTCCGTACGCCTGAAGATAATGCCGATCTACTAATTGCTGATTTCGGGCTTTCAAGAATAATGGATGAAGAGCAATTTCATGTCTTGACAACAACCTGCGGCACCCCTGGGTACATGGCCCCAGAAATTTTCAAAAAGAGCGGACATGGAAAGCCTGTGTAAGAGCAGAATATTTTCCCTAACATCAGACATACAGAACGCTAATACGTCACTATTTGCAGGGATATTTGGGCTATCGGAGTAATCACATACTTCCTACTATGTGGTTATATGCCTTTTGACCGTGACTCCAACGTTGAAGAGATGCAGGCCATTTTGGTGGCAGATTACTCCTTTACACCAGAAGACTACTGGCGCAACGTATCCCCCACTGCGTGCGAGTTCATTAAACGATGCCTTACTACTGACCCTCTTGCTCGTATTACCTCTCATGAAGCCCTTCAGCACCCATGGATTAACCCACCGGCAGATCCATCGAACCCCGAAGCCACTGCAAAGGCTGGCACCGGCGAGGATCTTCTACCAGTTGTCAAGAAGAACTTCAATGCCCGGCGTACACTGCACAAGGCTATCGACACTGTTCGTGCTATCAACAAGTTGAGAGAAGGCGGTGGCCTTATGATGGATGGTGCGATGAGCATTGATCCAAGGCCAGAACGAGTCAATGGTGATCAGGTTACGCCCGAGAATGGAGGTCATGATGACCACATGGAAATTGATAGCAGGGGGAATGCCAGAGGCCAAACCGAGGAACAGATAAAGGAACAGGAGAAGAGAGTTAAAAATGTGGTCACGGGGTTGTGGCAGTCTGCTGCTGGACGGCGGTGAAATAATAACGGTATGGGTTCTTTTAATTTTTGCTCCAGTGACGATAGTTCTCGGAGTTCCTATTTAGTTGCTATTGGATAAGAGAAATGGATCTTAACCACAAGTCTAGCGCGTTCAAAGCTCTTTTTTGTTGATGTGCCTCGCAATACATATAGATCGAAAGATCAAGTATACTTCAACGTCCTGTTCGTTAAAATGCCCATGTGCTACAATTATTTAGGCAAAAAAATATGCAGCTAGTTGGCTAGCCTGTCTACTCTATCTAACTATCTCTATAATGTAGTATAGAAGAACAACATGGCATTGAAGTAGATTGGCGGAAAAGGTCGACACAAAGACTAAAGTGTTTTCCTTTTTTGAGCATATATCAACATTCCCGTATATTGAACAACCAAAGCTGTCCTGTTGATCATTGCTAAGTATATAACCACCGGGGTCAGACATCCCCGGTCCATGGCTCATACTCAGCCAATATACCTCACTCATATGTTGTAATGATACCCATAACTTTAAGTATAGAGTTCGTTGATAGTGAATTTCTGTTGACGGGTTATATTTGACAAGCCTCCATTGCTATCTACGATTCTTTAACTATAGAAGCAGGGCTGACCGAGTAATCTGCTTGATACTATTCGAACCACAGTTAAGACTCCGATTCCCACAGACAAGGTCTTATTCCCAAAGAGAGTGTATATAATTATACTATTCCACTGCTAGAAGCACCTATCACGATAGCGCCGGCTACCAGGGCTCCTTGAACATTCTACGGGGGTTGCTTCTCCTATAACGAACCAGAGAGGGCCTAAATTTTACTACAAGAACTATAAGAAATCTGCTCTTATGTCCCGGCTATAGCTGGCTGAGCTAGAATTTTTGATTATTTTGACTGTTTTGATTGAAAAAACATTGTTGATCAAGATTAAAGAGGGGTCTGAACTCCCTGACTTTGTTCAGTGAGATAAGATGTCTATATACATCTGACATCTAGCAGCTGAGCTTTCCGCACTTGCGGCAAGAGTTTCTAACACCATAGTCACAGGCCTTGCCAGTGCTCTTGGCACACTCGAAGACGTGGCCGTTAGTGCAGGCACGGTTGATTTTCTCATTACCACAGAACTGTCCCTGAATTCCGTTGCAGAGACAGTTGCTTGGGCGGCAGGCTCTCTTCTCAAGCTATAAAGACCAGTCGTTAGTACATTATATGACATATCATAGTCCATATTGCTTACAGGACTTTCGGCACCAGTGGCGGCTGCAAGGCAGGCGGGCACAAAGGCAACAAGGGCGAAGACGGTGGTGAGCTATAAGGCAACCCGAGTCAGCGAGTAGAAAATAATCACCAAGGGGGTGAAGTATACCTTCATATTTTCTGGTTGAAAGGATTTAGTTGGGTGGGCTAGGTTCAGAGTAGTGTTTGATGTGTGTTGGTCTGCTGAAAGGAAAGCAGATGAACTGGGTCAACATGCTCCTTTATATATGTCCTTCTGGACACCTCCTCTCCTCTTGACCTCCTCATTTTTGACCACAACTCAGCCTATACGAGTTCCATTCCGTCTTTAAGGCTGCTAACAATATCTGGAGGCTCACTCATTGGTATCTTCTCCCCAATGAACAACCGGGATCCACAATTTCGGTGAGAAGAGGACTGAAGCTTGGGTGATATTCGGGTAGATCCCTGTCTTTGTTTACTATTATTGAAAGGCTGTACCACTTGCTGCTTCCGACTTCATATGCGCGCTGTCTCGCAAACACGAGAACAATTACTCTGCCTAGAGTACTGACTCTTGTGTAAGAAGCCTGAATTTCGCTCTGCCAGGCGTCCTGCAGGCGGGATATCACAGCAATGCACGACGGGATGCATCAGATGCATTTGGTATCATAGCCAACTGAAGGATTCGAACTCGCGCCACGAATGGAGATCTGTCTTCGTATACTTCGTAGTCTTCTGCGCTTTGTTTGGCAATTCCCTTCTCTGGACGAGAAAGGCAGCCAACGAGCGCAATTGCCTGTCCTGGTTGATCTGATCATCCAGAAACTGCGGAGTTTTTCTAATATTAGAATCTGGACGCGGTACTTCCTAAGACGCTTGCTGATCCACTTTTCTCGTGTTCACAGCAATTCTGGGTGGGTTGGTGCTGTTTCCAAGTGTTTTGATATGTTTTCGGAGAATCTCCCAAGGGGTGACTGGCATAGCCGCGTGGCTCCTTGGGTTCTCCAAAGAACCACCAAGCAGAAAGGCAGAGTACGAGATACGGCCCCGGAGAACCTGATACCCCCCATGGACAGGGAGTTGAGGCTCAAGGCTGGCTGTAGTTTAATTTAGTTTGTTTTTAACTAGTTTGCTGGTAAGATGGAGGTCAACGGCGATCGTTCGTATTACTACTGTTCAACATCACCAGTGGGAGGCCAGCAACAGCCCCTTCACTCCTTGTCCAACAATCGATCTGCCCTGTTCTTCTCAGCGGGAAGATAGAGACGGCTCAAGCCTTTCAGCTTGATGGGGCTGCTGTTCACGAGTCTCACCCGTGTTCTGACTGGGGAATATCACAAGTGATGCATTCTTTTCTGCCTTTTATGCAAAATGTCACCTCACAATCTCCTGGCGAGTAATTTCACTGGCCCACTGGTTAGTTATAAATAGGTTCATAGCAAGTAGATTAAGTACCACACGGAGAAGATACCTATCTGGGGGAAACGGGTGAGATTGAAAGGCATCTCAAGCTCCAAGTAACCCCTCACAACAACACCTTAGGAGAACACGAGACAACATAAAATTATCCGTCGGTTATGTCTCCGATCGATTGGCTGGTGTATTTTTATATCACGGTTGTGTATATTGAGCGGATGTCACGACGGGAGACTTGGTCGATATTAAGAGTAATATGGGGTTTTTGGACCGTCTTACAAGGCCCCCTACTCCATCTCGATGCTCTTGAGACTTTGAGCGAAGGTGTTGATGAAGCCGTCGGCATAATAAAATGGCCAGGGGTTCACGGAAGTCCGGAGTGCCGTGTACATACGCGTCGGGTTAAGCGACAAGTAGTCTCCTTGCTTGGCCAGTTGTTGCTGAGAATGAAACGGTCAACTCACATTTCTGGACTATGAACGAGCGATTCAGAGCTGGAATATAGTAACGGTTTATTGCCCATAACAACTGAGAAAGAATATAAAGTGTATAGTAGTAGTAGTAGTCCTCGAAAACGCCCCTCTCACTGCCCTCCAGGGAAATACAGAATCCCAAGACATCTAACGCGACGCCTCTAAGGTTGCTAAACGATCAGGAGAAGATTCCACCCACTTTCTCCACTCTTGCCATTCGGGATAAGATGCACTGGCTTTCAGACCCTGGTATCTGACCGTCTTGAACTCGGACATATCTTCCCAGGGCCTATCTGGGTTCCCACCACTAGAGCTCCCAGAACGGAGGAACCGACGAGTGACACTGCTTGCACTCGATGTCCCCTCCCATCCAGCCTTTCTCATAAGGCTCTCCACGGTTTCTTCCTTCGTCCACCCTTGATCAACAGCGACATCTGGAAGATATGTAGCACCATATCGTCTACCTCTGTGGATGAACGATATGCGGATCCCATGCGTCCCCAACTCCCAATCAAGCGCATGAGAACAAGTCTCAAAGTTTGAGAGAAGAGTCAGAGAGCAGGAAAGAGAGGGAAGAAGCTGGGATGGTATTGGGGAGAATCTGGTGTCTCCAAATGCCCTGTATAATGGTGAGTTAGCGTGTCTACGTTCCGAGCAGAGTTTTCCTTGTACGTGGGACCATACGATGTCAACGCATATGATTTCAGGCCAGAACTCAGCTCTTGGGCCTCAAAAGTGCCAATACAGCCTCGGAGGGACTTATTACCGCTCCTGGAGACCGTATTCCATGTCACAAAGAGTGGGTATGACGCACCCGCAGGCGTGCTGCGAAGTGTCTCGCTGTAGCTATGTTTGGGTTGAGAGAAGATAGATGAAGTATTAGGGCTAGGGCTGGATGATATAGAAGTATTGCTCGTCAGTGCAGAACGAGAAGAACTGGCAGATAGTGCTGGTGGGGTGGAAGTTGATGCACTGGATGAACCCGACGAAGCCACACTTTGAAGACGGCGAATACTAGGTGGCTGCAGGGCGTTCGAGAATGTCTGTCCTTTGTCCATATCACCCTGCTGCCCTTGACCATCAGTGTCGTCTACATGGGGTTCAACAGAGCCTCCATCCTCCATGTCTTTATCTTCTGCTGCGCGTAAAGCAAGAGTCTTTGCAGCCTCAAACTCTGCCCATAACTCTTCAACTACTGAGAGCTTTGGAGATTTAGCTCCATTAAAAGAAGCTGCTAGCGTTTCGAAGCAGAAGTAACATTGCGCAGGAGTAGCCATATTTGACGAGTGATGCCAGTTAGCGGGTGAAATAAGAAAACTCCCTTTCCTTGTAAGAAGCTGACTAGGCTGATCCTTGTAAGATATATAAGTATATAAGTGATTCAGCAGTCAATAGACAAGACGAGATCAAATCATATCAACAGAGGTAAGGAAATAGGGAAGCCTGGCCACCAGATGATTGCGGGCTGAGCAAGAGCGGAAGAGAGGGCGCCTTTCTTCGGGGTTTCAGCTTGCTCCTGCAGTGTCTCCTGGAGCGAACCCCATAAGAGAGCTTTGGTCGTGTCTGGCCCTCTTGTATGGTTAAAGAGCCGCTGGTGCTGCAGCCTGTGCAATTATATGGCGGGATCAAGGCGAAAGTCGACGTTGAGAGAGAGTTGAAGTTGGAAAAGTCTTTGGTTGCAAGATGACCTCGGGAGGACAGACGTCATGAGTTGTGCTTAGTCATCCAGCCTTGGCCGCGATAACTGGCTGGCGGTTTTGATGGAGACATACAGCATGTGGCACGCCTACGGGCAGAGCAAAGCCGCCATTATGCTATTTGTAGTCGACTTGGTACAGACGCCCGGCATAAAGTACAGCCTGCAGACATTCAGCCTGCACCTGGGAATTATCTCGACTAGCCTAGCGAGCCGCTTGGACGGGAATACGGAGTTTGACGGGCTTCGTGGGCCTTTCTCCCAAGAATGCTAACTATACATGGGGTATTTATAGCTAACATAATGCGGCAATAGGAAACGCAGATGAGTCCCTGGATAACTCCGAAAACCTGAGAGTAATTTAAAATCAAGCCGTTAGAAATAGCAGCTGCCAATATATATATGCAGGGTTTGATCCGAGTCTCAAAGGGTATGTTATGCGGCACTTTCATGGTTAAACTACTAGTATATTATAATATACTGCGGTTTAGGCAGTCTGCACTGCGGCCTATTTGATCGGCTGCCATATAGCGGACCATATAGTAGACACTGTTAAGTTGTGGACCATCAGCAACGTCGAAGTGGGGAAGAGTGCGATGACTGAGCGAAGAACTTGTCAGGCAGGAGTGTGCCTACTGATGCACAAACGCTCTTCATACGTAGGATCTTCGTAGCTGCCGGACATATGCTTGCGTTATTATTTGAGTTGCCTAGCAGCGTTCTATTCAGTATTAGCACTGGACAATGCGACGTATATAGCCATTTATTGGCTGATATTCGACTCCTTTCGCTCTATCAGCATCCCAGCAATCGGATAGATCAATCCCTGACAAGGATATAATGCTCCGACTGCCTTACAGATCATGGGTGAAAATATGACCCGCGCTGTTGGCTGTTCAAGTCCTAGGGTATTTTGTGGCATATGGGTATTAGATCACAAATTGTCTCTAAAAAGGCAGTATTTGTATCAGAGATATGAAGGTATAGCAGTAGGGAACTGCGTATTCAAAGCCTAAGAGAGAATTTGATACTCGTCTTAGCTTCTGATATTTGCTGGGAAACGATTTATAGGTCCTCCAGCCATATATCTTTGCAAAAACACTGACAGTTTTATCCACTTATACATAAGCATTGTAGATCATTTCCGGTCATCTTTTGGCAATTTCATTCCCATCATACCCAGCATGTTGCTCCCAGGACCAGAAGCGCCACCCTGACTTCCGAAACTTTCAAGCAGGTTCCTTGCGAGATTGATGTCGATTCCAGTCTCGTCAAGTTCCTCCTCCTCGTCACTTTCCTCCTTACGGGCTCTGTCAATATCATCGCCCCTTATAGGAGCCTTCCCCTTGATAGCTTTCTTGGAATTGAATTGCTCAAAGAACCCAGCTTGCCGTAGCTCTGCCTCCATCTTTTTAGACATGTCTTCGATTTCGCCCGAATCATCAACACTATCACTGGATTCCCCGTCAATATCTTGGATGCGTTTCGGCCTAAATGAAGACGCCTTATTCGAGGCAGGTGGCATGCCCATCATTTCCTTCATCATCCTTGAAAATTCCTCTTCATCAAAGGAAGCCTCTTTGTCCTCGCCGTCGCTACTGAACTCGTCGTCATCATCATCATCACTGTCATCCGATCCGAATTCGTTAATAAGATCTGCTCCATCGTAGCCAGCAGTATCATCATTGAGGAATTCTTCAAATTTCGAGACTATTCTCTGCAGGTTCTCTTGGGCAGCTTTGTCGCCAAAGTCGCCACCCTTCTTCGCCTCTCCTCTGCCACTTCTTCCTTTTAGCTCACCTTCAAGGTCTTCGAAGCTAATGTCAAGCCAGGATTCGTCGTCATCTTTCATATCCCAGCCTTTTATTTCCTTGTCTGTGGGAAGAGCCTCTTCCCCAGTGTCAACGTCTTCGAGAATAAGTTTCATTTCTCGCACATATTTCTTATCTCGGTTCTGGGGGTCAGAAAGTAGCATTTCAAAACCACAAGATAACTTCATCCCCATTTCGACACGCTCAGAGTCTTTTAAATTGTTGGTCTCAGGAACACGGCCCTTCCATTTTACTGGTGCTGGGAAATCCTGGCTTTTCAACTGTGCAAACCCAACTTTTGTGAATTTGGCACTTACTGTGACGAAATCTGCCGGTTCAAATACCAGGGGGTTCGAATCTTTACCCTGCAGCGGACGTAATGCAATGGGATCCCGGAGGTAAAATGCTTCTATAGCCGAAGATATATAACCCGGCTTGGTCCGCAGTAAATGTGCGATTTTACGCGGTACGGTAACCAGGGATGAATGCAAATTGTTCTCAATTTGATCTGGGTAGTTCCGGAGCCTATAAAAAGCCTCCTCCCCAATTGTGGGCGACCGCATCAGCTGTTTGGGTTCAGTGATGATGATATCCCTTGCGCCCCGGAAGGTTAGTTTTCCAAGGGTAACTTTCTTTCCTGTAGTAGCTGTAGGGGCTCCAGGCTTGATGATAACTAGCTCCCCCTTGTTGATCCAGACCTAAACTAGGAGTTAGTACAAATGGATATGCAAACTCGTTTAAAGTCAGCGATGCTTGCCTTACCCGATTATCTGCAATTTCAGGTTCTAACCACGCAGGCAATGCTGCCGCGGCTTCTACTAGCAGGAATTCACCATCGCTGTCCGTCAGCTTCACCCAGAGGTTATCAAACTTTCGGGAAGCCTCGCGCAGGAGGTATACAATGACCCATTCATCTTCGATCGAATCTCCATACTCGGTTCTGCCGCGAAGCAAATGTATCCCTAGGCGTGCGAAATCCTAAATTAGCTCGATGAAGAAATCTGTATCGAATCACTGGAATATACTTACCATCTTCCTTTATCAGTTCAATCTTGAAACTATCCCTTTGCCAGATGTAGTTCTTCAAATACTGTTTTACTAATCCTGACACATACTTCTGCACTTGAATCAGAGAACTTCGGGTTGAGTCTGATGCGTCTATATCGCTAGAGGAGCCGCTTGTTGACGGAATCCAGTACAGAGAATACTCCACACAGTCATCCGGGAGCTGAGGTTTAGGAATCGGCCGAAACGTAGACCTGAACCATGCAATGTCTTCTTCAGTAGGAGCGGACATATTTCGTACTCCCTTTGTAGCTGATGCCGTCTTCGTGTTCTTGTTGTCTATTTTCCATCTCGTCTTTTTCACTCTATTTGATTTTCTATATTTTTTGGCGGTTTTTCTTTTTTGATATTTTAAAGTTTGATGACCTCATCGGGCCTTCGGAGCGATATAAATCCGAGAAAAAGCACGCTAAACCCAAAAGAGCTATATGTAAACAACGTCACATCCAAACACGCCAAAAATTCACGGCTCGGCTTTTGACCTTCTTTTAATTCTGTAATGTCCTGGCTTTGATTCAGTGAATCGATTTCGTTATCTTTACTTTAAGGTCGAGTGTCGCGTACGGGGCCAACTAATGATTATAAATTCACGCGTGTCAATAAAGATTGTGAGCTGTCGACATGGCATTTCCTTACATCGACACTCCACGCACCGAAGTGGACGGAAACGCGACCTTTATCAGCCAGGGGCAGCGAAGCGCAACGCGGCATAATCTTTCGGCCTTAGACTCGGTTGAGAATTCGTTTGTATCGCCAACGAAGGATCACGATATCTTAAGAGAAACATCCGACTCGCGGAATCGACAGCGCAGACTCTCGCTTCGAACCCCCCGAGCAAGCCAAGGTCTTAAATCCGCAAGACTCGATAAACGCACACTACCCAACTCAGCATTGCCCAAGGGAGAGTTTACTCCTCTTATGAACAGTGTTACAAAAAACAATTTCTTGCGAACTGGTGGTGATCGCGCCCGGGGTGTGCCGGCCACGCCCGCTCTGTCGAAAATAGATGAAAGCAATATATACGAAGGAGCTTCCATGAATAGCTCTGCTTATGATGCGACTCCCGTACCTCAAGGCGCCCCGAGCAGCGGTCAGAGTACCCCGTTACCTACACTTCCTCAAAGAGATGGCACGGGTGGAGTGATCCGTGATGGGCAGAATATGACTTTGAGGGAACAAGAAAACGTACGGATTCTCATCTTTTCCTTTTCGTGAGCATAACTACCTGCCACGTAGGTATACTGATTAAGAAGTACTAACTTCTTGTTACAGATTATCAATAAGTTTGATAAGGAGAACTTTGGACTTAAGTTAAAAATACATTACTTGGAGGAACAGTTAAAAAAGGCCGGCCCTGAGCTGAACCAGGCTGCTTTAAAAGAAAATACGGAACTCAAAGTTTCAAAATTAACAGTTCAGAGGGAGCTGTATCGGTGCAAAAAAAGCCTTATTCATGCTGAGCATGATCTGGAATCCTGTAAACTTCAGCTTCAGGAATTCCGAGAGAAACTGGCATCAAAACAGTCTGACGGCACAACTCAGGAAACAATAAAATGGATGCGCCAAGAATTGGAGTCCAAAGATGCTGACATAGCAGATCTTCAAGAACAAGTAAGGTCGGTGGAATCCAAACAGGCAGAGGAGGTTGCCAATCTAAGGGAAGAAATAAATGAGCTGGAATATACCCTTCGTGAGAAAGATAGACGCATTGAGGAGAAGGAAGAAGAAATCGAGAGCCTGCAATCTAAACATGCCGACGAAAATGCCAATATAGCCGATTTGGAGACAGAGCTTGAAGATGCCAGGGGCAAAATTGAAGATCTTCAGGATAGCCTGGAGCGAGCGAGGGCTGAGGCTGAAGATGCGGAAACAGCTTGCGAGCAAGCTCTCCAGGAAAAAGAACAAGCCGCCGAAGACTTAAGAGAACTTCAAGATGAGATGGCCAATAAGTCTATTTCTGCTTCGGGGCTCACTCGTCAATTGGAGGAAAGGGCAAACAAATTGGAGACCGAACTTACCACTGTTCGGCAACAACATGCCACACTTCAAGAAAAGCTAGAGAATAAAGCGCAGTTCGAACGTCGGCTACAGGAGCAGATCAAGGACCTTAAACAAGAGCACTCATCCACAGAGCGCGAACTCATCTTCCTTCAGAAGGAACATGCCGGTTGTCAAGGGGATATTGAAGGCAAAATAAACTCCGAAAATAGATTACAAGAGCGAATCGAAGATCTTAAGCAGGAACTCTCGTCTACCAGATCTGATTTACAGCATGACCTTGAACAGGCTCGCCACGAGAAAGCAATTGCAATCCGTGAGCAGAAGTCCGCTTTGTCCCGCCTTCAGTCTCTTGAAGACGAACTACAACAGAAAGGAGACACAAAAAGCCTATTGCAAACCCGGCACGATGCTTTAACGAACGAATCCAAGGCTCTTCAAGGGGATCTAGATAGAGCAAAGAGGACAATTGCCGAGTTGGAAGAAGATGCTGCAGCTGAACGGCAAGAATCACTGAACACGCTTGAAGAAATGAGACGCCGCCACAAAGACGAGATTGATCAACTAAACTTGCAAATTACGGTTCTTCGTCGCGAGGTAGACAACAAGAACTCCTTATTCAATTCGGACTTGGACAAATGGGAAAACATCAAGCGATCATTAGAACTGGAACGGGACCGGGCACTGCAGCAAGCTGAGGCACATAAACGAACAGTTGACAGCCTTCAGCAAATGGAAACGACAAAATCCGGACGGGAGAAAAGATTGCAGGATATCATTGACAGCGAGAAACAGCGCCGTCTGCAACAGGAAGAACTCCTCACTCGTCAGATAAAAGAACTCAATGATGACATCTCATCTAGAAGGGAAGCATCCGAAACCCAAAGATCGGAGCTACTCTCCCTAAAGGAGCAGCTCAGAGTTAGCCGGCGTGAAGAACAAACTCTCAAAGAAAAAGTACAAGGCTTAGAAGACGAGATTATTGTCTTACAAGCCAGCTTGGAAGAAGAACAACAGTATGCCTTGGCTCAGCGAAAGGCTGGTAATTTGGAGTCCGGCAATCATTTGCAGAGTATTGTACAGGAAAGGCAGGCCCTTAGAGAACAGTTTGCTGCCGCAAAGGCCGAGCTAAAAGAGCTCCAGGTTACCCTTGCTGAGGTAGAAGCAGAGAGAGATGGCCTCCAAGATGAACTTGCTCAATATGATCATGCCGGTGATACATCTCGAGTCGACCAGGAAAAGCTTGAGTTGAAGAAAGCAAACCTACGTCTAGAACGAGACATTATTCGGTTAAATACTGAGAGAAGCTCATTGCAAGAAGCTAAAAATGCTCTTCAGAATGAAGTGGACAATGAGCTTATCCGGGCCGCAGCGGAGGAAGAACGCCTAGCCGCAGAAATCAATCGATTACAAGACAAGCTATTCATGGCTGATGATAAGAAAGATCGTGAACTTCTGTCATCCAGGAGCAAGATTACTCGACTTGAAGCCCGCCTCAAGGAACTGGAAGCACATCTCCACAATCCCATGCCATCCGAGCCCGCATCTCCCCCAGAACATGCTGATGCATCAATATTCCGCCAATGTCTAGCTGAAAGTCGGGAGCGTGAGAGGTTCATCCTCCAGCGAGAATCAGACTTGAAGTCGTCTATTCGACTTCTCAAGTCTCGAATCACTGATTTAGAGAAAGAGAACCATGAACTTCAGATTGCGCGATATGAAGGCAGCTCTCTGGTGCCCTCTTCTCCCTCTTCACAGCTTCAAGAAGAATTGCGAAATCTCCGTGCACAAAATATAGAGGTCCATAAGGCTCTGAAGGAACTAAAGGCCAAGAACCGTGAACTTGAACAACAAAGGTATTCTGCCGGCGAAAAGAGCCAGAACTTTAGTGAAGTACTTGATCTTTCTACATTCGATGCAGAATCAATCGCGGCCAAGTTGGCAAGACGTGAAGCCCGAATCCATGAGCTTGAAGTTGACCTCCATCGGATACGTGGAGAGCGATCTACCGCTCTCAAGAACCTGAATGCGGCAGATCGTAGGATAAGGTTACTGCAAGACCGCCATCCTAAAGCCATCCATGATATGTCGAGGCAACTAGAAAAACAGAAATCTCGGCATGACAGGGAAATAGAAGTCCTGCGGATGGACCTTCTCTGGAATCAAGTACGTTTGATCCGCGCAGAGCAGTTCCGAAGGGACCTTGCTTGGTACAAGGAAGTCTCACAGTACAGGGAACAAGAGCGAATTAGGGCTACTTGGTATGTGCCTTTTCTTTACTCGTTGTGCCATACCAGATCCGAGCTAACATCGTTAAACAGTGCCCAAATAGAGCGTCAGATGATAGCTAATATGGGTATAGTGGTTTCTGAGGCTGCTGAGCAACTGAGCCCTATTCAGAAATTCAAAGCTGGTATTTCAGTCGCACTATTCATCGCCCGAGCAAAGCGGGTGACGATGGAATGGAAGAAGAACTCACAGATAGGAGATTTGGTCAAGCGAGCCAAGAAAGACCAGCTCAGAAAACATGGAAGAGTAGGGCAGAAATGAGGGTGCATATCAACAGGATTTCTTTATTGACGCTTAATGAACCTTTTTGCTGTTTTCCCAGATCGTATTGGTTAAATAATTATTGTTAGTTAGGTTGATAGCGTTCGGTTCCTCGGCGAAAGGAGGCAAAACCCAGGGTTTGGCTGGCGTTTGGGTATTGGAATCTGTTTACGACTTGTATATCGAAGCTGGTTATGAATCATTTTGTGGTTAAATCTGATAAATTCATTACTCCGTTCGCTAATACGACAATAACTAGGGGTAACTAGTGAGTCTTTCAACATAATATCCCAAGCGTAAAGGAAGGGTATGCACGTAATAAGGAAAAGGGGTTGTGAATAAATGGAGGAAGCATGAAAGCCGGGCAGCAGGGAGCTAAGCACCCTCACTTCCAAACAAAGCCGTCCACTCAGCACTTTTGGCAAGGTCTTCGGGACTAACGGTCGGTCGAGATCCCTTGACAGCCTTGACAAAGTCTTTGAGGACAAGCGGAGGCTCAAGGAGCTCGTCAGGGTTTACATCGACCCAGGTCATTTCAACGGCTCCCTGATCGCCTGGAGAGCATGGAGTAACTTTTTGTACTCCATCCACCATGACCTATTATACATCAGAGATTAGCCTTGAATGATGCGAAGGAAACCAAATTCTCGAAGAGGGGCGTACACACCTTCTTATAGTGGGTGGCAGATTGAATCTTGCGAACAGGCTGCATAAGCGCGTCCTGAACTGCAATGTTTATATCACTCCCTGAGTAGCCCTCGGTCAATTCCGCAAGAGTTCGGAAATCAGGAACCGTCAGCTCGCAAGGCGTGCTGCCTATACTTATTTTAAACATTTTCATCCGGGCAGCCATGTCCGGCAGACTTATATAAACTCTTCGCTGGAAACGTCGTCGAATTGCCGAATCTAGCTGCCAGGGAATGTTCGTTGCTCCAAGAATCAACACTCCGCTGGAATCTTTGCCAACACCATCCATTTGGATAAGAAGCTCGGTTTTGATACGGCGTGATGCATCTGGTTCTCCTTCCCCACGGGCACCGCAAAGAGCGTCTATCTCATCAATGAAAACGATAGCGGGTTTATTTTCTCGAGCCATATTGAATAATTGTTTAACGAGCCTAGTCATCAATCATTGTATTAGTCTCTTTGCATCACATATGAGATGGGTTCAAGTCTCGAAACTAACCTCTCACTCTCTCCCATCCACTTGGAAACGAGGTCACTACTGCTGATACTGAAAAATGTGCTATTGGCCTCTGTGGCCACCGCTTTAGCCAGGTAGGATTTACCTGTCCCAGGTGGTCCATAAAGCAATATTCCTTTCCAAGGTTGGCGGTTCCCTGTGAATAGTGACGGAAATTTGATGGGTAGTATGACTGCTTCTTGGAGGGCCTCTTTTGCGCCTTGCAAGCCAGCAACATCTTCCCACCTTACATTGGGCTTATCCGTTAATATAGCACCTGCCAAAGCTCCACGGAGCTTTTTCGACTCGGCGTCTTCGTCTTCGTCGCCACCTTTGCTAGAGATAGAGAAATTCACGTTAGAGTCAACCTCACGCTTATCAGTGATACACAGTCGAGGCAAGCCTGCTGCTAACTCACCCTCCCTTCCCACTGCCATGCGCAACCTTCCCATTTGCTCCAACCGCACTCGGTTTCTTCCGATTATCCAGTCCCGCAAGATGGTTCTTTAATTTCTCTGCTCTCTCCATGTATTCCCCGGTCTTTGCCCGGATCATCTCCTTCGACTTGGGGTTTTTCTCCCATTTTAAGGCAAGCATGAACAGCTCCAGGGCTGAGTAGTATGTCTGGTATGCTTTCTCATAATCGCCCGCATTATCAAGTTCAATCGCGCTCTTCACGGTGTCGATCGCCCGGCCGAGGAAATCAGTGTTGCTCATCGTGTCCCAATTTAAGTGTATATCCCGAAAAGAAGAAAGTAAGAGAAGCGAAATATCACAGCACCGCTCAGTCTGTGGGTAGCGCTATCCAAACCGCTTTAGATTAGGAGGGGCGAGATGTGTTTGATGTTGGGTCCAAAATAGCGGTGCTTCGAGAGGGCTATGACAGGGAAACGCTACTTTTTCAGAGTATCTCCAGGGTAATATGCATATCGTGGGTCTCGGCAGTAAGAAACAATCGTCTGTATCTGAAATGTGGTAGCCTAAATCTCCAAGATATCGACGTTGGCGTCGTTGTTGTTTGGAGTGAACTTTGGGTGATTTTCCCCAGCTTCGTCCTTTTAGCGCTTTTTTTTCGTTGCTGGGCGAAAGAAAGATCCGCGATTAGATAAGAAGACATGAAGACGGAGACAACGACAACGCAGAAACACTTCAACACTTACCGTCCATTTTAGCATTGAAGAAGACCGATTCTCAGGCATGGCAGACGCTCAGAAGCAGCTTCAGGCTCTCAGCGAAGAGTATCAGAAGCTCCAAACCGGTCAGAACCCCCGCAACTATACCCATAAACGGCCCCTCTGCTAACTTCTGCCCCTCCGTATATACAGAGCTTGATGAAGCTATTGGAGCTCGAGAGAAGCTTGAAGCCCAGCAGCAGGAAAACACGAGTGTGCAAAAGGTGAAATACTATAGTGCATCGGTTGGAAAGGCACTGTTGCTGACGGGTGGACACTGACCAGGAATTCAAAACGCTTGACGATGATGCAAACATTTATAAACTCGTTGGACCGGTGCTGTTGAAGCAGGATAAGACAGAGGCCGTCATGGCCGTTGATGGCCGTCTGGACTTCATAGAAAAGGAAATGTAGGGTGGTGCTCTTTTGTGAAGCTGGCGCGGCTACCTTTACCCATGATATTGATTATTTCATCAACAGCAAGCGAATCGAGAAGCAAATCACCGATATACAGGAGAAGAGTGACACCAAGAGGGGAGAGGTATGCCGTTACTCCCTAGGTTTCCGAACTTCCAGTGTTCATATTATGGCTAACCTATATAAACAGATCATTCAATTACAATCGCAAATACAGCAGCCACAGCCTGGTGGAGCTCCTGTAGCCGCCTGAGGACAATCGGAGTTGTGCGTTTGATAGCCCCAAAGTGACCATGATTAGTCCAATTACCTACCATGCGAATGCTCAGGTGGCCAGGATATAAATACCCTACGAAGGAGAGCTTACCTGGAACCCATATCCAAGTCTCTCCGAGCAGAGCCGGTAATAATAGGCTAGTGTCTTATAATCACAGTCGAGCATACGACTAGACACAGGCTGCTCTGAAAGCAGCGACTATCCCTGCTCCTGCTGGTCAGAGCTGGTGCTACCAAGTTAACTATTGAGCAGAAAAGCCATACAAATAAAAAATTAATATTTTTCTTTTCTCTTTAGAACACACGAGCTCGAATCCTTGCACTTTAAGCCATCATTCTATGAATGCATCGGCCTGATCTTCCCATATTTACAACCTTATTTAAACGACCTCCATTTTACCCATGCTAATTCTAGAGATAGATATTTATTATCTATCTTTTATGCCCTGACAAGCAAGCTAGTACCGTCCATTTCCTCTGGCTTCTCAATACCCATGACATCAAGGATAGTAGGAGCGACGTCACCGAGGACACCGCCAGATTTCTTCAAACTCCAGCCTTCGGGAGCATTTGCCATAACGAACGGAACCAAGTTAGTAGTGTGAGAGGTTTTGGGACTTCCGTCCGCGTTTTTCATTTCTTCAGCGTTTCTAGGGGTGGAAGTTAGCTTGATGATACCACGGGCAAGGGATAATCGTTCCAAATGTTTAAAATCACTCACCCATGGTCAGCAGTAACAAATAGGACGTATCCATGTTTCTTGCAAGCCTCATAGACACAACCGATGGCGGCATCAGTGGCAGCAACACCCTGAATGGCGGCTTCATACACACCAGTATGGCCAACCATATCTGGTGGAGCGAAGTTGTTCATCAGGAACTCGTACTTGTTGTCTGCAATTCTTTCCGCAAGCTTCTCTCCAACCGGCTTTGCGCTCATCTTGGGGTCAAGATCATAGGTTGCAACCTTTGGAGATGGAATCATTTCTCTGTCTTCGCCTTCGAATTGTTTCTCAACACCTCCGTTGAAGAAGAAGGTGACGTGGGCATATTTCTCAGTCTCGGCAATGTGGCACTGTTTAAGCTGCTTCTTGCTCAACCACTCGGCAAGAACATTACCCATATGCTGGGGAGCAAAAGCAATTGGGAAGGGGTAGTCGGTCTTGTATCTGGTCATAGTGGTGAGAGAGATGTTCTTGGGGTAAGGGAAGTCCGGCTTTGGAGACCGGTCCACATCTCCAAGAAGCTGTGTGATTTCTCGGACACGGTCTGAGCGGTAGTTGAAGAAGAAGAGGGTATCGTTGTCTTTTTTACGGCCATTAGCGATCTTGTTCACCTAGAAATTACGGGGTGATACTGAGACTGCCTACCTTGGACTCTGCGCTCCTTGCCACCGAAGATGATCGGCTTCAAGAATTCATCATTTTCACCCTTGTCATATCTCTCCTTGATCGTCTTAACCGCATCAGAGCTCTCCTCGCCCTCTCCACAGACGATACCCTTCATGGCGATCTCAATACGGTCCCATCGCTTATCACGGTCCATGGCATAGTACCGGCCAACAACGGTAGCCAGCTCACCTACACCTAGTTCCTCAGTCTTCTTCAAGAGCTGCTGCATGTATTCTGCGGAACTCTTCGGGTCTGTGTCTCTTCCGTCGCCAAAGAAGTGGATGAAGACCTTTGGCACACCCATCTCCTTTGCTACCTGGAGCAAGCCAAACAGATGGTTGATGTGAGAATGCACACCACCATCGGAGATAAGTCCAAGCAAGTGAAGTCTTCCGTTTCCGTCCTTTGCATTCTGGAACGACTTGACGATGTTCTCGACCTTGTTCAGCTGACCCTTCTTCAAGGTCTGGTCGATGCGGACGACGTCCTGCCACACCACTCGTCCCGCACCGATGTTCAAGTGCCCGACTTCACTGTTTCCCATGAGGCCATCCGGAAGACCAACGGCGGTAGAAGAGGCGTCAATCTCGGTGTATCCCTGGGCGGTCTTGGATCCCTCTTGAGCAAAGCCGGACATCACGGGAGTCTCAGCAGCAGCAATAGCATCGCCGTCCTTTGGGGAATTGGGGCCAGGAATTCCCCAGCCATCGATGACAACTAGATATCAAGTCAGTATATGCTGTCTTCGTAGGCTGTACCAAATAGAAGTGCTCATCTATAGAACGCCCTCCCCCTTAGCGTCAACAAACGGAGTAGATATTCAAACGTACTCAACACTGCCTTGTTTTCTACCTTCGCCATGATGGATAGAAGTGAACAGACACAATTAACTGACGGCAGACCAGATCAACCAAAGCTCTCAGTCTCTATCAGTGCAAGAAGGTGTAAGAATCTCTAGAGCAAGTCCTCGATAGCGGGGGACGAAGATAGTGATGGAGGGGCGCTCCGGAACATTTTCTTCTGCCGCGCAAAGAAGCAAAAAAGAAAAAAAAACATCGCAACGACGTCATTTCTTCAAATTCCCGCAAGCCACTCAACAACTCGGCTGTTGAACAGACATACCTATCAAGTGCAGTCTTGCATCCTCCAGGAACATAAAGAACCCAGAAGAAACCACAAGGATAACAAGGATAACAACATAATGTCTGTCCAGCCGTCGCCGTCACGCGCAACTCCAACGCGCAAAACGCCCGGCGTCTCCTCCACGCATCCAAACACTCCAACCATCCAACCACCGCAAGCACAATCGCAATCACTATCACAGTCACAGCAAGACGAAGTCATGATCAGCTCCTCCGATCCAACTGTCGCGCCTCCATTTCCTCCTCCACAGACATTCGACGTCATCCCGCCCCTCCACGCCCTCCTGGCACGTCTCTTATCGAACCAGTCATCCAGCTTCGCTACCGGTCAGCCGGGGGAGCCGGGCCTATCTCAATCTACGGAGCAGACGCCCGGCGGTGGGATTGCGTCGTTGGACGGGCTTGATCCGAAATCATTGCTTACGGGAGCTAGTGCGGTGAAGATACGCATTCAAAAGGCGAGGAATGCGGTTGAGGAGATGCCGGATATCGATCGGACGATCGCAGAGCAGGAAGAGGAGATTGCGATGCTGGAAAAGAGGATTGGGAAGCTTAAGGGGGTTCTGGACGATTTCAGAGTGAGAAGTGAGAAGCTTGCGGGTGGATTATGATTGCCATACTGTGCCTTTCGTGTTTAGAGGCCGTGCTGTGAGATTGTACGATATAGACGAGCGATGTCACGATACCTTATCTTTTTTTTTTCTTTCGGTTTTACAGGAGACAGTGGAAGCTTGGGATGATGGTCAAAAGTCATGCATTTTGAGAGCTGGAGCTTTGAGACCAGGACAGCCGGTGATGAGACACGGCTGCCATCGAAATAGTTGAATGTACAAAATATAATAGAGACAAGAAAGGCACGGAAAACCAGCACGAACTAAGAAGAAAGTTGATATCATCCCACCGAAAACACCATGGATTACTTGTTGAAGATCCATAACACATATTTTTGACCGGTCATCGCTCCCAAAAAAAGAAGATCGTGTTTGCACATAAAGGTTGAAAATTCATCGCTATTTTTTTACCCGCTTTTTTTTTCATTCTGTTTCCGTTCGAAGCAATGCACCGGCTCATGAGATCAAGGGAAGGGGAATAAGGAGGAAAAAGAGGTTGGGGAGGAGGGTATATATAAGTAGTTAACTTAGACTGGGAGAGGGAAGGTGTTGGCCCATTCGGCAATCTCCTTTCTGAGCTCAACGATCTCCCCGACGGAGTCATCAGCAACCTTGGCCTTGAAGTCCTTGAGCTTGTTGGCCTCCTTGGGCAGCTTGCTCTGGACATCCTTGCAGATGTTGATGGCGGTGTCGATGTAGCGGGTGATGCGCTTGAAGTCTTCCTCACCCATACCACGGGAAGTCATGGCTGGGGCACCGATTCTGAGACCGCAAGGAGTCAAGGCAGACTTGTCTCCGGGGATGGAGTTCTTGTTGCAGGTGATGTTGATCTGCTCAAGGACAGCCTCAACACGGGCACCGTCAAGGCCTCTGGGCCTTAGGTCAAGGAGAACCATGTGGCTGTCGGTTCCGTTGGCGACGAGGGTGTGTCCGAGCTTCTTGAGCTCTTCCTCGACTGCCTTGGCGTTCTTCAGGACTTGCTCCTGGTATTGCTTGAACTCGGGGGTGTCAACCTGCTTGAGGGCAACGGCCAAGGCGGTGATGGTGTGGTTGTGAGGACCACCTTGGTGGCCGGGGAAGACGGAGAAGTTGATTGGGTTCTCAAGGTCATACATGATCTCCTTGCCAGACTTGTCAGTGCTTCTAACTCCCTTGCGGAAGAAGATCATGGCTCCTCGAGGACCACGAAGAGACTTGTGGGTGGTAGTGGTGACAACATCAGCATGCTCGAATGGAGATGGAATGACACCAGCAGCAATGAGACCAGAGATATGAGCCATGTCGACAATGAGATAAGCACCAACAGAGTCGGCAATCTTTCTCATTCTAGCATAGTCAATGAGGCGGCAGTAGGCGGAGGTACCGGCAACAAGACACTTTGGTCTGTAGAGCTTAGCATTGGACTCGAGGAGGTCATAGTCAATGATGCCAGTCTCGAGGTTGACCTGGTATGGGAAGGTCTCAAAGTAGGTAGAGACGGCAGAGATCCTGTCATCATCCAACGTTAGCATTGTTTAACATTGTCAACTTGAATACAGGATACCTGTATCTGTATATTGTGCACTTACTTCTTAGCGGGAGTCTGATAACCGTGACTCAGATGGCCACCGTGGGGCAAATCCAAACCCATGAGTCTGTCATGAGGTCTCATCAAGGCCTGGTAGACCTGCAGGTTGGCAGGACTTCCGCTGAGACACTGGACGTTGACGCCCCATTTCTCAGGGTCGAGGTTGAAGGCCTTGAGAGCTCTGCGCTGGCAGGTCAGCTCGAGCTCGTCGATGTGCTGGTTTCCACCGTAGTAACGAGCTCCGGGGTATCCCTCCGAGTACTTGTTCGACATGGGAGAGCCCAGCGCATCGAAGACAGCTCGCGAGGTCACATTCTCAGAGGCAATGAGCAGGATAGATTCCCGTTGACGCTTGATCTCTTTCTCCTGTTGTCTTCGTCAGTAACCAATTACTCATATACTCGCAAAACGCAACAGCAGCACCACCGCCACCACAAGTCAACAGAGACAACAGATAAAGAAAAAACCAGACGTACCATGATATTAGCGATCTCAGGATCAGAGTCCACGAGGGACTTTTCCATTTGCTGTTCGGCGGTTGTTAGAATCGCATCTCACAGGCAGCTTTTCCTTCGCTGGAGGGGTAGCTCAGGCGCCGACTTACCTCGCGATGAGCCTGGGAGAGAGCGTAGGTAGACATGATGAGACTCTTCAGCGTAGACCTCTTGATCAATTCCTTGACGGCAAGCACAAAAGACAAGCAGCTGCTCTGTATCTTCAGGTGTTGTTTGTTGTTGAAGAGAAGAAGCGAAATTTCGGCGGTTGGTTTTTCTTTCTCTTTCTTTTGCTGCGGGACGAAAAAGTTCGGTGGGGTTTTTGGTTGGTCGCTTTATTTTTTGCTTCTTTTCTTTTCGCTTCTGCTTCTTCTTGCGCATAAATAATAAGACTTGATAAGATAAATTCGCCGGGAGTCGGAGCTTGCACAGGCACAGGCTGGGTTGATTATTGACATTTGCGCCCTTTGCGGGTACTTCCGCGGCCGTTAGGTAGACGAAGGAGGCCGGAGGAAGCGATAGTTATGGAAAAGTCGGAGAGATCTGGGGCCACCGGAGTAAAAGAAGAGAGCATAGCAAAGGATGGTATGTCTACATTGATTTGATTTCATTTGATTGATTGATTGATTGATTGATTGATTGACTGGTTCATTCCGACTATTTTTTCCTCTTCTTCTCTTCCTTGCGAGCTTTTCTCTCTCCTTCGGTCTCGTCTCTGTGCTTCTTGCTGCTCTTCTTCTGTACTTCCGGGCTGTCTTCCTTGCTCTTCTTTGCCTTCTTCTGCTTCTTCTTCTCTTCTCGAATTGGTAGAGCCTTCTCACCTGACTCTTCTTCTTCTTCTTCCTCCCCCTCGTCCGGTACAAGCACGACGTCCTGCTTTCTCTTCTTCTGCTTTCCCTTGCGATCTAGGTCAGCTCCCTTGGGTACCTTGAACTGCTTGTCTTCTATCTCCGGCTCCTCGTCACTCAACCCAATGGTCTCTGGGAGCTGGTCTGCTGAGCCAAAGGGCTTGTAGCGCATTCGCAGATGCTGAGGCTGCTTTGGTGGCTTCTTCGTCAAGGCTGATATGTCGACTGATCCGTTGGCCTGGAAGCTGTCTTCCTGCGGGAGGTTGACGACCTGCTCTAGATGGTATGTTCGAGACACCGGGAGACTTTGTCGGCGATAGACATTGCCATTCTTGTCAGGGACAAGTAGCGATTTCTGCTTCTCGGACCCTCCTAGCTGGCTCTCTTGTAGTTTGTATGCGGTTCCCTTATGTGTTAGAACCGGCTCTCCGCTTGTGATCGCGTCCATGGCAATAGCCTCTATCGACGACACGGGAACGCCAATTGGAGCTGTTATATGCCATAATTGCTTGCCATCGAGATTGGATAAAAGCTGTGATATATTGCTAGGTTGGGTGGAGGACTTCTGCATGAACTGGAAGCCCGGCGGAGGCTTGAATGCTTTTGTTGGTAGAGGGACAACAGTATGTCTATAGTATTATTATAAAGACAAAGACGTTAGCTAAAAGAGCACACCCATTTAAAAAGTTTCATAAGTTTTATCCAGGCCAATTGCGTACTCTTCTTGTATCGTTACCCTCTTCTTGGTAGAAGGAGGCGGTGGTGGTGTCTGTTCTGCAGAGGATTCATCTTCCGAGCTAGAATCACTTGATTCCTCTGTTGACTCGGCAGGCTTCTTGCTCTTATTCTGCTTCTGCTTCTGCTCCTTTGTAGGCCGCGATTCCTGCTCACTCTCTGAGGAACTTGAGTCGTCTGAGACTATCTCTTTGCTCAAGGGCGCTGCCTTCATCTTGTAGTGTGTGTAGAGTTGATTCAAAGCTTCCCTATGTCGAGTGTCCGCCCGTGAATGGGAATTGAAAATAGATCGCCTGCAAATGAGATACTAAAACAGCGACTTGATTCGTTATTTCGTCTAGATATAAAACAAAACAGTGATATCTTCTTCTCTTCTTCCTCTCTTCTTCTTCTTCTTTTCTTGTCGTTTTTTTTTTTCTTCTAAAACTTTTTTCTTTTGCGCCGAGCACGGGCCACATCCAAAGCCGATAAGATAACTAAAAAAAAAAGAAAGAAAAGAAATGAATTTCGTGGATAGCGAAATGGAAGAAGAAGAAGATATAAAACTCGTTGAGCACTTGTCGGTCGCTGGCGTCATCATAAGAGGAGTTGGGTCCAGATGATGAAACGAAAGGCGACGGAGCAATTGCATCCAGGTAGGTTAAGACTCTCCCATTGCGTTTCGGACAGCAATTGCTAACCTCCTCCTCTCTACCCAGCTATCAGTGCAGTTGCCGCTCGAAGGGCCCGTCAAGCCAAAGCTGCGATCGAAAGGACGCCAACAGACACCCGGTCGACAGAAAACTCGTCATCGCGGGAGATAGAGACATTGCCGTCTCCAGTACCCTATAATCAGGCTCGGGCTCCTCAAGAACCTGCACCTGTTGCCCGTGATGCGGCTCCGGTGAAAGTCAGTCCAGGCGCGGGAGCATTAGAGAACAGGAATAGAAATCAGCCTACGCAGCCGGAGACTACTACTAATGGAGAGGGGTAAATATACATCTAATCAATCAGGTTGAAGTGAAGTTGTTAAACGACATTTTTAGAAATGCGCCCGAACCAGCTGCGGATAATTTCCTTCTGTCGAAGAGCCAGTTCACCAGAGACAACATCATATACGGCAGAGAAGATGCTGTCTGTATACGGTTACCGATCGGGGAGGTATGGCTGCTTCCCCCTTCAATAGTTTGAGAGGTACAGCGCTGATTGGCAAGCAGACATTGGCGGTTATTGGCCGTTACGATATCTGGGTGAAGCGAGGGGTTGTGAGCGTGATGGGAGCAAAGCTATACCCGTGTGATCGATTGTACAGGGTCTATGCTCCTTCTACCCACTCGCTGCCTATTATAAAATCTGTCTCGGGCATAAATGGGTTTTCTGAATTCGAGCTTATTTCGGTGGAAGACGGTCTGTCCGAGCTCAGTCGGATATCGAATCTGTACCGTCGGATCTGGAACGGCTCTGCGGAGATATCGACTCGATCCCTTTTTACTCTCAGTAAGGAGAATGCCTCGTTTTCGCTTGTGAGTTTCACTTGTCGCCTCAACATGGGGATGGTGATATACTAATTTAAGAAATACTAAATAGTTGGCTTCATCTGGGGATGATCCTTACAAGCGACCTCTTCGGCCACTGCATCTAGATAAGAAATGGAGTTCGATGATCAAGCGTCTGTCCCAGCGCGGTAGGGATCTATGCGTGCTCACCTGTGGTCCAGGAGGGTCTGGAAAGTCAACATTTAACAGATACCTGCTTAACCACCTGTTGAGCCCCCCGCCAGAGGACCTGGACAACAGGGCACAACATGGCGAAGGCGTTCTATTCCTTGATCTAGATCCCGGGCAACCAGAGTTCTCACCGATAGGCCACGTCTATCTCGCGCATATCCGGGCTCCAGCACTAGGACCGCCTCTGTCGCACCCATTATTATGTGCAGAGGACGGCTCGATCATCCGAGCACATCATATCGGTAGCAGCTCTCCCAAAGATGACTCGAAGCACTATGTCCGATGCACTATGAACCTTCTACGGTACTACTATGGAAGTATATCTGAAACTTACTCGCAGTGTCCGCTAATCATCAACTACCCCGGCTGGATCTTTGGGCAGGGCCTAGAAATTCTAACCGGGTTTCTGGAGGCGCTTAGACTGTCAGATGTAGTGTACATGAGCGAAACAGGGCCGGAGGAAGTGGCTGGGCCCCTGAAGTCTGTGGCAAGGGGAGTTGGCACACCGTTCTGGACGCTGCCATCGCAGCCAACTGAGTATGCGACGAGATCTAGTGGCCAGCTCCGCCAGATGCAGATGCTATCTTACTTTCACATGCAAGAGAGTCCGTGTTCGACCAGTGCATACTGGTCTGCGACGCCTCTGGCACATACGCGTGCAGTGAAGGTGGCCTACTCGGGCAGCAGCCAAGGCATTCTTGGTGTGATGATAGCTGGCTTCCCTCACGATAAGGAGCATATATTCGATCTATTGGATGGAGCTATCGTGGCCGTCGTGGCAATCGAACGTGCCGATGCCATCAAGCCGGTTCACGATGACGTCGAGCCAGCCGAAGTGCTCTTCCGTGCAGAAGAGGATAGTAGATCCGAAGAAGACGCGGCTGAAGACGAAGGTAGTACAGCAGTAGCAGCAGCAACCACAGCAACATCACCAGCAGCAACGACAACATTACAGACCTTAGCCGAAAGGCTACAGCCACACCTACACCGCACGAAGGAGAACATTCCTTATCTATTCAGCGGCAATGGGACATGCTCGTATCTGAACCCACGACACTCACGCTCACTCGGTCTAGCCTTGGTCCGGAGCATCGACACCACCAGCCAGGCCCTGGAGCTTATCATGCCTATTCGATCTGCGGCTGTACGCGATGCGTTGGAGCGCGGACATCAAATCGTGCTTGTGCGAGGCCAGCTCGATAACCCTGACTGGGCCTTGATGGAGGAATACTTCGCCGCTAAGTGGGCGCACAAACACCTCCCTTCTCGGCTGGACAAGATGCGGAGGGAGAAAAAGAGCCAAAGAGAGATGACGATCTATCAGGAGCGGGTGAAGGAGAGAGTACGCAGAGCCATGCAGGTGCCGTGGGTGCATCCTGAGCAGACGAAGAGCGGTAGCCCAGGGAAGAAGAAGGAAAAGCGAGACGTGTGGAAGTTGAGGAGAGACGAGGCTGCAGACTCGAGCGGGAGCGAGCGGGAGTGGTGATTATTGTCTGTTCTTTTTGCTTTTATAGATACATTAGATTACGGCTTGGTTGGGTTGTGTAGTTTACCTTGGCTGGTGGTTATTTGGTTAAACTAGCTACTCCTGATCCTGATTTATGGAAGGAGTAACCAAAAAATATAAAAAAAAATATAAGAGAAATATTGATCGACGCAGGGATCGAACCTGCGATTTTCCGCGCAACTTTATTTGTAAGGCGGACGCCTTAACCACTGGGCCAGTCGATCTACAGAATGGCAAAAACACAGCTTTTGGTCATGAGCCAGTGCCAACTTTGGAGCCTTTATTGCAGCCTTGCTTATATAAGCCTAATTGACAGGTGCCACGTGATGTAGTAAACTTGCCAAGTAATAGAGGCTCAGTCAGTCTCTATGCTGGATAGCATGATATAGGTGATTAAATTATTATCATTATGATAACAAGCGATAGGATAGCATATCTTGATTAAGAAAAAATAAGGTAGCCTCAATAATATTCTTTTCTTTATCTGCTACTATCTTTTGTCTTTTTTTGTTGATAAAAGCTTGAGCTGACTAAGACTAAAGCTAAATACAAAGGAAGCGGGAGCTAGCAGGTTGTTAGGAGCAAACGGAATAGAGACAAGAGAACTTGGTAGTTAACTAAGGTAGTTTAGGTAGGTGGTTAGATGAGTGATGCATGTACGGAGTACATCTATAACTCCCTTTGGACGGCTGTATGCGTCTTATGTATACAAACAAGGCATCGTCCAACCTTGGCCACGAACACGAGCCAGCATCCAACATCAGCATGCTACCATGGCTATAACGGGATCCAGCATGCGTGTATCCCTGGGATAGCAGAGCCAAAAGAGGCGAGTCGACGCTGGCGATGCTTCGGACCGTCAAGTCGGACAGCCAACGGGAGCAGACCATGTCATCATCGAGGCTGAACGACTTTAACTACACGGACGGAGCACAAACACCAACACTGCATGTACACATGCATCGACCATCGTTACTCCGTGCTCCAAACACAGGCCAGCTGCGTCATGTAAGTCAGGACGAGAGTGTGAGTGAATCGTGCATGTCAAAGGTCTATCTTGACGCAGCTACCCAGGCATCCATGTCCAAACCAGGCGGAACGGTTCGTCGAGCCCAGGGATGAAACGCAGCACAGTAAGAAGATACGATTAATCGATATTTAGTACTCCGTTAGTACTCCGTACTCGCCGGTGACTATGAAAGGTAATTGTTAATATCGGGGATATGTCTATACATATTCCGTACTTGTACGAAGACCTGGCAATAGCCGAACAAAAACGAGGAAAAAAAGCCACCGAAGCCGGGTTGAGGGCTTGCAAGGGAGCGGTATGAGATAAAAGAAAACAGGCGGAAGCAGGATCCGAAGGATAACTATGAAGTAATAGTTGAAATTTGGTGAAGAAACGAAAAGACGGGGGAGAAAAAGCAAAACGCGTACCGGGACTGTATGTACAGATGTTTCTGGAGACGCATCACAAAGTCGCTGTCGACCGTTGATGTACGGAGTACACGATCCACGATACACGGTTACGAGCTTGATCAGAGACGAGAAAAGAGAAGAGGAACGACGATGAAGTCGATGATGGATGATGGCACATCGACGCCAGTATGATAGCTCACAATTCCCCGGCACTCCCGTCGTTCCGCCTGCAACTAAAGAGAACCATCGCACTATCAAAGTACGGTCCCTGGAACAGGCCGGATATTACGAGGCAGTTGAGACGCGTGCCCGTACCATCGACTCCAAGCGATTGGAACATCACATTTGCTTCCCCATGGGGCAGACAGGACAGCATGCAAGAAGCAGCAGCAGAACAGGATGAGGGAAGGGAAGAAGCAAACGCAACGATCTTCCCCCCTTTCATCCGGCGTGTTTCTTTCGTTTCTTTTTCCACCAAACGGGCTTCTTGTATTACGATAGCCTGTCTGCCCTGCCTGTATGACTTATGACTCAAGGACGAAGAGAGAAAGAGAGAGAGGAGCGAAGAGACAAGGGTCAAGGGTTCGGGTGTTTTTCTTTTTCCTTTTTTTCTTTTCGTTTTCTCCCCATCTCTCTCCCTCGATAGCCCTTGTCCTGTCTGTGAATAACCGCCATGCGAGGCCGGCCAGGATGGGAGAGATGGATGCCCAATGAAGGCAGAGAGATGCCGGTGCCATGCACTTTATCCTCACACAGGTGCTACTTATATACTTATGCATGCATGGATGGGATGCTGTATGTATAAATGTATGGACGTATGTATGTAAGTATGGAAGTATACATATGCGTGTTTTCCCAGTCGACAGCAGAAGAGTGACTGGAACACGACAACGACTTGGACCAACGAGACGAAGGATGTTAAAAAAGAGCGGTGAACGGCTGGTCCATGGACGAATGGGATCGTCGTCCGGGGAATTTTTTTGCGGATGGAGATTTAGCTGGTGAGAGGGTGATGAGCGGCCGGTGGAAGCGAGCGCCGGGCGGACGATGATGGCCCTTTGAGCCGCAAGGGCGAACGGCAGAGAAGCGAAGACGACGGAGACGGAGACGGAAGACGAAGACGAAAGGAAAGGAAAAAAAAGAAGAGACGAAGAAGCGACGAAGAAGACAGACGGAGACGGGGAACAAGGGCGTGTTTGTGTGTGCAACCCTAACCCATGTCATCTCCGTCTTTTGGCTTCTTAACGGCGATTGTCCGTACGTACATACTATACGTGCAGATAACACGCATACACATACATAACATACATACCCGTACACCACATCGATATCAACCTCAAGTTCTGATATCGACATCAACATCAACCATTATGCACGGCATGGCACATCGGCTCGGTCCACTGCCTTGATCTGTGCATGCATCTCCATCTCGCCACATGAGGACGACGAGAACTACGGAAAAAACAGAGAAGAGGAAGGGAACTGCTCGCGTGTCCCCTTTCTTGCCGCCAACCCACTTGGAGTGCAACAGTATTCCACAGTGCTGACGACTCTGATGGAGTTTTCCAGTCCCCTATTTTTTTTCGTCTGGAGAGATGGAGATTGGGCGACAGGGTCCGGGGCGGCCGTTGAAGGAGCAGACAAGCACTAGTCAGGACCGCCAGAGGAGGGCTAGAGCGCCGTCCATCTCCGTGAGGTCCGAGGCAGCTGCCTAAGGGGCAGAAGCGTGAAACGCTGGTCTGGGAAGGGCGTCTTCTTTATTTGCACCCCCTTTGGGCAGCAGTGGACGTTGGGAAGTTCGAGGTGGCCTCTCTCTAACGCCTTCCTCCTTTTTCTCCCTTGACGGATTTGCTCCGCTACTCCCTTACTGAGCTATGTGAGCCCCTTACTGCCTCCTTTTATTATTATCATCGTCGCCGTCGTCGTTTCGCCTCTTCTTCTGCTTCGTCTTTCTTCGTCTTCTTCATCGCATGTAACGCTGCTTATCTAAGAGGTCCAGGCCTTGGCGATGACCCAGGACCTCGGGAAGTCACGTGTAAGGTAACATCAATACCAAAAATACCAGAACATTAAATACGCTTCGTACTCTCTTTTTTGACTTCTATAGATCAGCTTTTATAGTCAGATAATATCATAGATCTATTATGACTACGGAGAAAAAAAAGAAGAGACGCAGAGCGGAGGAGGAGGCCAGAGGCATCAGAGACAGGAGAGAAAAGCTTGAGGAGTTGCGTGATCAGGGTGGTAAGGATGTCCCTTGGTGGTCGAGTGTACGGAGTAGTTTATATGGCGCCCTTGCTAAGAGTAGACCCGCTGGTGGAAGCCATGAGAGGAGGCAGAAGACGAAGAAGAAGACGAAGACGGCGCAGAGAGAAGCCTAAGAAGCGCCCTTTTTTCCCAATCGTTGTCACCCGAGTAAAAATAGAAAGGAGAAATATAAAGGAGGCCGAGCCATTTAGTTAGCAGTAGTAGCACTTACTACTACTACTCCCCCCTAAAGGCCGCAAAAGGGTTGGGAAGAAGAGTCTCACAAAGAATCACTCTACCTCTGACTGAGCCATCTCCGGCCGACGTCGCAGCCGACGAGACGGCGTCGCACGAGCAAGCGACGGAGGCCTTGAAGGAGATAAAAGGGTAAATTTCCCGAGGGGGAGTGGCAGGGAAGGACGAGGAGGAAGACGAAGCATAAGAAGAAACAGAAGCCAGAAGCAGCAGACGCAGCAGAAGCAGAAGCCGAAGCAGACGCAGAAGCAAAGAAGAAGCAAGAAGAAGCAGAAGAAGCAAAGAAGAATTGAAACCCTGTCTTTCGCCCTTTGCTTTTTCTTTCCTTGCTTCTTTTCTTCTTCCTTTTCGTTTCTTTTCTTTTTTAATCTTATTTTACTCCACAGAGCGGTCTTTTTGCTTGTGTTGGTTGTTGTTTAGTTTATATAGACAAGGAGGACCAACCACTTATAGACTTCTTCGCTCGCCTTTCTTACATCACCAAACCGCATCATCATCATCATCATCACCGTCACCTTCACCTTCACCTTCTCTCACTTCCTCTGCGGAAGCATGTCTCTTCGCGTCAGAGCGCTCACTCTCGCCTGACAGACACCATGGATTTCATCGTAAGTGCTTGACTGACTTGATACATGCAGAGGATAAGAGCTGACTGGCATCTCATTCTACTGGTACAGCTTTCCCTAACGCACTTCTGCGAAGTGCATGGCCCGACATCCATCCTCTGCTCGCAGATACTGCCCACTCATTGCCGGCAGTGCACGCCTGACTCGCCCTCGTCCTCTCCAGATGGATCTCCTTCTTCCCCTTCCTCGGCCTCGCTGCACGCTAGAGACAGAGATGCGCCAGGCGCGGCCAGCGCGGCTGCGGCAGACGTGATGACCTCCTCCTCCTCGCCTTCGTCAGATCGTTGCATCACCACTTCGGCCATCGAGCCACTGGCCACCCCGCCTGCCTCTGCGCCCGTCACGGCACCGCGGATAGAAGACCACCCCTGGTTCACGGCTGAGAAGCAAGGCAAGACTGCGAATGGCAGTGTTCATAACGGTGGTGCAGTTGGTGGTGGGGATATGAAGAAGTCCGCCTCTCGGTTTGGTGCCAGTGATGGAGATACCTGTGCGAGCTGCCGACTCAAGCTGCCCGAAGACGTCAGCAAACAGCTCCCCGTCGACGGCAATGGCTCCGTCCAGGACCGTGGACACCACAGCAGCCCCGTCCTGCGGTCACGCGAAGTCGTCTTTGCCTGTAGGGGCAACCATGCAGACCACAACAGCAATTACTACGACGATGACGACGATGACGGGTCACATACGTGCTCGACCTCCATGTCCTCTTCCCACCACAACAACGGGAGCAGCGGCAACAACTATTACTCTCCTTCGTCCTACTCTTCAGACTCCTCCTGCCACACCCATGTAGTCACATATCTCTCCATGCGCGGGCCCGCAAACCCAGAAGACTACGCTCTCCTCCGCCGTGCCTCTATCCGCACTCTCTCCTGCGAACTGCTGCCTCGGGGCCTCTCGTCCGGCCCACTCTCGTTCGGTGACCCGTCCGCCGGCTATACGGTGGCGTACGTCTTCCGTCTCCCGGACCCCATGGCCCGTGGCAAGCGTCGAAGTTACGCTCTTGTTGCTCTGGCCGGCAAAGATGCCGGACGCACTTTCAAAGCCAGCCCCCTCATCTGGCGCACCTTCAGTCGCATTGCAAATAACATTGTCAGTGCCGCGGAGAAGTTCCAGGAATCAGAGAAGATTCGAGAATACGGCCCTTCCCCTGTATCGCCAGCTGCCACAGTTACTTCACATACTACTACTGCCACCGCATCTACCACCTCTTCTCGGGGATATACGCCTATTTCATCATTCTTGACCGGCCGAGCTCTTGATCCAGATGGCCAGCCCAGACGAGCCGGCCAAGTCCGTGCCAGAAACCTGATTGAGATCGTTGGCAACGAATACATCTTTGCTGAGTTACATGCTCAATTCGTTGCCCTGCTACAACAGCTCAGTGCCATGTTCGCGTCTCCGTCAGACAACGCCCACGGCGCTCCCATCCCGGACTCGGCCTCTGCCTTTTATGAAGACTACGCTACCACTACTGCGTCCTCTCGCTCTTCCACTGATCGGCTACGAGGGAGTGGCAGCACCGGCATCACCTCTGCCGGCAGTGATCGCAGCCTGTCCAAGCAGTTCTCCCACTTGAACATGTCTACGTCTGTTCCCAAGCCAATTCCTATCTCCCAGCGCAGGAGGATGGTGGCATAAACAGACCGGCCAACGCCAACCCACCAGCCAACCAAGCCAACCAAACCAACAAACCAACCAAGCCGTCTTGCTGGTAGCTGGTCTTTGTCTATCTTCGTGTTGTTGTGGTGCCCAGTTGCTACCCCTGTCCCTCCCCCTCACCCCTCATCCTTCCTTCCTCGGCCGACTATCCCTATCCTTAACGATTCCGCCCTGCCTTGCCCTGTCTGGTTCGTTTCACCCAGGCTTCACCCGCAAGGCACCTCTTTGCTTTTTCCTTGCTTCCTCTGCTTGCTTCGTCACCGCTGCCACCCGGTCGGGCTCTGCCTCCCGGCAAACCCCCTATCCTTCTCTCATCCATACATCCATTCCAGCATCAGCATGCACGATGGATGGCCGATGCGATGGCCGATCTGAATCCGAGACACGCTACTACTCCCAACACTCCTACTTCAACCTAACCTTCGACATGGTCTGGTCTGGCATGGTCTGGCCCACCAGCATCGAATCAACAAACTCTCATCACGCATCAACACCGACAGACCGCTTTACGACGTTACGAACAACCCGATCGATACCAGGCATACCCAACCCATAGAATTTATCGCACATCATTAATCCCTCAACGAGCAACCAAAATACCTTCTCTCCCCCGTCTCTCTCCCTCCCTCCATCTCTATCCTTCTTCAGTTTGCTTGCTCGCTAGCTTGCTTCGCCAAAAAGTCCAATCCAATCGCCTGCTCGGTCAAAAGCAAAAAAGCTCGACCGATCGCATTCTTCTTTTTCTTTCCTTTTTTTTCTCCCATTCCGTCTCTCGCACTGCTCTCCCCGCCTATCTGTCCGTGCTGTCAAACTCCTTCTTGCGCAACATCACCTTCCCGACCCGACCTGACCCGACCACCACTTGCTAAGCACTACTAGCACATCGCAACGAGTCCAACGGCTTTCTTTACTTTGCACGTTTCTTTTCATTCAACTCTTTTTTCCTTTCCAGTTCAATAGACGGGGCAATATCGGTCAAGGGCTGGTGTATGGGTTTCGATACCCCTTCTGGCTTTTGTTTTACTCTTTGCTTTTCAATCTGCGTTTCTTCAGTCATATTCAGGGTGTTTTTCTCACGGACCAGCAAACTCGGAACTCGGCACTCGGACTCGGACCGTTTCTTTTCTTTACTTTGCTCTTTGCTTTGCTTTGTTCTGCTCTGCGTTTCAACCCATAGATTTCTTTGCTTTTACCCAGCCTTCTTTCTCTCCAACTTCTTCACGGCTTCATGGACCGGCAACGTTCTTCGGCCTGATTCTTGATATCCCATTTCTTTTCTCCTTACGGAGTACTTTCTTCCTTTCCACTTTTTTTTATTACCTCTGTCAGGGCCGGGACCCAAGTTCCATTCTTCTCACTACTGGTACTGTTACTGTTACCTCTTTTTCTCCCTTTCTCTCTCCACCGTCGCATCGCTTCGTGCCGTGCTGTCGTGTGTCGAGCAACCCTTTATTTTTCAAACTCGCTTTTCCACTTTACTGTACTTCCCGACTACTTTATCTAATAACTTAACATCCTTGTGCACCTTCGGGCGCCAATAAATATCTTAATCCCTCGCTTAACCTGTGTTTACCCGTCTTAATGTCGTAGTTGCAGTCGTAGTTGTACATTCGCTGTCAGTTAAAACGGTGATCAGCAGTACTAGGCGGTAACACTGAAAAACTCTTCAGCCTGGCCGGAGCCGAGGGACTCACGTGATGCTACTTTCCTCGCTGATGCGCCGACCACGTTCGGATTTGAAGCAGACGGGATAGGATGCAGGCGCAAGGCAGGTGGGAGAAAAGTCGTATGCCTGTTTTATGCAATTGGCCATCTCCCACGGCTTCATCGACGCTTCCGCTGGCTCAATTGCTCTTCTTCCCTTCGACTTTTCTACTTCGTCTACTTCTGCTTGGCAACGGTTGGTAAGCGATGACTAAGCGGCTCGGATAAACATGCCAAACCGGGATAGAAAGCCACAGTCAAGACACAAAAATATCAAAAGGTGAAAACATCTTCATCTGCATCTCAACGCACACCAGCACAAACTACTACTACGTATACCTACGCTACTCTACACCGCGCCCATTTTACCTTTACTTCACCGTCATTTTTTCACTTAATACAGTCAGGCCTACTTACACGACTGGATTAAATACCCGCTTTACCCGTCCCTGGAAGCGAGGGAGGGAGAATATTGCACCGTGCATTATCACACGCAACAACCCGCGGGGCACAATAATTCACAATGTCGACGGGATTTGATAAATGCAAGACGCGTCCACCGCATATGGACGCGATATTGAACGGGCTCGACAGATATAACCCAGAGACCACCACTGTTTTCCAAGATTATGTCGTACAGCAGTGCGAGGACAGAACATTTGACTGCTATGCCAACCTAGCCTTGTTGAAACTGTACGTTGACCGCTTTCTCCTCTCGCTTTACTTGTTCCGCTGCCTCACTCCTGTTGAAATGATTAATTACCTATAAACGTTTCCTATTAACACGACTATGCCATTGGTATATGTGGGGAGAACTTTTAATATGATATTCAACTCAATCACACACATTTGCTTCGTACTATTATTGCCCACCCTTGAGAAAAGGCCACTAACGAAAAGCAATAGCTACCAATTCAACCCACATCTCCTCAACATTGAAACAACAACCAACATCCTCGTCAAGGCTCTAACCGTCTTCCCTTCTCCCGCTTTCTCCCTCTCCCTTGCCCTACTGCCCGCCTATACCCAACCATTCCACACTTCCGCTCCCGCCCAAGGTCCCTCCGCAACCCTCCCCATCCAAACAGCAGACTTCGTCGAGTCAGTGCAGAAACTAGCTCGTCTGTCTACCTTGCTCGAATCAGCACAGTACTCCCTTTTCTGGTCAACGTTAAACTCAGATGACCTCTACGCAGACCTTACCGCTGACGTAGCTGGTTTTGAAGAGTTGATTCGCGTACGTATTGCGGTAGAAGTTGGCAAGGCCTTCCGTGAAATTAGCGCGGAGATGCTTATGGATTGGCTTGATGTTAAGGGCTTGGATACCCTTGAGAAGTTCGTTGTAGATGTTTGTGGATGGGAAGTTGATAAGAGCGGTGCCTCAGGTGCCAATGATGCGAAGAACGTCACTGTACGTGTTCCGAAGAATAAGGAGAATGAAGCCAGAGGTGAGGTAAAGGGTGAGAAGGTTGGCATTGAGATGTTTGGAAGGGTTATTCGGAGAGGTTTCGAGCAGCCTGCTTGATTCTTTCCTTCGTTCTCCTTTCCTCTTCTCTTCTTTTTAGCTCCCTTTGCATGCATCTCTTCGATAGATACGATACCTTTGTGGTACTGGGTTTTGCATTTTGCCCATGTTACGTCTTTTAATGGCTTTATTTTAATGGCTGGACGAGAAACAAAAAAAGAAACAAAACGAATCATGTCTTTCACTTCATCTTTTTCTCCCAAGTACTCTATTTTATTTATTCAGGCCGTAGTCTCTCCTCCCACTGTACACCTACCCATTCCTCCCTCCAGCCCGCCTCCCCTATGGTCTCAGGTGCACAGTTTGCCGCACAAACACCTAATATAACAGTCCCCCACTCCATGCCCAAATCATCCTTGGGTCCTAGCCCTATCCCTTCCATGCCCTCTTCGAGCATGGCAATAGCATGCGGTACAAGCTGGAGCTCAAATACACGTTCACCACCACACGTCTCACACCGGGGTATCTTGCTGCTGCCTTTGCTCCCGCTAACCTGCACTTTCACATTCGCTTGTGCTTGGCCTGTGTTTTCTGAAGCGAATAGTTTCCCTACCTCATCGCCCGTAGAGTAAAGTAGCGGCATACCTCGGAATTCATACCTCAGTACTTGTTCCGGGTTATGCTCCAGGCGTGTCGAGAACCGAATAAATGCTTTATCCATTGATGATTCAAATATTTCCTTTTCCGTATCCTTTTTACCAGTTGCTGAGGATGAAGTGTCGTTCTCGGCCTCGAGCATATCTACCTTTACATTGGAAGGTATTCGCTCCTCCGTCTTAGACAGAGCTTCATAGTCAGCGTCGAAGAAGTAATGTGGATACGGCGGTGGGAAAGCAGACTGTTCCGGCCAAGGAGCCTGTGGCCCAGCAACAGGTTTGGAAGGTTGTTGTGAAGGTGATGAAATGCGCGCCTTTTGCGCAAATGTCTCAGGAAGGGTTTCACTCGTAGCTATTGGTGATGCCGTCGTCTCTTCATCCGGTTTCTGCGGTACTACTGCTGCAAGCGAGGATGTAGGGGGTAGCGAAGCGAAGGGGTTGGCACGACTACCATCACCACCACCGCTTGAGGATGTTGAGAAAGGATTCGAGCTTCCCGATGCGCTGGAAGAGGATTTTACACCAAACAGATCAGCTCCTAAATCTCGTTTGGGTTTATTCTGCGCCTCTTCTTTTTGTTTCTCAAACACTTTTTCCCTCTCCTCGACCGTCTTGTGCCTCTTCACCGCGCGCAGAGCTCGTATGCTCCCTTTTTTGCGACTACATGTCCGCCTCACACAACCGAATATATATAGCCATCTCTCGTCATGCGCAAAATGTTCCGGTAGGTCGCCATTGAGCTGTAGAATAAGCGGCATCGGGTCATTGCAGACCTTGCATTTGGCGAAGTTTCCTGGAGGAGGGGTCGCGGGGTCAAGCCATGTCTGATAAGATAAAAGCTATGGTTAGCATTGAAAATATACCAGGTATAATTATTTAATAATCGACCACCGATATGTCTAAAATGGCACTTCTCAAGGGTAAATAAAGGCCTTGTCGTATTGAAATTGTAAAGAAACGATAGTACTCACCGGCCATCCACCTAGATGACTGATAGCATCACTGAGCTCTTCCTTTGAAGCATATCCAAGAAGGACTCCGGTTTCCGTGTAGTCATCAAGCTCTTCGTCTATTCCAGACGAGTCACTATCGTATGAGTCCATGTTAATTCTCGTGTCTAAGGGATTGCTCGCCCGCCTCTCTTGGTCTCTTCTATAGAACTTGCCAAAATATTTCCTTTAACCAAAAAATTGTTTATCAGTGAGGCACGTGATGATAGCGTAGTTAAAGTTTTGGTGGATAAGCATGCGACAGTTTGGCGGCTGTCAAGGCTTTTCAGTGGTCTCTACCGTATAGAATAGAATATCTTTGGAATTTAATTGCAAGGGAGGTCTCCTAGGCTACTCAATAATATTAAAAGGATATTGCAAGAATTGTTTCATGGGTAAACAGCTGAGTGTCAACTACGGCGGAAATAAGATTTCCTATCAGTGTTTTTCGGCTGCTTATTAAGTGATTACTTAAGCTTGCGTTTTAAAAGGACCCAAAGCAGATCGAGGATCTATATCTATATCGAAGAAGGTACCACTAGCTAAGGGAGAAGACACTGACGACATTTTACAGTGCTGGAGCTAGTAAAGGCAGAGACATTATGGTAGATCCCCATTGAAAGCCATAGGCCCAAGAAATATGGCCCCAGCTCTGACTTGTTTCCAAGCTGTGATGCAAGTAGGTTGACTGCCGAGCTCGCGGTGGGTGCAACTATGCTTTGCTGTTACTGTTTACCAAGAAAATCGAATTGATATATCGATCTCAGTGATGCAGTGAATCTCGAGCCCAAAACGCCATAGACAACGGACATCCTGAGGGGAAGACCAGGAAGTCCAGGGAGGAGAACTGTAATATACCAGGGAAGGCAGAGAACAAAGTGTTGAGCAATCCACTACGGGAGAATAGTTAGCATTTCCAAGATATGAAAGCAAAATATGAGAGGAAATGAGACAGAACCACATGGAAAATACGCACAAGAATGTGTTATTTCTTGCGGCAATCTGGACATTTGTCACCTGTGCCCTTGTCCGCCGTGACTTTCGAGCAACTGCAGGCCCCCATCTGGACGTTCCATGAGTGCCCGCAACTTCCCTTGAATCTGGTTTTGCACATCTTCAAAGTAGCCTGACCGTTGGAGGTTATTGTCGAGATAAAATTTGAATGGCTCGAGTGGGTTTGGCGGTATTTGATACTCGCGGTCAAGATCTTCAGGTATACCCGAGAGCACCATAAACATGAGAAGAATGGACATACTTATATCGAGGTGGTCAAGTCTTTCAGAGACACGGAGGAAGAAATGAACATCTGGAATGGCCGAGGGCGGGGTAGCCAGCACATCTGTCTGGGCGATATCAAAATCAATCAGTTTCAGCCTCCCCTGTTCGGTTACCATAATATTGCTGTATCTGATATCGCAATGGTATACAAAGGCGGTCTGGTGGAGGTATTCGACCGTCTCTTGGAGAAACGCAGGCAGCATCTCTTTCACCCGTTCCTCCATAGGAGCAATAGGAGTGTGAGTTGGGTAAAGTTTCTCCATTCCGTACCCGGCAAAACGACCCTCAACCGTTACTATGCTTAGCAAACGGACGATATTGTCGTTGTTTACTAGTCCAGCTAGAACTGAGGCTTCACGGTATACAGATTTGGCCTTCCACGCAGCGAGCTTAAACACAGCATTAGGATATTCGCTGTCGTGGCCGACTTCTATAGGCAAACAGTCGCTCCATTTTCCGTGTTGCATAGCATGGTAGTCAATCCGTGGTATCCCAGGAAACTCGCTGTTCGTGATAGGGATGGTGTTTTGTTCCGTGTATCGCTTTTCATATGTAACGGAGTTACCGTCCACTCTCGTGATATCATCACGCAGAGGTAAAGAGCTGAGATCGATGGAGAGCGGCCCCTTAACGATTATCTGTTTTCCATCCTTGAACAGATAAAGGCTATCACCGCAATCACCTACCTCTTCAAAGCCATCTGCGGATAGTGTCATGTTTCACTTCTTTGGCAAAGAGCTAGCACCGTTGATATAATTCATTGGGCAAATTCTGGTAGCAATGGGTATGAATAGCAAGAAGAATAACCATCCCGTCGTTCAGAGGCTTTACCAGAACAGCTTTCTTATAGGCCTAGGAATGGTGTGGTGGTGGTGACGAATGTTCAGTAATTAATACTGTGGTGCGCCCATTGACTACCGTAGTAACACACAGAGACAGAGCCAAGGTAGAGGGGAAGATATTGGTACGACGGACGACTGATAAAACGAAGCTCTAGCTGGTCCTTGTGCACTGAAGATTCCAAAAGCTCGTTGATAGAACTAGCGCAGACGTAACCTGACCGGGCACTTAGCCCAGTTAGCTAATGGTGCTCCGTCAGTGTCTTCACAGTGTCTAAAAGGCTAATGGGGTGCCTGGATAGTGACCGGCCAGCGATACGCATAAATATTTGAACCGTGTTATAAAGAGGTAACGGCGTAGCTGTCGTTATTTCCCCAGACAATGTTTAAGAGAGTGGAACCGTGTTGGCACCGTCCGGCTACGGAAGATAGTAGTGCCGCTGGATACGCTTTAGTTACCTAAGCCAGCCAGTTACCGGTGCCAAGGCCACGGTAAAACTAGTACCAGAGGTTCTTCCAAGTCAACATCTTAATTGCAACCTACTTCCAGGGTTTGCTGGGAGTCAGAAGATAGGCACTTGTTTTTAAGGCTATGCTATAGCTATTTATGTTTGGTTTGGTAGTTGTTTTAGACTGGAGGAGTAAGCACATAGTTACTGACCTAGGTACTCTTCAAGAGTGAAATCTTGGTCTCGAGGCTCCAACCAACCGTAACACTGGCGATCAGCCAACGACGCGAGCTACGGCATTAGTACACGTACGGAGAAAAGCAGGCGAATGTCTATATGCAGCCATTCGTCCTTCTCGTTTGGCCGTATGAAGATCTCAGAATAAGCACATATTAGCACTCGGCCACTATAAATAGCGCTCCCGCTTTGTCTGGTGCCGTTGATCTTATCCGCTCAAGCAGCATCCTTAACTTGGATGCAGAGCGTTCAGCTGTCGTGCATCAACTAAAGAGAGATCCTCCTGCTGTGTACCGCAAAGACTGTTTAAAGAGACTCGAACTGCCGTGATACAAGGCTGAACTGTTCGCTGCACTCGCCACCTTCCTCCTGCTGCTGCTGTTGCCGCTGTGACTTCCTCCTGGCTTGCAGCCGAGATCTTCCCTGTTGTGTTCGAGATACCAAGCGAATTCAACAGTTGACTGCAGTCGTCGCGGGCAGAGGAAGAGGAACGCCTGTGATGCGTTTGACTTGATATTCATTCGTTGGTTGATTCTATTCCTGATCAACATAACTATTCCGTCGTTGCGAAACGTCAGCGTGACACCAGTGCCTGGCGCCTGCAGTGGTGCTCTATCTCGTCTAACCATCATACCGCTGCCTTCCGTGTAATGAGCCCTAATAGCTCATAACAGAACCACGATGCATACCCTTCGTTTTACCCTTGTTCTGTACGTCCTCTTGTTGGCAGGCTTTGTGCTGTCACAGGAGGTGCAGCAACCTCTGGCAGCCGATGCACCAGCAACCCCGAAAGCACCGAAAAGGGTTGCAATAATCGGTATGTTCCAATCACATACTTTGGACAACTTAGGGATCGCCAATGCAGCTTTCAATCTAACTACCGAACAGGTGCCGGATCTGGCGGTTCGTCTGCTGCTTATTATCTCCGAACTTACGCCGATTATTATTCCGTTCCCGTAAACATCACGATATTCGAACGCGAAGCTTATGTTGGCGGAAGGTCCACCACCGTCGATGTGTTTGGTGATCCATCCCTGCCAATAGAGCTAGGAGCATCAATATTCGTCGAGGTGAATAGAAATCTCATGAAAGCGGCAAAGAGTTTTAACCTTAAAATACAAAATGCCGGCGGTGTTCGGCCCAAAGAAGCAACTGACGACCTGGGTGTGTGGGATGGAAGCAAGTTCGTATTTCAGCAGAGAGAAGGCAATTACAGATGGTGGAATATAGTGCAGCTTCTGTGGAAGTATGGATGGGCTCCAATGCGAACTCAGGACTTGATGAAGTCTACCATCGGCAATTTTTTGAAACTATACAGATACCCACTATTTCCATGGAAGAACCTTTCCGAGGCTGCACGGAGTAGTGGCCTGGTTGAGGCAACTTGGGCTACGGGAGCAGAGTTCTTGAAGCAAAACCACATATCGGAGCCATTCTCTCGAGAGATTATCCAGGCAAGTACTCGCGTGAACTATGGCCAAAATCTTCCCCTCATACATGGACTGGAGACCATGGTCTGTATGGCAGCTGAAGGGGCAGTTTCCATCAAGGGCGGAAACTGGCAGATATTCAGCGGCATGGTGGGAGCATCCAAGGCTGTCTTGAAACTTGAGTCCCAAGTTACAAGCTTGGAAAGGAATGGGAACAACACCTATACCGTCTCACATAAAAACAAGGCAAACACAACTGAGGAAGAAGTGTTTGACCAAGTTGTGATTGCTGCACCACTTCAGTTCTCTGATATCAAACTCGAAACTCTCATGGACAATCAGCCCGACAACATTCCCTATGTGAAGTTACATGTCACTCTCTTCGCCTCGCCTCATAAGCTATCTCCTAAATACTTCAACCTCCCGCTGAGCAACATGGTACCGGAAACCATTCTCACTACCTTACCGAAGGGTCTTAACCTGGGACATCGCCGCGATGGAGTCGGTCCTGCTGGATTTTGGAGCATAAGCACTCTCCAAAAGGTACGAGCGCCGGAGACAAAAGACGGCGAGGGTAAATATCATTACGTATACAAAGTCTTCTCCCCTGAGCGCCTAAACGCAATGTTCTTGGCTGGCATTCTGGGACTAGAAGGGCCAATAAATGGGACTATTGCCGATATCCCACAGTCGGACATCAGCTGGAGTTATGAGAAGGTGTGGCATCCATATCCTGTCTTATATCCCCGAGTTACGTTTGAGAATGTCAAACTGTCTCCGGGCATATGGTATACTAGTGGAATCGAAAGCATGATTTCAACGATGGAGACGAGCTCTCTTTCTGGAATGAATGTTGCTGCCCTGATGGTCTCCGAGTGGACGGAGGACTTCAACCCCAAGATGAGCATCTTCGAAGGTGAATCCGTCTAAACATGGCCTTTTCATACCGTGTAGTTCAACTACCCTCTTTTATTCTTGGATGCTTCAGATGGTGTAATATTGTTAGTTAACTAATCCAAAGTTCGTTCCTTATCTACTAATTTCGGTTTCGGAGTATTTGTATAACTAGGTAGTTACCTGACTGGTCCAGTAAAACCATAGATTTATTGTCTTCAGAAGAACGCGGCAGAGTTCCCTTTCACTCTTTATCAGTTAGACATACTCCCATCCGTATAAACTGACTCTTTATCAGATGTTTCTCCCTGGTCTTCCATCCTGCAACGGCTGACAACGTCCGGTGCGTTTAAGGTTGTCTCCATCGTACTAACAAGGGGGAGGGTGGATCGTCTCTCCAGCGCATCGCCCATCTGTCAGGCTGCCATGGGTCATGTTTCTGGCCGTCTGCTGGACAGTGGTAAAGTGACCTCGCTCGCTGACTGTCGTCCCTCTCGTCTCTTTCCTTCCATCAAACAAGCAAATCAAAACCCGCGAAAAAACGGCGCCGTCGTGACTCTCGGAACATGTGACTGAAGACATGTGACTGCTGCTTTGGGATAGCTAGAAGCGGATAACGTCAGAGCCGCAACACTTTTTCCGTTTCGTCGACTTCCATCTTCAACTTCGCCTTCCTCGTTATCGACTCATAACTGCAACTCGGCGTTACAGCCGCCTCCATAACTAACTAGCGCTGCCGACGCTGAGATATCTAATAACCACACGCACATCCGTATCTCTTTAGTCACCACCGCAAATATGGACGCCGTCGTACTATGTGGCCGTTGATACCGCAAGACCTTAAGCGCCCCATAGTCTCTTCCTTTTTCCGAAACGTCTCACTGCCTCCTCTTCCCTTTACTAATACTGTCTACCGCACCTTTGATCCCTTTGTAACCTCCTCTAGCAAGATGTCAAAGGCATTCTGGAGACTGTGTGAACTCCTGGCTCACCAGGGCCAGCAAGAGCTGCCTACTACTTTCCCCCCTGAGACAGAAGAAGAACTTCAACAACTATATGACCAAGTGAGCGGCCGCCGGAAGAGCAGAAGTACAGGAGCTGGCGAGAATGAAGTAGCAGCCACCACAGAAATGAGCAGTAATAGTGGATCTGGCCTTGCTGACGGCTCCCCGAATGACGCCTTTGACACTCAAACCCTCAAATCCTCAATATCAAATCTATCCCAAGATAACACACCCATGTTTTTCGACGACAACTCAGCATCTATCATCAACTTCAAACCAACAGAACCGCTGCGAATAACTTGTCTCACCATAGGTTCTCGCGGAGATGTTCAGCCTTACATCTCGCTCTGCAAGGGCCTGATAGAAGAAGGGCACAAACCCCGGATAGCAACCCACAAGGAGTTCGAAGGCTGGATAAGAGAGCACGGCATAGACTTTGCTCCGATCGATGGCGACCCCGCCGAGCTCATGCGAATATGTGTTGACAACGGCATGTTTACATACGCTTTCTTGAGAGAAGCATCTACAAATTTCCGCGGATGGATAGACGACCTTCTTACCTCGTCCTGGAAGGGCTGTCAAAACTCTGATGTCCTAATAGAATCTCCCAGTGCCATGGCTGGAATTCACGTTGCTGAAGCTTTGGGAATACCATACTTCCGTGCCTTCACTATGCCCTGGACAAAAACAGCAGCTTATCCCCACGCTTTTGCTGTCCCGGACCGCAACCTAGGAGGTACTTACAATAGACTCACTTACGCCGTTTTTGATGCCGTATTTTGGAAGGCTATCTCCGGTCAAATCAACCGATGGAGAAAGAAGGAGCTTGGTCTCAAACCTACCAGTCTCGACAAGATGCAACCCGATAAAGTGCCCTTTCTCTACAACTTCTCTCCTTCGGTCGTGCCCCCTCCTCATGACTATTTAGAGTGGGTTCGTGTGACTGGCTACTGGTTTTTAGGCGCAAACCCTGACTGGACTCCGCCAGAAGATCTTGTTGCCTTTATCAGCAAGGCAAGGGCCGACAAGAAGAAACTGGTCTATATTGGATTTGGGTCCATAGTTGTTTCCGATCCTGCGGCCATGACGAGAACAGTGATCGATTCTGTCCTAAAGACCGGCGTGCGATGTATCCTGTCCAAAGGCTGGTCAGATAGGCATGGCGACCCGAAGAGTTCGCAAATGGAAGTTGAGCTCCCTCCGGATATCTATAAAATTGATTCTGCTCCCCACGACTGGTTATTCGCCCAGGTTGATGCTGTTGCTCACCATGGTGGAGCTGGTACTACGGGAGCAAGTCTTAGAGCTGGTGTACCTACTATTGTGAAACCTTTCTTCGGAGACCAATTCTTCTTCGGCACCCGTGTGCACGATTTAGGAGTCGGCATTTGTATGAAAAAACTAAATGCTGCTACGTTTACCAGAGCTCTGTGGGAGGCAACAAATAGCCAGCGCATGATCATAAGGGCAAAGCAAATCGGTGAACGGATCCGTCAGGTACGCATTATCCCTTACCCCACATTCCCAAGTAACGGATGTAACTGACTTGTACCACAGGAAGACGGCGTTGGCAAGGCTATCCAGTCCATATATCGTGACCTTGAATACGCCAAAACGCTCACCTATCTGCGCCGTACCGCCGCTGGCCACCCATCAAATGAAGGTGCTGACGAGGAGAACCTTGAAGATTTCTTAGATGGAATCGAAGAATCCTGGACCTTCATCGGCGACGACATCTTCCCTAAAGCGCAAGATCCCAGAAGTGAACTTTCATCTATGATGGACGGTGCCGCAGCTGGAACCTTACCACCACCAGACGATGACGAAGAGGATGTTGCTTGTTAATTTCAGGCGGCTAATGAAACCTCCACTACAATCCACTCTAACTCTAACCCATACACATTTCAACGCAGATATTATGACTTACGATGTCCCAGTGATAGGTGGGTAGGATGTGTCAAGGCGCTATGCTCTTTTTTTCAGCCCTTTGCTTATACCTCTATGTTTTCGCTGTTGCTTGTTGACTCCATACCATCATGCATATGCTCATCCTATGAGCATCCCCATCTATCTGCCATTTAAATTGCGTATCGTTCTTTTCAGCCGTCTTTTCCACGTCTTCTTTATTTTACATCTACATCTACAGTTACGCCTTACGCTTAGTTATGCCGCCTGTTTAATATCTCTCACACTGCGGCTTTTAACATTCTTGTTACCTGATGCTTGCTTTCTTTTCTTGATGCTCCGGTAGCATGTTTAGATTGGGATTTGGCCAGCTTGATTGTGTTATCACCGTGGAGTCAACGTATTTGCTTTATTTCGTTCTTTGATTCTTGCATATCATCTGTTGGCTCTGCACAGTATTTCGATGCATCTGTCATATTGACATTCCTACTCCTGGATTCTCTGCATTTCCCCTTGCTTTCAATTAGAGATGTCACTCGAAACTTTTCAATTAGAGAGTGCTATCATGGTACACTGCAAGCCTTGATGTTCCTAGCTAATAGCACGCTCTCTTTCTCATTTCGCTTATTTTTATAACTCTCCCTTTGTACAATGCCTCAAACATCAAGCAGTGTGAATACTACTACCTGTCATTAGAAACCAGAACAATCAATATTTGTATATTCAGACAGCTAGCTGTTTTGATATCTCCCGCCCTTGTTTAACTTTCCCATCTTATACCAACGGAAACAAGGGTTGTTGATTGATAGCAAATGGGGCATATAAACAAACGCTTTTTTATAGTATCTCATCTAGATCTAACCATCTGTCCGTATCCGTCCCGCGTCACCTTTTGCTTCCTCGTCCTTACCTTCAGCCTTCTCCTTCCGCCTTTGTACTACATCCCAGTTATATACACGAGCCGTTGCAACTTCAAGAGTCTAGAGCCAAACTATTAGTTAAACGTCCTCGTTTCTTCCATTTAAATGAAGGGAGGTAAACTGACCGTGACTTGCTCCCTCAAAAATTCCATATCCTCTTCACAGTTCTTAAAGCTCGATTCCGCTGCTTGTAGCTTCTCTTCCAGTAGCTGTTCTGCCTCATCGATAGGGTATGCGAGCATTACGTTTGCTCCAAGCCATAGAAACACCTCGTCTGTGTCATCGGGTAATATAGTCGCATGGGCATACAGCGTATCGTTCATGTCGAATGTAGTTCGGATAGGTTCGTTGGTACCAACCTGGTGGGTGTATATTAGCAATCGGTGCTAGAGTTCCTATATCAAATAGACAACTGGATATAAACAAGTCCGCACCTCTCTCCGGGTCTTTAGAAACCGGACGGTCTCCAGCGTTTTCCTTATATCGGGGATTTTCTGCTGCAGCCCCTGCGCACGTCTCTGTGTGTTGACCTCCATAAACTGATATTTGGACACCATCTCCTGGAACGACCTAAGGGTGGGCTCAACGTCTGCCCGTGTAGTAACGTAGTCGGCAACATTGTCGACGAAGGGGGCGGCGGGGATTCCACGGGGATTGGTCTCCGTCTTTGGGAGTGTTCGCTTTCTACATAATTCTATCCATCAGCGAAAGATCTCATAGGTGTCTGTTTTTATTCAAGGGGTCGTGGAGCGTGAATGTGGGGGAGCAGGTATACTTGTCTGCTTGTTTCTCTGCCATCGCGACTGACTTCACAGGTCTTTGATGGGTAATTTGACTACTCTTGGATATTTTTGAGTATCAGCGACTCATAATTCAAAAGGTATAATGGAGCGTGTGGAAGCGAAATGTTATGGTTGAGTGTAGTGGAAGTCGAAGCCGATAACTCGTTATTCTTACAATATTTTGGTGGTGGGAAAATCGCCAAAGAGAGTGACGTCGTTTTTTGGATCCGTCAAAAACACGACATAATCATGTCAACAACTTCATTCAAAGCCTTGAACTGCTATATCGGTATATTTAATTGCTGATTCAGGGTCCGCAAAGATTTATACTGAATATAGATGTGCTACACCTTCGTTTGAGCCATAATAATGGTGTTTTTGACAGCTACTCCAAGCATTATCTCCGCCGTCGAAGCTCTCCCTTTAACAGCACGGGAGGAGCTTTCTCTTGCCGAAGCTCCCGGTTTAAATGATCCTATATCTCATAGCCAACTGATATCAATTGCACGGAGGCTGTCTGCTCGTCCATCCAGATCGACAGATATAGATGAAGAGGACAATGTCGGGGTACCGGTTGATACTGCGACTTGCGAAGGCAGCAAGTATACATTGAACAGCCTACTCCGTGGAACAAAGCTCTACATTCCTCCCCCGCCCCCCAAGCCTGCGCCAGTGAGTTTCTTGCACATACCATTCTATTAATTGCTGCCTGGTAAAATACGACTAACCCAGGCCTGATCTAGAGCCCGGAGTACCTTGCCCTTAAAGCGAAATTGCTGGCGGAAGCAGAGCAGAACCAATATAACTCCCTCCTACACCCTCTCTCCGAATCAGAATCGAAACGTCAGCCTGCCGCAATATTTGCATCATCCTCAAGCCGGACACACAATGGTGCTAAGCCGTCAGTCCTTATGGAAAATGACGAATCTGACCCCATTACCCCTTCGCTGGTGCTGAATATTCTCGTCTCTATACTATTTACCGGATTTGCTACCTATTGGGGTCTGTCTAATTTCCGGATACCAAAGCTATCTACATTATTACCCTGGTCGGAACGCCCTAGCTCGCCAACCAATGATCCTCATACCTATTATTATTATCCTCACGCCCCTTCTTCGCAACCATTTCGGGTGTTCGTCTCTCTATTTGTCGGGATATTGGTTGGTGTTGCTGAAGTGGTCGTTTATGCCTCCTACCTTCGGAAGGTAGAAAATGCAAAGGCAAAGGAGAAGGCCAAGGTTGAGAAGAAGGTGTTTATTGGGCTAGTTGAAGATAATCCTCGTGATGAGGACCGGGATCCAGCAAAGTTATCTACATCTGTTTCGTTTGAAGATGGTGAGAAAGAGGAGATATGGGGTAAAGGTATCAATGGCGGAGCTCGAAGAAGGGTCCGTGAGAAATGGAGAGAGAAAGAGAACAGGCTGGAACAGGAGTAAAGGTAAGTTTTTTATCAAATAGGGTCCGCACATGCCACAGTTTGGTGGAATTTTATTGCTTCAGCCTCAGATGCAAGAAAGGCTTAAAAGCTACATATTGCAATACCTTGGAGATAACTTGAAGCATGGTTACCATCTGAATTGCACCTAAGTACAGTTGAGGGATACACGTGGGAATATATAGGCCACAAATCACGGATTGATTAAACACGGATACCACTGCACTCTCCATGGAAACCCTCAGCCCGGGTAAATATCTTCTGGCCTCTCAACCAAGTTTCCCTTACGACTCCCTTCAAGGTTTTGCCCTGATAAGGAGAACACTTGTTTCTGAACAGCATGGTACTCGGTTCGACCACCCACTCCGCCTTGTCATCAAAAACGCACACATCACCATCGTAACCAACAGCCAAGGAACCTTTCGACTTATCACATGAAACCTGTGCAGCAGTGTTACTGCAGCACCACTGAGCAATCTCCTCTAAGAATGGTTTGCCAGCAGGGGTCAAGTCGCCTTTATATCGTCTTTGTATTTCAGTCCATAGGATGGGCAACCCAAGGCCCACGGACGAGATACCTCCCCAGGCCTCCATAAAGTCACCAGATTTTCCATCTCCTATGTTCCCGGGGATATGTTTGGGAAGCATCTTCAGATTTGGCGTGCATGGCGAGTGATCAGAGACTACCGTTTTTATCACTCCATCTGTGGAATGGCGAAGTAGTTCGTCCCAGAGCTGGTCTTGGTTTTCCTTTCCACGTACTGGAGGGCAACATTTAAACCTCGTGTCACCATCTTGGATGTCTTCGGCAGCTAGAGATAAGTAATGAAAGCATGTTTCCGCAGTTATCTTTGCCCCTTTCCCACGAGCTTCACGCAACATAGGAATTGATTCGACAGCGGATAGGTGCACAATATGCAAAGGCAGGTCTGGTGCAACGTGAGAGAGTGATAGAATTTCCTGTACTGCGGTGGTTTCAAGCTTGGGAGGTCGGGATGATAAGAAGGTTGAATATGAAGTCAGAGGCTTAGATGAACCGCACCTCCCATGCCCCTGGCCCGATGGGTCCCCTGGCTTTTCCATCTCAGCATGGAACATGAGAACAGTCTTCTCATCTGCCAATTCCTCCATTGCAGGCTTGATATCTCCCGAGGAGACCGCCGGAAATTCCTCCACCTGTCAATGTTTAGCAATTGTTCTCCAATCGAGCATATAGATGATAAATTAGGGGTTACCTACTCCGCTATCAATCAGGAATCCTTTAAACCCCTTTACATTATTCTTCACTAAAGGCTTCAACTCGGACGTGTTGTTCGGAACTAGTCCTCCGTAGAAGCCATAATCAACCCAACACTGGCCTTTTGCAGCTTTAACCTTCTCCTCTAGCCATGGAACCGTCGTGGTTGGGGGTATGGAATTAAGTGGCATATCAATGACAGTAGTTACACCACCAAAGGCCGCTGCTTGAGTGCCTGTATAGAATCCCTCCCATTCGGTCCTCCCAGGCTCATTTAGATGTACATGGGCATCAACAAGTCCCGGCATAAAAACCCACGGAGAATAATCCCTATATGAGGTATTAGGGCCTTGGAATTCAGATTCAGGAAGCACAGCCTTGGAGATAGAAGTTATTTTGCCTGTTGCAGCTGAAATGACAATAGTAGCTGGTGTAAGTATACCCGAGATGATAGCCCTCGAGGAGGCCATGACCACTACGGCCTCCCCTGATTTTTGTAACGAGCCTTTGGAATCCATAGATAATATTATATCCCAAAGAAATAAAACTGGCTATCCCTGAAGAACCTCCTGACAATGATTTTGCATGAGTGCAACGGTGTACATCGCGGGAGGTCGTTTATATATAGTGTCGGGTGTAAAAGGAACTTCACGTGATGGGTGGCCCGCCCGGGCAGCGGAGGTCGCCGCCTAAAGAAGTCAAGATAAAACGATAAGCAATATTTAACATAAAACAATCTGTTTCTAAATGTCGGCTGGTAAATTTAAGAATCTGTGTGTAGTAAATCTAAAGCGTCAAGAAGGAATACCGCTTCACAACTCATCCTTATTCGCATCCTCTGGCTCTGTCTCTTCTGTTTCCTTGGGGGCTGTATGTTCCGCCTCAACGTCTTTCGCGCCCACTGTCCTTGCCAGCTGTGCGATTTCCTCGTCATAAACAGTCCACTCGGGTACCTGTCTTCTCGCCCTGTCGAGTTTTGGTTCCTTGGTCATCGGGTTATTACACAGGTCGATTGTTTTCGCCGTCTTGAGAGACTCATCAGAGCACCAAGTCTCGCACCAAAGCCAGTCCTGCGGAAGACTCTTGATAGGAATGGAATGCTGCATGTGGTTCGGTAGGTCCTGGTCAAGATTGGATAAACTCTCTGGGTCAGCGGAGAGAGATTGATATTGCCCTCTGAGTCTATCACCAGCCGCAATAGCACGGAAGCGGTTCAAGTCAACAACGTAAAGCGCAGAAATGTGGTATGGTCGGCCGCGCAAGAAACGTTTCCAGTATCCTTGGTTCCAGAATCGGAACCCTTCAATCTCGGTACGGGAATCACACATTGGCGTGAAACCATATGGAGCTCCCTCGAGATCGAGAGAAACGAGGTCGTACATATCAGTACGGACGATTTGGTCTGCATCCACAAAAATAACCTTGTCCAGTGATAGCGGGAAAAGAACATCAAGGAAGAGGATCTTGTACCCCCAAATTTCTCTCTGTTTCTCACGCTGTGGGCGGAGCCAGTGTGGCCATTTATATGTAACCATCTCGTAGGAAAATCCGTACTTTTCAGCCAAATGAGGGACAAATGTTTTGAATGAAGGTGAGAGGAATTGCTCGATAAACCAGAACTTGACAGAATGTTTCGTGTGCTTTGTGACAGATAGCATCATGATATTCAACATTCGTTCGTACAAGTGGCCACTGGCGACAGAGAAAATGTTGATGTCCGCATGTTTCTCCTTTCGCGTCTTTGCTACACCAGAGAAAACACCGGATGCGAAGTTAAGCCCTTGGGAGAGAATACTCTTTGCTGAGCCTTGTTTCTTAGCTCCATCCTCGAGGACATCGTCCGACTCGTGGCCAGGTTTGCGAGACAAGCGAGGGAACAACGTCTTTCCTTGGAATGATAGCAGTGAAACTTCGTTATTATCGTCACCCGGCTTAGGAGTGTAGCCCATACCACCAACGCTATCGAGATTAAAGATGTTTTCGCTCCTACCGGGTTTTAATGTTATCTGCCAGTGTCCTGGCTGTGCCTTGAACTGGAAGTAGCCGAGATTTGCCATAATAATGGTGTCAGTGAAATGAGGGTCCCTTTCGGTTCCGAGAAGTAGCTGGACCCCTCTTGGAGGTTTGTTCTTGGGCATGTCGCGTGAATGGCCTTCAATCAAGATATGTTCAAGTTCATAGATGGCATCAACGTTAGTACCTTCTTTCAGAGAGCTCAACTTGATGTTGTCTAAATCATGGACTGAGTCCTTGGGTGCCACAAGCCATGAAGAGGGAACATCCATGCCGAGATTCAGCAATGCTTCCTGCGGAAGCCCGTGGAAAGATGCACCAGGTCGTTTAAGAGAACCATCTTCGTGGAAGGATGGTGTAGCTTCCAGGACATGCCTGTAGAACCTTTTGACTGGTAATTCCTTTATGTTCTCTAGAGGAGTCAAGAATATCTTCAGAGAGACACCATGGAGTTCAGACAGAAGTTTCAAGATAGGAACCCACCGCTGAACAATTTCCGTTGCTGGGTCTAACGTTGCAACAATTTTAACCAAAGGAGCTTCTGTGTTCGAAATGGTAATTGCTGAATGCTTGGTAGCCCAGCTATTGAAAATTTCAGTGCGGATCATCGGGGCGCTTTGGAAAGTTCCCTGTGGGATATCTGAAATCGTTGAAAGAGCCACCATGGATGTAAGCCTTGAAAAAGCAAGGTGGTCGCGGATTTTTTCGGTTTCTTTCAGTGACTCAAGGGCCTTTACTACAGGAACAAGACGCTTAGAGCGCTCATACTGTAGTGTCAATTCAAGATCTTGAACATCTAAAATTGTCGTATCGTTAAGAGGCCCGATCAACCTTCCATTAAGGAGAACATGCATGCAATTTTCGTCAGCTCCTAATTCAGCTATCACTGGTTGAATAGTCGAGTAGAAACCTTGGGCATCGGCTGAGGCACCCTTGCGCTTTGCTTCCCTGTCAAATAAAGCATTGATAGCATCTGTATCCAGATCACGTCCGCCATTAAGGAGGCTATGCAGCTCAGTAGACAAGCCTGGCTCCTTAGCTGGCGTAGAAGGCTTATGAAGTATCAATATCTCCACCTCAGGATTCATTTTATGGAAGACAACTGCGTTAGCCAACAGCTTTGCACCATGTTCATCGTCCAAGTCCATAACCAGCGCAAGTTGAGCCCATTTTTCAATGGTAGATTCACTGTTCCCTGGTATTCGAGGAATGGTCTCAAAAGCCTCCTTATGTTTTGAATAAGCGTCGTTTATGCTTTTCACGGTTACGTCGCTAGGGTCTTCGGGGATAACCAATGCGTTGCGTTTTGGAGATGCCTCTTCCAGGTAAAAACCGGGGAGCCAGGCGTCTTCCTTGTACTCCCCTTCGTAGATACGTTGCTGCATACCCTGCACGTCTTTGAACAATTTATCAATCAGGAAGTGCACCCATCTCTCGTCACGCTCAAGCGGGATAGCGTTGGCATATATGGGAGGGTTCTCTCCATCAGCGGCTAATCTCTTGAGATAGTCTCAGGATCTCAGTATGAGGCATCAAGATCAGAAGATTTTAGTACATCTTCGGACAAAATTGTCGGTTGATCGTCTTTCGGCTCCTTGTCCTTTATAGCCATTTCAAAATCGAGTTTGCTGGGAAAGAGAATTTCTGAGCAGAGCATATCTAGAGCATGGACGTAAGCACCTCTATGTAGATAATGATTATATAGCCTCACGAAGACAAACCTCGGAAAGTAACTGAACATAGACTCCAGCCCATAAGTTTTCAGCAAATAATAAGCAATCTTTGCCTGCTGCTTTGAAAGGTCGCTGCCCTGGGTTGGAACCAATCCAAATCTGATAGGGACTTTATTCAAGACAAATGCTTGTATCTCCTCAACAAAAACAGTAATGTCCTCCTTATCTGCCATATCTAAAGGCATGACGACGTTGTGAACATCACGGCGGAGCTCATGGAACTGGCCAGGATACGTAGGTTGCAAAAGCTATACTTTTATAAACATGCTGCCTTGAGAGATTGTAGGATAGCTGATGCAACTTACCGTGGTGATATCCTCTGACCAGCCTTCATATCGAGGATCTTTTTCCAGATCATTGAGCCAAATGATAACTCCTCCTCCCTCGATATCGTCTCGATAGTCAAACCTCTGGCTTCCGTGCACTTTCTGGGCCATTGCGATGGCAGGATTAGATAAGAGCTTGACAGCTTCCGTAACTGGCAACCCAAGTTCGTTAAGTGAGTTCATGAGTTTCCGTTCCTGTCTCAGATGGGCCAGAAGAGAAAAGGCATCGATATTTCGAGGAGACATTTGAACACCGTTAATCCACATGGTGTTTATGCCAGGCTGCAGTCCATCTTCTCTATTCTCTCTATATTCATCGAGGAACTCCGACGTGGCATTGACTCCAGCAATTGTCTTTGAATGTCTAGGGAAATCATCGGATAGTTTGATTAGGGTATCAAATGGATCATCGCTATTCAGAACAAAGCTAGCAGCATTCAATCCGAGGGTCGACACTTCGGACGAAGACAGAGGCTCTAGATCAGCCGTAGGGCTGCCAGAGAGTCCATCGGCCGCCAACGTGGGCTTTGAGTCTGAGGTAGACCCCGTAGAGCCTCCTTTTTCCTCAGCGCGATCATCAATCATGATATAGTCGGTACGCTTGAGAGAAAGTTCAACTCCATACCCGCTGACAAAAAGGGGCTTGGATGGTCCAGAAGCAATCGTCGAAGGTCGGTAACGGACCCGGTAAGTGATCTCACCATCTCTGGCTCTCTTGCTGACTGCCTTGTGGAACTCACTGAATAAAGGTGAGGTAATATCCGCATATAAAACTAGGGATTGCTGGCTTTCATCATCATCACCATTCGGGACGGCCAACACACGATCAAAAGGAAGCAACTTCTCAAGTGACCTAGAAGCAACCCGAGTTAGCAGCGTTTCAAACCATCATATTGTTCCTCTTGCTAGCTTTTCCAAAAAATCAACGACTCACGCACTCATCCCTTCCAGCAATCAAAGGCTGCTGAGCTCGCTCTAAAGTGGGCGAGCAATACTGAGATCCGTCATAATGCGCCCAAACCTGGCACACAGCATCCTGCGCCGCCATCAACGAATTTTCAACCGATGAGTTATAGTACTGGTAATGAGCCTGAATTCGAGGTGCGGTGGATCGAATTGACAATGCAAATTTGAAAGATGACAAGGCCACAGGATCCGTGATATGGCCATCTTCGCTAAGTACCTGGATGAATTGTTCATAAAGGTCCTTCTCAGTGATGGCATCCACGAATCTACCGTCGGCAATGCGGTCGAGGAGGGGAAAATAAGATGTCGAGTTCTCTTCAGCTGCCGTTTCTCTGGTATTCATATGTCAGTAAGGGTATGGGTAAATGCTGGTGAGGTGGCTTACAGGAGTTCCATGAGGTATGGAGCTGAATTGAACGAAGCACTCAAGGCCACGTTGACTGACGGGCTGGCTTGAGCTACATTTGGAAAAAGGGCAAGACTAGCTAAAAACAGACTCAATGGCCGTATAGGCCATGGTCTTATGGGCGACATGATCACTGTGTCGTTGAGATCTCAGTCTTGGACATAAGTGAGCGGTGGTGGTGGGATGGGCGAAGAAGGTGGAACAGCTAGTTAAAGATAGCCAGTGACGCTTGGAGCTTCAGAGTCACTATTTCTTCCACAAATGCATATTCAAGAAGAAATATCGAGCCACCAGGATTATCTGGCAGGGCTTGCTAAACGAATTGGCGATTTTTGCTCGGTATTGGATGTTGTGCTAGTTGGCTGCTGTCGATGTTTCTAACCTTCTGGCCAGATTTCGTGTTTTCTACGCTAAATCGAACGATGACATCAACGTAAATAAATATACTAAACGGAGAATAAAATAACAGTAATACGACGGAAATTAGTATTAACTAATTATATTATTGTAATACGCATGGCAGCAGCACCTCATTGATGTATTAATTGCTAATGAAGCGGCTTTAGCGATTAACGATTAACAGTTACAGTAACACTTTTTTCGATCGCTCAAGGGAGGGTGAAGAGTACAGTCGGTCAGAGTCAAGCGTACATCCAGTAGAAAAGCAAAAAAAAAGAGAGACACACAGGGGTGACCAAACATCCAGCTCAAGATAAAGGGCAAAACAGCAGAGGCTATGAGAGCCAGAGCCTGAACAGATACAAGAATCGAATCCTCCAATAGGGGCCTATTGCCTGCAAACAATTGTTGTTGGTCGGGTATGGAAATTTGAGAATTTGGTTAACCTGTGGGCCAGCGAAGTGGGTATTTGATCGTTGGACGGTTTGTTGGGTGAGAAAATCAAGTCAAATCGATCGCGAGAGATATAGGAAATATAAAAAACACAAGAATCCTGTAATCTCCGTGCGCCGTTTGTGCGAAAGACAAGGAGAGAAAAAAAGTAAGAAGCCGGTTCTCTTTCATTTGTAACCTGATAAAGAGAATCGTTCTGAGTCGTTTGTGGTAGACACCTGGGATAGAGATAAGATGGAGAGAGAGGAAACTGATGCCAGATAGTAGTCCGGTGGCTTGCGGGGATCGGTGATTGTAGAGTAGAATATTTCGGTTGTTGAAAGTCTGTGAGGTCGGAAAAAGAAACAAAACGAAAGGATTGGTGTCACGGAAAATTATGTATGCGAATGGGGTATCGTTGAAGTTATCCGGAAGGGTAAAAAAAGGAAAAGATGATGGAGTGGCGGGGATATGACACGTAGAGAAATTCGTGAAATTCGTTCAAAAGTCCGAGTGGATGTTCGGAGTAGACGTTCGGAGTAGTTGTCTCTCCTAATTCTCACTCAGTTGCTTGTCTGAGCTTGTGTGCATTCTTTGCCTCCCACTGTTTTCTCTGTTGCTTGAACTTGTCTGGGTCAAAAGTAGGCTCGTCGCTCATGGACAGGCCACGCATAGTTTCCCTGAGGAGGCCAGACGACTTGATTTTCTTAACAGTGTTTGGCCGTTTAGGCTCCTTGGCTGCGTCTCTTAGGTCGCCGCGGGATTTTAGTTTCTTGATTTCCCGTGCGATTTTTTCTAGAGTAGATCCGTTCGAGCCCTTATGCTGCATATTTTGGGATGGAGGTGCAGAGTTCTTTGTAGAGTTTTTAGAACTGCTGGAGGAGCTTCCACTCGTCGAGGGGCGCTCAGAAGAAGTAAAGCTGATACCAGAGTCGACTTTTCGTCCTTTGCGCTGGCCTGCTTCGGTGGCTTCTTCAAAGTGTTGGCACCCGGTGACCTCAGAGCATTCGTTGATGATGCTGTTTGCCAAGTTGAGATAGCTATCTATCATGCCTCTAGCAACTGGCCAGCCAGTCTTCTCTCCGGGTCGTTTGTCTTGTTCAATGACATGTTTTAGTACCTGTACCCCCTTTTTCTCAAAGGAGCAGATATAGTCATAGAATCGCATGCGATGATCTAGCAGAAGCTTCCCATTGAGATGTGGAGTTGGTGGTCTTGAATCCAGCGGAGGGAACAGAGTATTCAATAGGGCAATACAATTGTATCTGTTAAATGGAGTGAGAAGCATCTCATTCACTAGTGCCTATAACGTTGTTAGTAGCGTGATTTTAAAACACGAAATAAAATGCATGCAGCTGAATACATACCCAATATCTGATGCGAAGATATACTTGAGTGTAGAGGGCAATAACGTCTCTCTCGTTTCTTTCAATATTCTTAACCCAGGCCAGGACACCAGGGTACCGTCTGGAGAGCTCCAGTCTCTCGCTGTCGGTTCCAGTAAGCCCCAGTCTATCAAAAGCGTTAACAACTTCTCTCTTGCGGCGGTTTTCTAGGTCTCTAAGGTAATCTAGCGCAGTCAGAGCCTGTGGGAAATCCACCTCCTCTAGTACAGGTGGGAAAGACCGTCGAACAAATGAGGTGATAAAGCTTGGTGGAAGAGAAGCTGGCTGTGATGGTAGCTGAGCTATCTGGGCCATCATTTGGGCCTTAAACCGAGCAGCGGTGTCTGACATGGTAGAATCGCTAGATCCGTGTTTTTCATGACGCGAGGACGGTGCAGAGCTGGCTGGAGATGGAGTTGAGCCACCTTTTGAAAAAGCAGAACCGTTCAAAGAAGGAGACCCGCTGGATAGGTCTGCTGTCCGGGGAGAAGAGTTGAGCGTGTACATGGTGCGTAGAGGGATCTCATAGCTGCCGGGGTATGCCAGGAGATGCTCCAGGATCCATGGCAGAGCAGCACCCTCGCTGCCGCTGGAGGTCAAGCTCGAGTTCTGGCCGTTCATGACGTACATACAGCCGGTGAGAGGTATAATATTTGAAGTCGAAGTCCTTTGCCAGTCCACAGAGAGTGAGAGAGGGCGAGAGGAACAGAAGAAGACGAAGAATGGATGTAAAGAAAGGAGACGAAGCCGGGCCACGCGAGGCGAATTAAAAAGAGAGCATGAACAGGGTTGGCTCCCCTTGCTGCCGTGAAAGCGATGGCTTGTTTCTGGCGTTTGTCAACAGACAGACAGGCGCGCGCGCTGTCTCTTGTCTTCTGTATGTATGTCTGCCTGTCTTGTCTGTATGTCTGTCTGCGTGTGTGTGTGTGTGGTGACAGGAAGTTCTTTTCTTTTTTCGGTGGTTCGTGGTTGTTATTTGTTTACTTGGTTCGCTTGTGCTCGCTCCAAACCAGTCATCGTCCACTCCATCCAACAACAACAGCAGCAACAGCGGCACCGCAACCCACACGAACCAGGAACCAGGAAGACGAGACCTGACCGAAGCCTGGAAGAAAGTGATGATAGAAGATAGTCAATAGTAGAGGTATGAGTGGAAAAAGAAATGACAACAGGTCAGCGGACGTCCCGATCAAGGCCGATATCAACTGCTAACAAGGAAGACGACGAGATGAATCCGGCTCGAGATAATGCGAAGAGAAAGCAACCAGAAAGAGAAAAGGGAAATGAAAAATCAATAGTCAAACCAGCGACTCCTCTAATGTCCTTCCTGTTTCTTTTCTTCCTGCTTCCCTGGACATCAATGACGCGGAAGAGCAAAGCGGAGGAGAGGAGAAGAGAAAGAGAGAGAAAAAACCGCAACGGCAGAAGGGAGACACCAGGCAAGATAAAAGGCGAGTAAACTATGAGATCGAGTCGTCACATTCACTGTCCCACCCCCGAGACATCTAGATCCACTGCTAATTAACAAGCGCTGTAAGATATATATTATTTTTCTTTACCTGCAGGACGAAAGGGTACGTGGAGACGACGAAACCCCAGGGCGCCACACTTTACTCCGTACTTAACTATATAGATCGGATCCTCCCTTATTTTTTCGACAACAAACTTAACTTTCCCAACGGGCTGGCTCGTTAGTCGAAACATCCTGGGGGAACCATCCATCCCCAAGAGTGTCGATGAAGACCTGAGAGTGCACATCATCGTTGCCAGCTGATGAGAAAATACGGAGTACGGAGTAGTTACGAAGGGCTTCCTCAGAAAAAAGGGGAGGAGGGCTTTGACATGCAGGAACTTGCCCTCTGTGTGTGTGGGTTGGAGGATGTATCTTTCTTTTTTTTTTTTTTTTTTTCTTACAGGTACGTAAGTACTCCTCTCGCCTCGTCTGCACTACTTTATGTAACTACGATGTAGGACGTGAGACCTGTTGGAAAAGGTTACTTTCCTTTTCTGCTTTATGCAGTCACTATGCATCTATCCCAGTCTCTGGCCCAGTGCGATTTTTGCAGTTGGCTAGTCGTTTTCATTTTTGCAGCCTAAGGGTCTTTTTCTTTTCTTTTCCTCTGTTGACTTCCCTACGGAGTACATGTTTATATGGTCGACCCCAAACCCTTGGAGGATGTTATATTAACATCATGCCGTCGGCTTCTACGGAGTAATAACAATACGTATACGATATCAGATAAAGCTATCCTTGGAAATTTCAGGAGTTGGTCCATACTCAGATATATAAATATTTTAACCGCCTTTTTAAACCTCCACCAGCGGTCCAGGGATCCTCGTCCGTCTGTACCGAACGAAATATCCCAACAATAAAGTTGAGAAAATCACAATTTTTCGCGATATTATGGGCCGTTTTTCTGCCCTTATGAGCGACTTACCCCTGGAAGTATGCGTACAAAGTACATCCCTGGCCTGCAGGTCAACCGCGTCCCTGCTACATTCATTTGCCCACCCGCAACTCAGTACAACACAGGTTCGTCGGAAAGAAGGATACTTTTTTTGTTGGCCCTCTTAATCAAATAGTCCGATGGGCTGGTGTGGCTTCATTTTGTCCGTAAGGAAACGGGTACGAAAAGAATACAAACAGCCTTTTCAAGAATTACAACGGAGTCCACAACACCTGGCAAACATCGCCATGTGCCCAACCAGTCATCACAGCCAGAAGCCGTCAGTGGGCATGAGTACTCCATATGGACTAATGGACTAATGGTACGGAGTACGCTCGATCCTGTTGTCCGTCTTGGCGTCTGCGTCTTGCAGGTAGTCCGGTATGGGCTGGGAGAGGGGAGGGTTCCCATATCAGATGTGTACGGATTATCCGTGGACTCAATTATATTCCATTACGGCCAGTCACATCAACTAGGCTCTCTAGCCTGTCAGGCTAGGGTCGCCGTCTAGTTGCAGGTAGACAGGCTCCTCCTCCACCCATAACAAAAGCGATTTTCAGATACGAACGAGGCCGTCGTTATACTTTCTGTTCATGCCCCGTTAAGAAAGATGAGCTCTCAGTTTTTTTTTTTGTTTGCCCTCTTCTTATTCATTTTTCGCCATGGAAACGGGATCGTAAAGCTCCGCGCCCAATGATATGGTACAACGGGTCCCAGGAAAAAAGAGTCGAGCAGAGCAGAGAAAAGAAAGGAGAGCAAGAGGCTTGACGTGCGAATCACAGTAGCAGAAGGCCAGAAAAGAAGCGTGGGTTAGAACCTTAGCCAAAACGGAAAAAAAACAAGATATGGCCACAGAAAACCAAAAATGTGCCAGATCAGATTTGTGACAGGCCATCATCGTCTCCATCTCCACAGCCTCCGTGGCGGCTTGATTTAGTGTCAACCAACCACTTTAGGCACGCTTCCTCAGACCACCCTCCCCAATGGCGAATATAAACAACAGCCTGATATCGAGGGCATATTTATAGCATTTGACAGATCGCTAAGACGGTTATGCAGCATTCTGCAACCGACATACTCTGTATATGCTTATATCTACTCCGTACTCCTCCTGCTCTGTTTTTGGAGGAGAGAGGCGGGAGAAAGACAGAGAAAGGAAAGGAAAGCAAAGCCGTAACAAACCCTGGTCGGTTGGCTTCCGCCGCTGTCTCTCATTCCCCTTCAATCCCTTGACCGGAGTCTAGATTTTTAGCCTCTTTCGCCAACGGTCTCTCCCATTCGGACCCATGCCCCCATCTCTCTCGAGATGTAAGCGAAAACGGCCTTTGGGTTTGAACGCACAGAGCTCGATGTAGTATTTGATCAAACGGCTAATCAACATCGGGCAAGCTCAGCGTCTCGGCTTCACGCTAGAACACCTCCACGGCACGCCGTGGAAAGGATAAAACGCAGCCATCCCCGCCTGATCAACCCGAGCGAGGACGATCGTTGACGGCCAACTGGCGAATGAATGGCAAGGATGCCCATATCGAGATGGCTCAAACGGATCTCATGCTCCGGACATCAAACGTCAATCGACTGATCGGGAGATCAAGAGTGGGCATGTCCTTCTTCTTTTGAAATCATAACAGTTTCTCAATCCCCATCCTGGAACACGCAAGCAAGACCAGGGGGGGTACTGCCAGAAACAACCACATCTGCAGCCAGAATCCACAACCCACGCAGACAAGGAATGTGGGCTGGCTGGCTGGGCGGAACCAATGCGTGTTGGTGTGTGTGTGAGAGAGCGATCTCCCATCAGCAAAGAAAGGAGACCACACGCCCATCCAAGTCCCTGCACCCCGACTTGAAAGCATATAAAAGCCTGCTGCTATTGTCCAACCCCCCTTCTCGTCTTCATATTATATGTGGCGATCACGGTTCACCCTTAATTGACTACCTTTTTCAATAGCGTCTTTGACTACTTCCGGCCTTTCCAAGGGAGGGTGCTCGGATAGCTGGTAAGAAGGACATCGGAGCAAAAAGGTTTCCCCTGCTCGATTTGTGCTCGTTGATGAGATGAAAGCGATAAAGAGCCTATCAGTCGAGTTGCATAAGATTATACGCGAAGGATGACGGCTCCGTTCATGCTTGATCGTCCAGACAGCTGGCTAGCTCGTTGACGAGTTGATGCTGCACATCACAGGTAGTGTCATGTCGAGGCAAGCCACCACTTCCAGAGGACGCAGAGAAGCTCGCCCGCCAAAAGCCAGCTATCGCACAGAGTTATCCGTGTTTATTGGGCTGTATCTCCCCATCCTCGCTGTATATACGGGGTACCTCTTGTATACTCCTCGTCACCCTCTGCTCCATAGCTGTCAACACCCAAATCCCAGCCGTACTTATTATTAATCGCCAGAAGAAGATTTGCACGCATGAAGTGTCCATCACGTGATAATCCACTTTCGGACTTCTCGTGACTATTTTTTGCCTGTGCACCTTGAAATCATGAAAATGCGAAAGAGAAAAAACGCCGAGAAAGAAACATGATCTTCATCCCACAGGAAAGCCGAAGATATCAGGTATAATCGTGGGCATTAGGATATCTACATACAGAGAAGAGGGCGACTGGAAGGCCTGCATCGGAAAAGGCGTCCGCTCGTGGAAATGGAGGCTGGACCTCGTAGTTTTGGTAGGTCGAAGGATAAGCCACCACACCCCAGCGCAGTTCACCTGGCCGTTCACGTTCTGGGCATAATACGGGATTGCTTTCGTTTCTTTTTCCCTGTCCTCTAGTTATCGCCAGGTTGGCTACGGAGTACATATGCAGCATATCACTGACATGTCCGAATTTTAGTGACCCTTGATGTGTTCACATCGGAAAGGTTGATATCACCTCGACAGCTTCACTTTTTATCACCTTGTTTTGCGACCGGGCTCGAAGAACCGGCTTTTTGGAACCAGAGATGAGGGTAGATCTCTGTCGAATCAGAGAAAGAAAATATTCCTCAGAGCTGGTCACAGTCAACACCACCCATTTCTCTTGCTGCAAGCCCATACCACACTGCTTCTATTACTTTCTCTGGATGTCTGACACTTTTCATCTCTTGTTCATGGCAGGTATGATGGGAGCCCACTTGCAGTGGTGCGGTTGAAGACGGATGATCCCCTCTCGCAGGAACGGAAAATGCAGATTGCAATAGAATTCGGGTATAATAATACCGCATTCTTACACGAGCCAGTCTACCTAGAAAAAATTGGCAAGAATGTTCGGAAATTGGAACTTTTCGGTGCGACTAAAGCCCATAGGCCTCTCGCCTTTGAGGCCATCCTAGGTGTCGCGTTATACATATTCCAGGAGAATCCTCTCGACTCGACGTCACCGGTACCTGCTCCGCGTGGGGGCACAGAAGCAGAGAAATCCGCATCAGCTGCCTTTTTGGAATGCTTCATCCAGTACAATGATCTGGTTTTCCGCGCCGAATATGATCCATTGCGTCAGGTTGGTGTCCTTTTGATGCCTCACAACGTCCACGTCCATGGCCGAGAAACGAGAAAGGACGAGATACTGGCCATACAGCCAAGCCTCTCCAATATTGAGGATGTGAAAAGGATGAAGGCATCGTACCCAATCTTGTCGATCGCTACGGGAGTGACCTACACGTTGGTGGATTTCACGAACAGCCCTAACCTTCTGAACCTTCTCGAAGCCGGCGAACCGCCAACACCCGAACTCGATACGAGCTGGAAACAAAGAGCCGTTGACGAGTCAATTGTTAATCGCCACTATGGCGCCGTGTATTTTGTCCAGGACGAAGCCGACTTCACCGAGGAGCCATACATCACCAGTCTTCAGGTGCGGGTAATCCAAGATGGCGTCGAACAGACTGCGACCGCTGGCGCATGTTCCACTCTTGCAGCATACTTGGCGCTGCAGAAGGGAGGAAATAGCTCCAACCATGCATTTGTTATGAAGCAAACCACCACAACGGGCCGATCGAGCCAACTCTGTCTTCAGATCGGGCTGGATGAGAACGGGACAAGCGTTAAGCGTATCGTTCTCTCTGGACGTTGTACTTTGATCAGCCAAGGAACTTTGATGTAAAATGAAAATTAAAACCACGCACATATTAACATTTAACTACATACATCCTTACTCCATATAACCCTGTCCGATCCATGTAAATGTTGTTTCTCTATTTCATGTACCTGTGCGCCTGCTCCTGTGACGTTTGCCCCTTGTTCTTCTCCAGGGCCATGACTGTTGGCAATGCCGCTTTTCCTCGTTTGGTACTTATATGCATAGCTATACGGACTTGTTCATTCTAGGGCAATCAATAGCATGTTTCTGTGCTCCGTACGTTATGGTACATGGGTCAACAGATTGGCAAAAAAGCAATGCATCTACGTACATGAACTCCTACATATCCCGAAGCCAGACCCGCAGCCTCTCTCGCCCATTATTTACTCCATACTCCTAATAAACGCATATGTATGTAGTGTGGTGAAGTAAGGCTGGTACCCCCAACAAATGCATCCTCCTTCACAGCCGGTCTCTATGTATCAACCCTGAACGACGACTGCTCAGAGTATATATGCTTACAATTTATCTCATACGAAATTTCGCTTGAATGGTACTGGTACCCAGTAGTTCATACGCGAACAGTTCCAATAAGAATCTATGTTATCGTTAATTCAGCAGGGTTGTTAAGGACGCTACTATTGCATGACAGGGCTATAGAACCCATATAGAACTATAATACTCCTGGCTCTGGCGGTATTTTGAAACGGTCGTCTCAGGAACTAAGGCACTCTAAACTAGCGACAATCTCGTACACTTGCACGTACTCCGTATCGTAGTTCGATTGAGGAGTAGCTTATACTTTAAGCCAGGGCCTCGATACATATGCAGCTGTTCAACTGAGGGACCTTCGATCTACCCCGGTTTCCTGCTTCTCTCTCTCCTAAGTAGTCAACATGCAGTAGTTCGGATATCGACTGCCCAGTGCGGAGTAGGCTTTGTCACAGTCATGTGTTCATTCAATAGTCCTTACAAAGCCTGCAAGGCGCTTTGTTGATCGTGACGCCTAGAAAAGAAAAACATCTTCAAGACCGCCATCAGCTAAAACTTCGTATCCTCCGTCTTTCACGGCCTGAACACTGCAAAAGGTTCTGTCATCGTCTTCAAACGCAGATGAAACATGCATCTTCAACTTTTTTCTTAATCAAACTTGCTTTGGGGGGCCAACGAATGATCACGTGATCTTATCGATAAGGAGTCTAAGCTGCCTCGTCAGAGGAAAAAAAAAGCTGAAGTCGCGATGTTTTAGTTGACGGCTTCAATTTTCGGCTTCGATTTGTCTATTGATATTATTATTTTAAAGCAATTCTTACCGCGCCTGTGTTACTTTGGCCAAACAGTCCGTGTTGCAAATCTGATTTACTTCGTTTCAATCATACTGCCAGCCTAGAATACTGTTGCCGAGGCAATTAATTGAGAGTTCAGGCGTGGACGCTGGGTTCACCTAGATTACCATGGCATCAACCATCCTCCCCGGGGACATACTTCAGCTATCACAGCCCAATGCTCCTAAATTAGGACCGAATCTACATCTACTCACATCACAGACCCAGACACAAGAGCCACAGCCGGCATCACAATTAATCGCAGCCTCGCAGGCGGGGCTTCTCACGTCCGACAGCAAGCGGAATGCAACAACGTCAATCCTTCCGTTTCCTAGCACACGCTATATACCATGTCAGAATGACTTGATAATTGCCCAAATACACCATTCAAGCCCGGATTTCTTTCACTGCATAATATCTCCTAACTCACCACATGCTTTCCTCGGCCAACTTGCCTTTGAAGGAGCAACGAAGAAAACAAGGCCACAGCTTAAGGCTGGCGAGTTAGTTTATGCACGTATTCTATCTGTGGGTGTTGGTGCTGGTGGAGAGGTTGAATTAACTTGCGTCAACCCTGCAACTGGGAAGGCAGAGCCTGATGGACTTGGACCGTTGAATGGTGGGATGGTGTTTGATATTTCCACTCTATTTGCCTCCAGGTTAATGATGACCGGTCCAGAGAGACAAGACGGCGCCGGCCCCGGGGGTGTTATTGTTTTGGAAGAGTTAGGGAGGAGGTTTGAGAGCTATGGCGGGTTTGAGATTGCTGTTGGGAGGAATGGGAAGGTTTGGGTTGATAGCTCTGCAGAAGGCGATGTTGGGGTTATGATGGTGGTTGCTATTGGGAGATGCTTGAAAGAGGCAGATGAGAAGAAGCTAGATGTTGTGGAACAGAAGAAGTTGGTTTTGAGAATCTTGAAGGAGATGGGGATAGGCAAATGAATTGATTCTACGGCTTGGGTAGATATGATTGTCTCCCGACGTAGTGTTTGCATTTCGACGTGGCGTTGTGCTTATTCTACGGGCATTCTGTTACACTGGAATTCAACGACTTTGTGCCAGCCAGGGCGTTTATACCCATCTGGTTTAAGTGTGCTGATGATGAACACAGCATACGAATTGCTTTTGTGATTTTACTGTTTGGTGAGGTTACGCTGAAGCTCCATCGGTCTTGCCATCAAATATTGGTAATATTTTAGAGACCTTTCAGAGACGGCTAAAAGTACCTATTGATCTCTATTGTGTCCAAAATAGCCGTATAAGCATCCGTTCATAATCACCTCCATCGGCCCAGTCACTTAAATCCCATCAAGGTGTAGGGCGAAGGTATCCGGATAAAGAGATGGCAACATAACCGCCAGAATCAAACCCTCACGTACCCATGTCGGCTTCCAGGTTTTTCATTTCTCCTGCAGCAAACTGATGCCCAATCCATATCTTTGCACACCAGGCCGTGATCAGAGCATCAATCAACCGATCATCCATGTCACGGACAATATGAAGCACAGGCCTCACGTTAGCACCACCAGGTATACAGACAGTCTCAACAGCAACGAGAGACTGATCTGCGTCTTCCCATTGTAATGTTTCTTGCTTTTCGGGGCTACGCGTAGGCCTTATGCGAAATACTAGATCGTCCGCCTGTCCGTTTAGACGTAGCCGGAAGAGCTCCCATCCCCTCTTGATGATGCCGCGAGACATGCGCAAACACAAGACCGCTGAAAGACAGCTCTGTCTCTTCCCAGTTATCTCGACGGAAGAAGAAAATATAGGTTGTGAGAAATCATATATGTGCTTCTCTCTTATGATCCCGTACTGGGCTGTGTTTCTGTTTGGACAGAGACGGGAAATCCCGATTTTTCTGTATCCAGCATCTAGCTCATGAGTTAGCTCGTACAGAGCCGTTGTTGGAGGGGCGACTGGATAGATCAGATTTCCATCGAGGGTTAAAGGCGATAACTCTGGCCGGCCCAGAGGGGGTGGAGCGGGCGTTTGTGCAGACTCTCTGTACGAAGGGGGTGGGGTGGGAACATTCGACATATTGGTAGTTTGCTTTAGATGCGTTGTAAGATGCTCATACTATAGAATCGAGATGCTCTTGGAGAAGTTCAAAATACAAGGCAGCATCGAGATATTTCTTGAGGGCTTCGGCAAAGTAAAATACCGTGATAGTCGCCACTCTCACCGAGCCAGGCGTTCAACCGTAGTTACGATTGAAGTGAAATGAGGCTGAGTCAAGATATAGCGCTTTTGTCATATACACACAAGGCGATATTTGTTCTGACAGAGGCTCGTGTGATGCCGCTGGTGCCGAGAAGGATCGGATATTGTGACATCATCAGCAGAGCTTACGCCAAGCCAGCTACATGTTCTGAGTAACTACTCCGTATTGTCTTTTTTTCTTTGTCCCGGCTAACGTGTTTGATACTTCGCGAGGTTTAAAGGTGAGCGGCCTTACTGCGTTTTACCTACCTCTGTTCGAAGCGATCTGTATGGAATATTACCTTCAGAAGCCTTCAGAAGATCTGGCTCCTTGCTTAGCCTGGTGGCATAATGGTTAAAGCCGCCTTGCAACCTCTGCTAAAATGTGGCAGAAGTACCCAAGCATTCCACCAGTCATAGCCTCGGTCAAATACCAGCCTGGCCAGCCCGATCCACTGGCTGGTGGTCAGATACATTTGATGCCTAAATGTTGCCAGAGGAGTGAGGAGCGCGATATTCGATGTGATATCATCTGTTCCACTGCGTATACAGGTCCTCAGTCCATAGTAACTGTGATTTCTACCATGTTCACCCAGCGAGTTCTTGAGTCCGGCAGATCTGATCCATCTTCGTTATCAGGTTTGCCGTTGTTCCTTCCCTGCTTTCTTGCAGCAGCGCCCACCTTGGATGCTGCATCTTCGGGATCGTCAGTTTCTTGGGCACCATCTATAGGCCGCTCTTCATCTTCCACCACCTCATCTCGAACAATGTCATCTACCACCATGACTGTTCCAGTCTTCACTTTTGTAGTAAACCCATCCTTTTCGTCAAACCATTTTCCTACTTTCATCGCCTTGTCAATGGCACGCCCCGTCGCTTTGATAAAAACTGGCTCCTTTCGTAAAGCCTCTGAGGCATCTTTGAGCTGTGTAAGCTTGTCCTTGCCAGATCCCTTCTTATCTCCCAAGCGAACACTCTGTGTAGCACGCTTTTCAGCTTCCCTTAACAATTTTTGGACCCGCTTCGCAATGCTCATAAACGGAGACTTGGTCGAGACGTAGACGACCTTGGGTACACTGGCTCCTGCATAAGGCGATGCAGCTGGGGGGTGAGGAATTGGCCGTTTCTCAATTCGCGCATCTGTGTAGAAATGGTCAGACCTAGTCTTGAGTGGTAACAGTAATGCAAGGTTGAAAGTCCTAATTAGGATACCGTACTTTTAGGGATTTTGAGCAGGTTCTTGTTCTTCCGTTCAAAAACAAGCTCCGGCTCAGGTTTTGATTTAGCCATGGTCAGTACCAGGGCGGCATCTCGCAGGCAAACTTATCGCCCGGGCAAGTTGTGTCGTTGAGCAGGAGTTCCAGTTGTGAAGAAAGCGTCGAGGGTAGGTAGAGGCTTAGTTTGATGAATGCTGGTTATCTGCATATCATTGGCTCATCAAGGAAATAAAGATTGGCTTTATAATGTCATTTATTGGCTTGCTGAACGGGCTGAAAGCGCATCAGCCAGCCAATAAAAGGTGCATATTTCACGAAAAGGGGTTCGCGACGCGCGCTTTTTCAAGCCCGAAATAAATACTGAAGAAAAAATCAGTAAATACTGGAATATCACATATCATTGAATAATTTCAGGAGTATTTCGGGTGTGCAGACGATTCTGCGACTTTGGCTGCTACTTCGTACATTGTATATACTACTATAAACCCCACGGGCAAGAAGAGGTAACACGAAACCGCTATTGGATCGATAGTATCCATCAGTTGATACCCTTAGGGCAAAAACACCATGTCGAACAAGAAGAACGAGGATTTCGATGTGGGCAGAAGGGATGAGAAGTTCAGACCCGCATCCCAGTACCGGCCTCGCGGCGATAACAGCGGCATGGGAGGGGTGTTGGCCCAGCTTGAGAACAACCCTGGTGCTGCTGTTCTCGCCTACTGCTTCTCCTCGATTAGTATGACGGTCGTGAACAAGTATGTCGTTTCGGGCTCATCCTGGAACTTGAACTTCCTTTATCTAGCTATTCAGGTATGTCCATTGTTGTTATCTGTGTACTAGAATTTATCAATGCTCCACGGCTAACATATATTCAACAGTCCGTTCTTTGTACCGCTGCAATTCTGGTTCTAAAACAATCGGGTTTTATCCCTAACCTTGTTGCATTAGAAAGCACCAAGGTCAAGAAATGTACATGTCCCTGAGACTGTTAATTGAATCATTATTCAGTTTCGTGTCGTGCTAATATTTTGAATTAGGGCTCCCTGTATCTGTGTTCTTCGTGAGCATGATCTATACCAGCACCAAGTCTCTTCAATTTCTATCTGTTCCGGTGTATACCATCTTCAAGAATTTGACTATCATTGTCATTGCATATGGCGAGGTCTTGTGGTTCGGTGGCACCGTCACCCCAATGATCATGCTGTCCTTCGGTTGCATGGTGCTCAGCTCCGTTGTGGCCGCGTGGGCTGATATCCAGGCTGCCGTCAATGGTATTGGGCACTCAGGAGAGGCAGCAGCAGCTATCTCTACCTTGAATGCTGGGTATGCTTGGATGGGTCTCAATGTCATCTGCACGGCTTTATACGTCTTGGGCACGCGGAAGTTCATCACTTCGCTGAACTTCAAAGACTGGGACAGTAAGTGGGATTTCTAACAAACTGATCAAGCTCTGGAAACGCAAACTGACGCGAGCTAGCTATGCTTTATAATAACTTGATATCCCTTCCCATCATGGTTATCTGTTCTTTGGTCGCCGAGGATTGGTCTTCAGCTAACCTGGCCAAGAATTTCCCCGCTGAGTCGCGCAACAATATTCTCATTGGCATGTTCTACTCCGGCCTAGGAGCCATCTTTATCTCCTACTCATCCGCCTGGTGTATTCGCAAGACTTCGTCAACAACATATTCGTTCGTTGGATATCTAAACAAACTTCCACTCGCCATCAGCGGAATCGTATTTTTTGGCGCTCCTGTCACATTTGGCGGCGTCTCTGCTATCCTCTTGGGTTTCTTTAGCGGCCTCATCTACGGCTACGGCAAGATGAAGCAGAAGGAGCAGATGAGCCAGGTCCTCCCCACCACCAGACCGACCATGAGTGCCAGCTCTCAAAGTCAGAAGGATGCATCCAACTAATTGGCTGATTCCTGAGTTACCTCAGGGTATATATATTCAGTTTTATGTCTTTTATTTTGCTTGTGATATAGACCTTCTGTTGTGATGTTGATACATATTTTTGGTGACTGTTCTTTTGGCGACTGATAGATTATATGGGGTTTAAGAGTGTGAGCTATAGAGTAAATAGAGGATGAATTCGAATAATATAATAGTACCTCCTAACGACAACCGATATCCTCCGTTGTGGTAGCACAGGCATCCTAGTCCATGCTGGTCCCTCTTCTCTTCGCCGTTGGTTGTACAATAAAAGTGTTATCGATAAGCTTTCGTCAACCGCCAGAAGGTGTAAAAAAAAGCCAAAAAGCGGCAAAAAGTTTTTTCCCTCTTGTGCCGCCAAAAAGTCGAAGACCTGCCATTTTGCCCGCCACGAACTTGCATCTCAACGGTCCAATTCGTCATTAACAGCACTGCTCCTCTGGAGGCCGACATAACCTCCTTGTTTATTAGAAGAAGGAAAAGATGAGCGACCAAGCTGCTGCAGTCGCCTCGGATGCGACTGAGCGGTGTGCTATTGGTATTTCCTTTGGCAACTCCAACAGTTCCATTGCCTTTACCTCGCCAGTAAGCGACAGCCTATATACCATCGAAAGAATTTGCTCGCAGGTCGTATCTTATTCATGTCTCTGACTCTTGCATGTTACTTGGACAGGATGGAAAACCAGAGGTTATTGCGAACGAAGATGGAGGTTAGTGGGATTCCCCTCCTTCGATATATCGGACCAATGGACTGACCATCGAATTCTTTTACTCAATTTTAGATCGCCATATTCCCTCAATAATCTCATATGTTGATGGCGATGAATACCATGGAACACAGGCCAAATCGCAGATTGTTCGACATCCAACCGACACCGTTGCGTACTTCAGAGATTTTCTTGGAAAAGAGTAAGACCACACCTGTCGTAATCCGAGAACAATTGGTTGGGAGGTATTCCGCTGACAGTGATAACCAGGTTCAAATCGATAGACCCTACGCCATGCCATCAATCCGCTCACCCACAACAGCATGAGTCCACTATTTCTTTCACTGTGCAAGAAGGCACAGAGGGGGAGAAAAGCACGCTCACCGTGTCCGAAGTTACCACTCGCCATCTCCGCCGTCTAAAGAATTCCGCTTCCGAGTATGTTGGCAAAGAGGTCAATGCCGCCGTCATCACTGTTCCCACAAATTTCACCGATGCACAGCGATCTGCATTGATGGAAGCTGCCAAGGGAGCCGGCATTGAGGTTCTCCAGTTCATCCATGAGCCCGTTGCTGCTGTTGTTGCCTACGATGCCCGACCCGAAGCTGTTGTCACCGACAAGCTTGTTGTCGTCGCTGATTTGGGTGGCACTCGATCTGACGTTACTGTCATCGCATCCAGAGGTGGCATGTACACCATCTTGGCTACTGCCCACGACTATGAACTGGGAGGTGCGCAGCTGGATCAGGTCCTCATTGACCACTTCGCCAAGGAGTTCATCAAGAAGCACAAGATAGATCCCAGGGAAGAAGCTCGAAGTTTGGCTAAGTTAAAACTTGAGGCTGAAGCTACCAAGAAGGCCCTGAGTATCGGCACGAACGCATCCTTGAGTATCGAGAGTCTGGCTAATGGTATCGACTTCACCTCTAACGTTAACCGTCTAAGATACGAGCTTCTCTCCTCAAAGGTCTTTGGAAGCTTCACCGACCTCATCAAGCAGGCAGTCCAGAAAGCCGAGCTTGATCTACTTGACATTGACGAGGTTTGTACATCCAACTTTGTGTTTTTTTGTTTATAAAACTCATGCTTACAATGGTATAGATCATTCTCTGCGGTGGAACATCTCATACTCCAAAAATTGCTCGTCTTGTCCAGTCTCTATTCCCCGAGACTACAAATGTTCTTGCCCCAGCTACCTCACCGACTGCTATTCATCCATCCGATGTAGCTGTTAGGGGTGCTGCCATTCAAGCATCTCTCATTGAAGAGTTTGAAATGGCTGACATTGAACAGTCCACTCACCCAATGGTCACTGTTACTGCTCACCTTGCCAAAGCTATTGGAGTCCAGCTCATTTCCTCTGACGAGTCCAACTGCATCTTTAAGCCGCTTTTGAACACTGAGACTGCTCTCCCAGCCCGCCGATCCGCCCAATACCCTGCTCCAAAGGACGGCGGTGATGTTCTCATCCGTATTTGTGAAGGAACTCGTGAAATTAAAGTCAAAAAGGTTGAGCCTAAGCCTAAGGCCGAGGATGAAGATGATGATGAGGATGACGACGATGACGAGGAGGACGAGGAGGAAGAAGTCCGTGAAATTGCATGGAACGTCTCCAAGCCCATTGCTGAGTTTGCCATCCGTGATGTTAAGCCTCAGGGTAAGATTGAGGTTATGGTTAGCGTTAACGAGCATCTTGCTGTCCAAGTAACTGCTCGTGAGATTGGTGGAAAGGGAGGTGTTCGTGGCGCTGTAGAGCCTCCCCAGGTAGTTGAAAATGGTGCATAGATTTATGACAAAAAATGGGAGGACATACAAAAGCACGCATAAATGGCTACATTAGACGGAGATGGATATTTGATGATAATGTGTTGGCCCTTTTCCAATGAATTTAATAGTTACGCTTTGGTAAATTTGTGCCCATTTTCAAATATCTTCTGGTGCTCCCTGAGCGACATCTATTTACCATGATATAGAAAATTATTCGAATAACAGTAAGGGATGTTGACTAGAGGCACCTATACAAATAGCCCCCGTGTATATACACGCAAATCATACGACCTTGCTTGCTATTATATTCAATCCAAGCAAGTCGATAAGTATTTGCGCACGGTGACGCTGTGGGCTGCCGTAACGAGTTACCAAGGTATTTAGCCCCAAAATCAGCTGGTAAAGATGACGTCGGTTTGATTGAGGCTACACCAAACAACAACAGCTGTGCTTTGTCGATAGCCAACACTTATAACTCTGGCAGTAACATCTCGACCTTATCGCTGCATACAATAATATGGCTGCCTGGGCATATCCATCTCTCCCAGCTGAACGGCTGAAGGAAAAGGAGGAGGCATCATTGGTATGTGTTGATCAACCCATCTTTCTGGGAATACCGGTTAACGAACCATTTAGTCTCATGAATTGCAGTGGCTCTTGAACTCCTTGCAGGGAACACTGGCCTCATTACGAGATGGGTTACAGGAATGCTATGCCCTCCTGGCACCAAATGATACGGGATCAACGCTTGTCCTTTCGTCAATGCGATCAGAAAGTGTTAAGGGATTTGTAACGAGAATGGGCTCAAAGATTGTTAAAGGCGTACGTGTCTTCATGGAGAAATGGGAGATAAATAAATTGCGATCAATGACTGCAGGAAGGCAGTGTTGAATTGACTCATTTGGATACGACGGGCCCATGCTAACAATAAAGACCTCTAGGATGTTCAACTCCGTTTACATTCCTTGCCTCCCCCACGCGGGTCACCGTCAACTCGATTATGCCTTTCCTCCGACCCAGCAGCTCCGGAACTTATCCTGAATCAGCTTTCGACTGTCCGCCGTCTCATCAGCGATAGTCTTGACATCGTTGACATTAGCACTTATACTGGGGACTCGAAAGATGCGAACTTTATATCTGGCCAACTACGGCTCCTGGGTGATAATCTAGCTGAAGCGAGGCAAACGTTGAAAGGAGATGGTGAAGGAGTTAAGCAGCCCTGGTTTGAAGACAGCGCTGATGGCAACGTATGATCTACCCCATTGAAAACTCAGCCAACAAGTCCGGTTAAGTGGGAACTATGGATAATATTGACCCCATATAGAGCTTCGACCCGCCTCTCCCGCCCTGCCTCTCATTCCACCTCTCAATTTCAGAGGCAGCACTCGTGCTATATCTTCGCACCCTTGAACCTACCTCAACGGAATCTACCCCGGCAACATCTTTCGCACCGCATATTTCTCTCGGTGGCTTTTCTTTACGGGATCAGCTTTTTGGAGCAAGACAGCCCACCCATGATGAAACTGGTGATACATTTCAATGGCGTGGTGAAGAAGTAAGGGTTCAAGAAAAAGTCAGGGTGGAAAGTCAAGATCCTAGTCTTCTATCTGCCATGGCTAAGATCTCCGCTCTTGAACATGAGGTTGCAAGATGGAGAGAAGCTCTCTCTATCTTGATGGGAGAAGAAAGTGACTGAATTGAATCTCCTAATACTGCCTAAGAGTCTAAACTCCGTGCTGCACTCCTACCTGTCGTATTCGGATTTTCCCAGGTTTCCTTATTAATGCTGACATGCATTTCATTTACCCTTGCGTATTCTTAAGGCCGTCCGATTTCCCCACATTATGGGCCGCAGTCGGCATAGTCGGATGTCGCAGCATGAATTCATCCGCGCCATGGTGTTTCTATTTATAGCACATTCACTCTCCATCAAATCAACGTTACCTCGGGCAGGGAATTGAGGAGAGGTAAGGCTCGAATGTATTATACCTATCTGTTTGTTATACAATACCCATGGATTTTGGAAGATTTTATCTCCACTTTTACGATGAGGTAGCACTTATGAAGAATGATTCAGTACTCCGCCAGTACCAAAGCTATCCCACCACTAATTAAGTCCAGCTTCACATGTTGATATTCTAATAGCCTTCGCTAATTTAAAAGTAGTAGATCGGTCAAGGATGGATAAATATAGCGTTCCATTGCTTACACGAACCTGAACCCTATAAAGAGCCAATCGCATTGGGAATCAAAGTGCACATGGGGCATACCTGGGGTCCTTATCTCGTGAAGCTTCGGGGATAAGTAGCTCGTTGATATTGATAATCTTTACGATGTTCCATTGGAATGAAACCTGCTCAATACAACATGAGAGCAAACATTCGCTGGATATAAAGAGGGCTAAATCTCATGTTCTATCTGCCTGCTCACTCGAAGCCTGGATAACGGACTCATAGTTGAACGTCAAACACAAGTCTCCTTGAACCGCCTGCCATCCCTCCTTCATACTCCCACCATCCCAAGCCCAGTTGTCGATACACAGGGCCCTATACGTTAGTCGGTATGGGGATTAGACAGTGGCTACTTTCCCTAGCGGTAGTCGCCCTTTCTGCCACTGCTACCCAGGCGAAAGTTGATGACCCGGCCGGAAAAGCTGCACAGTATCATAAGGAATATGCTTTGTTTAAAAGTGCAAATATGCCATCGCCCGACAAGTTGGCTAGTGGAGTCGGCTTTCACTCATTCCGCATTCCTGCTGTCATCCGTACCAACACCGGTCGTATCCTTGCCTTTGCCGAAGGCCGCCGCCACAACAACCGAGATTACGGCGACATCAACCTCGTCTACAAGCGAACCAAGTCATCTACCAACAATGGTGTAAACCCAAGCGACTGGGAATCCTTGCGCGAGGTTGTCGGGAGTGGGCCTCATACTTGGGGCAACCCTACCCCTGTTGTTGATGGCAACACCATCTATCTCTTCTTATCCATGAACGACGGTGCCTATAGTCAGAACGGAAATAACGTTCTACCAGATGGAACAAAAACCAAAAAGATTGACTCTACCTGGATTGGCCGCCGTCATCTCTATCTCACCACTAGCATTAATGACGGCGACACCTGGTCCAAGCCTGTGGACATGACTAAGACTTTGACGCCAGATGGCCAAGCATGGGATGCTGTCGGCCCTGGAAATGGCATAAAATTATCCAGTGGTGAATTGGTCATTCCAGCACAAGGCCGCAACATTATCGGGCGTGGGCCAGCAGGCAACCGTACCTGGTCCATGCAGATACTTAAGGGTGCTGGATCTGAGGGCACTATCTGCCAAACCCCTGATGGAAAGCTCCTTCGCAACGACCGTCCAGGCCCTATGGGCCATCGATCTGTCGCCCGTGGAACTCTAGATGGCTTTGGTCCCTTTGCCACTGATAACGGTCTTCCTGACCCTGCCTGCCAGGGTTCGATCCTGAGCTATAACCAAGATGAGCCTGCTAGAACTATTTTCATGAACTCTGCCTCAACAGAGCGTCGCACAGCCATGCGTGTACGTATCAGTTACGACAAGGACGCAGCCAAATTCAACTTTGGCCGTGAGTTGAAGGATGCACCTCTAGGAAATGTTGGAAATGAAGGCGGTTACTCCAGCATGACGAAGACGAGTGACTACAAGATTGGTGCCTTGGTTGAAAGTGACTGGTACGAGGATAAAGGTGGGGAAAAATCGCATCGATGCATCATCTGGCGTCGTTTCAACCTGTCTTGGATTATCAATGGTCCAAACAACTAGACTTGGGCTATCAATAGCCATCTAGAAAGTCTTCTGCTGTAACAATAGTGCAATATATAGAGTGTGCCGCCTGCTTACACACACAATACTTTAATTCAACCACACCATGCTCACTTCACTTTTACTATCTATCCTTAACTCCCAGCTTTCAATCACTTGTTTCTTCCAGCTAAGGCTCGGGATTAATTTAAGCATAACTCAAATGTAAGCTTTGAAGAAAGTCAAATCTAAAAGCGGCTAAAAGCTAGTTTGGATAAAGCTAGTGAAAACTTGGCGGCTCATGAGAAGCTCTGGATTATTCATCAGGAGATTTTTTTATATCGACAAGCAGACAGGATTAAAGCCATTCATTGAGCGCTTCTCTGATTTCCTGCCCTCGCCAACCGATAAGGATGATATCCCAGCGGACTGCGAGAACTGTGCGTGCAGCATGCGCCCAAACGTCTCTCCGAACTTATAGGCACGGACTCTCGAAATATCTCCCATTACACAGCTACAATCTCCAAAATGCGAGAGCTATTTCAACAGCATCGCAGTTCATGACATCTGGCGTGCTATTAGCCAAACAACCTCACACCCCCAGCATTTCCTTACAATCTCCCATCAATAGTAGCCAGCGGCTTAATTCGACGTCAACCAACCCCTCGTCTCCTACTCAAAAAGAAGAATTCTATCGGCTTCTTGATAAGATATACGCCAATCATGAAGAATTGGTCCAGCAAATCGACGAGCTGGAACTCGAAGATTTGCCTGAATCAGCCACAAACGAAGACTTAGATCTTATAAAATCCATTAGTTCTATTGTTGGATATCGAACCCCGGAAGCGTTAGAAGCAGAAGTGAGAGCGGTATGGGAAAAGCACGGCGTCTTTGTACCACCCGATGAACTTCATGAAGACGGACTTAAGCTTTACAGGCGATTATACGGCGAGCCAGTTTTCACCAAACCGGAAGAGCCACAGAAAGAGGAAGACCAGATATTTAAGGAGAACAAGGATGGGGAGTGGGAAGAGGTTGAGTTGGGACAAGACCATCTCTCGACTGAACCACAAGCTGCTGAAAGCGAATACTTAGTAGGAATCTCTGAGACTGCTGGCCATGAAGTAGATGCGCAGACTACAGAGAGGTCTCGCCAGGTGGCAGCATCCCTCGGGGCAGAACTATTCACCGAACCTCCGACATTCGACAGTGAGGACCCATTTGTTCGATCGCACCCGTTTGTGGATGAGGGCAAATTTGGTACTAGTCCAAGTAGTGTCACGGCTCCAGCAGCCTCCATGATGAGGCCTATCACTCAAATGACAGCTGCTTTTTCGAACAAGCACATTTCTGAGACTGCCCATAAAATATTTGGTGGAGACCAACTACCTGACGCGATTAGGGTCCTAAAATCCCTGCCAAAGAATGCAATTCCTCTCACAGCGTCGCAAAAGCAAATGTCCCCGATAGAAAGTGCCTTGTTCATGTCAGTATTATACCCTGGGATCTATGCATCGGTTTTAAGTGCGCTGGTAGAAACTCGAAAAAGACTTGGGACGAAATGGATTCGTGGTCTCATGTGCAAAGAAGGAGGGCCAAGTATCCTTGATGCAAGCGGTGGTGGCGCGGGTGTTTTTGCATGGAGAGAGGTATTACGATCTGAATGGTCGCTGATGTACCCGGATCACCCTGAAGGAAGCCTGGCGACAGGTAAATCTACCGTTTTAACTGGATCTGATACACTACGACATCGTGTTAGCAGCCTCCTGGAAAACACAACATTCCTTCCGCGACTTCCGAACTACCTACGCCTCGAGGGAGAATCCTCCCTTGGCCCCCAGAAACCTGGGAATCGAAAGAACTATGATATCATAGTTGCGCCTCATTCGTTATTAAATTTCGAAGAGGACTTTCAAAAAAGAGATTATGTTCAAAATCTGTGGTCCATGCTAAACCCCGAAGGAGGTATACTGATCCTTCTTGAAAAGGGGCACAAGGAGGGTTTTGCGGCAATCGGAGGTGCCAGGGCCATGATATTAGAACGGCTGATTAAATCCCCCAAAGCTCCAGAGGGTTCTGATTCCGCTTGGGAGACACAACATGGGCAAGTTGAGAAGAGCAAGGGCATGATAGTTGCGCCGTGTACTACTCATTCTCGATGTCCGATGTATGTCGAGCCCGGAACGATGAAAAATCCCAAGCAGTTCTGTCGATTTGCTCAGCGATATGTTAGGCCACACGTATTGCAGCGTATCCTTGGAAATCCATCCCATAACCACGAGGATGCGGAATTTAGCTACCTTGCTGTCCAACGAGGTATTGACAGGCGAGAAATTGATGGTTTGGTGCAGGATGAACATACAACAAACGCAGCCTTCGCCGGGTACGAACATTCTACTGACGTTGAAGAAACAAGTGCCGGTGGTGCCGGAAATAATGTCATTGATCCTCTTTCATGGCCCCGGGTCGTGCTACCTCCCATCAAACGAAAAGGTCATGTCTCGATGGATTTATGCACACCAGAAGGGAAAATAGAGCGCTGGACGGTCCCACGTTCATTCAGCAAACAAGCATATCGAGATGCTCGCAAGTCTTCATGGGGAGACTTGTGGCCTCTAGGAGCGAAGACCCGGATCCATCGTCCCGTGCGAGCCATCAAAATTGAAGAGGCAACTCCTGTGAAGAAGAGGATAGTAAAGCCGGGAGCGGACTCAAGGCGGAGACGTGCTGCTCTCGAAGACGATAGCGAAGAATTCGAATTAGATGAAGAGCAGGAAGAAAAGAAACTTGCAGACAGAGTAGCTTCTTACCACGACCGTCGAATTACCGGGAAGACCAAGAAAGAAAACAAAGTGCCGAAGTGGGCGAGACAGATGGAAGTGAAACGCGATCGCAAATACGGCAAACAGTTAGGCCGTGAATAAAAGACCCAGCTGGAGCTTTCTCGTTGATATATGGTTCTATCTTCAGTTCATTTACGCACATATGAGCGGTCAGGCGTCTCACCGGTGTTTTTGGAGGAAAGGGAACTCGACTTAATTCTTACGATTGATGGAGTATCTGTATAACATCGGGGTTCTGCATAGTGGAAAAACTGTATTACTAGAAATATTTGTATAAAAATGTATATTACTTCACTTCTCTCAACCTATCTTCTAGAGTATCTTAATGATCAGACCAAGATACCAGAACTTCATCTAGGCTTAAGTCTGTTGTTCCATTGGGTTGAATTCCCTCTATGCATACTCCATTCTCCAGCTCTAGCCTTGTCCGTTTGATAGACAATAGAGCAATAGGGGAGAGCATTTCAGTACCCAGCGACATGTAAGAGTCGGATACATGAAGCCCGACACGTTTAGGCAGTTATGCTCTTACATACACACCAACAATGTCTGCCATATCATGTCGACGCAAGCTGGGTAGTCTGGTCCGCCTTTGGGGGATTCTCCTGTCGATAAGCGTTGGGCGGACTTCGTAGAGGTATAGGCCATACGGCCTAATGTACACATCCAAGATCAACCGGCCGTATTCAGGGAGCGGCCATACTCTTCCTTAGTTGACGTTCACGCTGCTTCGATTGGAGTTCTAGTCGGTCAACAGCATACTGCAGGCGTTCCTTTTTCTGCGTCAACCTGCGTAGTTCAGCAGCTTTGCTTCCCAAAGCACCCCCAGCCATTGACATCCTTTTTCTATCATGGTGCATGCCACCTCTAGAAGAAGATCGTGGCTCTTGATATAAGCGTCCCTCTTGTAGTTCAGCTTTGGCTTTCAGGGCCTCTTGTCGACGAGCAAGTTTATCGGTGTGGTTAGATGCAAGCGTAATGAGATGGGATATACTGGGTGTAATTTCATCCACAATGGCTTGTTGTGCTTCTTTCAAGGTGGGTTCAGGAAGCAGTTCGAAATGCTGAGCAAATATATGATTAGTGACAAGCATGACTTAGCCGTTTATCGAGGTACTGCCGGAGACTTACTCTGGTAGACTGGAGTACTCTGCAGAGGCGGGGGAAGTCGTTTACACCTTCATCGAGGATATCAATTGAAGATTCAAGTAGCTGTAACGAAGCACGTAGAGAAGAAACAGAGGCAGAAAGAGCTGATGCCATTGTAGATGCCAGCTTTCGCCTCTTAAATTCGTCGTTTGTATGGCTGCCGTCTTCACCTCCCGCGCTTCTTGATTTTGATATCCGCGATGTTTCCTCCACCCAAACAAACAAGTGTCTATCACGTGACTCATCGTCGACGAAAAGATCCGAAACTCCAACTTCAACCTCAACGCATCACTCAGTCTCAAGCCCGAACACAAGTTATCGCCATCGCACTCTCGCAACTCCGGACAAAACCTCGTTCCGCTTCCACACTCGCAGTCAAGATGCCTCTTCTCCCAAAGAAGTTCCCGGCCCTCGTTGGTTCGTACTTCTGCGCTAAGCTCCCAGACTGTGACTTTCCCAGACGTTGCTAACAGTTCAACCAGCCAAACCAATTGCTCCATTCTTCGTCGCCGGTATGTTCTAATAGAATTCCACCATTGATGCCGCAGCCTTGTCGCGTTATACTCAACCCTCCAACTCCAACTGCGACGGCACCTCCGGCTCTTTGGAGCACTCGTCCCCGCCGCACCCAACTAACTATTTTATAGCATTGGTCGTCGGATACGGAATCAACTCTCTCCAGAATGCCATGATGAACTGTGAGTCGACCTAGCTTCTTGAAAGATAATTTTCAAGACAGCTTTTGCGTTGTGTGGATATTGCCGTGTTCGCCCGAAGCCCAGGAAAGGCTCTTCCGCACGCCAGACTTGTGCATTTTGAGGATCGAAACTAATATCTCATCTTACTAGCTGAGGAGTTCCGAAACGACCCCCGAAACCCCAACGCTGGAAAGCAGAGCGGAAAGCACTAGATGGTGTGAAGGAGTCCCATGGGAAACAACTGTACTGCTATATCGTGGCCGGATAAAATGCGTGCTATCCCCAGCCGACGTTTTTGATAAATCAGAAGTGCCTTTGTACATTGAATATAGAGAGATGCAATCAAGAGTTCTCAATTGACGTGTTTCCGTTCATACCAGTCTCGAATTGATAGCCATGGTCCTAGATAGTTGCTTTAAGCCGGGAACCCTGAATGCTTATCTTCAGACACTTCTGATAACTACCAGATCACTAGTTATTGTTCTCTGCTGTATGTATCAAGGCAATATAGAGTTAATCTATCGAGGCCATCATGTCGTTTTACACTGTAAAATAGGACCTCGGTACCGGTTTAACAGCACTAATTCGTTAGTCTATGCTATGAGCACTTCTTTGGACTACTATCAACTGGTGTCGATGTTGTTTCTTACTGAATACAGCGTTAGCTATGTAGAATTGCTGTTGCTCTGCAATGCTCTCAAATTTATACACAGTTGGTTTTTTTTCGAGTGGCCATATATTGGCGCTAACCCGTTTGGGCAATCTACCATTTCTCTCCAAGCCAGGGCGATTTTCGACACCAACGTTGACATCAACACCAGCAACGCGGAAGAACAATTGCATTCTGTCTGTCAAGCACCATGTCTCAATTCCGTGCAAAGAAGCTGGACCTCTCCGGGTTTATCAATGCCCGTGTTATCCGCGATCACACCAAGCGAATGGTTTTCGCCCAGAATGAGCCAGAGAGGTATGCAGTTAGATCTTCGATACCCCGAAGGACTGGAAGTTGGAGCCAGCTGGGCCCTTCTTGTGCTTCTTTTTATGATAGCTTTTCGCTCAGTTGAGCCTGGACTGACGCTTTCCCTTTTGTTTAGACAAGCACTTCGATACATATCACACAACACCAGCCTTCCCATGCGAGTTCGCGCTCAGGCGCAACTGAAGCTTTCCCAGATGCACGCCTATACCAGACCATCGCAAATAAAGAACAGGTGTATTGGCGGTGGAATAGCGAGGGGTGTGTTCAGAGACTTTAAGCTGGCAAGAGTGAGTCTTATTTTTCCAGTACAACTGCCAAAGAGCGATAGGACATCCCTTGCTGATCTGCTTTTTTCCCTTCTTCAGTATCAATTCAGAATGCAAGCTCTAGCTGGAGATCTCCCTGGTGTCAGGAAGGCCAGTTGGTAAAGCTTTGCAGCTACGTATAATAGTGCCTCAGCTGATTCATGCCGACGACCTCCCTCTTTCCTTGCCGTTTGTACATGTTTAAGCAACATCGGAGTTATAAAGGCGGTATATGGGACATGTATATTACAGAAGATTTAGAAATTTATTGATTGTCAGGGTGTCACGGAGTCCTTCAGTCAGAGCGAGGAGACATCTGCCGTAAACCGTGATGGCTCATAACGAGACCCAAAGCCGATCGCCATATTAATAATGGATGCCTAAACCCAAAGCTAACCCATGCTTCGGAGTGAGACAGCTTGATATGACAGGGAAGAGCTCTCTCTCCCTTTTGAGCTGCCAGTGAAGTTTTTATGGTGGTGCCTAGCTCGAAAAACCCGTCAAATCAGGCGGCTTGAAAAAGGCGTTTTGAGGCTGATTTCGGAGTCACATTTTCTTGTTAGTGAGCTCTGCTATTTATAAACTCCTGAGCATCTGAAACATCGACCATCTGGTGCCTATCAACGACTGAGGTTCCTGGATCTCTGAGCCTAGCTCTGCAGATAGCGAGGTATGAGATGAGTGATGCTCATGCCAATAGGAGCTAGGTCTCATGTAGCTCATGTAGCTCCCCAGAACCTTTATATGCTACCGGGCTCCCTCTGCATCCCAAAAGGCTCAGACGGAAAGCTGCTTTTCACCAAAGCTCAGCTCTGACATTCGTTTGCTCCCTTGTGCTCCTATCTCATTAGTGCTGCTGCATCTTGCTAGCTCTCATTGTTTATTCACTGGTCTGTTGCCGTCACTTAGTCTGGCGTGTTCCTTTCACTTGCTGGTTGCTTGCGTTCATATATAAAGATACCCTTCTTAGCTCTCCCTTTTTCTTTCAGCCCAATGTTGGACCTCCAAGGACTCTGTTTCTCCCTCCTTCATCTCCCGAGGAAGCTCCATCTCCATCTACTACAGCCTATAACCCGAGCTAGCAAGTCAGTAGTAAAGAGGAGCATCATGTTTGTTTTCCAGAGAGAGGATCTACCCAGCGATCCTGTGTTTCCTGCAAACCTGAAGCAACTCGGGTGAGACTCTCCTCTATTTCGATACCTCTTCTCTATCTCTTCAAATATCTCCCCTCTGTGTGTATCCACGCCCCCGAGGAGAAGTGAGGCTAATTCATGTGGCTTCTAGATATTTCATCAATGATCAGGATGAAATACGTATGATCTCGAGCCCGGAGGAGAGATTTCTCTACAAAATCAACGCCAATGAGCGTTATAATGAGCTTCAAAAAGAGGCGATGAACAGTGAGTTCCTCACGTTATGGCCAGTAACTCATCACCTTTTATACCTACTGACATCGATAATAGCATGCATTCGAAACATCGTGACCTCTCGTCTGCACGACCAAGGGTTAGAGGCTCTGCGACTGCCCATCGGTGCCAAACCGAACGAGCAACACGTCCCTATTTTGGTATCCCCTACGTTCAAAACAGATAGACGCATCATTGTTGTCTTTGGCGAACCAGTTCAAGATCTTGGTATATGGGCGTACAGAATCATTGGCCATGAGACTATCAACTCTGGCTCTGCCGTGGACTTCACAACCGCTGTCCTGGGTGAAAAAGAAAACTCTCCCGCGCCAGGTCTCATTCTGACCAACCCTGGTCAGTTGGTATGGCACTGTGCAGGTGAGCGAGCTATCTCGCTGCCTTCCTGGCTCGCGCTGCCTAGGAAACACGCTGTTGAGCCGCCCATGAAAATGACTCTTCGAAATAAGATACCCGGAAATGAAACTTGGCAGGATCATGTTACGTATGTCTTTGATGAAGTGCTGGGTAAACTTGCTCCAGGCGCGAAGATCGATGTTATTGGACTTGCCGAGGGCAGTCTTGCTGCTGTCAGGTACCTGGCTGAACATTGTAAGAACAACCCCTGCATGCATCCCAGTGTATTAAGCATCGGTATTTAAACTAATGGTGTGTTGGACAGGGTCGACGTGGAAATCTCGCATATCTTCTATGGCTCTTGGTAACCCGTTGCACGATACGAACCATCTGCACCCACCTGAGTTCGCGGAGTTCATATCGACTCGTTGCCGCGCTTACATGATCTCTGACAAGGAGGTGGATCAGCCTGTTGAGGGAAGATATGAGTATGGCTGCAACTGCTATTCGTCTGGAGAGTCGAAGAATGTTGAATGTATCATCCCTCGAGCCTACGAGAGTATGTTGAAATGGCTTGACAATATGCATGACAAGCCAGAACTGAAGGAGACCGAGGTATTTGTTAGCGAGGAGTTTGGAATTTCTGGGCCTGGAGATGAGTTCAAAGACAACGATGGCAGTGGTGTTGTGGTGGAGCAGCTCAACTAGGAGGAAGCACAAGGCCATTGATGGCTTAATATGGTACTCTAGCAGGAGAAGGTAGTTGAGCTGCTCTCTTGCTTTTATTTCCTTATGTCCTGGAAGCGAGCGAATTATGAAGCATGAACAAGTTTAATTGACGAAAGCCGCTATGTATCCCTTTGTGCAATTTACCCATAAGTAAAAAACAAATATTAGAAAGTATCCCAAGTAAGCAAATAGGAACAGGAGGCTAAACTTCTTTCTCAGAAGCAGAGAGGCTGGGTGCACAAGCCCAGCTACAGCCTCTTCTCATAAATGGCAGAGGATAGAGACTCTGTCCAGGCCTCCTTCCATGCTCCTTTCCACGAGTCTCAGCTGGTTTGCAATCCCACCATTCAATCCACCTCACTTTATCTAGGACGTATGACTTGCCGCACATAGAGCAGATCTTCTCGCCCGTCTGTCTGACCTCATTTGCAAAGCCGAGAAGCCGAACAATAGGATCTTGATAGCGAGCGTTATTGACTGAAGGCAGTGATGACGAGAGTGATGATCCGGGAGAAGCCAAAGTTTCATCATCTTCCAGGAAACGTGAAAAGTAAGGAGAACGAGAACAAGCTTTCAAAGCCAAATCACGAAGCGATGGGGTATTCGTTGGTGTGAGGCGTTGTATATCCACCGAACGCCCTTCCGTATCAAAGTATTCAGGCGCACTGGTCGCAATGTGAATTGGTTTCCACTCTTCCAGGACTTCGCCTTCAATGCTTGGTACGGTGGGTGCAGTTTTCTCGGTTTCGCGAGCATTAGGATCAATTGCAATAATCCCACCTGCTTCGGTGTTAATGTGCCACTTGACAATCTCCGATTGATCCAAGCGAAGAAATCGATTTGGATACAGGGTGATGTTCCTTAGAGTTCCCTGTTCCTGCATTAATCCCAGAAGTTCCCAGGGTAGATACCGTAGCTTGTTCCCGCCAACGTTCAACTCTTGAAGTAGGGTAAGTTTTCGAATAGCGCCGGGTATTTCCGTGAGCTTGTTCTGTCGAAGGCTAAGAAACCGGGTGTTTACCAGGTCAAACACTTCCTTTGGAACATAAGTGAGCAAGTTACGGGTCAAGTATAGCTGGAGTGACGGTTCCAAGGGGCTGAATATCTGAGTTGAAGCCCCGTGTTCGAGCACGGTTGGTTGTTTAGTTAACTGTGCTAAAGGCGGGAGAATATGGGATGGAATTGTGCCCATGTCCAGGTATCTAGCCAGACAAGTTAGTTGAAGAGCAAAACAGAACGAGGCAAGACCAGGGCTTACGAGAGATCAACCCTGTCATCTCCGTCATCAAGGCAGGTGTTGATAATCTGTCTAGCCTTTGCGTGAGCTATGGACTCAGTACTCCGGCTTCTCTTTGCTATAGGGCTTTTACTGCTGCCTTCAGTGGGCCTACCCGCGGTTTCAGACACTGGAAATCTCCGAGAAGCACTGCCACGGGTTGTGCTAGCAGGAGGACCAGTTGACACTCCCATCTCCTCACAAAACACAGAATCATCCGATCCACAGGTAAAGACGGCAGCAGACTCATCTCCATCATCTGTTGTATCGGCACTGCCCAGCCAGACGCCACTGTCAACATTCCTCTTACTCTTGAATCCCGCCCTCTTCGTCCGCTTATTCTGTTTGGACTGTAACTCGTTTCCTAGCTTCTGCCCCCACCAAGTCCCTCGATAGCGTCTTTTCTGGCCTGTTGGGCCCTCCGGCAATCTATCTTGAGCATCTTCTCTTGTGGTGGTATCATAGTTCTCCAACGCTGACGATTGGAAGTCATCGCTTGAGAAGAGAGGGGGGTCACTCGACGGCGTTCCGCTGCTACCTATGAACCTGTCTAACGCTTTTGACGACGTAGACGAGGCATATGGGAAGGGAGCTCGAGTCCTCGATGACTGAGCTGTGACTCTTACTTTGCGGTTGAGTCGCGGCGGCGAAGGGAGCGGCGGATCAGAGTCCATTGTTTGGCGTGGGTAGGACAAAGCCATGGTCGAACTATGTATGCTGTGCTTCTCCCCAGACTGAATGCATTCGAAGCAAACAGATGAGTCGAACCAACTATCACGGCTGACGGGACGCCCGTACTTGTCCAGAGAATACTGGTATACGGACACCCTGGCGGGCGTGAGGAAGTGTTAATTGTATCTTCTGTCTCGGTCGCGATGACGCGCCTTTTAAACGTCACCAAAAGTCGCGTGACACGTGACCTCCTTCCGCGCTCGTAAGACAGTGTCTTAACTACGATAAGATGGACAATCGATGGATAAGACAATGTAGACAAAGCAGATAGGGAGATAGATGGATAGAGGGATAGACAGGCCGACAAGACTGGATGTGCTTGCTTGCTTATTTTTGCGGGGAGAAGCGAAGACGCTGGCCGAGAACCCAAAGGCTGAAGATCGCAGGCATCAGGCATCGGATCATCGCATCCGCATCTTAGGTAAAATCTATATTCGATATGTAGATGTTTTCACCTCAGGGGTTTCATGTTAACAGCTATTTTCAGGGATATGTCTCCTTGAACTCCCATGGGCCACTGCGACTAGTTTGGCGTCAACAGCCTGTCAACTCGTCTTGGTAGGAGTTTTGTCGAGGTTGGCTGTTTGAGCAGAGCATCAGCATCGGTAGGATGACACTTCTACCATGGCATGTACTCAGTAGTTGTCACTCATCCGAGAGAAGCCGAGAGTGTTCGCTGAGGAAGACCATCTCTATCGACAGGGTTGGTCTCGGCAGTTATAGCGATATCTCCATCTTATTAATCTATCGCGATGAAACAGCTGCAGTTGGATGTCAGGCCACCAAACGCCCTGACTCCCGATCCTCATCCATGCAAACACACCACTCTGTCTCTCGGCTTTCGGCTGTCGCGTGCCTACGTCTGTGTGTATGTTTGTAGGAGGGTGTGAGCGTACCTTGCATAAGTCCTGCAGCAAAGCTACTCTTTCGCGCTTAGTTCGCTGGGTAGCACCATGCATGTCGTACTTAGATCGTTATGTATCACAGTAACCTAGCCAACTAGTTTTACAAGATATGCAGCATGGATCGCAACAACTGGAGACGACAAACATGCACATACCCTGCTCGGCCCGAAGATGTTTGCTACAGCAGTGAAAGAAGAACGAAGGATCCTACTTTCATTTTTTTTTTTCTAGTTTTTTTCTATGTGTATATGGTTGTGGTGCCAAGTGTAAGGTGATGGTGGAAAAAGGGGTATAATATCAAGCCGAACCCTCGGGCAGAAGCGTAAGCACATAACATGATGAAGGTAAAAGTAGGTTAGGTGGAGGTAGAAGTAAGAAGTTGAAGAAGTGAAGTTGAATATCAAAATGTAGTACCAGGACTAAGACAGACAAGCTGGTTCAGGTCGAGGCACCGCCCTCCCCTGGAGAAAGAAGAAGAAAAGATAGAAGGTAAAATCGGGAGAGGGACGAAAGTGTGAGGAGACGGTGTTTGCATATTGCTGACTGGAGCCAGAGCCAGCATGCTCACTCACACTGGGAAAAGGAGAAAATGGTATAAAAAAAGGGGTGGGGTATGTGGAAGAATAGAAGAGTCGTTGTAGAATAAGAAGAAGAAAAGGGCCATTCGACTATCCATAGAACATAAAGGTCGGAAAATCGTCGTAAATAACCTCCTGGGCCTTTGAAAAAAGAGGGGGCAAGAGAAGAAGAATAGTTGAATAAAGTGAGCTTTGTTGAAAAAAGTGTC